CCCGGCCCCCAGCCCCTCATCTCCCCCTGCTGGATGAAGAGTTGTGGCGATGTGCACCAGCTGAGGGTTGTTGATGGCTATAAGAATGAGAAGAGACCGCCATGACCTGAGGGGGAGCTCGCTCTCCCTTTCGAATAGAGGAGCGGACGACTCTTACCAGGGGGAACGCAGAGACACATGTAAACTCGGAGGAGAACCTGTTCAGAACAGCCAGACGTGGCAGAGGCTTGTTAGCGCTCGGATGTATTCTGTTCCTAAAGTTATGCTCGCGAAACCGGTGTCCAGGTTCCTCAACTATGATACCTCTAACTCTCACTGGCTAACTTGGTCGCCATCAGGTCGGTCAAACAATTGACAGCCAGTCGGATTCACCAATGTACATTACTTACTTTTGTCCCAGAGATAATCAAAGATCAATATCCCAGGAAGGATCGAAGGTCAATGTTAGCCATTCGGGTGAAAGGGTTAGGGTTGTACATATGGAGTTGTTACCATCCCGGCAGTGGAACTACCTTAGTTGCCTGTCTTCAACGAACTCGAAACTTCAAATGATCAAACTCGATCCCCCAGCATTTGACAAATTTACATCCGTTTAACAAAAATGCGTGAACATCATCTCAGTCACTCCAAAAGGTGCTTATTTGCATAACCCTTCACGTCAATACAACAGCACACTAATGGCGACATCGAAACCGAAAAAGCAGAAGGTAAGCCCGTCTCATCAGGACAGTCCATCAGAGCAAAGTGCTCTTCTCTTCCCTGTCCTTTCCTGCCGGTATCTCCCTGTCTCATTTTCGAGCTCTCTGGTCGAAACATCTGCATGTTTTTGTACGATCTCGTACAAAGACTGATCTCAATCCATCAAATCGTGTGCTGGAGCGGTTCAGATCGTCAAGCACTTCTACATTATCCTCTCATCTGACATGCATGAAGTTCCTCCCTCTCCGGGAAATCACGCTCAACTCACGACCGTTAGTCAAGCGAGCCATTCAATTCTCCTGCGACGGAGATCTCGCTGTCACTGCGGATGACTCCGTGCACATTTTCGTGCCCGAGTTTCCGGACCTGTCCAAGCATAGGGAAAGTCGGAAGCGTCAGTCAGGTATCCAGGACCGTGGACTCGCTGTCGAAGAGGCCTGGTCCGGTGAAGACAAGTCGTCTTCATCTGAGGAAGACGGCGAGGGCAATGCAGTTCCCAGAAGATACAACTATCAGCCCTTTCGGTCCCAATACTCCGAGGGGAGCAAGCACATGCCTGTTTCATACCCTCCCCTAGATCCCCGCGTCAACAGAGAACTCTACACTGCCGCAAACCTTCCATTCCCTTACGAGGGTGCCGTTGACGCTGATGCCGAAGCCCGGTCAAACGATAGCAGCGATGAATCGGTCGGATCTGAGGCATATGGCTCGGACGGCAATGAGGGTGAGGGTGCCGGTCTCGGTTTTAACCGACCCTACGGCGCAGGCTATGGCCCCATCAGTGGGGTTGGTAGCAGCATGAACCACGTTGTGTCCATTGCCTGGTCGCCATCCGGGCTGGGCGTGAATCGCCGCCCTGTCTTGGCCGTCCTGACTGGCTCAGGCACGCTCACCATGTACGGGGAGAGCAGCGCGTTTACAAACATCTTGCCACGCGCCAACGAAGGGATGTTGCAGCGCCGCGAGCTAAATTCCTGGATCGTGCTGTGGGGCGTTGGCGAACGCTTGATGGTTCCGGGGCAGCAGACCGAAATCAGCGAGTGCATTCGTGGCTTCGCCTGGGCACGTGAGATGGCTCCCGGTCAGGCTCTACTGGCTACCATCAACGATTTGAATGAGATAGCCATCATTAGCGTTCAGACTGTCTCCGTAAAGGACGAGACCAAGGCCAAGGGCGACTTGTCGTTCCAGATAGAACCGACTGAGACTGTAGTTTGGTTAGTGCGCGAAGTTGCGCGCTTCAAGGCTGAGGGACCACATACGACAACAGATGTAAGTGTAACCCCTGAAAAAAATGATCCCTTTGAGCAGAGCGCCACTTACACTACGAAATCCAGCCGATGGATCCGGATTTTGTCCCTTGTGGCACTTCATTTGGTCTCAGTTGGAGCCCATGGCTGGAGACCGGCGGCTCATGCACCAGCCTTCTTTCCTTCATTGACCGGAACTACGTCGGCTTCAGAAGAATCACCGTAAAGGAGCCTTGGATCAGGGGCGAGGCACCGAACCTTGTGGTCGAAAGCAAGGATATAGGTGGAAGATGCCTGCACTTGTCGAGCGACGCATTCGTGGAGTTCGAGGATGGCGTATGTCGATCTTTTTATAACTACCCAAACTATCGCTTGAAACTGACTGCGGGAAGATCTGGACACAAGGCCCTAGCAGCTCGTGTCGGGGAATAATTGTCACTGGCTTTCGAATAAAGCCCTTTGAAGTAGTCGTATCTGGCGGCCCAACCTCCGCGCAGGAGAAGCATAGAATATGGGACTGCGAGACGGCATATGATTATGCTACTGACCGGGCTTCTCAGAATCCCATTGTCGGTGTGTGCCCCAGCACGCCATTGTACCCGTTGGACATTAGCTGATCGTACTAGACCTTGTGATTCACCCACCCGATCTCGGGAACCCGACACCGACTCCGCTCTACACTCTGATTCGCATGTCCGCTACCCCTACAACTAAGGATTGGTACGAAACCAACGTCCCTCCTACCGTAAACACGATGGTAGACTCGCGACCACAGTGGGTCCGGTCCATCGCGCAAAAGCTCGAAGTTCAGATCCCCGTCGATATGTACCTCAAGCGTAGTTACAACGGTGAGAGCGAATCGGACGAAGGTACCGGCTCGGGTTCAGAGAACGACGTTGAAGGCGATATGGATGAGCTCGGCGTGGAATCAGATGATGACGAGAACGTCAACAGTGAGCTCGGCTATAATCAGATTGTCGAAACACCAGAAATCCACCCTTATCGGTTCCGCCTTCACGGCCTAACTCTCTCTCCGGGCGGTGGAGTAGCCGCTGTCCTTGCCAGCAGTCACAGCACCCAGCACCCAGAACGAGGTGGATGGCATACTGTGCGATCGAGCGTTCTGTTTGGGTACAAACCGCGGCGGAGGCGGAAGCACCAAGAACCACAGAACTCGAACGACCTAGCAGACAGCCAACTGATCGACCCGCAAGTCATGAACATGAACATGGACCTTGACAACACCAAGAGTGACGTCAACTCTCAACTCACCACCGAGGCCAAACTTTTTGAGTACCTCTACGGCGGGGGACCAGAGGTGCCAGGCATACACTATTACCCAGCAGACAGCGCTGACGGTGAGCAACGTGGCAACCGCGAAGCACTACGCCGCCTGTTTGGCCACGCCGTAGCGAACCAAGTGTGCGACCTATGCGGCGCCAAGATGGACATTCGTAAGGGCAAGCTTAGCGGTTGCAAAAATGGGCATTTCTTTGGGACGTGCGCTACCTCTGGGTTGGCGGTGCAAACGCCCGGCGGCACGCGAAGCTGTGGAGCATGCGGACTCAGGACCATGAGGGTCGAGGTGCTTATGGAGAAGATGCCCGAGGACAAGAGGGAGGAAGTGAGAAAAGCTGTTGGGGAAGGGGTATGTGGTGCCTGCGGCGGGAAGTTCTTGAGTTGATGACCCGGCCGCGGAGGGCTAGCAGGCAAGGGACAGTATGGATATGGGGAGTAGATCTGCCTCAGTGAGAGTAATCCGGGGTTTTGCTATCCCAAGGAACTCGTGCCGATATATTATATACACTAGAGCGATCATCACGCCTGTTTAAAGGTATCCTGGATTTGCTTACTGCTCATCGCTGGAGCCGCCACTTGGGCTGGATATCACCCCAACGTCGCTTGAAAGATGCAGGTTTAAACACTAAGAAGGCCTTCCTAAGCTGACAGTGCCCTCTAAGTCTGAAGAACGTGGTGTAGCATCCGATGCATTGAAATCCCAGACTCCTGTCGCTCATACCCAACGACCTCTTACAAGGCAACAGAAATCCGCCACAGACAGAGTACATTACCAAACCACCAAAGTCTCGCTCTGAGCATCCCTGCATCAAGCAAATAGTAGAGAGCTTGAAGAAAGACAGGTCTACTGGCACATCAGAGACGTGCATCACATACTCTGACATTGAGTGAGGCAGCAAGCAAGGGCACTTGATCAGTTAAAAACCTTGTTCATGGCCTGGTGCGCTAGCTCCACGCCCAGGAAAGTCGCGGCGTTTGCCGGCACCGCTCTGGCCAGCGCGGGCCCGAAGCCAGGGAAGAAGGCGCGGAAGCCGCCCTGGCCGTACAAGCCCCTAACAACCCCACCAATAGTGACGTTGCCCTCGGCCGTCTGCAGCCTGCTTTTGACCGTGTCGATGGGGAAGACGGGGATCCACATGGCGACTCCCGCGGCGGCACCGGCGCACGTGACGGCCGTCAGGCTGAGCTTGCCGCTGGCCTCGCCCGTGACGGGGTCGCGCGGGGTGAGCCTCCTCTTGATGTACTCGTAGGCGGCGAAGTAGGCGGCCGAACCGGGCCCGTCGCGCGCCAGCGTCGCCGCGGAGCCCCGGAACACGGACCGCACCCCGCCCTCCTTGTACAGCTGCCGCACCACGTCCACCCCGCCAGAGTACTTTGGCTTCTCGCCGGGCGCGAGCTTCTTCTGGCCCTGCACCTGCAGGATGACCTTGACCCGCTCAAAGGGCGCCGTGATGGCCGTCATGGGGATGGCCGAGAAGAAGCCCGCGGCCGAGATCTGCGCGATCGAGAGGTTGCCGTCGGCGCCGACGGTGCTGGTCGCCCGTACGATCGACTTGCCCAGGTCGTAGCCCCAAAAGGACACGGCGACTGGATGGAGGAGGGGTCAGGGATTTTTCTTTGGCTCAAAAGATAGAAGCGGAATGCGGGAGGAGGAGGGGCAAAACTTACACATTGGCGTCACGCCCACAAGCGGCGCGCTCACGCCCGCGTACAGACCCCTCCGCAGGCCATCCTTGGCAACGCTCTTCTTGACCACGTCGAAAGCGCCCGAGTAGACGCCCTTTTCGGCCGTCTGCAGCCGGACCTTGACCAGGTCGAAGGGGTGCCCTACGACGACGGCGCACACGCCACCAAACCCGCCGGCGACGAATGACCGTAGCTGAGACAGGCCCGAGGACGCGGCGGCCTTTGCCTCGGCTTTGAGCTCGGCTTTGAGTTCCTCCTTGGATTCGGGAATATGGGGCAGCTTTTCGGCGACGACGCTGGGGAGCGTTGTTTTTGATTGTGAAGGTGTCGAAGACATTGTGATGTGAGCTTTGGGTGGGTGACTTGGGAGACGGAAAGGAAATGGTGGTTCTCAGGAACCGTCGCTCAAAGAACGGATTCCGAGGGGGTTTCCCGCGATGCGGTTAAACTTCCGAGCCCTTTCTCGCCCGTTCTGTGAGGGAAAATTGGGTTGACCGTATGGTGAGTCCAGCAAACCACCCGCTTCGCCCGCTTAACGAATTTCCTTCTTTTCTGGTTGATCTGGAAAGCCCAATGCTGGATTTTTGAGTGACGGGTTTTAGAAACGCCGAGGGTGTTGGAGTGTTAAGTGTTAGCCACGGACGTCACTGGCCGGTCTTGGCTACACTAGGGTACACGTTCTGTCGTAGACCTCGGCAGAACGGAGACCCACCTTTGCTTCGGCGTGGGACCCCAGATACCGGCAGAAAGACCGACGGGTGTTCCGCGTACTATGTACAGGTAGGTGCCTGTAGTCTAGATCAGAAGTGGTTCATTCTGTTCTTTCCAGCCTCAAGTTCACATTGAACTCTGATATCACTCAACAGCAGTTCATTGCGCTGTGGTTACTTGGAATCTAACAGCGCCGGCTATCGTTACCCCTCGTCCAATGTGTTACCGTATCAGCATTCAGGTACAATACCTGGCACAGAGTGGATGGATAGACGAGTACTCAAACCTACAGGACTTTACCCTTAACTATGTATATCCTGTCAATTCGCTAGACCGGACTCAAATCTCTCGAACCACCCTCGAGTCCCCTGATCGCATGGCCGGCATGACTCTAACAGCGCAGCCGCACAACATTGTGTGAGGGTTGCAACGATCCATGTTCTGGATAACCGCGGGGTAACTGACAGCCACGCCCTCGGCATCATGGAGGGGCAGGTGGTCATGGTTCACGCTCTCTTCTAAAATTCCAGCCGCTGCTGCATGGGCAATCTGCAACCCGATGCGCCGGGTGGACGGATGAGGCTGCAGCAAAAGAAGCATGATTTGCCAGCCAATGGCTTGACTGATAAGTGACCGCTGCTGCAGCCCGGACACTCGGCGCGATGCCAAACTGCGATTGAACGAGTGGTGGAGCAATCTCAAGTATGGCCGCCAAGACCCTTCCGTTACATGTGCATTGATTTGCATGTGAATGTGCCGTTTTGGTGCACGGCACTCACCGTGGCCATATGCTACCCTAACCCTGAGCTGTGGGAGTATCTGGAGATGGTCAATGATTGAGGAGGAGGCCGAGGACGAAGTACCTACAAATGATTCACTAGAAGTTTAGAGATTTTGGAATTTCGAGCTACATACCTATTCATAGATCACGTACAATGGCAGGAAGGAGGTCTGTTAAGAGGGGTAGTAGAGAGAACGATTTGGGATACAAAAATTGGGCTACGGAGGTTGGGGCCAAAAGTCTTCATCCCACCCAAGCTCGGGCCAAGCCTCTCAACGTACGAGGAGCTGAAGGGCGCACATTTACACTGTATTTCATTAGGATTAGCGATTGCTCTCCATCTTCAGTGATTGGTATCGGAAATCAAGGACCTAGCCCAAGGACTTGTACACTATGCCTACAGTGGTTAGTCGCCAGTGACTGACATGGACTGTGCGAGCTTCACTGTATTTGCGTCTTGGCAGTCTTGGCTTTCTGGAGAGGATGAAGACTTTTGGCCCCAACCTCCGTACACTAACAGATGTCATGCCTTCACGAAGTACCGCAACTCAGACGGTACTGCGGGATTCTAATGGTCCCTAGCACCGACCCGACTATTGGGAGCCGAACAAGCTGCTCTCAATGCTTGAAGTCGAGAGCCCTTGAAGAAATGATGGCAATGCCATGGATGATATCAGTGTAGACAACTGCCAAGATCCTTATAGACCAAGACGAGCTGTGTTTGTATTTGACAACACACCGCCATGACCGACAAGTGATAGATAGAGACGACTTGCTCGTTCTGCCAGACATGTCTCGTAGATTGCCAAGCTGTCTTTAGCAGCTGGCTCACTGTTACAGGACCAACGCCGACTTTGCATTGTTAGCCTGAATCCGGATGAGGAGGCAGAACGCAACCTATCCGTAGAGGTTCTTGGCCAACCCAGGCTCGCCGCAGTTGCCGTACATATACCTACATATGCTTCCTTTATGAACCCCGCACCACCGCTCCCCTGACCTCGAGACGTCTCTTCACCTGGGTCAACAGCAGTGTATTGTACAACGGCAAGGGGAACGACCCCAAATAAACCCACAGTAGACAGCGATATATGGTGCCATCCAACATGCCGCAATATGACACAAAATGGTACGACAAAATGTCTGTCCCAAAACTGAGTCTAGCCTCAGAAGAAACCCCCTAAAAGATACCAACACTCCTGGTCGACATGTGCGGCTGCGCGAGCGTGCTCCGTCCTACTCCACACCAGCAGGTATTATCACCCTCCCGCTCGACCTGTAACGTGACATCGATTTTGTGCTCGAGCAGATAGTTGCGGACCCGGTCACGGACGTCCTCCATGTCTGCGCCCTTGGCGGCGACAACATGCATGACGCCCAAGAGCTTGTCTGCCGAAGAGACCGCGTTTCGATCGTCGACCCAAAACTTTGGCGCCGCGTACGAGACGACCCCTCGCAGGCCGGTTATCCCGGACAGCGTTTCCCGCAGGCTGTACTCTGTCTCTGGCGGGATGGTCAGCAGCAACCGCCGCGCCGACGACTTCACCAGCGGCAGGGCCGACAGCAAGATCAAGACAGCGATGAGGAATGACGCAAGCGGGTCCCATCCCGACCACTTCCAAAAGTGTGTCAACACCGTCGAGGCAATGACGGCTGCGCTCCCCAACGTGTCAGCCAGTACGTGCAGGTAAATGCCATGCATGTTTTCGTTGTCATGAGAATGCGAATGCCCGTGGGTATGGCTCGGCTTCTCGTCGTGGTGCTGATGACTGTGGGAGTGGCCGTGGTTGTGGGAATGCTTGTCCTCATAGGCATGCCCGTTGCAGCCATGGGAGTGGCCGTGGCTATGACCGTGGCCATGATGATGGTGGCCAAAGGCCATCATCCCAACCAAGTTCACCAAGAGCCCCAAGGTACTGATGACAAACAATTCCCCTAGCCGTTTCGTCTCCCTCCCCTCGATCATCCGCTCGCACGCCTCCGTCATGATTTCCACGCTGATCAAGATCAAGAACACCCCGTTACCGAAGCCGCTGAGCGTCTCGATCTTGCCGAAGCCATACGGGAACCTCTCGCTCGGAGGCCACTTGCTCGCGACAGCTGCGAATAGCCCAATTCCAAGAGCCACGCAGTCAAAGAACATATGTATGCTGTCACTGAGCAGACCAAGTGAGTCCGTCACATAGCCATAGAATGCTTGCACGGCCATAAATGCGAGATTCAGGCTGGAGGACTAGACATTAGCCATACGCTGCCACTTGCGGGGAGCAGAGTATGCGACAAACCTCATAAAGTAAAATATTCGACGAGAATCCTTGTCTGCGACCACAGCGTGGAGCACCGGCCATTTGGACGTGTATGGGAGGAGCAGGGCTGTGAACCTCGATCGCTCAGCTGAGTGGTCGTGGTGATGGTGTGAATGCGAGTGTGACCGGGACTTTGTAGGAACCGGCGCCTCGTACACACCAGCCGCATCAAAGCTGACAGCCGTGGGTGTTACCACAGTCTTCCCACCAGGGGTGGATTCAGTCCTCCAATGCGCCGAAGCAAGATTCAGGGGAATCGGGACGTTCGAGTCAGCTCGATGGGAGGAATGGTTGCCATTGTGCTGCTGGCTGGGTATTTGGTAGTGCATCCCGCTGGCCCTGGAGTCTTTGCGATTCCTAGTTGGGCTTAAGGAGCCCAGAGAAGACGTGTGGGAGTGCGAGTGGGAGTGGGAGCAGCTATGTTCGGATACGGGATGGTGATGCTGAGATATCGCAACAGCCGGCAACGCGTATGAGGAAGCCATTGTATCTGGGAGGAAGTGCGGTTCGACAACGGATCTTCAGCCGACTGATACGGTCCGAGGATCGAATCTCAACCTCAAAGTAGGCGCATCGACGCTCGTGGAGTAGTTGCCTGAGATAATTCGAGGAGGGTCGTTGACGGGCCTGAGACGGGTCGCGCTGGCGGTCAAGGCCCTGACTGTCGCCTGGCGATTTATTTTCTCGGGACGTTTCACTACATACCAACTACTTTGGTCAACTATGATACCATACTTCTTGGAGCATTGGGGGTCGATTGTTCTCTAGGCTGCGCTAGGGAAAGAGGGGAGATGGTTACCTAGGCAGTGGATAGGTAGGTAGCCACCGATAACAACCGACGCGCGGGGACACTGCGGGCAATCAATTGGACCTCACTGGTATCGAGGCAACGAGTCTCGAGGTTTGTTATTTCTGCAATATGCAGCGGCACAGCTGACGACCGTATCCCTTTGATAATTATTGGAGGCGTTTGGAGTATTCAAGTGGTTGCGCTGAGGAGGTAAAGAAAGCGTAAGTCAAGGTACAAAATGCGATCGGCCACAGTAGTTGACTTGATCGCTTCTCTGATCTCTCCATCTCCCAGGGCCCGGTCACCACCGTTGACCCGCAGGTTCCCATCCATGTCTGGCACCCCTGACCCGATTTCTGGCTTGGTGGGGTAGGCAGCGAGCAGGGGCAAGTCAGGGCACGATGATTGGCGGTCCAGCTTTTGATCTCCATGCAAACCCAATGTCATCATCTGCAGGGGGCCCGCAATCTCGTCTAGATAATCGGTGTTAATTTGGAGGCAATCACGGCCGTCATATTGCTAACAGCCTCAATCAACACCATCGCATGTTTGCCAACTACCTCTTCAAGGTTGCACAAGGCTGATGGTGTCGCTAGTGCATGCGATGCAAGGCTGAAAGGGCTCGTCAACGGCGAAACTTCCTCCATCTGGAAGCTGTGGTCGGATCATCCGCCAGTTGAAGAATTTGAATCCATCGAGTCGGAACCACACTACTCAGCAGCTCACTCGCCCAAACCACCCGAATGCCAGCTGTCCACTCCGGCCGCTTCCCAAACAGCCTCGCGGCATGTCCGTGAGCCAAGATGATTCTCTTTCTCATATATGCTCTACTCCTCTGTCTCTTCGGCCTGGTAGCGCTCGCTGCGTACGCCATTCTCGGTCTAACTGAGTATGATGGGCCGCCCGCAGGCTCGTCAGAGGGTCGTGTCTCCGTCCACGTCCTCGTCCTCGGTGACATCGGCCGCAGCCCGCGCATGACCTACCATGCCCTGAGCATAGCGAAGCATGGAGGCAGGGTGAACCTGATCGGATACCTTGGTACGCTGTGATACCGAACACAGGGCACTGCATGACCTTCACGACTATCTCTAACGACGAGCACAGAGAGTCCCCCTCATCCTGATGCGGTGAATAACCCAAACATTACAATCAATTCTCTACCTTCGCCTCCCTCCAAGCCCCAATCCATACCATTCATCCTGTTTGCCCCTTGGAAAGTCATCTACCAGATCTACCACCTCACCCACCTGCTCGCTCACCAGTTGCCGCCCGCCCAATGGATACTCGTCCAAAACCCCCCTTCCATCCCCACTCTCGCCGTCGCCGGCCTGATCTGCTACCTGCGCAAGAGCAAGCTCATAATCGACTGGCACAACTACGGCTGGAGCATCCTCGCCGGGACGCGCGGCGCCCAACACCCGCTCGTATCCCTCTCCAAACTCTACGAATGCTTCTTCGGCCGGCTAGGGTATCTGCACTTAACCGTGACGCACGCCATGGCGCGACAGCTGCGCCGCCCACCGTACTCGATCGCCCAGCCCATGATGGCCGTGCACGACCGGCCCGCGGCCATCTTCCAGCCGATCTGGTCGGCATCAGCCAGGGCAGAAGCCCTAGCGCGTGCGCTCCCTGACGAGGAGAAGGAACTCCTCCCTCGCCTGCTGGACGGCACCATGCGGCTGGTGGTAAGCAGCACCAGCTGGACGCCCGACGAGGACTTCTCGCTCCTGCTGGACGCGCTGGTGCGGTATGCTTCCACCACCACCACCACCGAGCCGGTGCCTCCAGTGCTGGCTGTCATCACGGGCAAGGGCCCTCAGAAGGACCTGTACCTTGACCGGATCGCCCAGCTCACCAAGGCGGGCCGCCTGCCCAATGTCAGGATAGTCACGGCTTTCTTGCCGCTTGCCGACTACGCGGGTCTGCTGGCCTGCGCAGACCTGGGCGTCTGTCTGCACATGAGCAGTTCTGGCGTGGACTTGCCCATGAAGGTGGTTGACATGTTTGGAGCGGGCCTGCCTGTTGTGGCGTATTCCGGTTATGAGAGCTTCGGGGAACTGGTGAGAGAAGGGGAGAATGGGCGAGGGTTTGAGACGGCCGAGGAGCTGGCGGAAATTTTAGCTCGTTTGTTAAGTGACGGGGGGCGGGCCGAGGTGGAGACCTTGCGAAGGGGAGCTACCAGGGAGGGAAGTCGCCGGTGGGATGAGGAGTGGGATTCTAAGGTGGGGATGGTCATGGGTTTGGTATCTTGAAAGCATGGTTGGTGTTAACGGCGCTGGCAATGATATTCTGCTATGTGTGGATGGATATGGTTATTTTTTCGGTGGTCTGTCCTTCGCTCGCAACCTTCCAAAAAGGCAACATATGTACTGTTGCTCGTGACATTGCAACGAGCCTGGAGGTCTCAGTGTCCCAATCACCCTAACGGCTTCATAGCCTGCTCTTAGCCCTTGGCCATCCTCTCTCAACGGGCAGCCCAGACAACATGGGCCCTAACATCCAATCTCAGTACCCATGATCTCCAACCTCGTTGAAACCATCCATTGTGCTTTCCCCTCTTCACTCCTCTCCTAGGCTCTCCCTGACGCATTTCCGACACCGCCTCCGAAAGTCCTTGCTCGTGCCCGCCCGCTCCTCGCGCAGCAGCCGCGCCGCCTCAACATTTGCAGGACTCTCATCGTTTGGATCTTCGAACAGGCTAATGACGCTCAAGAGGATTGTCTCGGGCGTCTGCACCGGACTCCAGCGTTCGCTGGCCGCCTCGTATCCGTACTTGTCCTCCTCTGGCGGGTGCAGAATACTGATGCAGAGCTCGCCGTTCGGGTAGATGTTTGGGTGGAAGGGTATCGGCTTCTGGAAGACAAGCTTGGGTGGCAAGAGCGGATACGTTGGGGGAAATGTGAGATGCGCACGGAAGTTGCCTCCTGTCAGAAGAAGTTGTAAGCGACTGTCGGGGCATGCTGATCAGCACTAAGCAGAGCGGATTTTACCTCCATAGTATTTGCAGTCGTCGCTTATCATCAGCATTACTTCCCACTCAAAGATGTTGTTGTCGTTGACAAGGCCGCACGAGATTCCTGGCAAGTCCTTGGCAGATTGCATCTGCTTCAACTGCCGCTTAAGCAAAGCAGCCGCCGCAGCCGAGCTTGTCGACGAGCTGGCCATGGCGAGTTATGACTTGCGAGTAATCGAAGCCAAATTCCCTTGTAATGCACGGGGTTCGGTTGCGCTCAGGTGATAGAGCCCGGAATCGAAGACGGTCACCGTTAAGGCCGAGAACTCGGTGTGCCAGTCGCAGAGGGGCAATCTAGAGTCTGCGGTGCGGCGTTGAATGTACAGTACTTCGTATTGTACAGTACTTATAGCCAAGGTCTCAAAGGATGTGTAATGCCAAGTGGTTGAAGTTTGAAAAGACCTTCGATTGAAGGAGTAGGGAAATCTTTGGTTTGAATGTGAGACCTTGCTTTTGTCCGGGTAAGACTCTGGTGATATGTCGACCAAGTTCAAAGCTGCCGGCGAAAGGCTGCGGGTGGTTGTGGCGGGGTTCTTTTGAGACAGTGCCGAGACCCCCGTCCCGTATCCGTATGGTGGGGCAAATTTCACTTTGCCTGCCGGGACATCTCCGGCAACCTGCTTTACGCGCAAAGCTGAGGCGTCGTGTCCGAGATATTCCTCATTACCGTAACAGTGTGGTATTCCCACAGCAGACACTCTCTCCGCTCATCAGCCCCAAACCGATTCTTTGCTTTGTCCGGACACTTAGACTTTCTGAGCTTTGCTCGAGCTTTGGAATCTCCTTGTCACGCGACAGGGGTGGCGGTCAGTTACCGTCGGCTTTTCCCGCCCTGGCGAGCACACCGCAATCCATCCAACCCAGTGTTTCTTAACCATAGAACAGGGGACTCCTGATAGCCCTCCCCACGACAGCCAGGAAGCGCCTTCAAACACTTTGTCGAAATGTCTAACAAAGGCTCCGCATATGGCCAGGCGGCCGGCGACACCGACTTCAGGAAAAAGTACGACCTGGACGAATATGCGGCCAAAGCCAAAGAGCGCGAAGCTGCCGAAAAGGAGGAGCGCAAGGCGCGATGGGAGGCCAAAATGGCGGGCAAGAAGTACTACAAGCCCATGACCGGAGCCGAGACGCTCACGACGGCCCGCAACGCGACTCAAGACTTCAGTAAGCTCGTCGGGACGTCCACACTCGTGCCTGCGGGCGCGGGCGTGGGAAAGCGCGGGCGCGGCGCCGGTTTCTACTGCGAAGCTTGCGACCTGACATTCAAGGACAACCTTCAATGGGTGGAGCACATCAATAGCATGCAGCATCAGACCAACATAGGGGCAACGGGCGAGGTGCGCAAGGCCACGGCGGAGGAGGTTCATGCCCGCATCGAAGCCCTATGGCAGCGGGAGCAGGAACGCAAGAAGGAGCAGATCATCTCGCTGCAACAGAGATTAGAAGTGCGCAAGGAGGAGGAAGAGAAGGAGAGGGAAGAGAAGCGCCGGAAACGCCGAGAAGCCGAGGAACGGAAGAGATTGGAAAAGGAGGCGGCTGCCAAGGTCAAAACGGAATACGGCGAAGATGTCCGGATCGAAGGCGAGCACGACGAAGACGACATGATGGCTGCCATGGGATTCACCGGCTTTGGCAGCACAGCTAAGAAATGAATCATTACCTAGTCCATGCTGTCCGTTGTTTAAGCTTCACTCTGAACGTGGGACTAAAGTGATGGAGGATTGGAGGGACCGGGAAATGGAAGCATGGAATGGTCGGCATTGCGTCCGATCACTGCAACTGCCCCGCGCTCTAGGGCGGGACTCGCCGAAAATTTTTGGAGGGGTAGCTCTGGCGGGGATCTCGATAGCGAAGACCTAAGATCAACCCATCGCTCATCCTCACCCAGGTATCGCCTTATCTTCGACAATCACAAAACTCAACGTAAGTTTAATTGATCTTGACCGAGTAATTGTGAAAGACAGCAACTAAACCTTCAGGTAGCCATCGCCCTCAGCAAGATGCTGTACCTAGTCGGTCTCGGCCTCTCCGATGAGACGGACATTACCGTCAAAGGCCTCGAGGTTGTCAAGAAAGCATCTCGGGTCTACCTCGAGGCTTACACCAGCATCCTTCTCGTGGACCAGTCCGTTCTTGTGCGTCGCCTTTGTGATCTCCATCAGCATCCTGGGCTAACGCTAATGCACAGTAGGAGGCGTATTATGGCCGGTCCATAATGGTTGCTGATCGCGAGATGGTCGAGTCAAACAGCGACGAGATTCTGCGCGACGCCGCTAATGTTGATGTGGCCTTTCTCGTCGTTGGCGACCCCTTTGGCGCGACGACGCATACTGACCTGGTCCTGAGAGCGCGCGAGCTCGGCATCCCTACGCGTACCATCCCGAACGCATCAATCATGTCGGCCATCGGCGCAACGGGCCTGCAACTGTACAACTTCGGCCAGACGGTCAGCATGGTATTCTTCCTCGAGGGCTGGAAGCCCGCCAGTTTCTACGATCGGATCAAGGAGAACAGGGACATTGGCCTGCACACCCTCATCCTCTTGGATATTAAGGTCAAGGAACAGAGCCTGGATAACATGGCAAGGGGGAGGAAGATCTACGAGCCGCCGCGGTATATGACGGTCGGCACCTGTGCCCGGCAGATGCTCGAGATCGAGGAGGAGAAAGGCCAGGGGGTCTATGGGCCGGACAGCCTGGCAGTCGGAGCTGCCCGTGTCGGCGGCAAGACTGAGAAGTTCGTCGCCGGCACACTGAAGGAGCTCTGCGAGGCAGACGACTTGCTCGGACCCCCGCTGCACAGCATGGTGCTCCTAGGAAGGAGGACCCACGAGCTCGAGCACGAATATGTCCGCGAATTTGCCGTGAATAAGGAAACCTGGGATAAAATATGGCAAGCTGAGTATCAACAAAAATAATGAGATAGAGAACTATCTGGCCAATATGATTGGCAGACTACTTGACTCGCATTCACCTCGACAACAACATGACTAAAAAGCACAAAATGATTCGCCCAGTTCTCCGTTGACCATCTGGTACATGATTTTCAAGCCCTAACGACGAAACACCAAACAGGCCTCCTAATGGGACGCCCTCCACTCCTTCACCTCCGCCTCGCCGATTTCGCGCAGTTTGTTCACCGCAGCCGGCTTCCCAGTCACAGCACCCTGTGCGATCTCTGCCATTCTCCCAATGATATTCTTGGAGGAAATGGAGTAATGGGCCGTGGTCATCTTGACGCGGATGATACCTATGCGCGGGTCGTTCTCTGATCCGTCATGGGTCCCATCTCCCAAATCGCCCAGCCAGGCCTTCAGATGGGGGCTGTAGTGCTGCTTGACGAGGGACCTGTCCGTGACGACGTTGGCTACACCACTGACGGAGGCCCACTCGCCCGAGTTGTTGAGGAAGCCAATGTTGATGTGTGAATCACTGGCAAGGTCCTCTGCTTTGCCGGATTCGGCGTTGGTATAGAAGAGAAGGTCGATACCGCCCGTTTCCTAATCAACGTTAGAATTTGATGCTGTGCCGAGGGCGGATATACCGGATCATGACGCTTACCTGGGCTGCGAGAGCCATGCATCTGGACACCAGATTTCCAGACGCGGCATCACGAGTCGTCATCATTGCGAACTTGCAGTTCGTCATGAAGGTACTGAGGTCGCGGATCTTCTGCTCTAAGGACACCCCGGTGTCAACGTTGGCATCTTTGTACGGGTCGGTGTGTTTGCCCTCGGTAGGATTCGACTGATGAGCCATGTTGATAGTCTTGCTGCTTTCTGCTTCTGCCTGTGAAGTGCTTGATGTTTTCGATTGCTTCGGTGCCAACAGACGAATCTCCTTTTAGGACGGTGAACGCGCGGAGGAAAGGGGCCACGGCGTATATACTTCCAGCTTACGCAGCGGCGGGTGGTGCTCAGACCATGATGTAAGGCCCCTCGCCCACATGGTATCTGACTGTAGCTGCTCGTCATAGAGTTCCCGTGGTGGATCGGATAGCATGGTCGAAAACAGCTAAAGGGGCTCAAGAGGGGGTAGCTTAACGGGCCTCGCAATCACTGACGTCAGGATCAGGGAGGGGCAGCGGCCCGTTTCGTGGCGATCCAAGAAATTCCCGATTGGGAAGCACCTCATTCCACAAGGCCTCGCTTCCAAAGTGTGGATTGGATTAGGCCTTTGGCGAGAGGGACCAGTACGTTGAGAAGCTCGTTTTGACGATCAAGGGGATTCTGGCACACTGGAATCACTGGTCAGGGGTCTCTGGCGGAGCCGTGCTTAGTTGTTACTGTATGTACAGTACCCCGGTTCACATGCCCGCGCCAAGTCCCTAGGAACAGTGGGAAGCCCTGGGCCATTTCGACCTGTACATCTACGAAGTCTCTGTGGGACGTCACAAGGTTGCGATAGGGATATTGAACGAAACACGGCGGATTCCGTTGGCCGTTCAAAGTACGCTAGTTACACAAGGGAGGTCTAGGGCAGTAAGTTCACTATCTTGGGGTTAGGGTTGCTTATATGTAGACAACTTAGAAATGCTCCTACTGAATCGGGCATATGCCTGGACTCATTCAATTGCGGGCTGCAGTATGGGAAGCTGCTACGCTGCGCCGCTGCGGTAGGTGATGAGGCCCAGGCAGTTGCGGGGCTTCACCCACTCAGTACCTACCGCCCGTACTTACCCAGTCGCATTCACATTTTGAGAAAGCGTCCATGAAACAACACCTGTCACCTTCATCCATCCATCAATTCGTCGTCACATATCGACCCGGGCAGCTCCAGATTCACACTGGCATGATCAGCAGTTGGCCAGGCTGTTTGACTTCTCCGGCTTTGTCAAGTCTGAGTGTTTGTCCCGTCTAGACTCTAGACGCTCACTTGCAATCGCGTGTTTGCCCTTTCGGCTCCGCCTCCGAGACATCAGATCGCATCCGGAATTACCACGCCACTTCAGAGTCGATTCTCTATTGAGACAGTTATCTGGATCCTTGAGTTTCGTGATCGCAGCAGTTGAAGACACCAATGTTATTCCTGTCAGAATAAAAGCCCGTCATTTTTCCGGTTCTCCGCTCTGATCGCGCAATCTCTGGTGGGACCTCTATCGACACATCACAAACCACCCTCTTCCAGCTGCAGCCAGGACCGTGAAGGCTTTTCTATTTCAGCGCGTTTGATTTTGTCATACCAACCGAGAATCCAGTTGTACTACAACTCATCACTCGAAGGACTGTAGATTGGTGTGTCTCCAATCCAACATCGTGCAGAGATTCGCACATATCATCGGACGAGCCCGACACGCTGCCGCCGTTGGGCGGTTTCTCCTTGTATTCACCAGATCCCAGACAAATCACGAGAGATGGACTGGGACGCAGACGATGTGAGCATATTGGCAATTAAGGTTTTGCGCGCCATGCTAATCATCATGTAGGCCCTGCTCCCGTTTGAGCACCGCGACCAGGAAGAACAGGCAGAGGCCTGGTACAATCACCCTGTCCGGGTTCAGAATCGCCAACTTGTCCAGGAAAACCTGCGCCTGAAGAGGCTTCTGCGTGAAAACGGCATTTCTTGGGATCCCTTGTTGACTCTGGATACCAGCGACCCAAGTCGCAGCCGGGGTACTTGGTCTTCGCGCAAGAGGATCCGGACTCGCTCATCGAAAGGCGCGACGACATTGACGCCGGAGGATTGTCGGTTGCCTACACTGCCTGTGGAGATTCAGCTTTACATCCTCGAGTATGCCATGACCAGCAAGTACCCCATAATCGATCCTCTCTGCAAGTTGAGCAAGGACAACATCACAGCTGCCGAGAAGGGCCGCGGCAACCAAATTGCCATTGGCTTTCTCGCTACCTGCAAAACCTATTTGATCGAAGGCAGGAACTTCTTGTGGAGAAACAACAAGTTCGTCTTCACCAGCCCAAATGCGCTGAGGAATTTTGCCGAGCTCGGGTACCAGTACCGCAAGAGCATCACACATATCACTCTCCGCATAATCGCTCGTTACTATGACGACGAGGATCGGCCGCATCTCGCTCCGTACCCCTCTCTCGAATATGCGCACGACAAGACTATCAATCTCAAAGTGATCCCTCGTGTCAAGGAACAGAACCTCTCGCGCAAGGGGTTCAAGAGCTACTCTTGGAACCAGGTGGTGGATTTCATCGAAGTTCTGCGGCCACCCTTTGACCCCAACCATCCCAAAGGGCTACCACGACCTCGTCTGTTGCCCAGCCTCGAGATTCTTAGGATAGACTTGGTCAATTTCCCCGAAAATTATCTGACCCCTCCAACGGGCTCCGCAATCCACAATGTGGCTTCTCACGACCTCGGCTGTACCATTAATGAACTTCAAATCACGGGCGTCCCGGACTGTGCCTGGGGGAATGAAGTGGCTGCCCAACTGTCAAGAATGGTCAAGGATGAGGGGCTGGTTCTTAGGGGCGATTCGGCTTTTGTTTTCTCTGGTAACAGACTGCGATCCATGTCGGACCGCTCCAGGTGGGGTCCATGTTGGTACCCTAAGGTGGTACGGGCGTGGAAGGCTCTTGCCGAGGAGTACGCGCGCACCAAGACAACAACATCGCCGACGCCGCACCCCCCGCGCGGCCATCGCCACGATCACGCCGATCCTTACACGATGCCGCCGGCCCCCAAGGAAGAGGGGCACCCAGAATCCCTGTGGAAGGAACGCCGGACCATCTTCAAGCGCGTTCCCATCATGCAGGACGGTGATGAGCGTGTCTGGATGGAGTTTGATCGGCTAAGCGGGCTGCCCATTGATAATGACGAGTACGACCCGGACGAAGACGAATATGACGTGGAGGATCTCATCTGTCTCCATTGTGGTGTTATGCACTCCCCTTTTGGCGATGATTGATGATGTCTCGGTTAGCAGACTAAGATCTGCAGTGTTTTGCCCGTGTTACTGTTTGCTCGCTCTTGCTGCATGGATTCACTGTCACAGTACGTTGTGCTCTCTGACTGATGGCCCCGCAGAATTTAGATAATGTTTCTCGCATGGACAGGCGTAATGGAAGGAAGGCGGGGGAAAAGCATCGAGAGTTGTGTCGGATTTGGGATCCTCCAACATCTGCTTGATACCCCTAGACTGCATTTTTGTTGTAATGATGATTATGGCTTCGCTTATGACTGGGTTGTTTTCAAATGTGTTAGGTAGCAAATCGATAACATCTGTCTTATAGCCAGTCCACCAAATAGAACAGATGCGGGAAGAGACCCTCGAGGCGGGCAACCAGTGCCATGCCCTCTAATGGGCATGTTCGAAAGGAGGTTGCGGGATACAGAAACGTCTCGTTGCCCACGAGGCCGTCTTGCTCGTGGATACCCTGATGACCGCCTTTACCATCCCTGTTTACCTCTCAACCGTCCAAAGTCGCCCTTGTACTTCCATTCACCCATCCTTCGCCCAAGCCTGTACGTTTCATCAAAGCCTTCGTACTTCCCCAAGCTAGGCGGCAGGTCCTGAATCCTCGTACCCCACAGGCTTTCGTTCCTGCCCAAGGTCAGGACCAGCTCCTTCCCCTCGGTAAAGAAACTGTGGTCGATCCAGCTCCTGGTATACGGCTGCCCATCGAGAGTGGCGCTCTGGATGTAGATCGCGGCGTAACCGGGGTCAAAGTTGACGTTGCGGATGCGCGCCGTCTTGCCCGTCAGCGGATGCGTGATGTTGACGCTCTCGAAGAAGGGCGGCGTGATCAGGTACACGTCCTGGCCCGGGTTCGGGAACAAGCCCATCATGGAGAAGGCCACGAACGAGCCCATGGCCCCGCTATCGTCGTTGCCGGGGAGCCCGTCAGGCCGCGGTTGGAACGAGGATGGGATGTATGAGTGCGCACGTAGGGCGGAGAGGGCCGGTCGCCCCGCGTAGTGGTACTGGAAGACGGTCAGGAAGGACGGCTCGTTGCCGATGTAGGTTATCCGGCTGTCGTGCAGGTAGTCCAAGCGCCGGGTGAAGTTGGCTGGGCCGCCTAGGAGGTGGAGAAGGGTTGCTTGGTCATGCGGGACGAAACTGGGATTTGTGTTAGTCGGGTGCGGAAGGCCAGGGAGATGGAGAGTGAAGAAATGGGGCACAAACAAGTTATATTCCCAGATGCTGCTCTCGAATGTTTCTCGGCCGGTGTTTTGGAGGGAACAAACGCTAAAGGAGTCCAGGTTACTGCAGTTTAAGGGGTTTTGAAAGCCCCAAGTCTTGTTTAAATAACGAGGCTGGAAGAAGCCGACAAAGCCAGTGTCAGTGCCGTTCCACCAGACCGAAGGTTGGTCAGCCCTAAAGAGATTCTGCCAGTTTCCGCTGGACTCGAGATATTTCTCCTTGTCGCCGGACTTTCCCATGCCATTGGCTATCTGAGCGATACAGAAGTCGTTGTAGGCGTATTCGAGGGTCCGAGAGATGGACCTGGTCATGGTCCCGAAGCCTTTGTAGTCGAAATCTTGGACAGGGATATATCCTAGGGATTTCCAGCTGTCGAGGCCTCCGCGTCCTTCGCAGCACCAGTCGTAAGGTTCGACCTCGGCATCTTTCACCACGGCAGCGTAACCGTCATCCCACTAGCAAACATCTCAGCATTTCTTCTCTCAACAAAAGAAGGCACGCCTCATCTTACGTCGATGCCCCCTTCTAAACCCTTAACATAGGCATCCGCCAGCACGACATCGGCGTTGGATCCACCCTGAGAACGGCATTAGTGGCGGAAGATGGCATTTTATCACTGGATACTGCACCTGTGTGTACCCTTTGTTTAGACTCATCCGGCAGTCCGGGAGCCATCCTACATGCCGATAGGTGTCAATGAGGGAGCGAATCATCTGTGTCACTGCGGTGGGATCCGTTATTGTCAGGAGTGGGATCTGCGATCGGAACTGGTCCCAGATGCTGTGATGCGTTAGCTCAGACCCCCATACCAGTGTTTGCTGCGGGATGTTCTACCAGTAAAAGGAGTCGAAATACGGCTCGTTGCTGGACCAGAGGGGGTTCTCCCCTGTGTAATTCTGCGGGTTGATCATGGTCCGGTATATGCCACTGTAGAAATTTGTCAACAGTGAGCTGTTGACCCCATTTGTCGACACCCTGATGGGCTTCATCTTCTCCCGCCAAGCATCCGTAGCAGCATCAGAAACGGCCTCGAAGTCGAAGTCGGAAATTTCCTTTTCCGCATGTTCACAGGCTCGAGCAGCGCTGATGAAGCTTGTAGCTGTACGGACCAGGATTGGTTCGGCCCCAGAGGTGAATCTTACAAAGGCCCCTCCCGGCAACGGATAACCGTTGATAGACCGGGAGATGGTCAGGTCTTTGACCTCGGCACTGGCTCGGCTGTCTACATATATCCCGGCCTCAAGAATGTCTGCGCCCTTGAAATCGGTGCAGAAATATAGAACGAAGTTTCCGGTGCCAAAGCTCGGCAGAAAGCGGGCACTCCCAGTGATGCGTCCCGATTCTGGGTCGACAGATACTGTGGCATTATCCTGCCGTGAGTTGGCCAGATCAGTGAGATCCTGGATAACCACAGGCTGAGCCGCACTGCCGTCGGACTGGACGGTTGAAAAGGTGAACCGAAACAGGGAGACGTGGTGGGTGGTAGTCATCTCAGCGCGGATGCCGCTGTCCAATGTAATGCCAAAAGTGCCGGGCTTTGCGGACACAGTGCTGTTCTTGAAGGACCCAAACGCTGCGCGAGTCCTCTTGGGAAAGTCACAGCGGTTGATGTCGCCATCCGGGCAATGGGTATATGGGAACAGGGCAAAGTTCCCCAAGCTTGGGCTGCCCCCCGTACCGCTATCGTGCATCAGGCTGAAGCCAGTCACTCTCGAGCCGTCCATGGTGAAGCCGCCCTGGTTGCTGCCGCTATCCGTGTCGGCAACTGCCTTTGCCATGCCATACGGCAGCGAGGCACCGGCGAACACATTGCCCCCATTGCTGGCCCCGATCAGCGGGTCGACGTAGGCAAGAGGATCGAATCCATCCTGAGCCTGGACGCTGCTTGTCAGGATTAACCCACAGAAGCCAAGAAGCAGCAGAGTCATGTTCAATATGCCGGAGATCTGGAAGTGTAGAGAATAATAAGGAGCTCTGCCATGACAGGAGAAGGCAACACGTTAAATATCTGCATGTGTCTGCGGGCGGGGAGGAGAACACCTGTTGAGTGTCGACTGCTATCCTCCGTGGCCCTCAAACACCTGCCAAATCGAGCAGCAATCGTGCGCCATTCTTGATTGTCGTTCCCAAACTTCCCGTTCCTTTCCATCCAACCTCGTCCAGGGGGTGTAAATGTAGTTTGAGTGTCATAGAGAATGCTTCGGCATCGCAGTGCAGGAGGACCTGCAGTTTTTGGACGGCAGGTGCATCGTACATCTTGATCTGAGTTGCACGCGTTGCATACATATGTCGTGTAGCGTGGCTATCACAATCTGGAGGATTGTGTTGAGCAACGATTATTGGATCAATATCGTCGATGCTGCGTTTGCATCGGCTTCAAACGTTCCTTGAATGCCAGGGCAGCGCCCGGGCGTTTAGTGGCTGGCAGGGTTACAGTCCCGACCCCACATCTCCAATTTATGGCGGCCTCAGGCGACACAAGCCACTGAAGCTAGGGTCTCCACTCTCCACTCCCGCTAACGTCAGGTAACTTTATCCAGGCGCAGGCGAGGGGCCGCTCTCCATCTTGAACCACCCACCTTTGAAATGGAGAGGGGTTCTTCGAAGTGCTCCGGCTCGAGTCCGGGCAGTTTCCAGTGGAGTTTCACTAATCGATGGACTTCGCAACGGCTCGAGGGCGACACTGATCGATACCTTAATCATTCTTCCCAGAAACGAGCAGGACTCACATGCAGCAATTGATGTTCTCTCCCTGCAGCAAACCCATCCGTCTTGCCCATGCCTTCCACGGTGGTTGCCGGGAAGTGATGGGCCTCGGACGCCGCACAGCATCTATATTAATGGGCTCTGAATTGATCGTCAAGGATGCGTACATACATGCATGTTTGAGGTCTTAGCTGATGTCTCTTGCTGCCAGCAACCAGCCATCACCCATACTTTCGGAGGGATGCTCTTGGGTTGCGGAACTCCGCAGAACCTGATCTTGTCTGCAAAAGCCCGTCATGAGATTGTGTGGACCCAACTCTACCCATCGGTATACCCTATAGCAGCAGACGCAAACGATACCCATGATCAACGTCTGCTCAGTGCACTTCGAGTTCTCGCCCGTTCCCATCCATCTCCACAGCTCCCGCATTTCACTGTTATCCCGCTGCGCTCTTGTCCCACGGATCGTTGCAAGCCCCTTTCCTTCCGCGATCTCCGGGTCAACGATGCCACCAACCACCTCATCTGGTTGGTCACGTCAGAATGACTACTCTTAGCCAAGTTCCCAGCTATACCACGAGCACCCAGGCACTAGCATCAGTGTCATTCCCGACTTGCAAGTCCCAGCAAGTCCTCGTTTGCAAGGGGATGTGGCAATGAGCCAATGATTTGGGTCGTCGTCCTATGTCTGAAAACCCGCTTCCGCACGTCACATCACCATGGTGGCCAAACGGTGTCAGAGTGGAGCACGGCTTCTTCCTACGGACATGGACACCGTCGAGACTCTCACCAGGTCCTGGCTTGTTCCTTAGCTGGGCCTCGACCGAGTCATTGTGTCTGCCCACTCCGGTTGGACTTGAGTACCGCATCATGGTCAAGAGTATCAAGCAGTTAATTAATAATCACCTCGAATCAGTGTTGGGCCTTTTATGCACTCCTTGCTATATCCCCTCCCTAGTTGTGAGTTATCAACAGCAGCCATGGTTCTCTTCGTTGGCGTTACTTGTTCACCGGATACCCTATTATTGCCTGCACAGACTAGAATTCTTCTATACGCATGATGATTTCGGCGAGAACGGATAGAGCTAGCTCTCCAAACGCCGGCTCAGCCAGCAACCGACATGGCGATACCGAGCCTAAACAACAAGGCTCACAAGGCACCTCACAAGGTAGCTCACAAGGCAGTAGCTCGAACAGGCCTATCCTGTCGCCGCCTCCGGTTCCAAGGACCCCGAGAATTCGGCCCAATAATATGAGGATGAGACTGCGAAGCGATTCAGGCATGTCATTGCACACGAATCAAGCTGCCTTTCATCAGTATACCGACTACAACCCAGATGGAACGGCGGCGCGTCGTCCCTATCGCAGAAGAGGCTCAAGCTTTGACGGCAACACCAGTCTGAACACTCTCACTGCAGGCCCTCAAACCAGTACAGAGCTCACAGACCCCATCTCACTCGGCGGTTCGCTGCCAGACTTCTTTGCCCCTACCGTGATAAGATTGGTGTTTTCCAACCCACCAATCGCCAAGAAGTTTCGCACCTTTGCCAAACGCAAACATGAAGATGCAGGCTTCAGGTTCCTGCTCAAGGTATGCATTCTGTTTCACCCCCTTTTCCGCCTTTGCCTCTCTAAATTCTGCTCTCTCTGACACGTCCGCAGGTGGATGAGTATTCCCGTGCCCTCGGGGACATGACCTCTTTGATGAGCCACATATGGACAAATTTCACGAGCCCGACGGCAAAGTCGCCACTAGAACTTGATCCAGAGCTGTTACAGATGCTCAGGGTAAGCATGAAGGACTGCGCAAGATCGTCGTTACCCCCCTTGGAACAGCTGTATCATGAGGCGAAACTCGCCGTCGAAGAGCAACTTGCGACGAAGCTTTACCCGGAGTTTGTCAAGTACCAGCTTTCTCGGTGTATGAGAGATGCTCTCGCGGCGAGTCTCTCTCCTACAGGCGATCCTCAATTTCCATATCCAGGCCTAGGAAGCGCCTTCTGCATCACCGATCTGCTGCAGCCCAACAATCCCATCGTCTATGTATCTGATGGACTGCTTGCCACAACTGGATTCGGCCGACAGGAAGTTTTGAACAAGAACGGCAGGTTATTTCAAGGCGCTGCCACTTCTAGGGGAGCTATACGCCGGCTCAGCGAAGCCGTGTCCGAAAGACGGGAAGCCAGCGAGCTCATTGCCAACCACAAGGCTGACGGGACTCCGTGGTGGAATCTTTTGCTTATCTGTCCGCTGCCGGAGAACGAAAGGGTGCGTTACTTTTTTGGCGCCCAGGTCAATGTGTCAGGCGGCATGGGGCTGGGCTACAGGGAGATATTACGTGTCTTAGATTATCATTCACCGGCAGAAGACCCCACCGTGACGGGCCAGGCTGGACATTCTCGAGACACGATGTTGCCGAGGGCTCTCACAAATCACCAACCGTCGGAGCGAGGGTCCATCTCCTCCGGACGAACATCCCGTCGACATCGCCTCTTCCGATATTTCACCCGGAAATCCGCCGATTCCACGGCGACATCAGAGCCGTCCTCACGCCCCACAACAGCATCAAACCCAGCTTTCGACGATACAGCATCATCATCCTCGCTATCACGGCCAGTATCTCCAACTAGCAGCTCCCCTCCCCTATCCCCGCGGGACACCGGTGCAGCAGATGACCCCATCACTACCCCGTACACTCACTTCATAGTGCTCCGTTGTGCCACCAATTCCAATCAACGCCTCAAACTACTAGTTTTATTCTGTTCCTCCGCGGCCCAGTCACTACTTCTCAACACCTACCAGAGAACCGGCGACGTCGATGTCACCAACCGCGACATTTTCTCGGTTCTCCACAGCGCTGCTTCACTCAAGACGAGGGTGCTTGACAAGATTGCCGCCGGCGAGCAGGTATCCGCCGAGTTGGCTGTGACAACACAAAAAACCGGCCCCTCCCAAGATAACCAGCAGCAGCAGCAGCAGGAGCAACGACAGCCGGTGACGACTACAACGATGACAACCACGATAAACAAGAAGCCGAGCGCAACAAGCAGGCCGCAGTTAAGACGAACTAGGACGGCTACCGGCTTGTTTGGGACGGCAAGGTCGAGGGCCGGGTCGCCGTCGCCGATGCCAACGCCTCTGCCTCCGCCCCAAGGGAATGTAGGTGGTGAGGCCGCCACCGTTCCAAGGCGCAGTGAGGCGTGGGATAGGGGGGCGGAAAGGATGGGGCGTGTCTGGGACGGTAGGGGTAGAGGGAGAGGGGAGACTACCGGTGCGGCTGCGGGAACCACAGGCCCGGATGCAGGCGCGGGCAGGATGGTTAGTCACTGGGTGCCGCTGAAGGATGGGGAGGGGAGGGTGGGGATGGTGGTTCTTGTTTTGGTGCCCCCTAAACTCCCGGGATAGGGAGAGCTGTATTCGTAAAGGCTGAGAGGATGTGTTGTTTGCTTGATGATATCATTGGCTTGACGGTGATCATGAGGCGGCTTCTCTCAAGTGTCACGTAAGGCTGATGGGTGATGACGGGATGGCGTTACGATGGTATGAGATTGACGACTAGTACTAGCACTAAAGAGAGACTCCTCTAGTCGGTGAAAGTGTTTTGGGGAATATGTTTGCCGTTCACTTTCGATGAGGCTCGCTGTCATCAGGCTGGATCGCTTCGTGGGAGCGGATATGGAGCGGGAGTGGCCATGGATCTTGTCGATCAGTGGACTTCGCTGATCAGGGGTCTCGAGTGCAATCCCCAGGTAATCGCGATGGTGCGCTTCCTGCTCAGGCACACGAAACAAGACCATGAGTATTATGTTTGGGTGATTATCCCATCACCTCCTCAATGTCATGATGTGGGATCGAATATGAAACTCTATATACTACTTCTTTACACATGGGGTGATTATCCTACTCTATGATGGTATAACGGTTACAAGTCATTTGGGACATGCAGATGGTGTCTCCCCTCTGCGTTACATTGCCTTACTCAGGAAGGACCGACCTGCAAGGCACCAGGCATCCGGTACCGAGCCGGCTGCTGTGCCACGCGAGTTTATTTGGGCGGCCAAGCAGTGCCATCAAAACTCCCTCGTCTCGCCAATCGCACAAACATCAAAAACTCCCGTCTCGGGTAACCCGCTCCTCTTCAAAGCATCTTTCAGCAACCTGGGCGGCTCCTCGACCTCTTCGTTGGTCAGCACCCACGCGCCCCAATGGATGCCCATGGCCCGCTTGCAGCGCGTGTCCTTGAAGATCTCGACGGCGTCGTACGGATTGGCGTGCATCCAGCTGAACAGGAAGCGCGGGCTGTAGGCCCCGATCGGGATCAGTCCCAGATCAAACGGCCCGCGCAGCTCGCCAATCTGCTTGAACTGCGGACACCGGGGTAGCGAGTCGTACTCGGGCCCGTAGTCGTCGATGTGCACCGGAAGTTTGGGGACCCTGCGGTACCCCGTGTCGCCGCCGAACCAGACCGACTTGCCGCCCGACGAGATCGCGAAGGATGCCCACAACGTCTGGTCCTTGTCACTCGCGCTGCGCGCCGACGAATGCTGGGATGGCAGGCAGGTGATGCGCGCCGAGATGGTTTCGGGGGCCTGATCATTCCCCGTTTTGGCCTCTACCTTCCTTCTCAAAACCAGTTCCGAGTCTTGCCACCAGTCCATCTCAGTCACCTTGGTGGTACCGCAGTTATCCCGGAACCACTTCTCCAGCCCCAGCCCGACGAAGAACTGAGCCTCGGGATTCCGCGCCGCGAGCTCCCGGACGCTGGTGAGCGACAGGTGGTCGTAGTGCGAGTGCGAGATGACCACAGCGTCCACGGGCGGGAGCTCAGACAGCGCGCAGGCCGGTGGCGTGTGCCGCTTCGGGCCGAACCACTGCACGGGCGCGCAGCGGCCCTCGAACACGGGGTCGAACAGCACGCGCAGCCCGCTGGGGAACTCGACCAAATAGCAGGCGTGTCCCAGCCAAGTGGCGCGCAACGCCGTTGAGCCCGTCCGGCTCGCCAGGAACTCGGGCTTGACGGCGGGGATCTTGACGTTGGACAGATCTGGAGCCGGTGCGCTGCCGGTCAATCGCCCCCTTATTGGTGGATTATGGCCGTCAGCAGAGGCTCGAGTTTTCTACAGGTATGTGTGCGTGCTACTCACAATATCATGGTGCTAGTGATTTCCCATGCCGAAGGCGGTTCCCCTGCGGACGGGTATGGATTCTTGAACCTGATGGTCTTTCCGTCGCTGCGCTTTACATGGTGGGTAGCCTGACGGGCCTCATCAGGGGCATCGGCGGCAGCGACCGGATTGGAGACGGCGCTCGAGTATGACACCATTGAGGCGACAGCGACAGCGCTTGAAAAGGGGGCAATGGAAGCTCGGAGAGCGTTCCCACTGGACGACGGAGGGCGAAAGTTGAGGATGCGGCCGAGTCTCGTGCCGAGCTGCGCCATTTGATGAAGCGACAAGGGAGACGGGACAGACAGGATACTCGACTGGACCCGGACAAAGTTCACGACGCCCCCTTATATTCGGCTTGCGCATCGGACTCGGTAGAACAGAAGACGGCGACGGGCGCCTCTAAAGCTAGGCTCTTGCCTCGTACGTAGCGAGCTCAATTCTCGGCGACGGCCTCGCCGGGCCCTGGTCTTTCCGTTAACTCCGGCCGCTAACTCTCAAGGACTTAAGCCACTTTACTTTGTAGTACTCCGTACACATAGTTAACTACTAGACAGGAAGCATGTTCAGTAGCAGTGATTATAAGCCCTTCAGTTACGTTAAAGGGAATGAATCCAGTGTAAATCAGGCCAAGTACACCTCTTTAACGCCGCCTGGTGGTACGGAGCAAAACCATCGTCAAATTCGTCATTGACTGGCTCAGGGGATTTTGGATGCTCGGCCCCCTGGCCTGTGCACGACCTGCTGCTGCGCTTACGTAAGAGAGCTGGATTATCCGTTATCGTTGCGCTGAGATGCTGAGGAATGTGGTCAATAATCGAAGCAAATAAAGTCAAACGGCCTCTCTATACTTGCTCTTGTGCTTTTCTGGCTAATCAACCGGTCCCCAAAGACTCGGGAAGTTTTGCTGTCGTCTTTTCCTCTTGACTGTGATACAGTAAGACCCTGACGGAACATGCCGCGTCATTTTATCAAAACTGGCAAAACCCTGCTGCCAGTGATGGAAGATCACTTACAATTTGATTCCAGCACTCTTGTAACCACCGCTGACTGACTACGCACATACATACAGCGATATATTCCAGGTCTCGTAACAAAGCATCCCTCCGTATGTATGTACAGTACAATACGGGCCATAAGCAGAGTAACCCGGGCTTTTCAAGGCGAGAGTGGAAAGGGTTTGAAGCCAGCATCTTATGCAACTCATACGAGATACCCATACCCGGGTTAAGGGATACCCGAGCTCGTCCTTCTGCTGAAGGGTCGACAATCACAGCTGAACGGTGGGCCCAGAATATGTGGGGAGAGCCCGGGCCAATGCTCGAGATCTGCACCCTTAAATCAAGGGCACCACATCGCAACACAAGGGGACCTAATTGGACCGATGGTTGATGTCTTGCTCCCCGCAGCGACTTCGCAGCAGGTCAAATGTGTCAAACTTGACCCTGGCTCCTGAGACATAAAGCAATCTGGTGTAACTCAGTTGGGTAACACCCGTTGAAGATCGTTCTTGGCCACGCGTGTGACCTCGAAATTACAGCGTAACCAATGTACTGTATTCCCTTATTGCTCCTTCCGGGAAAGGTGAGGTTACATCACGACTGCCGTGACCCTGGTCGCCCTGAGATTTGCAGGTCCCCACAGGCTATTTGGTAAGGGACTTGCGTCATTGGCCGACTCGCGGAATGCGCCAGGGAGCAAGCAAGCCATTGCCAACTTGGAACCCACAGCGACCTGAGCGGAAAACAAACGCTAAGCTCTTTGCAAAAATCTGGTCTGGTGCGAACTGCGCCCTGGCATTGTCTATGATGGCACCAAAGACCAGTGGCCAACGAGCCAAGGCCGTTGCAGTCTTGGACCCTGCTTCAAAGAAACGATGGTTCAAAAAGGCCATGGCTCTCCCCGAGAGTTGTCTCGCAGTCTTGACTGCATGTCGACTGGATGCGAACTTCGGACTGGACTTGTCTGGATTTACAAGAAAAGAAACGCTGACCTTGTCAGCCACTCAAGTCAACACCATCGTGGCTCCACTGTCTCAAGTGGGTTTGTCTTAAGCCACCCTTGCATCACCCCCTTTGTGTCCCTTCTTGACCCATGTTAACATCATGAATGAGCCAAGCTCACTGGTCGCCGCAAGCGCCTTGGCCAACCCCGTACACCTCCCGTTTATAATATGAACATCGTCCAGCCTCCATCATGCCGTGTTTCCTGACTTTCGGTCTTGCTCTCTGACACTCTTGTTTCAGGGATTCCAGATTGTGGGACCGAGGGCTAGTGTTTCTCTCAAAGGACACCGCCTTCATCACCACCGTCTTCGACGATAGGGCCCAAGAAAAGGGTGGATCGAAAACACCACAGAGTTGCCCGCCAAGCAGGCCTTGACTCTGCGTCACCGCCAAGATGAGCAGCAGCGACGACCCATCCGCGCCCGCAAAGCCGGCTTCTTTGTCGGGTAAGCAACGATATCAGGAGGCCATTGAACAGCGATGTCGTGGTGAAGCTGCTGCTGACCTGGTCATTGCCAAAAAGGCATGCTATCGACCTTGGCCCCGGTTGCCCTAGTATCAGGAATCTACTTCGCCGTCTTCCTCGTCCTTCGAAGGAGCCAAAGGCGCTACTACGCACCGAGAACATATCTCGGGAGCCTTAAGGAGAGGTGCATACATCCATTCTCCCCCAGCCCGCTTTGGCCATTGCTTCTCTAATGCAACTCATGCAGCGAGCGCTCCCCTCCTCTGCCCAATGGCTTCTTCAACTGGCTAGGGAGCTTCTGGAAGATACCCGACATCTACGCCCTGCAACACCAGTCCCTCGATGCCTACCTCTACCTCCGCTACCTGCGCATGGCTCTGGTGCTCTGCTTTGTCGGCTGCTGCATCACATGGCCCATCCTCTTCCCCGTCAATGCCACGGGCGGCGGCGGTCAGATCGAGCTCGATATCCTGTCGTACGCCAACATCAACCAGTCACTCCAGTTCAACCGCTACTATGCCCACACCTTCGTTTGCTGGGTCTATTTCGGCTTCATTATGTACCTGATCATGCGCGAATGCATCTTCTACATTAACCTCCGCCAGGCCTTCCTCCTGAGCCCCTTTTACGCCGATCGTATCTCGTCCCGCACCGTCTTATTCACCTCGGTTCCCGAGCCCTATCTCAACGAGGCGAGTTTGCGCAAGGTCTTTGGTCAGGCAGTCAAGAATATCTGGATCACGAGCGATACCGACGAGGTGGACAAGCTGGTTGAGGATCGCGACAAGGCGGCCATGCGTCTCGAGAAGGCCGAGGTCAAGTTGATCAAGCTCGCCAACGCGGAGCGCCAGAAGGCGATCAAGGCCGGGAAGACCCCCGCGGATGCCGACGGGTCGCCTGCACACGACGCCGAGTCTGGCAGTATTGCAGCCCGCTGGGTTCCAAAGGAAAAGCGCCCGACCCACCGTCTCGGACCTCTGGGGCTGATCGGCCGGAAGGTCGACACGATCAACTGGTGCCGCAGCGAGCTCGAGCGTCTTATTCCCGAGGTCGAGGCTGCCCAAGCCAAGTATCGGGCGGGTGGCTACAAGAAGATTCCGGGCGTCTTTATCGAGTTCAAGACGCAGTCCGATGCCGAGGGTGCCTCCCAAATCGTTGCTCACCATCAGGGGTTCAACATGACCCCCCAGTACGTGGGCATTCGTCCCGACGAAGTCATCTGGAAGTCCCTCGCCATTCCCTGGTGGCAGAAGGTGATCCGCCGCTACGCCGTGGTGGCCTTCATCAGCGCCATGATCCTCTTCTGGGCCATCCCGGTCGCTTTTGTCGGCCTCGTCAGCAACGTCACGTATCTCGCGGGCATTTCGTGGCTTAGCTGGCTCAAGCAGATCCCGCCTGTCATCATGGGCGTCATTACTGGCCTTCTGCCTTCGGTATTGCTTGCCGTCTTGATGGCGCTAGTACCCATCGTGATTCGCTGTATGTGCAGACTCAATCCCCCCGTTCATTACTACGCCCTTACTGACCGACATAGTGTGTGCAAGGATCGCTGGCGAACCCTCGGTCTCACGTGTCGAGTTGTTTACACAGAACGCTTATTTCGCATTCCAGGTTATCCAAGTGTTCCTGGTCACGACGGTGGCTTCGTCCGCGACCGCGGTAGCCAAGCAGATCGTTGACAGTCCCACCAGTGTCCCCTCCATTCTGGCCTCTAACCTGCCCAAGGCGTCCAACTTTTACATTTCCTACTTCATCGTCCAAGGGTTGACCATCGCCACCAGCGTGCTCACCCAGGTTATTGGATTCGTTATCTTCACATTGCTGTACAAATTCCTGGCCAACACGCCCCGTGCTCTCTACACTAAGTGGTCGCGCCTCAGCGCCATTTCTTGGGGCAGCACAATGCCCGTTTACACCAACATTGTGGTGGTCGGTACGTTTGATCGGACTATCTTTGTTGATAATGTCAAACTGACTTAGAGCAGCCATCACGTATTCCTGCATTGCCCCGCTCATGCTCGGCTGGGCCACGATCGCCATGTTCCTCTTCTACTTCGCCTGGCGGTACAATGTCTTCTTTGTAACCGACACGCAGATCGACACGCGCGGCCTCATCTACCCCAGGGCCATCAAGCAGCTCTTTGTGGGTCTCTACCTTGCCGAAATCTGCCTGATCGGCCTGTTCGCTGCCTCCGTTGCCCCTGGGCCCTTGGTCCTCATGGTCATCTTCCTCGTCTTCACAATCCTCTTCCACCTCAGTCTCAACAGTGCCCTGAATCCCTTGCTCTACAACCTCCCCTTAACCCTACTGGCCGAAGAGGAGTCGCAGGCCCGCTTGCTTGACCCTGAGGCTGAAGCCGGCGGTGTCGCTCCGAGCACCAGCCACAGCCACGACACGCACGTCAAACCGGCCGACTACAACGGTGACGGCACCATTGACCCGACCGAGAAGAACGTGGCGCACGCCCGCGCTGCCGCCAAGTTGAGCGGAAGGGGTAACTTTTTGACGCGCTTCCTCAAGCCGTGGATCTACGCCGACTATGCCACCCTGCGCAACCTCGTACCGCGCCACTTCTCGCTGGAGCCTTACCCGGAGGAGGTGGCGAGCAAGGCGTACCACCCGCCCTCGGTCACCTCGGCGACGCCCTTGTTGTGGATCCCCTCGGACGCGGCCGGAGCGGGGGTATCGCGGCAGGAGGTTGAGCACACGGGACAAGTCATTCCTATTACCGACGAGGGATGTGAGCTGGATGTGGGAACGGGCAAGTTGCGCTGGGATCGCGAACACAGCCGCCCGCCGGTTTGGGAGGAGAAGATCCTTTTTTAGGGAATTGGCTGTCAGGTTCCCTGTGTGGGAAAAAGAAATGGGGAGGGTGTGTTAGGTGGGAGGTCGAACATCATACGGCGGCATGACGTGGTTAGGCTACGCCAGATGAATGCGAAGGGGAGATGATGAGACGAGATGAGAAGCATACATGGCTAATGTGGTTGATTGCTTGGAAGGTTGGTAGTATGATGCTGCTATTTTACTTGGGGTGAGTTTTTGGAGGAGATTTTGGATCGGCGATTGATACCCGTTGGAACAGAAATTGAACTGAGGAAAAGGGAGGCTTCTGGAAAGGCAACTAGTACCATGTTACGTTCTTTAAGCCCTTTCATCGGTGGAAAGGGTGGTAATTTTCATATCTAATATTCTGTCTTGTCCTCACTCGGTCCTAGTATCGGTGATCGAGGTGCTGGCAATGGATGGCTGTACGCAGTGCCGGATGAGAGGTTGGCGTTTCAGCGGTTTGTCAGTGACAAGAGTTGGGAACGTCGCAGATGCCGCAATGCAGGAAGGTACTGTAGGTACTATCGGTCCATTCTGACATGCTTCGATCTCTGGAGAATGACATGGTTTCATCTAACGCCCCTCTAAGAACATGACCAACGCTACCTAGGCGGCTTGATAAATAGCTGATGGTAGGTGTTACACAAGGCAGTTGCTACTGGGACCCCACCTGTATATTTAGCGAGCTTGCTTGGCCTGTATGTACATACTGTATGTACGCTTCTTCGCCATACAACCAACGACCCACAATTGGCTTATCAGCCATTCTCTCACAGTTAGAGCTGGTGAAGTTCATTCGATGCTTAGTTTGGGGCATTGAAAACCGAAAACCCCCGGCTCAGACGTCTCCGCTCATCTTCATCTAACGCACAATGTTAGCAATAGTCCATATAGCAGACGATTATGTTACTTACATCTTCCCGCGACACAACAGAGACGGCCTGCACGCTCTCCTCGGCGACAGCGGCGGTATTGGTAGCAGCGGCGGCATTGGCGGCGGGGCAAGCGTCGGCGTCCGGAGCAGGGCATCGCCGTCGGCGTCGGAGGCGGCGGCAGGAGCGGGAGGGTTGGCCTTGGCGGCCTTGTCTGCCTTCTTCTGCTTCTGTTGGTACCTCCGTTCCTGAGCTTATTAGCATTGTAACTCCTAATTTGTATAAGGCGAAATGGAACTAACCTTTCTTTTGCGTATTGTATTCTGTTCATTAAGTCTTTAGTTAGTAACATGTGTACACTAAAAGCGATCAAAACACGGGAACTTTCTGCGTTTTGGGGGCCCCGGGAGGCGGCGGTTTGAGCTTGCGCTCTTCCGTACGCGTATGCGGCCGCAACGGCCGTCCGGCGGCTGACTTGTCTGTCTTCACCTGAGTTCCGTCCTTCGTATCCGACGAAGGCAATGACATGAAGGAGGTAGGAATCGAACTTAGGACCTCTGAGCAGAAGGAGAGAGCTGCCCATTGGGGCATACCATTCGACTGATTCACTCTGCCCGTGGGGGGTGAAAGTAGGAAGGGGCAATCGACTTAAATACCCAATGCGAAGTTGGAACCCTGCTTCAAGGAGCTAAGAGCCGTTAATCGAAGGGAAGATTTGAGTACATACCCTACATGGGTATGGGTTGGGGGATCTCGGGATCTCATTTCGTGTACTTACAAGATCAGGTACGTTGTATTTGCCGCTTGTCGGGCACGACTTCAGAGTCCACGCAATGACTAGAGCTACATTCAGAGGTCAGCATCTATCCATCGGCCGGATCGAAGCAGTGACCGACGGACTGCGCATAGTTATGCAAATATTCTATTTGCCAAGGTTAGCAAACACCCGACAGTCGATACCATCATCTCCGGGGCGACCCAGGCAGCACTGCCGCAGCAGTTACAGCACTTGCTGCGACTGCTGGGATAATGCTCTCATTGCTCTGCGAGTCGTATCACAGAAAGCGTAGCCTCACTGGTGTGAAAGAGTGAGGTAGAAGCAGGCAGGAATCCAGGGTTGCAATAGCGAACAGGTCAAATTGATACTTACAAAATCGGCGCGGGCGGCGGGGCCCTGTTCAAGTCGCCTCTAAGCAAAGACCTTTTCAACGGCAACTCACTCCAGAGCAATCTCCCATGAAACCCAATGCACCTACACAGCATTTGGGTGCGAGCCACCACTCGTATGCCAAATGGGGCGGCATTTCAGGTTGGCTGAAGGAGAAAAGGAAGGAAGCGGAGGAGGAGAAGGGCTTGGTCGCGCGAGTGCCTGCCTTCGCGGAGGGAAGGCGCGCCCGTCTCAGTTCAGGACTGACGGCACATCAACTCAACCAAAATAACGGCAAGAGCAGTCAGTCCCTTCCATTCAGCCCAAGAGAAACGTCCATATTATGTCACACATGGCTTTCGGCAAGGCAAAAATTTGATTCTCAGCATACAATGGTCAAGGACGACAAGGAAGGGAGTATTTTTAGGAGCTTAGTTTAAGGATATAAATCGGTAGGCTAGGACCAGAGTGGCATGAGCAAGATCCAAGTTTCCTCGCGAGGTGACTCGTCAAGGATAGCGAGGCTCAGTAGCAGATGGTAATTGTTGCCAATCGTTATCCATTCTTACACTGCAAAGGAGGTTCTGAGTTGGTGCCCTGCTTACATCGATCCTCAGCTGTGTTGGTTGAATGAGCCGTATCTGAGAAGCCGGGCAAATGCTATGTTGTCACATCACTTGCGTGGTTCCTGAGGTCGGCGTTGTGTCCATGTTACTTGTTTTCCCGATTTGCTGCTGCCTGCTGGTCAGGTATGTTTGGGATGTGCTATGCTAGACCTCACATATGCGATATCATTCTTATCTTGCATGTATGGCGGCTCAAGACAGGCGGTATTCGGTCCCTGCCATGATCCAGGGAGTCAGGGATCGCCTTCCAGGCACTGTGATAGCCCTGGACTCGTCCTTTACAATGGCATACCTTTAATTGTATCCTAAAAATTTGAACATACCTAAGTTACCTCTCAGATTCCTCCTGTATCCGCTGTTATGGGATTCCATGGCTATGAGGCCTGTATGTAATTTTCCGGAGGCACGTGCTGGCGTGTACAAGATCGATTCTCTGCCTCCTTGGACGTGGAGTGTTTCTGAACCTGGACCAGGACCATTATCCCGCTCTGGGGCGTTGTCGAGTGCTCGCTGAGTGGGTGAAGTAAGCATATATTGACTCGTCAGGTAATGGAAGGAAAAGGAGAAAAGAAGGTGAGAACTCAGAGTGTGAATAAGCGACACTATGGGAAACACCTGTCACACTGTGATGTGGTTAACCGTCAACGTGAGTGAACCTGCGGCTGCAAGTGCCATCATGATGCTCCATAAGAGGGTCATGAGGCTCAATTTACACATTCAGATCCTCTGAAGCGTCCAGCCATAGGTCTACTACGCTCGATGCCTTTGAATGCGCTCGCCCACTTGCAGAGCAGTATGTGATAGGGTGTGACAAGGAAGTGCATTGCTAGCTGAGGAAATGCCCTATAATCTATTCAACCGCAAGCTTGCCCTTCCCGTATCAACTTGTCCCTAAATCGGGAAGCTTTCTAACATCTTAACTGTAACCTCGCTTCCAAGCGATTTGTATGTATATGTGCATACAGTACAATGACTTCGGGGATATCAACATTTCTACTTAAGTCATACTAACCACGTGATAATAGTCATTATCTACTCTTTGGAGGACAAGGGATTGAAGGGAAGATTGACGTGCGGCTCGCCGCTCAACTGTTATGATGTTACTATGCGCAATGTCGCAAACTCCTATTTCAACAAAGCCCATTTACCCCTGAGCTGACACTCCAGTCCCATAACAAGTAAACTATACATTCACTCACTTCCACAATGTCCATCAGAGCTCTGATAGTCTACGTAATTGATGGGGGGAAGCTGGGAACAAAGTGGGGGTGGGGGACAAGAAACGAAAAAGTAAACAAAGGGGGTCAAAAAGGGGGGAACATCGAACGAGATGGGACTCGAACCCACAACCTCAGTCTTGATTCTCCTTTAGGAGGACCACACGCTACCATTGCGCTACTCGTCCGATTAACGCTTTTTGAAGCAGAATTAAAATTATTGTGTTACTATTTTAAGAACTCTTTCTAACCGCTGTGGGCTGTCTGAGTTTGTGTTTGGAGATGACAAATGAAAAGCCGCCGATAAGCCACCATACCCCAGCGCCAAGACTTTAGTCCTGTCTTTGATTGGCTGTGTTCTCAAACGGTGTTCATGTTACAGGACTCCTGGAGTAGAGGTGCCGTTGCCCCCTAGGCATTTGGAGGACTGAGGAGACAGTGAGGCCAGGATATTGTTTTATAGTTGGAGTGGTTGATGTCAAGATCCTCTCCATTGGTACGACGTGGAGGATCTTATTCCACGTACGCGTGGGCCATGTGTCAGGAACCTCCTATGGTTGACACCTATAGCCGTGCCGTCAACTGGCACTGAGATCTCCTGACTGAATCACGGCGTCCTCTTTAATTAAAAAGCACATATATTAGGTATTTCAGTTTGGCTGTCTACCTCTCAAAGCTCGGGCTCCACCCCATCATCGTCGCCTCTCCCTCTCCCAAACCAACTCCCAAAGTCCAGCTTCATCAACAACCTATCCACCCCTCCCACGCGCCTGGGGACATAACTGCCCCAGTCCGCGAGCGTGCCCTCTCTATCCCCAAGCCCGTCATCCATGCCGCCGGGGTCCAAAAGCGCTCCGGACCCTTCCAGCCTCCTCAACTCTGCGATCAGCCCTTCAATCCCTTGCTTCACTCGCCTTTCCACCCCGCGGATCTCGCCTTGCACATCCCGCTCTTCCCTTGCCAGATCAACAAAGGCGTCAACGACGCCCATGTCTGCCTCGAGGTCGGCCGCCGCCCAGACAGCCTGTAGCCGGTGTATGAGGGCGACCAGGTGGTCGATTTGCACCAGAAGCTCATACAAGGGGTCGGTGAAGGATTGCTGGCTGAGCAGAAGGCGGTGGACGAGGATGCGTAGGTAGGCGCGGTGGGCTATGGAGAGGGTTTGGGGGTCATGCGGTTGAGTTTGTGTTCCCGATGGTGGTGTGGAGGAGGAGGATGACGAAGGGGTAGTGGAAGGGGTGGGGGACGAAGGCGCTGCGGAGACCCAGGTGTCGCCTTGCCCATTGTTCGTATGACTGGTTTCGTCCAGTGGTAAGTTTAACGGCATTTTTGATGTGGCCTTTCCCTGCCTTTGCTCATCCTCGCTTGTTGTTAGCCACGCGTGAAAGCCATCTGATAAACCCGCGACAACCTCAGTTTGGAGGTAGCCCTCAAGCTCGCCAAGAAAGAAGATGGCAGCGCTGGCTGTAGCCCATGCGTTGCGGAGTGCATTGGACCTGACCGTGTGCCGCTGACGGTAGAGGAGCGTCTGTTCCCTGCCGCCCCGAGTCGAACCGGTTTGTGGACTCGGAGGCGCGGGGTGGTGTCTGCGGAGGGCGGTGACCTTCCACAAGTCCGTTAGTCGGATATGGGCTCGCCGAAGGGACAGGAGGTAAGAATTAATGGCGGTGTAGGTCTGCAGGTCTGTCTGGCTGAGAAACAGATCGAGCGGGGAAGGCAACTGTAGTGTCAAGACGACCGGGATAGAGAAAAGAAGGTTACGGAATGGCGTAGGGGCAATAGCACCGAATCCGCCTTCAGTAACGGCGGGAGTAAGCGGTCTAGAGGTCCTTGACTTGGAGATTGTCAGCCTTAAGAGATCGCGAGCCAACTCCAGCCCTTCATCGTCTTCCGCATGCTCTCCCTGCATTGAGCCCATCGCCGCCCAAGTCTTTGCCAAAACCGTCGCCACCTCTCCCTCCTTCATGGTGACATTGCCAAGGGTATCCCGCCTTTCATGAGCAAGATTCTCTGCCCGCTTCCAACGGCTCTTGATTTTCTCCTCGGCCTGCTGTGTTAGTGCCATGGCGAACTCTCCCCGGCGAAGCAGGAAGAAATCCCGGAGAAGGTTCAACGTCTCGAGCACCTTGCTCAGGGGCAGCAGCCGCTGCAGGGTAGTCCTCGAAAGGAAATGCCTAATCTTCGTGATGGCGTTTGAGAACGTAGCCGCGTCAATCGGGTGTTTCAACGCCGCCAGACGCGTGAGCTGTGTTGAGAGATGATCATTGCCTCTCAAGCTGTAATCACGCGCGCTAAGAGCCCGGATATGGTTTAGTGACCTGCCGATGAACAGCATCGACGCGGCCGTCGCGGAGGTGACAAAGCACGGCAGCAAGCCGCTCTCACAAACGTACTCCTAAACCGTTACCGGAATCAGCATCATCGTCCATGCCACCGAAAACAAAACCGCAAACTGACCTGCTCCCCGTCCTCGCCCAGTTCTACCCTGACGAAGAAATCCCCCTCCCCAGGTCCTCCCACCCTCCCGTACAGCACCCAAGCAGAGACCTGCTTCAACCACGCCCGCTCGGCGACAGCGACCAGCTCACCAGCAGCCCGCTCCACGTCCGCATAGCCAGTCTGCAGCTCAGCACGGAGCATGTCCATGACTTTCGGACCTGCTCCTCCTCCTCCCCGCTCCTCAACACCCTTGCTTTCCATGAACCGGACCACGCCGGCCAGGAACCCAAGCACCCTCCTCCAGCAGCCATCATCAAACTCGCCGACGAGGGCGGTGAGCGGGACGATGCGGTGGGCGCCGACGAGCGCGGCGTCCCCGCGGAGCAGCGCGGCCTCGACGGCCAGCACCTTGCGTTGGAACGCCGCCAGGTGGATGGCGTCGATGGCCGAGGCGACGGCGCGGCAGATGACGGACGGGTGCGACGCGGCGATCTGGGCCGTCGCGGCTTTCAGGCCGACGTGCAGGTCGCTGAGCTCGGCGAGGGAGGCTAGCAGGGCGCGTTCAGGCGGGGTGAGGATGCCGGCCGAGGTGGCGATGTCAGGGTTACTCGAAGAGGCTTGGGGGGAGGAGGAGGAAGAAATGTTGCGGAGGAGTGGCGAGGGGTGGCCCGAGAGGGAGAGGAGGATTTCGTGGAGCATCTTGTTGTTTTGTCTCTATAAACTGTACTTCTATTTTCTACTCTTTCTCTGGCTGTTGACGAGGGCCCTGGACGTGGATGATGTAATTGGCGAGTTGAAGGCTTAAAGGGAAATAATCGCCGTCTTCCTTTTCCTTGACTTCGCGGTTGCCATCTGCTCGGCGCGCCTTTGGGCCCGCCGGCTTCTCAGATTTTGGTAGAACAGAATGAGGGTGCCGAGGAGCTCAAATCGACAGCACATGAGCAAAAATGTTGGACCATAGGGAAGGAACTGCCGGCCGACAGCAGTAAGAAATCTGTTTTAATGTATCACTATCCCTGAAAAGTCAGGCTTATTGCAAGCATCGTACTGCTCTCATTGAGAACTTGAGATAACTTTGAGAGGTGCACCGACCTCAAGTGTTAAAGGTTCACTTCCGACGCGCCGGACGCGAATCATCTTTCACATCGAGCGATACACGATCACGTGGAATACATCTATGCAAGTATACCGTAAGTTACATAACTTACGTTACCTTTTCTTACCTTCCAACTTGAAGGATCAAGGATGCAACTGTTTCCCAACCACAATGTGAATGAACTCATTGTTTCGCAGTTGTGATTTAACTCCCGATACACACAGATAAAGGCTTCCAGATACAATACCACACCAAACAGCCCTCCAGAGAACCACATGAACTCCAGCCATGTTCCCCAACCATTAAAACTTCCCATTTGAGCCACCCGCCGGCTGCTTCCCCTCCGCTATCGACATCCCACCAACCGACTGTGCATCTTGTGCGCCAGTCCCAGCAGGGCCTGCGACCGCCATCCCGCCATCGCCTCCTCCGACAATGACTTGCTCGCCCGACGCAGTGTGGCCAACGATCATGCCCTTGGCCACACTCTTCAAGATGGCCCTGCGGGAGACGCCCGTCACGTCGATATAGACCAGCCCGACATTCTTCACGCCGCCCCCGAGGCTCCTGGTAACGTCGCCCGCCTCGGGACCCCACTTGTGCGCCACCACCGTGGTGGCCGCCTCCGACGTTGAGGCCAGCAAGTTACGCCCGGCCTGCTCCACGCCGTCCATGACGGTTGAAAACGCCATCATGCTCTTGTTGAGCAGGCCCGGTTTGTACGTGGGCAGCGGCTTTCCGTCCGGTCCGTAGCCCTTGTGGCCCACAGGCCCGCCCTTCTTCCCGTGCCCGCCAAGCGTCGCGCCCAGGCTGTGCGCCACCTTCCCGATCTGTCCTACAGTCTTCGCCGAGAGGGTGGCGGCGTTGCCTGTAAATGTGTTGATGCGCCGGATGTGCTCTTTGGTGGTGGGCTTGAACGTCAAGGGCTTGGTGCTGGGCTGCGCTTTCTTGGTGAAGTTCTCGGCCTGGCTCTGCATCAGCTTGGCGAGCATGTCGGAGCCAGTTATGATGAGTCTCGAGGCGGCCGAGGCGTTGGAGACGAGAAACGACTTTTTGTATGCCGGGTGCAGCTCCGCCTCGTACAACTGTGGAGATATGGGCGCGACGTTGATCTTTTGGCCGCCCTCTGATGGAAGGGTAATTTCGACGGGATCTAGATGGCAAGGTTAGGCACGATATCGGAGCACAATAGTCGGCAGACACATACCTTTAGACCCTGGCTTCAGCGCGCTATCCTCGACAACCTGGAATTCCTCACCCAGCTCTCCAATGACGCTGCCGTCTTCCTCGTCAACAAGCACAATCTGCCCAGGCTTGGCTGCACTCTGGCTTCCTTTGGCGTATGCCTCGCCTGGCTTGAAGTCTGCGGGATTGTATGCAGGGAGCTCATCCCCTGCTGCCAATGCCGCCTTTCCCGCAGCGCTTTTCTCGGGCTTACCGTCCCACCACGGCTGCTCTCCTTGTCCCATTTTGGGCGGAGGTGCCCTCTCGAGAAATGCGGTGCATTGCGCCAGGATCGTTTCGAAAGTGTCCACGTCCTCCTGGATTCCTTTCCGGCTATCCAACGAGGGAAACTCGATCCTGGTAAAGGCCCCGCTGTCCGGGCCTAGATCCCATCGCGGGATCAGGTAACTGGTCGGCGGCTGGTGGTAGATTTGCGTGGTGGCTGGGAGAGGGAGGTCGAGCTCGGGCGGCAAATGGAGATGGAGATAGAAATCCTGCTCAGGACTGGCGTTGTCGGAATCGATCGACGGGTCGGCGAAGGCAGAGGTCGTTGGGACCATCAGCAGCGACAGCGTTTGCGGGCCGGCGGGCGTGAGCTTCTCCTCCTTGCCATTGACAATGTGGTAGGCCGACACGCCGTTAATGGCGTACAGCAGCTTCGGGTCCTGTCTGGCGTGTCAGCCATCAATACGAGGTGAATATGCAATATGCAGCGCCTCACATTGTGTCCCGACGCCATTTTCGCCAACTCCCAGACTCTGTGGACGGATTGATGTCGTGGTGTAGCGATGAGAGAGCAAGCAAATGGTAAGGTAGTTGGCAGACTCCGACCAGCCTAATGCGCCGCGATGCGGGGTGTTTCAACCGGTTGCGACAAGGCGATCGGTGCTAGTCCGAATGTTTGTTTCTCAACCCACGCTATACACTTGGTATGAAATGGCAACGTGAGCGTCGTGTAAATCTTGGGTCTTGTCTCAAAGACTCAGATTCGCAAAGGGACGATTTCCAGGGGCGGGGTTGAGTGGTCACTGTTCTAGGCAGTTGAAAATAGCAACTGCTTGCTCGTCACCCCGCGGCCAGGCGCTTAAAGGACATTTCTGTGTGGAGCACGCGGGAGGCGTCTTGAGCTTCTGCCACAGAGGCGACGTCATTGGTGTGCGCTACACGTATAACTTGCATCCTCCACCGTGTAGAAGCAAGGAGTGAGCTCTCCTCCCAAAAGACAAAGGGGTCTGCTGAATTTCGTCATATCCCGCAAATCGAAAAAAGTGTCAAAAGGGATCCAAAATCAGGGGTAACATTCTCATAAATATTGATATCAAATCATACCGGTACTGCAAGGCTGTCAGCCGCACGTGGCGCCTACCTACAGACCACAAGACTGTGGCCGCACATCCACGCCGCGGTCCGCCATGCCGTGAACCCGCCAGGAGGCCCATGGCCCGGGGTTCCGCAATGATATCTGTTCGGGAAGTGCAGTAAAGTCAGGGGCGGGTCAGAACCTCACGTGGTTCTGCACCTCCTCAAGCAGCGCGGAACGAACAGGCGCACGATCGCACGATCTGATACCTTCTAGATGGGTAACTTGCGTATTCGAGAACGGCAGCGGCCCAGGCGGCGATCCGCTCGACATACCTGATATCTAAGGCCTGGCAAATCCCGGCTCAAAGAAGTGACTAATGAAACGGCCTTCCGGCTGGGTCGCATTTCACACTGGCCGCGCAGCACGACATTCCGTGCTTGGGCACCCCTGAGATTCCCATCCTTTCTTCTTTCCATGCTGCCGAGACGGCGGGGCTTCCCTTGCTCATCAGATCTGGATCCCATCGCGCCGCCGCCGCGATATGGGAGGCGCGAAGAAATTCCACTCCTCAGGCATTGATGACTCGGCGACATTGGGGATCAAGCCAAACAATGCTCTGGTCTGGACGGAGCTATGTAGGTCGCACACTCAGCCAGGTGCTCGCCAAGGAGGCTGCAAACAATCCCGATTCGGCTTCCAATCCTGCAGCAGCTGCGGGTTACACCCGTGGGCGAAGTGACCTGTCGCGAAGACGCACCACCATATGTAAGAAGAAGCACTGCGCGGGGGGCCATAACCTGACCCAAACCTGACTCCGGCAATCTGATCACAGCACACCGATGGCAGCCAACAGGGAGCCTTCCCGGCCGCACCACCAGCACCTCGGGTGAGAGCGATAGGAATGTCTGAGTGCTTGTTGATGTTTGGTTATAAACCGAAGAGCCACTGTCGACCATGACGGTTTGGACCTGCGCCAGTTTGCTTGTTTGCGAATATCCGAAAGCTTATTGTTTCTTGAACGGCAGGTAACGTTAGGGTTTCCCTGCCCGCATTGGAAATTGCTGATCCGATGGCATCCCTTCTGTGGGGAGTCTGCACGACCGACACCCGACCCGGGCTTGTCGCACCGGGAATTGCCTTTGGTATTGTACCTCTCCGTTGGTGGGTTGCGCGAATGCCTTGCCCTGACTCCGCATTGCCGAAGACGGCCTACTGTGGTAGCCTGCCGACGTACCATTGTTTGACCTATGCGGGTTTTCCATTAGAGTTGCAGATGCGGACTACCTACCTACGCAGGTAGTGTTGTAGTAGGGCTTTATCGACTCATTTTCCACATCCTGTCGATGTCGGGCCGGCAGAACTCCCACAGAGGCGCATTCAGCGCACCCTTACCGGCGTTGGTGCGTCATTGCTGTTCTCGAACTGACAGGCATGGAGTTTTGGATCAACGGGGCGGAGCCGGGCCTGGCGGCGTGTGTTCTAATTACCATCAAACATAGCTCCGTACTCTGCAGAGGATGCAAAACATGCTTGCTGTGATTCTGCTTCTCTGATGATTCTCGTTGGCTGGAGCCGCCGATACGATCCCGTGGCGTTTTTCAGCGGGAGGCGGGGTGGTGTTTGGGCGTTCGGTGCCAAGCGGCCTGGCGTAACAAGCGTCTCCGGAGCCTGGCTTCCAGGGCCATTGTGTTGCCCTTTTCGGCCCTTGCGAAATTCCGTAAAAGCGGGAGGTAAAAAAGCAACAGATCGCCGCAGATCGGCACAACTCGCCATGGGGTTATTCCTGTTTGCATTGTGGGATACGATAGCATTGCAAACAAGAGAATTGTCTGTTCAGCCTTATTAGTCTTCCCTGGAAGCTACCCTTGGTACATCCATGGATAGTGTATTGTACCTATGTATGTAGAAAGCACACATCCATGATACAGAATGTGCGCTTTCTTTTGTGGAGCACGTAACTTTCGCTAGATGGGTGGGGAGCTCGAGAGGATACTCGGGTCGGTCCGTTCAAGCCTTCAAGGGCCTGCTGAAAATGTAACAATAGTTGCATAACAGGTAGTATAAAGTAGGTCCTCATAAACCAGCAGCAATATATCGTTAGAAGCAACCGATGTGCGTGTGAAGAGGATCGTTGCAATCAACCAAGCGTGTATCTTGCCTCTGCCTTGCTTCACATATTCGACCGGAAGAATTTTTTCAAGGAGTGCGTATCTTGGCTAATGTAATTCCACCAACTTCTTGAACCGTTCGTTACCTGAATCGCTGGGCTACCAACGAACCCCATAAATCACTGTAAATACCCCATAATCGCATATTCGATGTGTCTCTTGCTTCCTACGGCGTACATAGTCATGCAGGTAAGTTATGGTCTGCTGCCCGCTCAACGGCCCAAGCTCTCGTTGTCCGCGGTGCAGCTCGAACGGGGAAGCTTAGGTTCAGAACCCGCCGGCCTCGCAGAAAATAATAGGTAAAGACCGCAAGAGGCCAGCCACCCCATGCTTTTTGCTCGGGTCCGTTCGTCCAGCATAAGGTCCAGTGCCTCCAGTGTCCGTGTCCCCATTGCTGGGCCCTCCTCGTCAAGCATCGCGTTTTCATCGTCTCAGACGCTGCCTGAGGCTGCCGAAGCTGCCGACTCTGCCGACAGAACGGACAACTGAGAGAAATACTTCGTACCGCTCTGCGGAGCGTGTGTCGGGTGCAATTCCAGGTTCATTCCGTGTCTTCCTCCGCACGCCCATCTCGTCCCAACCCGTCGGCTGCGCGGCATTACACTACGCACTCTGGCTACACTGTATATACAATAATAATACATGTGTTACCCACGTATCGAACTTGTACTCTAGCACTTCTAGGTACCTACTAGGTAGGCCCACACGCCGACCACCAACTCGTCTGCGGTTTCCTTACCCTAATTACCCCAGGTACTTACCGTAGGTAATTACTTCCGGTAACACATCGAGCTCCACCTAGGTTTAGCTCTGTGCGTCCGTGGACGCTGGTAATCGCCGCCAAACACGCGGTTGCAGCAAGCCCCCGTCTCGGTCGGTCTTGCCCGTCCCCGGCTCGCAACCCCCAGCCCTGTCGTGCTTCCAGCCGCCCCTTCTTCGCTCGTCGAGGCTGTACCGTACCCTTAACGTTAAACCGTAACGCCAGCGATAATTCCATCTCGCATCTTCCCCCGCTCGCCCGCTCGCCCGCTCCCTCCATCGTCAGGAACTAGCCGGAGCTCGCATCGCAAGCGGAGCAACGTTTCGCGATCACATTGGCTCATCAGGCTATCAGGCTATCAGGCTAGACACGCCTTTTTCAATCCGCGGCCCTTTACTCGTCCGGCAGCACGCCTGACGGCTACCTGCACCGCTGCTGGATGTTGTCACACCTTGCGCAAACATCCGTACCTGCTCGCTCGTCGTAAGCCTCTTGGCCCGTGTCGCCTGGCTTCGGTCTTTCTGGCACCCTTCCTGTCGTTTACTCGAAGCACCGCCGTGGTGCTGCTGGTGGTGCGGGTACTGGTACCGGCTATTGGTGCCGGTACTGCTTTTGCTTGCTGCGACTGCTAGCTAACCTTGGGTCCTCTCTCACCACCAAAAAGACTGCCCGTCTGGAGCCGTCGCTATTTAGTCCGGCCACTTGCGGCCCGCCCAAACAGACGCCGGCCGAACGTCGAGCCTCGGCTCTCCCTTCCCGTGCCTGCATCGCCTCTTCCCGAGTGTGGTCTCCGCAGCCGCCGGTTGCACTGTGCAGTGTGCGGTGGCCCAGGGAAAGGCCCTTTGCCTCTCTTGTGTTTGTTTGCGCCAGTCAGGGGGTCCCCTTTGCGAGACCCAACCCGCCGTCACAATTGCTTCCCAACTGCGCATCCAGTCCATCCTCTCCCCTCCCGATCCGCCCGACGCCGATGCGGCTGCCGCCACGCCGACTTTTGCTCAGCAGCCGACTCCGAAGAGAAAGTTCCACGACGCCTTCGCCCCGGCGGCGCCCGATGCGCCCATCGAGCCGCCCGAGCCCCCTGCGCCCTCCAACCGTTCCCCGCCCAACCGTCTACCAAACATTCGCCAGCCACTGCCGCACAGCCCGCCGCGGCCCGCCGCGGTCGGGGTCGGGGGCGGGCTCGGGTCGTCCCGTCCGCACACCCATAGCGCTGCCACCGACGATGACACCAGATCCCCGGGCGCTCCGACAATGATGGCAGGCAGCCCCGGCAGCCCCGGCGCTGCTGACAGCAAAAAAGGCATCAAGCGGACACCGTTGAGATCCAGCATCGCCTGTCAGCGCTGCCGCAAGTCCAAGATCAAGTGCAACAACACGGGCGGCGACGCCCCCTGCGACACATGTATCCGGAACGGCAAGGAGTGCACTTACCCCGAGGTGACGCCGGCGCCGCCGAAACGGGCCGAGCCCCCCACTAGCGCCAAGCTGGAACAGGGCTCCGAACGCAAGCGTCAGCGGCGGCTTGATGAGATTTCCAAGATTGACGGTGTCGTCCCTCCTGCCGTCGTTGCCGAGGAGGTCCTCTCCGCACCTTACCTTACCGAGCCAGTCTGGTCCCAGCTGTTCGACATCTACAGGCTGCATTTCGCGACTGAGTTGCCCTTCCTGCACCTGGCCACATTGAAGGAGAAGCTAGGCAGCAGGTTCAGGGCGAAGCCCAGTAACACTTCGCCCGAGATCAACCTCGTGCTCCTGGGTATCCTCACCCTGACGGCGCGCTTCCACAGCACCCTAGTCTCATACCTCACCGTCTCGCGGAACTCTCCGGCGGTGTCGGGTCCCCCCAAGCCGCGGCCGGCGGCCTCGAGCTCGGACGCATCAATCGCGTCTGAATACTACGCCGATGTCCTGACCAAGGCGCTTGGTGGTTTGAGGACGAGCATGACGGTAGCCTCAGTCGAGCGGGTCCAGGCCTTCTTGATGCTTGGACTTTACGAGTGGAGCCAGGCGCGGCCCAGAGTCGGCGGTATGGCAGCCTGGATGTATGTCGGCGTCGCCATCCGGATGGCCCAGGCGCTGGGCCTCGGCGATGGCGACAGGGAGCCCAATAAAATGGTGAGGTCTCGCCCCGTGCAAACAAGTCAGCACTCGATGCCGCCGGGGCAGAGGATCATTGCCAAGGAGATAAGGAGGCGGACCATGTTCAGTTGTCTCATCTTGGACCGTCTGCTAGGCTGCGGCAAGGATCGGGTATCGACGATACGCTCCGAGGACTTGCAGATCCAGCTGCCGTGTTCCGAAGTCTCGTTCGACCTCTCAGACGATGTCTACACGGGCTTTCTGAGGCCAGTGCCGGGGCAGCAGATTAACCGCCCAGTCAGCGACAGCGTCCTCGGCCGGTTCGTGCGCCTGGTCGACCTCTGGGGCGAGATATCCAAGTGGAGCTTTGCGGGCGGCCGATTCACTGAAGAGCACCCGCCCTGGATGCCTGAATCCAACTTTTACCAGTTGCGAGAGAAACTGGACGAATTCTACAGCGAGCTCCCTGACCACTTCCGGTGGTCGGATAGCAACTACTACAAGCACGAGAACCATCAGGCCAGCAGCGTCTACGTGTCGCTCCACATGCTCGGCGCCGTATGTAGGATCATGCTGCACCGCGAATACATACCCTTCATCCCCATCCTCTGCACCCGGCCGGTCGGGCCCCTCGACGAACCCGTGTTCCCTGATGGCCAGGAGCCTCCTGGTTTCTGGGACGCCAGCGCCGAAGAGATATTCCACGCGGCCAAGGAGATTGTCGACCTCACCGAGATATGCCGCGACAAGCTGCCCATGTCCTCGCTGGTGCTCTTCGCCGTCTGGACCGCCGCTTTTGTCGGCATCTACGCCGCCTTCTTCCCGCACATGGACACAAGGGGGCACATGCTTCCAAGGGAGGAAATGGCTGGCGAGCCTCTAGACGTGACCAAGGTTGGCCCGACGGGGCAAACATACAAGGTGCTGACGCACATGTCTATTTGGCTGAAGATGGCCGAAACGTACGTTGGCTACTTTGGCGAAATGGCCACGTACTACGAGAGGGTCAAGCGCGACTACGCAAGACACCTGGGGAGCCGACAGTCAGCCGGCGGGGCAGCAGCAGCAACAGCCGGAGGCGGCGAGGGACGGCTCAGCATGCGGTTGCCCGGGGGTGGCGGCCTGGAGGAATGGAAGCAGCAGGAGTTCAAGGTAGTCAACAACGGCGCAATCATGGCAGACGACGACAAGCAGAGCTCGTCTCGCGACAGCACCGCCGAGCCTGGTTCCGACCACCCGGACCATGCCAAAACCCCGCGCTCGACCTCCATGTCCTTTACCCCCATCAACAGCAGCAGCAGCGTCCCAACCGGCGCCGGTGGAGGGCAATCAGCAAGGGACTCAGACGCTGCCGAGGCCGCTGCCGCCGCAGAGGCTGCTACCTCGCTCTGGCGGTTCCAGCACAACCAAACCACAGCAACCTCGCAGCAACAGCAGCAGCAGCAGACAGATTCCCCCTCGCTGTCAGCCACGGCCGGCGCTCCTGCGCTCCCATCCCCGCAAATGGCGCACCAGCACCAGCACTCGCAGTCCAACATCCTCCCCAACTACCCATCGGGCGAGGTCGCCGTCTACCTGGAGCAGAACCAGAGCATGCCCTGGTACCTTGCGCCGGGGGGCATTGACCAGTTTGCGCACGGCACCGAGGAGTTTTTGCCGCTCGACACGGGCAATCTCTTTTGGGGGAGCATGCCCCAGGGCGGCAGCCCGCACCACCACGGGGTCGGCGTCGGCGTCGGGGTGGGGATGGGTGGTGTCGGGGTTGGGGGTGTTGGCGGAGCGAACGGTGATGGCGGCGGTGGTGCTGGCGCCTCGGGGGTTGGGGTTGGTGTCGGCGTTGGAGGTGTCGATGTTGGTGGTGGCGGTGGCGGCGGAGGGGTGCATCACCAGCATCAGCACCAGCACCAGCACCAGCACCAGCACCAGGCTGCGGTTCATCATCATGCCTTGCCAGGAGTGCCGCAAAGTGTTCAGATGGGGGTTGGGTATTCATGACTTACTTTTGGGTTGATGACTGTGAGTGTGGGGAAGTGGGGAGAGGTGAATGTGTCGAGGGAGGTTTTGTTGCAGAGGTGTCGCGCGCGGGAATCTCTTGCCTGCTTGCGTCCAGCGCACACAAGCCTATGCGGACGTAAATGAAGGGGGAAAATCCGGGGCTGTGGTTGTTGTGGGCAGAGAGATGTATCGGTTCATTGCTAGGTTAGGATTTGTGGTTTGTGTGGGTAGCTTAGGATGGTATTTTTGGATTGGTCAGGGGTATATTTTTGTCTGCCCGCCCCCTTTTCGATTCAAAATCTCCACGTCTGGGCTTTTACGAGGGCGTGGGCGTGAGGAGGAGGGATGAGGGGAAAAAAGGATGGGAATTGATGTTTTGTACAGGACGGAATGGATGGACTCGACTCGGGCATAGGTACTTAATTATCTCCCATTCCCATTGAGTGGTGTTTTGGATGCTCCTTTTTTCTTGGTACGGTTTACAACAAACAGCATTGTTATCGTCTATTACTACCAGATTCTTTTGCTTCCGTCTTTCTCTTGTCCGGCTTTGTTTTTGCTGCTTCTGCTTTCTCGTGGCTGTTGTCGTCCATCATGATGTTAAGGCCGGGGAGGGATCGCATGAAGTGGTAGTTAGGTACAGTACCGAGTTGTTGTGACGCGAGACAAGATAGACGTTCTATGACTGAGTGTGTATTTGTGGTTTCGGCTTGCTTGCTTGCAAGGTTCACAGGCAGAATTGGGACCCGTGCTGTCGTGTTGAGTTCGGGTTGGCTCGGTTCTGAAGGGGTGGGAGCCTGCCAGTATTTACTATTACTAAGTGCTGGCGCTTGAGAATGTTGGCAGTGGAGTTGGTGAGAAAGGAGAAGACAAGAGGAATGAGAGACACCAACTTGCTGCTGCTTAGTGGTAGTATGTGATTCGCTACCAAAAGCTGCTTACGTGCATGTCACGCTTTTCTCCCAGCATCCTTTGTTCTCGCTATGTACTGCTCAAGTTGGTATGTTGGCATGTTGGCTGACGGGAAGGACGGATGGACGTCTTTGTGAACTTAGTAGGAATGTAAGTCGGGGGGTGGTTGGTTAGCTGAGGGACTGGTGTAAGAAAGACAGTCAGTACTTACCGTAGCCGGCGGGAAGTCGATGTCTGAGGTAACATCGTGCTGCTAGGCGTGAGAAGCCTGAGAAGTCCTGCTGTGCTGCTGATGGTGTTGGCATGGGGAGGGGGTAGAGTGGAGGTGGAGATGGGGACAGGAGGAGGCTGCATGTTGTGTCACCCTCCCTCAGCGGGGAAGCAGACCGGGCAACATCTGAAGGAGCAGGACAAGACTTTGTGTGGGGTTAACCGCAGCGCCGCAGGTCTTGGGCCGTGTATAGCCTAGGTGGGGGGTTTGAGGTCTGGGGTTTGAAGGAGTGGGTGTGGATGGTTGAAAGAGGTGTCTGCCTGGGCATGGACGGCATTGGGCTCTCCTGGCGGCCTGGGCATTCACTTGGGTTGGGTATGTTGGGTTGTTGGGGCCCCGAGTTGCTTCAGGACAGTGAGGAGAGTCTATGATGTGGTTTAACAGCTTATATTGGTATCAAAGAGAAAACAGTTTCGAAGAATGGCCCATACTTGTACAAAACTTGGAAGGAAGACAGAATAACAGGTCATCAGTCATGGCATAGCCCAACCAACTTATACAATCTCAGGAACGTGACCCTTCCACAGAAGAAAATAGTATGAAATGTCATCAACCCTTGCGACCTCTTCACCTCGTACAACCAGTATTCATCGCTTTCATTGTGTCGTTCATGTCGACCCGGTGGACTCGTTGGACGTGGTTCTCGTCAGCCTCGCCAGGAAGAACTCCATATCCCGCAGGACAAGGTCGGGGAACCTGGTTGGCTCCCTGCCCGCGTTGATAGAGTCGTGGTCCAGGGTAGCAGTCGACTGGACGCTGTTTGACCGGCTGTGCTGGGATGGGAAGGCAAGCTCCTGGCCGTTCATGTTCTCTTCGGGGGACAGATTGCTGGGGCTCTCGGGCTCGACACGGGCCGGCATGGCTCTGAAGGGGCAAGGCCGTCAGTCAAAGCCAAGGAGACTAGGTTACAACCATCTTGACTTACATGACAAAGTTGTAGATGTCCCTAAGATGTTCAGTAGGACTCAGACTCGTTCAGAGGTTCGAACTTGAGTCTTACAAGCAGTAGTTGTCTTGCCAGCACCAGCCCTACAGCAGTTTACTCCCTACGACTGTCGTGTGATGAATTACTTATATTCGCAGCCACCCCCATCCACCCCCATTCCCCAAAGAAGCTCTTGACAGAACATAACTAAACATTGCAGGGGGTCAACGTGGGTCGGGACGTGCCATTGGTCCCTCGACGCCCATCGAGACGGTTGTTGTTGGCTGCCGTTATATCCCTGCAACAACTCGGTCTCCCCAAAGGGACAGCTGAGGCAAGCGATTCCCTTTTGGTTGATGTCCTCGTGACGTGCTGGCAGCACAGCTTTGAGTTCCGAGGCTGGCCGAGCCGTGACACGATGAGGAATGTCAAGTCTTTGAGTGCCAACTTGCCAAGAGGCGCCACTGCAGAGGTCCCCTTTAAGTCCATTAATAAACAAACAGTCTAGCCCCGTAACTGGTCTTCAATGTTGCACATGGACCGATGCAGCCACGATTGGGTCGATGCGATGCGATGGGGCGGAGACCACTCCGCTTATCTCCGGAGGATCTCTTCCCCTGGACGGACCGCTTTCGGGAGTGGACCGGCAGTTGGCTCCGGTTTGTATCCGGGTCATTAACCCCGAATGTCACCGTAACTCCAATTCTCAAAGTAACCTATAATAGTTGCACTTTAAACTGACGCAACGGCCATTCATCATGTCGCCTGGAACCGACAAAAGATCATGGCTCACGACAACATGAAAACCTCGGAGGAGCAAAGTTTGGGTACTTCCCTCGGCCAAGGAGCCGTCATCACCGACGAGTCCGTAACGCCTCCGCCCCTATCCCCGACCGACGATATCCACCCGGACCCGGACCCGGACCCGGACCCGGACCCGAGCCGGCAGGCACTCAATGTCGAAGCCCCGGACGAGCCCCGGTCAGGATCCGAACCGACTCATCAGCCCAGACAGCGAGCATTCGGTTCCCGCCCAGCATGTTTCAAGTCCACCCTTCAAGAAACCGCCTTCGTCTTCCAAGCCACCACCGCCACAGCCACAGGCTCCTTCTTCTCCGGCTCCAGCGCCATCATCACGGCGTCCATCGGGCGGGACCTGGGCATGACACAGGGTGAAATGACGTGGATCACGGCGTCGACGTACCTGACGGCGGGCGCGTTCCAGCTCGGGCTGGGCCAGCTCGCTGATCTTTTGGGCAGGCGGGCCATGTTTGTGGTCGGGATGGGGTCCTTTGCCGCCTTTTCGCTGCTCGTTGCCTTTGCGCGGAACCCGCTCTGGATGGATGTTGTGTGTGGTGTTGTCGGGGTCTGCTCGGCCATGGTGGTCCCGCCTGCTATTGGGATTATGGGTGCTGCGTATGACAGGCCGTCGAAGAGGAAGAATCTGGCCTTTTCGGCGTTTAGTGCGGGGAATCCGCTGGGGTTTGTGGTGGGGAGTGTGGTTAGTGGTGTGGCGACTATGGTCTTTAACTGGCGCGCTGCGTTCGTTCTCATTGCTATCCTCTGGGCTGTTTTTACGCTCATGGTCGTCTGGACGGTGCCCAAGGTCGAGGCGTACCCGCCGGGCCAGCCCTTTCGGGACAGGATGAAGACGTTTGCCAAGACGTTTGACTTTGTCGGCACGGGTCTCACCGTCTTTGGGACGGGCTTGCTGACGGCTGCCGTAACGTGAGTCTCAGGGGGAAACTGAACTGACTGAACTTGGACTGTTGGACACTTTTGCTAATGGATTCCTGTCAGTCTCGGGCCTACCGACGGATGGAACGGGGCTCACATCATTGCCATGCTCGTCCTCGGAGTGCTGCTCCTGGTGCTCTTTGTCTATTGGGAACGTGTGTTCCCGACCCCCCTGATGCCGCCACACATCTGGAAAGACCGAAACTTTACTCTCATCATGCTGACCTGCCTACCCGGCTACATGAGTTTCTTCTCGGCCCAGTTCTGGATCGCCTTCTTCATGCAGGAGCTTCAGGGGCTGTCGGCGCTCACCGTGGCCCTGCATTTGCTTCCGCAGGCCATCGCCGGCTTGATCTACAACGTCATCGCCGGATCGGTGCTGCATCGCATCAACAACACGCTTCTTCTGGCCATGGGCTCCGTCACCTACATCGCGTCGAACGTGTTGTTTTCCCTCATGAGGCCGGATAGTCTGTACTGGGCCTTTGTCTTTCCGGCTCTGATCTTGAGTGTCGTGGGAGCCGACTTTCAGTTCAACATTGCCAATGTAAGTGTCAAGCTCTTTCTCTTTCTCAGGACCAGAACAGAGATGCTAACGCTTCCTGTCTACCAGATGTACGTCATGCAGTCGCTGCCCTCGCACCAGCAAGCGCTGGCCGGCGGCATATTCAACACGCTCCTCCGGCTCGGCGCAGCCATTGCCCTGGGCCTGTCGACTGCCGTCTTCACCTCGGTCTCCCAGACGCCCGCGGCCCTTGCAGACCCCATGCTTCCCTACGCCCGGGCTTTCCAGGTCTCGATCGGGCTGAGTGCCGCCAGCTTCCTCTTTCTGCCCTTTGTCAGGCTGGGCACTCAGGGCCACGCTCATGGCAGTGTAGACAATGCTACTACTGGTACTACTGGTAGCAGTAGTACAGGTTTATCAAGTACTGCTAAGGTACCGGGCGTTGCCACGCCTGAGAAGAAAACAGTTGTGGCTAAGTAGCGGACTCATGTTCCGTGGCGTCTGGCACTCGACAACGTGGCACGCCACTGTACTTCTTTGTGGACCGGTGATATGAGCTTGATTAGATGCGGAATCTAGAATTATGTTCAAGTAGAAACTGAAAGGGAGGCTTGAGTATGGGAAGACAGAACCTGGCGTCCTGGTAGAGATGGATTCACAGGCTACATAGACTATTCCTCCCGTAGCTCCTTAGCGTTTACGCCTCCGAGTTTATAGAACCAGACGGTTGCAGAAGTCTAGGAGACATACCGCCAGTGACTGAACTGATCCCAGTCAACATGGCCCGTCGTACTACCTCAAAGTACGATGGTTACTGCTCGTGATAACAGGTACTCTTCATAGTATGTCCCGTTCCTGTTCCCTAGATCCAAGAGTCGTTATCTCCTGCATGTGTTTTAGGATCTTGAAATATTATCCATGACTTCAGCTCTCGACACCTGCTGCAAAGGGGTCCGAATGGCCTCGACGTCTCTTTTGGGGTTCCTGTTGCTTTCTGCTTATCTACGACCTGCAGCGCACTGCCTTCTAATACTCCCTGAAAATATCTCCCACCTTTTGCTTGCCTCCTATGACTACATTGTAATCGGCGGCGGCGTTGCTGGCCTTGTGGTTGCCAACAGACTGAGCGAGAACCCGGATGGTCCGTCTGTCCCTGACATCAACGTATTTGACTTACTGAACTAACATTTATTGCTACCAAGTTACGGTTCTTGTCCTTGAGGCAGGAGAATTGTAAGCCCTTCCCATTTGCCCTGAATCTGACTCGATGCTGACGTCGCAGTTCTCAGAGACTCGTCTGCAGACATCGTCACGGTGCCGGGACTGGTAGGCCATGGATTTACCCCCTGCCTACATCTGGAACATTACCACATCGCCCCAGAAATTTCTCGACGGCCGCGTTCGGGACTACGGACAGGGCCATGTGGTTGGCGGTGGCAGCATTCTCCACGGCATGGCCATGACCCGCGGTTCCCGGGCCGATTACGATGCCTGGGAAGACCTTGGAAATCCCGGCTGGGGATGGGAAGGCCTGCTCCCCTACTTTGAAAAGGTGCTTTACCTTATGTTAATCCCTCGAGTCCTTGCTGCTGTTTGCCGCCGTGCTAAGGGGTTGACAGAGCGAGACTTTCACTCCCCTTATAACCCCTGATCTGCCCATCGAGCCGGAGATGTCATTCCACGGGAACATGGGGCCTTTGTCAGTCATCTATCCCAACTTTTTCTATAATCAGACCAGTATGGACGTCTTGTAGGGAATCTGTGACACCTTAGACTGACACTTCCCAGCAAACTTCCTCCGCGGCGCCGCCGAGCTGGGGCTGCCCATCATCCACGATCCGAACACGGGCATCATGGCAGGTGCCATGGTTATGCCGGCGACCATGTCAGCCACCAACCAGTCGAGGGCCGACGGCAGGAGGTCGTATTTGGATCCCGTGCTCGACCGCCCAAACCTACACCTGGCCGTGCAGCAGACCGTTAACAGTATTCACCTCATCTCCAAAGCATCGACGCCCCGGGCGTGATCGGCTCGTCGTTTGGGACTCTGAAACGAGCACACAGCGTTGAGGTCAGACCCGCTGAAGTTCGCCAAAACGGCTCAACATGATGCTGATACTGAAAACAAGTACACGGAATCGCCCAGCTCCCCGCGGGGTAACGTGGTCTGCAAGCAGGATGTCATCCTCGCCGCGGGAGCCGTCATCTCTCCGGCCCTGCTGCAAGTATTCGGCATTGGCCCTGCGGCTGTCTTGCAGGACCTCAATGTCACCGTGCACATTGACCTCCCAGGGGTTGGATAGAACCTCCAGGATCACGCCTTTGTCGGGGCATTCTACAACTGTACAGTACCCCTGAGTACTAGTAGCCCCAGCCCCAACACATCCCACCTCTTAACTAGGTAATGCAACAGTAGACACCGCGCCGGGCTTGTTTTCAGCCAACAATCTCACAGGAAACACCCTCCACCATGCCCAGGACGAGTATTACACCAACCGCACAGGTGAGCCCCTTGAACCCCCTCCCCCTTTGTTTACGACTATTTACCAACCACTAACCATCGACCCCAAACAACCCAAACAGGCCCATGGACAGCACCACTAATCTCCACCGCCGCCTTCCCGTTCCTAACCTACCTCCTAACTATCACACCTAACAGCACCACCCTACCCCTCCTCAACCTCTCCATCCCCCTTTCTACCTCCTACCTCCTATCTCTCCCATTGGGAAGGAGACACCCAACAATCGAAGCAGGCTACTCCCTTCAACTATCCCAACTCCAAACCCTCCTCTGGCACTCCGAAACCCCAGCGATAGAAATCATGGCCGAGTCGATCGGAACACTGGCCGTGGCCATGCAGCGTCCCTTCAGCCGGGGCACCGTTCAGGCGCTGTCACACGACCTGTTAATGTCACCCACTGCCCGTGTGGAATCCTCCCCCGGCGGCGAACTTGGACTTGGACCTGGACTAGGACTGGCAACCAACATCCGCCTCGACCCGCGGTACTGCGCCCACCCCGCCGACTGCGCTCTCCTCCTCGACGGTCTGCGCTTCAACGCCCGCTTGCTGACTACCCAGGCTATGACCGAGCTGATGCCGCGCCCGCCCGCGCCGTGGGATTTCTTGACACCGGGTCCAGATGGTACTGGGAATCATGATGAGGAGGTTAGGTACTGAAGGAGGGCTTGAGGCCGTGGAGGAGGCCATCCGCCAACGGCTGCAGACCGAGTTCCACCTGTCTGGCACCACCAGCATGCTGCCGCTCGAGCTGGGCGGCGTCGTGGACCCCCGGCTGCTGGTGTACGGCACGGCCAATCTGCGGGTTGTTGATGCGGGCGTCATCCCGCTGATTCCTGCGGCCCATCTGCAGGCTGCTGTGTATGCTATTGCTGAGAAGGTTAGTGTCATAATAGTTTTCCCCTTCTTTGTTCCTCTTTTTGTCTTTATTCTAATCCTCATCCTTATCCTCATCCTTATCCTCATCCTTATCCTCATCCTTATCCTTATCCTGTTCCTTTTTTCTTTTTCTTTCCTTCTTGTCTTCTTTTTTTTTCCCCGGGACTTTCCGCCTAGGCCCCAAGCCTGTGGCCACTCCTAGGTCTGGAAGAAACAGGTTGTCCTTGTGACTGTTAGCTAAACTAACACAAGTGCCACAGGCGGCCGATTTGATCAAGGAAGACAGGAACAAGCGCAACTATCGTAGGAAAGGGTAGCGGCCCGGCGTCCAGCCCGCAGCTTCCGCCGCCGTCGCCGCGAGGTCCGATTACAAGGCTGAAGCTGAGGCCGAGGCTACCAATCCCAAGATCAAGACCGAGGTATGCAACATAGTCGTTTGCTACATGGGTTATGCTAATACCGTGTTAGATGGACACGAACTGACGAGGATCTTTAAGACTGTGTGGCCGGGTTCCAGTTCTTGGTGTGGTTATTTTAGGTCACCCAAATTGACAAGCTGATGCTTCGCGTCTCTCGCATCATGGGTGCACCTCCTTTGTCTCCGGGTCACCTTCTTGGCTCTCTTTGGCTTGTTCCTGGGCCATGCTTCCTCTCATCTTTCTCAAAAGCTCCAGCATCTCCAGCCTCGCCTGCCATTTTGGCCGCCGCTGGCCTCGCCTCCGTCAACGACGTATCTCTTCAGTTGCTATATTCTTTTTTTTCCTGGTTGAAGCCCATACAAACAGCAGTCGCATAGTCGCCGTCGTGGCTGATGCTTAGTATGGCCTCCTGGTCTTGATGGTCTTCACCCAGAATCTCGCTAGTCTTGACCAAGGCTGTGGGCGGGCCACTGGCCGGACGTGAGTTGTTCGATGGCCGCCACGCATACGTCTCGTTTTTAATGACAATGTGCCTATACCCCATGCATAGGTGTGGATGTGCCTTGATGACTGCTTCTTTGGCTGCAAACCTGGAGGAAGGGTCAGGCCCGACGGCACCAGGAGAGTTGCAGGGCATCTTCAAAGAGGGAGAAAACATACCTCCCAGCCATGAAGATAGCAGCTTCTTTCAGGATCGTTGGCTTGACCCAGGGTTTCTCGCTTCGCTTTTCCTCCTTGACTGTCACACCCCGGGCCTCTTCAGCGCCCTGGGGCTCTTCATGCTTCGTCACAGCCTGGGCAACTTCGTGCTCCTTCAACGACGCACTCTTCCGCTCCGCCACACGGTCGGCGGCTCTCAATATGTCGGCGATCGGTTCGCGAGCGGCATCACGCTCCTCTGGGGTCAAGACGCGCCGGATGAAACGAGTGCCCCTGTGGGGGTCGGCGAGGATTCTATGTATATGCGAGACTTGGCAGATGTCGGTGCCTATTCGCAAAGATGGGAACGGAAAACGGATGGAGTGTGGCATATTTCTGTGGGTCTCTTGCTTTTGGCCTTTTCAAGCCTGGTAGACAACCTTGCGCGTCATTCAACTCCCGTCAATATTACGGTAACAAACATTCAGCAGCTATCGATAAGCGCTAAGATTCCCCACTATTTTCCGAACCAACCCGCCGACAAGCGAATTACATTACGGAGTACTCCGTACCGCTGATACTTGCCATCTCCCATACATGTCTTCAATTTCATCATGCATTCCCAACCCCGTAGGACCAGAATTACGTCGCGACGCCTTAACTAAGCAAGCAATTTGACCGCAACATGTCCCCCTTCAACTGGCACTGCTCCTTCCCTAGTCCCATCAATTATCAACCTCCCACCCTTGTCTCTCTCCCACCCTGCTCACCCCTTTTCTCCATCCGGGACAGAGTAGTCCGGGCCAACAAGCTCTGCCTAGTTATCCGCAAGCAGCGGCGCCCTCTCAGCGTCCGCGGGCCGCTGAGCCTCGCTTCGGGTCGTCCAAGCCGGCACGGCGACGATGACGGTAAACACAAACAGTACGGCCATGATGGTGAAGGCAAAGATCCACTGGAAGGCGACGATCTGCCGGAAGAACTGGGCCACGCCCAGCGCAGCGGACAGCACGCTGAGGGAAAAGCCCATGGAGTAATCCTGTCCAAGCCCAGCCCGAGCCAGTCAGCACGCGCACAACTACTGTATGCATATGATTATGATCATACAGAGGAGAAGTCATGGCATTACGCACCTTGTAAGCAGCAATGAAGAACATGCCGTAGCCCAGCAGGGCCCAGACAAAGATATTTGCAAAGATGCGGGCGACGAGGCTGTTGTGGTGGGGCACCATGATGGCACCGTTCCAGTACAGGGCAACAAAGGTCCAGGCGAGGGGACCCGACACGGCGGGGAAGTGGACGAACAGCAGGCGCGGGTGGTGGGTGACGGCCACGCGGCGGAAGTAGAGCGACGTCAGGTTGGCAAAGTTGAGGATGAGCATCACCTCGGCCCAGACAAAGTGCGAGCGGACGAACAGCATGATGAAGGCGAAGTGCAGCAGGTTGTTGAGGATGAAATCTGTTCAGGGAGAGGCGATTGGTATCAGTGGCACTATCCTATACCTTCTAGACCGCCACGGGAGGGTAAAGTGATACATACGGGAACCAACCGAGCAGGCTGCGTTGACAGTCTCGGCATTGGGCGAGAACAGATGGCCTATGTAGGCGAGTTGGAGGAGGAGGAGGACCAGCCTGTTTGGAACGAGAGGTCAGTATTCAGGAGGCATCGGAGGCATCGGAGAGGGCCGGAAGGGACCGCACCAGTAGATGGACACGATGACCGAATTGAGGGTGAAGCCAGAATAGTGCTCGTAGTTCTGGTGCCAGATGGTCCCGCCATGGTAGCGGCCGTCGTGCGGGGGCTCAAAGTAGTAGTAGACGGTTGCCACAGCCGACAGCAGCCAGGTGATGAGGGTCAGGACCTTGTAGGTGATGATGGCGTTGGCGCTGTGGGAGTCCCTCTTAGCAAAGGGGTTCACTAGATGTCCGGGCTGTCAGTACAAGCGATGTAAGCACGGGGGGTGCCACGCACTATGGTGGAAGCGATCCATGGTTGTTGTTGTCGGTGGAGCTTCAGATGGTTCAAGTTGAGCTCACGGTCTGGATACGTCCGGGGTACTGGTTTGAAAGACAAGATGGCGGGGCTTGGGAGGTTTATGTAGTGGAGGAACAGTGCTGACAGATCAAAAGATGAATCGGATGCTGTAACTCGTGGGACGAGGCAAGGATTGAAACAAGAACGGTTATGTACAGTACAGTACACTACAAGTAGGGATCCGCCGCTATTGTCGTTCTGCGGGGAAGGGAAGGGTGCAGTTGCAAGACCTGCAGCAAGCCTTCTGATTGAACAGACCACTGGATTGGCCTCGTGCTTCGAGACATGTTTTGACGCGTCCAAGAAGGGATGGTACGTCACCCCTTTATGCGTCGTTTGATCCGTTCCAGATGCTCCCTTTCGGTCCCTAACTTCAAAGCCCGCGGCGCTGGGAATCGACATTGCTTGCCAGCCTTGCCCAGGGTCTGGGTAAAGTATCCATGCCGGCCTGGCAGTATCTGTTAACTTCCGGCTGGCACAGCTACTGTAGAACTACCTCTACCTTGAAACCTCTTTATGATGGTTCGCGCGTGCATCGTGCATTAGCGGGCAGCTGCTGTGGGAGGTCCGCGGGGCCAAGGTCAGAATTGGGCGTTTAGGGTGGTTTAGTTACGTCATAGGCTTCACTGAGGTTCGGTACACGGCGAATGTTGGTGTGCATCCAGCAAGCATGCATTGCAGCTTTACGAAGTACCTCTCGTGCCTCTGAAGAAGACATCTTCTCATACACCCACAAAATGAATTTACTGTTCTGAAAAGAATCTGGATCAATACCGGACAGAAGGCTGATGAAGCTCGAGAAGACATCGACAGGTGCCGAGGACGACGGTACGTATCCATACCCTGTAGTATTATACAGTGCAAAGTATCCATGGTTACAGTAGTACAAACCGGTACGATCAGTACAACTCGATACTGTGTCCATACAGTGCTTTGCTCCTGCTGCCGTCGATTGATTGCACAACCTGCCAGGTTTGGTCACGAACAAGTCAGCTGGACGATTGCACCATGCACCTCCTCCTCCCATCACCCCCGATTCTTGTCCAGACAGAAAGCCTCTTGTACAACGCGAGTCTTGACTCCGGACTTCCAGGCAGAGGCAGCCTAGCCGACGTTAATTGGCAATTTGGCACCCAAAGGTCCAAAATCCAAAACCCTCAATTTCTTTTGTCCTTGTTCGCTTTTCTGTCATCACACCGTCGTCCAGCAGGCCATCGCACTGCTGTTCGAACCACCTGTGAAAGATGACCAGTCAACATAGTGTGCACCAAACCGATTACCTGCCGCTGACTTTACTAACCTCTTGATTTGTACAGACGACACCATGCCCAGGTGCCCTTGACTGGTATGTCCTGCTCCGTTCGAAAACTGATGGGGTCGCTGATGCAGGTCAAGGTGTCGTTGAGACGGGGTTCTGCCAGCAATTTGATTTGGTCTTCGGGTTGACCTGCATTTGTCGCCTTCTTTTCTGAAGAGTGGTGGGCATCTACCGACGCACGGCGCCGCGACCCATATGATCGTGGCGGAGGCGGTGCTTCCTGGGTTGCTGCCCGAGAAACTCCGTGCTCCCGACCCAGAGAGGCGCTCGATCGGTCTTGGGAATCTGAGCAGCGCCGTGTTTCCTGCACCGGCAGTAGATCCGGCGATCCGTCAACCGCCGGCTCCTGGTGACTGCCCGCTTCGCACGGCAGAATTTCGTCAGCCCATGCGCCTATTCCGCGAAAGATCCATGGCTCATCGTCTCGACTACCCAGTGGCATGGCAAAGATCAAGACAGCAATGTGTTAAGAATGCGCCCTCAGGCATTCCTGCCAGGAGAGCTTCATTATATTCACAGTCCCCTCCAACCATTCCATTTCCATCTCCTGGATATCCAAGGGTGGAACTGCAGCATGTGGAATTCCAATTCCTGCTCCTGCATCAAGAATAACGAACTAACTCGCACATCGCCGGCGTCATGGCATAGCTGCCGTCGCATACAATTTGCAATTTGACAGGTACCAGTAGGTAATTTCCATATGCACATACACCTGAGGCTGGCTGTCCACACCTCCCGAGCGTAGGTACACCTCAACCTGCATTAGTTAGCCACGCAGCTCAGGGCCGAAGGTACTGGTTCATTGGCCACCAAGGCTTATTTTTCAACATGTCTCATCAATCTACTTCGGTGAGCTTGATGCCTTGCGAGGCACATTTCCAGGCGTCACATAGCCCGCGGACGACAATATCAAAATGCCACAAGACCAATTCGAGTATTTGTACAATACAATGCCTCCTCCCCAAGACTCCCGAATATATAGTGACTACTCGAGGAACGCTGTTGCCATGGTGCTGCACAGACTCACTCCAGCGACCAAGCAGAGTTCGCATCAACATAGGCAGTTGCACCATGACCCGGTTCGTTACACAACGTCACAACGCCCGCCGAATCCCGTCCGAGACATGGGAAAAATTCAAGCCCATTCTCCGGAGCAAGTACCTCGATGAAAACCGAACCCTCAACGATGTTATGGAGCACATGAAAACCGAACACAGCTTCGATGCCACGTGCGTGTCACTAATGAAAGCCGGACAAATGCAGCTAACTGAGTCCTACACTTATAACAGGAGACGCCAATACATACACCAATTCGATATTTGGGGGTTCCGGAAGTATACCAAGTCGGATCAACCCGCGCCCCCAACGAGATTGCCTCGAAGATCTCCGGCAAAGAGGTCAGATGCTCGGCCGTCATCCAACAAGCCGCGCCCCTTGGCCAAAGACACGCTTTCTTCAAGGGCTAGACCCGTCAAGCCTTTTGCCGCTCAAGCTCCCGCTGCTCTGACACTAAGCCTTCCTGCGTCAACAGTCAAGCCGCCCGCTACACCCGCGCCAGAGCCTTACCAGGTACGCTTGGATTCGGACGAGGCAGTGAATCAACACCGCTGGCTCGCCGATATCCTGAAGGAATTGGGAGACGCGCACTACTCCTTTGGCGTATACCGTGCGCTATACGAGAAGACTCACCCCAACGGCAAGCGCCTCGTAGCTAGCATTTTCGCTTGTGTCCGCACAGCTCAAACCGACAGACAGGCAAATGAAGTTCAGAAAATGCTGGTCAACGACATGGAGACGGTGCAGGAGCATGGCGAGAACACCTGCTCTAATTTTCTGTTCGACCTCATGTGGGGCCATGCCCAGGGCCCGGACTTGAACGCCGAAAGCGACCGCATCCAGCTGCTCGAAAAGGCCATCAACGACAACGTAGTGGACGACGGCGGATTAGAGCGTCTGCGGACGCTCAAGCCCCGAGGACCAAGCCTCGACATACCCACCTTCGTGCTGCTTGGCTCAACGCTCGCGCAGTACAACCAGTGTACTGACTTTGACGTAGAAGAGGAGTACATCTGCAACATTGACGTCTTGGAGCAGTTCAGGAGCCAGCAGCCTGCTTTCAGCGGTGATGCTCAAAATACCGACCCGCTCCTTCAGATCGACTGTCTGATGTCGTGCCTGAAGTGGTGCCTCGTCGTGCTGCAACACTCTCCTTCAATCCCTCAAGTGATCCGCGTCACGGATGGCAACGAGGTGACAGAGGCTTACCAGGTCTTGCTTACGCTCTGGTGTATCCTGGTTCGCTCGTGCATGCCGTCCTTGTCGGACTCAAACATTTTGGAGCTCGAGAATTGCCCTAACCTAGACATTTCCTGGGCCGAGAAGGCCCATCAGCAGCTGGATATCTCAGCCACCGAGCTCCTCAGCACCATGGTTGGCATGATGCTAGCCGCCACGTCGACAAAGCATGAGACAGGTACGGACGCGGCCGCAGCCGCGTTGGATCGAGCCCTGGACGGCGCCCGAGCTCTCGAGAAGCTGAGCACCCTGAGTTCAGAGACTCTGATCCTGCGCTTCCTCAACCAGGTGCTCGCTCACAATCTGCAGCTTATGGTACCGCTAGAGGACGACATCCACCATTCTGCGGACTCCAATGCGTCATTCGAGGAGGCCGTCGCCGTCGCCAGAATGATCACCCCGTTCCGTGATTTCGCCACCAAAGTGCTGGGCATCCAAGGCTTGCCTCCGCTTGCGCCCGGTGTGTCCGTTTGCCCGGCTCTGCTCGAACCGGCTATGTATGCACTGGAGAATCGCTGGCTCGAACCCATGGGGGCCTACTACTCCTCCCCGGGACTAGTAGCCCATGGGATGATGGGTGTGCCCATGACGATGAAAGGCTATGCCGAGTTCCTGACACCGGAAGCATTCTCTCGGTTGTTGTCCTCTACGTCAGAGATGCCCGAGAACGAGGAAAAACAGGATGGGGAGAAGGCAACGAAGGGTAAGGATAAGGATGAAAAGAGCGATGGGCACGGAGGCAGGGGGCAGGACGAAATGGACATCGCTTTCGATTGATATATTAGTGGCGCATAAGGATATACTGGACGACTTGGATTTTCGGCTACGTCTGGATGGGCTAGATAGAGGCGAAGGCGGAGTATCTTGCCTTTCTCACGTTCAAAAGAATGCCAGATAGGTTATGATATAGGCTGGCTTCTACCCACTGTGCGTTCTTTGCATACAATTTCTATTAGCGGCAATGATCAGGTATAGATTTTCAACAGCCCAGCAGATAGAGAAGAGACTCAGTTACATCAGGACATCAGGGAAAACGGACGCGGGTATACGTACAAGGCAAAATTCCAATTCAGACACTGTTCCGGGGAAGGTTTACGGTCACGAACCACCGCGTGCTAACAGGCCACGCCAAACTACACAGATGCGAATCCCCGTATTACTCCTCTAAAAGTGTAATATCAACAAGCCAAAAGAAAAAGAAAGAACAGAGCGGACCCAAATCCAGTCGGGAATCCTGGCCTTGTAAACAGTACACCAATTACATTAGCATTATCAGACCAAACTCCCCGCTCACCAACTCCCTCCCACCGCCTCCCAAACTCCAAACAAGGCAGCCGCCTACGCTTCAGTCATCAACGCCTCACCCTCATCCAACAAATCCGTTACCTTCAGGTCCGAAACCAGGTTCCGTCCAAGGCCGACAAGCAACAGTTTCTCCTACGCCTCAGTCATCAACGCCTCACCCTCATCCAACAAATCCGTCACCTTCTTCAGGTCCGCAACCAGGTTCCGCCCAAGGCCGACAAGCAACAGTTTCTCCGCGTTGGCTGGCAGGCCCAGGTAGGTTGGCGGTTCGCGCTCGGGCAGGCGCTGGATCCAGCTCATGAACTCCTGGAGGGAGGTGCCCGAGGGGACGACCAGTTCCACGGCGGCCGCATCCTCGTCGTCCTCGCTGTCGGCTGCGGCTCCTTGCTGCAGCCCACTGGCACGGACAAGCTTATGGCCGATATCAAAGGCGGCCGGTGTGAGGAAGGTGTGGACGAGCTGGGTGAGGACGCCAAAGTCACCTTCGTCATCGATCTTGCCGCCATACGTCTCCGTTACCAGGTAGCGGATCATGTCCCAGGGGATGTTGGACGGGGCGATATTGGTGCGGTTCTGTGCCGTCGCGTCTACCCATGTGTCTATCACAAAGGTGGAGCATTCGTACTATTATTTCGCGTTTCGAATTAGCCGAGTTCGGGTCGGGATTCATTGGAATGATCAATCAACTTGAAAAGCAGAGGAAAGGAGACTTACGTCGGCATCGTTAAACTCCCAGAAGCCCTTCCACCCCAGGTTGGGAGCGTACCGTAACCTCTCCTGAACAACGGCATGCAAGAACGAGAGAAGCAGATACAGTCTGGTCCGCTCAACGGGTGGCTTGACGGACCGCGTCGAGAGTGACGACATGGAGTCCTTCATATTGGCGCGGACGCCGGCAGGCTGCTCGTACATCAGCACCCGCGAAGCGCGCAGCAGATTAACCGGTATCTTGGGCGATGACTCCATGGACAGGAAGAGCCTGAACTCGGGATTTGGATTGAGCGAGTCCATGCGCTTCTCCAGACTCTGCAACCATGTCGGGGCAAGGTGGACGTTCTTGATCAGAACCCAAGTGCCTGTCTGAGCGGCATTGCTGATGGCCTTGTCGGCGCTGGCGAGACCCTCGTTGGAGCCCATCGCAATATTTGTGCAGCGCACCCGCATACGCTCTACAAGGCCGTCAACCTTGTACGAGGCGTCGAAGCCGGGACTCGAGACAAGGGAGATGGGCCTCGTCGCGGACACCTGGTCCACTGTTTGCTTAAGGTCTTCGACAATGTCAAAGAGTTCGGAGCCAAAGACTAGTGTGACAAAGCGCTCGGCCGCGGGCACGAAGCGGTCGAGGCGGAAGAGTTTGACCAGCAACAAGGAGAGGAGAGCCTGGTTGGTAGCCTCAGTGCTGTCGTCCCAGACCTTGGGCACAAAATTCTCGGCAAGCTCTTCGGTGAAGAACCTGGTCCAGTCTACTTCCGAAATGCCATCGAGCTTATCCTTGAGGGCTGTAATCCTCTTTGCGCGAACGAACACCTCGTCCTTCGCTTCGCTATCCGTGGAGACGTCTCTGCCCTCAACACGCTCGTCAAGAATCACGTCCAACAAGCCTTTGTCCATCTTATAAGGGGAAGCCTGAGCGAGGAGCATCGCCAATGTAATGCGATCCTTTTGCAGCAAACCTAGCGCAGTCCGCTTGAACGTCGTCACGAAGAGGTCCTTGACAATGACATCGCGACGGACGTTGTGGTTTGTCTCGTTTGCCAGGTGCGGGTTGCCGTGCAAGACGGAATGGAAAATGTCGAGGAAGTACTGCAGAGAGAACTGGTAGAAGTGGTTGAGGTAGTGCAGCTGCTCCAAGACAGCGAAGACAGCGCTGCACGACCGGGCAATGACGTTGTACTGGAGCGTGATCTCTTCGACTTCAGCCATGACGCCTTCGGTGTTGCTCATCTTGGCCGAGATCTCAGCGGCTTCCGTTTTCAGTGTCTCGAGCGTCTCGATGACATTGTCGTCATCAAGAATGTTGCCGCGAGACTCGTTGAGCGCCTGCAGCAGACGCTTCTCGAGCTGCCGTAAGTGAACTTTGAACTCGCCCTGCAGCTTGATGAGGTTCGAGCGCCTCTCATCAACGTCGGGACGTTCCGACTTGAGCACCTCAGCCAAGGACTGTGTTTGCAAGCTGCTCTGGGTAACAGTGAAGTTGACGAACGTCGTGCGACTGCAAATATCCGGCGCAAAAGTGGCTGACGGGTCTCGTGTGGATAGATAGAGCTTGAACGAGGGTGAGAAGTCGATCTGCTGCTTGCCGAGCTGGATTAGAACCCGACCACCAGTCTTCTGGTACTCCTTGTTGAGCACATGATTGAGAATAGGGTCGAGGTGCTCCGCATCCTGGATAAGGATCGGATTGCCGAAACGGAGCGAGCTTTCGAGTTGCTTCGTGAACGAGTCGTCCAAGAAGCTCGTGACAGTGAGGCGGCGGTCCTTGCACTCTCGCTGCAGAAACTCGGTGACGCGTCCTGACGGGTCGATGATGAGCGGGTACCTGTTGAATCGCTTCAAGACGATGGCGTTCTCGGTGCACAGATCGTCGACCGGCAGTGTGTTCTCCTGCCAGCCAAGTCGCTCATCCGCCGTAGAGAGGTACTCGGTGACTGGATTGTGCTGCTTGAATTGGATCCCCGATAGGTGCAGCTGATGGAGCCAGTCCTCCATCATGGACTTCCGGAAAGTTTGGTCATACAAACCGCTATATGCTAGGAACGCCGCCGCAACGAGAACGTCGCCTACCAAAGTGCTGATCTGGGTCTCGAACGACTTGCTACCCTCCTCCCAGCGGGTCCTCTCAGACGACAGGCTATCCAGGAGCTTGACGCTGCGGTCGACCTTGAACTGAACTCGGGACATCTCGGCTTTGATGGCTTGCGTTTCACTGATGAGCGACGCGTATTCCGTCTTGTACGTGGCGATGCTGGCTTCGAGGTTCTCAATCGTCTGCTCGACTGCCTTTGCCTCCGCCTTGGTCTGCAACGCCTGCTCCTCAAGCAGCATTACCTCTTCCCTGAGAGGCCCAACACGGTCCAGGATTTCAGCGTAGTTGACTTGGGCCTCAACCCACTGCACAAGCGGACCACAGGCCTTGCTGGCACGGTTCACCTTGTCGACCGTGAACTCCGGGTTTGTCAAGAACTCGTTTCGCATCTTGAGCCGCAAAGCCTTTGTCATTTGCTTTTCATTGTTGAAGTTGATGATGCTGGCGATGAAATCATCCCGGCGGACAACGGCCTGGATCTGCTTCCAATCGTTGGCCTTATGGCCGATCAGGGTGCAGACGGCGTCTAGAGCAAGACGGACACCCTGAGGCGGCGAAGACATGGATCGCACCTCGGTAAGATGTTGCCGCTTGATATTACTGACAGACGCCTTTGCCTCCTCGACAGCAGGCTCTGCTTTGGCGAGGTCTTCGAGCACAATTTTCTTGCGCGACGCCACCTCGGCCTCCTGCTTCTCAAGCGCGACCTGGATCTCCAAAGACGTGTTCTTCCTCTGCTCGGCCTCACGTTGGTCAGCAACCATACGCTGCAGCTTCTCATTGGCCTCTGCGTCCTTCTGCTCGAGCTGTGCTTTCTTCTCCGCCAAGCTAGCGCGGAGATCGCGGACCTTGTCCACCGTGTCACGGAGCTTTTCGAGACCAACGTTGAGGTGACGCTGCTGCTCCTCGAGATCCTCGCGCTTTTCATTGTATAGTTTGACATATTGCGCGACAAAGTCGAGGAAATGCCGCGGAGTGAGGAACGTGACCTTGCCTTGCTGTTTGAGCAGCTTGGCGTTGAATCGCTGCAGGGAGTAGTGGATGTAAACCATGGAATTGATGACAGCCTCCCTGTGCGAAGGAGGCAGGTTGAGCCCGCGGTAGGCGACAGGGAGGGTGTCTGGGGCCGTCCAGTTCGGCCTGTCCAGATCGACGGAATGTGTGAGCTCGTGCCCGACCTGGAATAGAGCCTGGTCGGACCAGTCGCCGAACCAATTAAGCACGCAACGGTTGAAGAGCGCAGGCGACGTTGCCGCCTTGGATGACAGTCCGTCCTCGGGAGGGTTCATGGTAAACACGACATGCAAATTCTTGACAATCTGCCCGGTGAACCACTTGTAGAGTTCCTCCTGAGAATCGAGCAGCAAGCCCTGCCGCTGGGCTCCTTCCTTGCAGGCCGTCATGAGCGCCGCAAGGTCGTCGCCCTCGAATAGACCGGGCACCTCGGCGTTGGCAAGCAGAGTGTTCATGCGCTCCAGAAATCCAGAGTCAAGAACGTTAGACTCGTCCATGATGAAACAAATCTTCTCGCCCTTGCAACCACAGCGCCGGAGGACTTCCCTCAGATCCTCGTCGAAGTCTTCAGCCGAATACTTGCCGTGCACCTTAATCTGGAACACCTTGAGACCGTTCATCCAGGCCACAAATCGCGACAGAGTTGTCTTGCCGCTTCCGCTGACACCAATGAGAATGAGATGGCCCTGCGGCTGCCTGAAAACCCGGTCGATGCGGAGGACGTGCTCCAAGACGTCATTGAACAGAATGAGTGGCACATCAACCTCCTCTTCGCAGAAAGTTTTGAGCCTGGCTTTGACAAAGTCGCGCAACTGCTCACGATCCACCGGCACATAGTGCTTCGACAGCCAGTTGGAAAATAAGATCGGGCCACCGAGCGCCTTCTGCTCGTCAATAGTAGGGAAATACTCCATGGCGATGCGACGCACTGCATCGTCGGTCCACTTGCGCTCTTCTTCGGCCACCAAGCGGTCTTGGAAAAGACGAAGCGCTTCGTGAGCCCATATGCGAATTAGGCCCTCGACGGACAGCGTCTCGAGCGGCCGAATTGCTTCGTATATGCCGCGCACCCATCTCGTGAGTTCACGAGGACTGTAGACGTAGTGTGGCTGAATCTTGGGGGTGAAGCGTTGCTGCGACTCGAGATAGAAGCGGACCATGGCCTGCGTAAGCGGTTCGGCGTAGCCGCGAAGCGAAGAAATTATCTTGAGCACAGCCGAATTGAAGGTGCCGTAGATCTGCATGAGTGACTGCTCGCCGGGATAGTCCACCATGATGAGGGGAGCATGCCTAAGGAATCGCGCTCCCATCGGTGTACGGCCAGCGTCCGTTGGGGGATTGCAAGCGCCGACAAACTGGATCCTGTCGAGGGTGACCCAGGATTTGTCCGACGTCCTCCAGAAGCCGTTGTGCTCGACGAGCTGGCGGAGGAAAGAGATGGCACGCTGCGTGCCATACTTGTCGGGGGCAGGCAGATTGATCTCGTCGCAGAATATGACCAGCCAGCGACCAATCTGGGTCGGCGAGAGCATGACCCCATTGAGTGTCTTCTTGTATTCACAGTATTGCTCAAATGTCTTGATGAGGAGGTCAGGTGTTGTTGCGCTTGAGAAGTTGAGGCCGACTACCTCCATGTTGGGCAACTTCCGGAGCGCGCTGAACAATGTCATCGTCTTGCCAGAACCAGGAGGGCCGCACAGGAGCAGCGGCTTATGTTCGGCAAGCCAGGAGTACAGGACGTCCTCGTGGCGAACGGTATCGAGTGTAGGGATGACCACATCCGTTTGTGTGACCGAGTGGGTGTTAACCTCAATGGTCGGCACTTGGTTCTGCCAGGGTGACCATTCAGCCTTGGGCAGGGAAACATCGAAGTCAATGAGAGAGCTTGTGCCGTCGAGCGGCGGCGAACCGAAGCTGGCAAGGCCCGCCATCTTGTCACCAAACGACTTGCGGTCCGCTAGAGGGCAGTCGCCAGTCAAAGCCCACACCAGGGCAAGAAGCAGCTTCTTGGAAATATACCCCTCCACCTGCTCTGGGTCGAGAGGGAAGTCTGTATGCTGTGCGTTGTACTCGATAATATTGCGCACAGCCTTGTTAAGAAGCGAGAAGAGGGTGTTCAGCACACGAGCGACGGTAAACTCCATGATGTGGTTGAATCCTTCGGCTTGTGCCAAGGCCGAGAGAATGAAGTTATCCGTCATGAGATAGGCCTGCAAGAGTTCGGCAGCCTGCCTTTGAACCTCCAGCGCCTTTGCCGAATTCTGCCCCGTGGCAACGGCATCTTCGTCGAGATCCTCAAAAGCAACGGAACGCAATGTTTCAAGGTAGTTGGTAACCATCATGCTGGGCGACACGGTGTCTTCGCTGAACCAGACCATACCACAACGACTGACGGTTGCGAGCGTCGCATACTTGAGAGTTTCAACCTCAAACATGATGCGGACGTTCGGAGGGAGGTTGAGACGCTCGCCGTTCGGCAAAGTCAACAGCTTGTTGTCATCGAGCACGCTGTTCAAGTTTTCGACCCACTCCGGATCGACATCACCGTCAAAGACAATCCAGTGCCGCTTAGTGTCCTCGCCACGGAGATTGTCGACAATCTTGCGAAGGATGCTGGTAAACAGGCCATCGGTCCACTCTCTTGTCGTAGAATCGAGATTGCCATAGAGCGCCTCTTTGGACATGACCTTGCTGTCAATGACATGCGACACTCCCTCAACATTTTCGACATGCTGGAGGGCGTCGAGGAGCAGTCTCCAGGCTGCTGACTTCCCGGAGCCTGAGTTACCGACCATCATTACGCCATGATGAATCTTCTGGATCTGGTAGAGCTGGAGAACCTTGGTCATCCAGGTCTCGTTGACGACCAGATGTCTCTCGGCCGCGAGGCGGCGGATTGCCTCCTCAAGCATTTCCAGATTGGCGGGCACATACTTGACACCGGGGAAGCAGACCGCTTCGATTTCCATCATGATGTCGACATCAGACTTGATCAGTTTAGGCGCGATGGTCTCGCGGATACTTTGCACAAGGATTTCGGGTTCCACGACCTCCTCGGCGCCAAGGGTGCCATCGCTGCTAGTTAGACGTGCACGTTTGAGGCCGCCAGAGCTTACCAGCACACTCTTGAGCGCACGGAGGCCGAAGTCGTAGTGTGCCTGCTTTGACAACTTCACCGAGCACTGGTCGAAGAAGGGCACCGTGTGTTTGGACAACTGCTTGGCCTGGTTGAAACCCTGAGAATAGAGCATAACTTCGGCGATGAGTTCCTTGTCGGGCTTGGACATGGCGACACTGCGGAACAGCTTCTTGAGATTGTCGGGAAGATTGGAACGACCGGCGTAGCCAGGATTCATAGTGATGAAGATGCCCGTGTTTGCGTTGACACGGAGCTGGCGACCAACGAGCTCGATCTGAGCCTTTTCGTCTTCAGCGCCCTGCTTGAGGCCAAGTTGGATGTTTTGAATCTGCTGAGAAACGGCAGACAAGATCCTCTCTTCAAGACGGTTGAACTCGTCGAAGCAACCCCAAGCACCCACTTGGCAGATACCGAGGAAAATACGACCCATGGCTTGGAAGTCGAAAGTGTCGTCGCAGCAAAAGACGAGCGTGAATCGGCCGAGCTGGATACCAAGCGCCTTGACCGACTCTGTCTTGCCAGTGCCTGCAGGGCCATAGGGAGAGCCACCCAAGCGTTGACAGAGGGCCTGGGTCAGGGTCAGGAAGCAACGGTCTGTAAGAGGTGTCCGAACCAGCCTGTCAGGCACACCTAGATACTCAAAGCCATAGTTGAGCTTGGCGTTCGCCATCTTGATGTGCAGACGCTGCAGAAAGTCGCCTTCAGGAACGTAGACATAGCGCATCTGGAGCAGCCAGAGATAATGTGTGTTGGACGCGGCGTTTGCCTTGATCAGCTTCTCGATGACATCTCGCTGGTGCACACATTCGGTGATGAGCTGCTCGCACTTCTTGCGCATCAGAACGTCGAGGTCTCCGAGCACGGTGTCGGCGAGGAGACGGAGGACCTGCACCTCGCGGTCAAACAGCGCCTGCAGGTTGCCACCGCCCTCAGTCAACGCCTGGTCAACCGAGGTGGTCCAAACTGCCTGCGTAGCAAGGACAACAATTTGGCTGGGATATGCTTCCATGAATTTGTTGAGAGCCTCGCGGTCGATTTTCTCGCTGGCGAAGATGGGTCCAAACTCCTCAATTGCCTCAGCCAAAAGCTCAGCAAGGGTCGACTTCATTCCGTTCTCCAGCAGAGCCAACCAGTCGTTGATCCTTGGTGTCTTGACGAGATTGATTTCCTTCTTGAGACGGACCACCTCTCCTTCTTTTGAAGTGAATCCCGTGATGACCGATTCCTCGTCCATGACCAAGCCCGTGAGACCAGCAAACATCTTCTTGAAGTGCTTGGCAATGCGCATGGTGTCGTTGCTATTGCCAATCATCTCAAGCAGGTCTTCGTCGCCGACAAAGTAGAAGCGGGGGAACGAAACACGCTCCTTTTCAAGATACTCTCCGAGCGCTTTCTGAATCTTGTTGAGAAGTTCGGCCAGCCGTTCCAAAGACTTCTGCACATTCGGAATATTGAGGACATCCAAAACGTTGGGCTGCTTATAGACCTTTTTCATCACGGCCGAGAACTCGCTGTTGATGTTCTGGAATCGCGACGACTCGATAGGCAGCAGATGCTTAATGTCGGCATTCCCGGTGAAGACACCCTCAAGATAGACCCACTGGCGTTGTACATCAATCCACACATCGAAGAGAACGTGCACGCGGTTGAGCTTGTCCTCCCAGGCGGAAGCTTCCTCCTCAAACTCCTTGTAGTATGGGGAATGTCTCATGGCCTGCAGCGAGTTGAGATTCTCGCTGCACTTCGCAAAGAGGTCGTCCCAGCCGCGAATGAGACGACATTTGTTCTGGTAGTTGACAAGCTCGAGGCCGTAGCCTGTCCAGGTCTCGCGCACTTGCTTGAGGAATTCTTCCAGAGCCATCTCGCCTTGCGCCTGGATAATGATATCCTTGACGATGACCTCTGTAGCGACGAGGTTGAGGTCCCAGACATCTCCAAGTGTCATGGAGACAGGAGAGTAGCGCTTGCCGGGCTTGATCTGCTTGTAGATCTTGGTCCAGTGTCGGTCGCGGACAGCCTCTGACTTGAGCTCTGCCAGCATGGGGTTGACCTTCATTAGTTGCCGTAGAACGTTTTGAATATGCTCAAAGGCAGCATACTGGCGCATCCTGCTCGGCATCTCTTTGGTCATCTTGATGAGGTTGTCGATGGAGGACCGGATCTTCCTCGGCTGGACACTGTTCCATAGGGTCTCCCGCAACTCGTTCAGGTTCTTCCAGATGGTCGACAATGAGGCCCAGACAGACTTGAAGTCCTGAACCTCTTCCAGAATGACGCCGAGAGAAGTGTCGGATGTTGCCGGCAGGTCGAGCGCTTCCTTGGCCTTGGCAACCATGGAGGAATCCTCCTGAAGCTTGGTGATTCTGTTTTCGAAATCACTAAGCGTGGCCGAAGCGACATCCGGGGCGATGGTGCCCGAAACAGGCTTCTCCTCGTTCCACTGCTGGGCAATCTCGTTGATCTTGTCCATCACAACCTTGTCTTCGGCAATAATCTTGGCACGCAGAGCGTCTGTCTGGTCCTGCACGATCTTGGCCTTGCGGGCGAGCAACTCGTTCAACATATCCCATGCCCCCTCCAGATGTCCAACGTGGAGCCAATCGTTCGGGAACTGGTATCGTTGCCTGACCAGCGTTGACTCTCCTTGCCTGAATGTCTCCACCTCGGGGGCCCATAGCTTCACCTGGCGCTTACAGGTCTGGACGAGCGTGATGAAGTGCACCGCCTGTGCCGTTGAATTGGCCTCGATGGCCTGACCTTCCAGATCCCTACGAGCTTTCTCAATTTCGGCATGAACTTCCCGCATGCGCGTGCCCAGGCGTCCAGCAAATTTGATCAGAATGTCATGCTGCCATTGATCATATTTTGCGTTGACTTTGGTCTGGACCTGATCGTAGTCGATGGTGATATGGCCAAACGATCGGCTGACCTCGGTCGTGTCGAAGGTCTGACGTGTCTTGCGGATCTCTTGGAGAAGCTGCAGCCACCTCGACAACTGATCGCCTAGGACATCATAGACATGTTCAGATTGCAGGTCCCAGAGAGATTGAAACTGGAGCCACTTGTCCACGTAGGCACCAATCTCCCGTATCTTCTTCTCGATCGAGGTCTGCACCCGCAAGAGAGCCTGTGTGCAGGCGCCGGGCAGGTCATTGAAGCGGGGTTCATCGTAAACTGTCGTGCTAATAGTCATCTGGTAGCGTGTAGCCTTGATCTTTTTCAGATTGCAAATGACGCCGATCCAGTCCTGAAGCTGCGAGTACCAGCTAGCCCGGGCGAACTCGAGCGGCGGATCGAGGTAAATGACCTGGTTGCGCATCGTAATTTCGTGCACCAGCTTTTTTATGACCGGAACATCCGTTCTTTTGTCGTCGGCAGGTTCGATAGCCCATTTGCGGTCGTTCTGCCGCTCAGGATGCTCGTCCTCAAAAGCCTCAATCCAGGCCTGCACAGCGTGCTGCAGTCGAGCAAGCAGAACCGCTCTAATCTGTTTGTTCATGCCTTCGACCCAATAACCAAGGTTGACATATTGCTCCAGGTTGAGCTGGTCGACTGCGCTTTGGATGGTCTCCAAGCGCGATTCGAATGCCGCAACCTCGTAGGGGCATCGTTCAAGCTCGGCAAGCGCCGTCTGTACGGTGGCGTGGATGTTCGCCAAGGTGATAGTCTTCGACTGTAAAAGTGACACAGCGGCGGCGAACTCGCGGATGAACAGGACGTGCTTGCTCTCTCCGTTCTTGCCGATGTCTTGGTAATGAGCATTTGTCATGCGATTATTCTTGAAGTGGACTTCGTAGCTGTTGACGAACGACTCCCATTTAAGGGGTATACCCTTGGCAATCAGGCCATAGACCTCATCACGATGGCCGCTGAGAAGCACAGCAACCTCCGACATTTCAGAAATCTGGCGGTTAGTCTGGGCAAATGTCCTCACACTCTCCATCAAGCTGACGGCATACGGGTACACACGCTTGGCTTCCTTGGCCACGTTGTTTACCGAGTGCGGAACAGGAAAGTTGAGCCATACCAGGTTCCGAGTCTCTTTAAACAGCGCAATCACTTGGGCGTCAAAGTTGACTGCAAGCTCCAGCACATTTCCGGCTGACCGGATCCGGTTGATGTTGAAGAGCAGCCCTGATATAGAGATTTGCTTCCTCTGCACATCATGGAGCCACGCCTCAAAGATGGGGCGTGCATCGAGTTTCTTCCGGAACAGATCGCTATCGCTCTGCAGTCTCTGGCCTTCGGCATGTAAGGTCCAGTCGGCGCCGAGGACATCCTCAACCTTCTTCATGTACCCGTCAAGCTGCCTTTCAATTTGGCGCGCCCAAATGATGGCGCCAGACACTGGGGGCAGGTCATGTAGCTGAGCCATGGCATGGGCCTCGGAGTGGCCGTACTGCTGCTTGAATCGCTCGTGTAACGCGGTGATGGCTTGCTTGACATTGTCGATCAGCTGTGTCTGGTACTCGGCAATGGCGCCGCGGATCTTGGGCCGCACGAAGAGCGCATTGAATTTGGAAAATACGCGAAACATCTCGTTGGCATTCTTTGCCGTCGCCAGCCGATCCCGTAGCCGGGCGATGATCGAGTTCTCCACGCGCGACGTCCGCTCGTTGTAAATGTTCTCGGCACGTGCCCATTTCTGGGTGCCTTCCGGGGTGACATCAAGAAGGTCGACGTCTTTCAAGCCCTCCCAGGCCTGTCTCACCTCCTCAACCGCGTCGACGTCGCCAATCTCCTCCACAACCGCGGTGCCATTAGCGCCCGACCCGTCGACGATGCCATTCACGGTTACCTTTGGCCCTAAAACGTTGACGATGGTCCGCTGCAGCTGCTCATGGTTATCACGGAAGTTGCCGACGTACTTCAAGCGAGACTGCAGCTCGGCGTGCCGGGGGTTGACCTTGATGGGGATGAACCTCTCATTCCGACGTCTGGTAACCTCGCGAGCGACGTTTGTAAACTCCTTGATGTTGTCATCCCATGCCTTGAAGATCTCATCAGTCTGCTTCATCACACGGCTGAAATCGTGATAGTCAAGCTTGACCAGTTCGGTGCCTGGCAGCAGGCGGTGCAGCACCTCATCCAAATCTCCCGAGATGGCCTCCACCAGGGGAAGCGCCCGGCGAATGGGATAAGGACATATTCTCAGCTTCTTGTTCAGATGCACAAAGATCTGGCCGATCGAGTCTTTAATCTTGTGGAGCGTAGTGGCGGAAAGGAGCTCATCGAGGGGGAAGTCGCGCATCAGCTGGTTGTATTTTTGCACCTTTTCCATGGCCTCCTTCAAGCCCGTGTCCGCAGTAAAACTGACAGTCGCCTGAAAACGCTTGGCGTGCTTGAGAATCTCGAGCGTGAGCATCACACCCTCGCTCCTGAGCTGGTTCTCAATTCCCTCCAGCGCCGACTCCATCGAGAGCCAAAAGTTTATCTCCTGCGTTGCCGTGCCCGTGGTGGGATCCCTCGTCATCTTGGTGATGGCCTGGATCGACTTGATCCAGTTGTTCACAGTAGCTTGCAGGTTGTTGAGGAACGTGCTGTCCTGCAAGACTGCGGGAGGGATGATATCAAGAGTCGGTTTAGACTGCCGAGCTGCCGCATCGTCCAGAGCTGTCTGCACGATGGGGTGGAAGGGCAGAGAGACCTCTGGGATCTCGATGTTCTGCTGGAGGTGCGATAGGCTGAGTTCGAGCTCGGTCCAGCGCTTTTTGGTAACTGGAATGCCGGTTTTAGCATCGACATCGGTCCGGCCTCTTCCGCCGCTCAGCACCTGCTGGCTCTTGGTGCTGGCGTCAAAGTACGGCGCCAGGCCGTTATGGAGGTAGAGCTGGAGGATTTCGTAGGGCGATCCGGTCGGTCCCTGTTCGCCAGCGTTTGCGGACAGGGAGGCAGGCCCGGGCAGATTGAGCATCTGGATTTGCGAGGTTATCGGGATACTAGGGTCGAGAGGCTGCGGGCGCTTGAGAAGCACGAGGAAAGCCACGGTAGTTGTGGATGAGGAGAGGTCGGACGAGATGGTGTATACGTGCGGTGGCACATCTACATGCATATCAGCATCATTTGGACCAGCGGATGGAACGGGCGGAAGGCAGTCATACAATCATCTGCAGCGCCATTCTCGAGCGAATCTGTCGGTATCAAGTCCTTCTGTATGTAGAGGGCGACCTGGGTATCCAGGGCGAAGCGACTGCACCGTTGAAGCGTGTCTGAGTACCGTGTCTTCGAGAGCAGGCTGCCGGGAGCCTCGAGTTCGGCCCGGGTTGCGCCAAGCGCTGCTTCGAGAAGGACGGTAAGATGGTCGACAACGCGGACAGGATCGACGGCGGCGAACGGCGTGTTCGCAACGCCGTTGGTCCCCGGGCTCATGGCTTGGGGAGGCGCAACGGCTTCCATAGAGAAGTTTGGTTCGGAGAATTTGATATCACGGTTCGGCCGATATCATCGCTCTGCCGGGTCTCGGGGGAGGAAATTAGGGAGGTGCAGTCGGGCGCGGCGGCTGCGGATTGTCGAGAGAACAGAGCGAGAAATTAGTTACGATGCGGTAAAAGTACAGGCCGAGAAGAAAAATCAACGCCGTAAGGGGGTATCTTGAGTCCTGCCGCACGTTCTCTCAAACAAGACGATGACCGGAAGTGAAGAGTTGAGGAAAGGAACAGAGGGACTGAGGTGCGTCCTGAACGGGAAAGTTAGCGTGTATTTTCCTGCAAATGGCAGTTTGAACGCGACCTGCCGGGACCCCTGTCGCGGAAGCCAGCGAGACATGTGTCAGGGGCCAGGATATACAGTATAATGTACAGATTGTACACTGTACCACCTTGTCCGGGGGCGTTTCGAGTGGCCAGCGATTCAATGGGCCGTTCCCAACCTGGAATCTGCCGGCATGGAACCCACACACCTCTGGTGATATCAAAAGGGGGACTGTTCAACCCCTACGATCTACGGAAAGTTCAGGTGGCCAAAGAACCACTATCTTACTAGTAGCGTAAGGACGTACTGCACACTGTACCTACCCGACCTCCTTCAACTGCTGGAGGACCTTGTCCAATTCAAGGTACCTGGTGATTATACGTACTTGTTTCTTCTCTAGGCGTTGCATTTGAGAGAGGAGACGGCGACCACTGGGACTACTGAGTACGAGTTGAAGTATCTCTGTAGTGGCGGATGGGAAGCAAGTGTAGCTTTGCAAGAGGCGGTTGCAGTATATTCCCATCAGACATGTTAAATCCATATCCATATTCTATACTTCGAGCAGTCAGTGAACATTAGAGGTAGTATTGGCGTGCCTTCTCCTGCAGCAGGCCGCGTGGTGGCTGACTGTCGTTTTGGGTGGGTGAGGCTGGGTGACCCCTATGTAATCCAGGGGGGTGAATATAGTCGATCCATGGTGGGGAAAGAAGACGGTCACGACAGACATACGAATGGTCAACCTGGAAGTCAACCATCCCACTTGATTACAAGCATAACCAGCAGGAATAATATCCACTGTTGAATTCATATTCACTCCCAATGCCCAGTACCTAATGATGCCAATCACTGTTAGTACTTCATGCATGCCATGCCTCCGTTGCTCGTAATCCGCTGAACGCCCTCACGCCCACACCCTGCTGTCCCATAACCCACATTCCCAAACCCGTCAGTAATTAATACGCCCGTACCGATCCCTCTCGAATCCAGCCACAAAAGCCCAGATATGTTACCTGCGGCGAGCACCGCAGCCCTGATCATGCCTAAGAACTGGAAGCCCCTCCTCCACGGTTGTCCTCTTTGCTCGAGAGGCTAACCATGACACGCTGGTTGCAGATGTCAATGAACTGCTCGAACTTCTCAATAATCTTGTCCTTTTCCCGGATCTTTGCTTTCAGCTCCTCAATCTCCTTCTTGCTCTCCTCCTTTAGGGTGTCGTAATCTTCCCGCGCCTTTGCGAGTTCGCGGCGAAGATCTGCGCGGATCCGCTCCTCAGCCGAAGGATGGGGCTTGCTGTAGATAGCTGGCCGATTTTCCGCCAGGCCACTTGCAACCTTTTGGGGATTTCGGTTGATGGCCGCCCGCGCATTGTAAATATCCCGGGGGAGCAGAGGCACATGAGGGTTGTCTTGTTGCAGAATCTCTAGAGTCTGGCTTACACCCACGCCTAGCGAGACAACAGAGTCAGGGGGTTGTCGGACACGAGACAGATCTTGCCGTTCGCACATACCGTTCTCTTTCAGTTGTTTTACAGCAGCAACCATCTTGCTGTCCAGCTTCCTCGCTGCGGGGTGCAAGAGTGGGCTCTCACTCGGCCCGTGGTTGTGCGTCAGATGTACAGGATCCGGACGATACCGGACTGTCCACTGTGTCCTTTGCTCAATGGCGAAGAAACCAAACTTGCAGTCACACTTGCGGGATGTGGTCTTGCGTTTGCGCATCTCCTGGCTAACCCGTCTCGGAGGCTTGCCTGCACGATCACACACAAAGAGCACCTTCTTGAGCCCCGGCACCGTCTTCTTGGACCGGCCAATGACAACGGCATAGCCGACGGACGTACAGTAGCTCAACACATGCTTGTGGATGGCCTCGAGAGTCGGGAAGCTCCCGCCCTCTGGTGGGGCCGACATCATCGGCCCCATTGGCTGGCGGGGGATGAAGGGTGAGCCTTCAATGACCTTGGGATCATTTGACGCGTCGCCCTCTCCCGACTCGTCATGGCTGCCCATGTCCATATCGTCATCTTGATGGTGGTTGTCTTGCACAGGCTCCACCGGCTCTGGTTGTCGGGGAGCCGGCTGGGACTGGATCGGCGGCATTTGATGCACTTGCTGAACCTGTGGGACCTGCAGCACCTGCTGCACCTTCTGTGTCTGCTGCACTTGCTGCACCTGCTGCACCTGCTGCACCTGTTGCACCTGGGGCATCTGCGGCGCCGCCGGTGGAAGGGTCGGCGGGGCCGGGGGGTGCGGTGTCGACTGTTGCGAGAGAATTGGATTGTCGTTTTGCTGGACGGACTGCAGTGACTGCACCGGCTGATTCATCGACTGCTGGCTCATGGATTGTGTCATGGGCTGTGCCATGGGCGGCTGGCTCATGGGTTGCTGGTGCTGGTGCTGGTGCTGGAGCTGCTGACTCAGGGACGGCTGTCCAAGCGACTGGTGACCGAGCGACGGCTGGCTCAGCTGCTGAGGGTTCATGGGCTGAGGATTCAGTGGTTGCTGACTCAGACTTTGAGGGGCCATGGGTTGCTGCGTCAAGGGTTGTTGATTTAACGACTGTTGGAGGTAGCTGAGCGGAGGAGCTGTCTGCTGCATCTGGCGCGGAGCGGATCCTCGCTGGCGGGGCCCGGGAAGCGCCGGGGGCACCTGTGGCGGGGGCGGCCGAGCCGCATTTTGGACGCTGGCGACGTTGGGAATCTGGGGAGGATTTGGAGTGAAGAGATGATGAGGGTATTGACTCTGGGGCGGTTGCTGGGACTGATATGCCTGGGGCTGATACGGCGACGCGTGTTGCGGAAGCGACGGCGATGGTTTGTTGGGCGGATTGTGTGGTGGCGGGAAACCCCTCCTCATAAAGGAGAGCCCGGTGTGGCTGCTGGTGGAGGACATGGCGAAGAAAAGAAACGAGAGAGATGGGAGCAGATAAATGGGCAAGTTTCAAATCCTGGTTTCTTTCAACGCTCTGGCGCACCCGTCACCGAAGTGCTTGGGCGGGCAGACGGGCGTGTACCGAGCACGGAGGTGTGGGCGACTGGAGATGGAGAAAGGAGAAGAGTGCACGGGGGAGGGTGTAAAATCCTGACAAGAGGCGGGTGGGAACAGGATGGGCGCAGAACCGCTGGGTTGGGAAATGGGAACTTAGGGAAAGCACAGTCCAACGGAGAACATTCTGGGCATTTGGCACGGTATGGATCTGTTATGGTTTCCCGCAGCGAATGGTAGGCTAGAGGCATGCTTCTGTCCCACAAATCGTGTTGTGATACGATACGATACGGCTATGTCGCCTCGTACGTGTACATACCGATACTTTCAGCAAGCGCTAATAAACCCACCCCGGTGAGCCCCCACAGGTCAGACTGCGACAGCAATGCCCCGCCTACCCAACTTGATAGGTAGTTAAGACCCTTGCAGGGAGGTAAACAGATTGCAGCTCCCGAATACCTACCAGACATTATGAGAAAAAAGCAGATCATTCCTTCATAAATCAAGCCCATTGCTGTCGGCATCAGTCATGGAAGTTATGAAAGTTGCTCGCAAGGCGCACATGCTGCAGAACAGACTTAGCCAGCCACTCCTGCAGTGCCAAAGTCCTTGACCGCCTGTATCCGTACTGCAGGACTAGGTACTTGCAACGCCAGAGCTGAGCTTTGGCCGAGGAACTTGGAGATGGAAGTTACAGATAGATCGCTGGGATATTGTTTCCTCTTGCCATGGGACTGAGTAGCACCACAGGGTATAGTGTGCCTGGGGTGTAACAACCATGCCACAGTCTCAAAAAGATAAAAAAAGAGGAAAAAACAAAAAAGGAGAACAAAAAGGAGAAATTTTCAAAAAAAAATATACATATTATCAGGTCCGCTGGCGTAATTGGAAGCGCGTCTGACTACGATCGATTGTAATCAGGAGGTTCCAGGTTCGAGCCCTGGGCGGATCGTGCTAATCAGTGATAAATCTGCATTGCAGATGTTGTCGTTATTTTTGTTTTGTTTTGAGAGACAAATCCCTATCAGTGAGGTCCAGTTTGTATAGGACGGAGAGATCAAAAAGTCAACATGATGACAACTTATTGACAAGTCATGGAGGGGACTTTGAATACTTCACGCAACATGTTGGATCAAGTCCGCCCTCTCTGCTACCCCTAGATACGCAGAGCTTCATATGAATATCAGACTGCCAATGCCTTCTGACGCACAAGACGACTTCCTAGTGATGGTATGAAACACAGCATTATCGTGGTGTGAATGAGGCAGTCTACCATGATGTCCTGTGCTGAAGCCTGAACCTCTGCGCTCTTCCACAAAGCGGCTTTGATTTCGCCTGTCTTGGGGCCAGGCCCCTCGCTCCAGGAATAGAGCTGGCCACTGGCACCATCGACAGCAGCTTCGTCGTAATGGTCGTTAACGTCACGACATCAGGTACCGTCGCAATGAGATCCCTTCACCATGAAGGCCACACGAGCAAATTTCCCAATTAAATCAACTGAGGTGAGTCACCTTGGGTGACAGAGTTCCATTTCACCACCGCACAACCGCTTTCAAGTAACGGGACTCCGACCGAACCAAACCTGCTTTCCTGGACACCAAGCCGAGGTTAGCGACTGGTCGCCATTCGATATCTTTTTCTACTTGTACTTGTTGGTTTAGAGCCTCGTTCTTCATCCATGATCCAGATCAATCTGCTTTGGGACAAGCCACAGCTGGGAGGTTGTGTCCTCTGCGCCATAACCGACAGCATGGTCATAGTGGTAGACCGCAAGGACTTCAACTCATTTGCCCAATCGATTCCCACAATCTGCAGCAATCTTTCCCTTCTCTTCACAGCGGCGCTCCGAGGTATCGTCCTCCTTGTCGAGCTCCCTGTTGTTGGCGCCGATGTCCAGAACTCCAACTTAGATGAGTCCGGTTTGGCCGTGTCGCAGACTCGTCGTCTGTCTTCATATGCACCTACAGCCCATGGCTACAGTTTCTCTGGGACAACGACCTAGCGGTTACCTCCTTCAATAAGTTTAGGACGACCACTGACTTGCTACTAGTAGTAGCTGCAATACTGGTCCAGTTCATTATCTTACTAGTAATGATCACTGGGTATATCAAATTCTAGTTCTCAACTGTCCACCATGCAGCCTCTCAAACTCCTTGCTAAACGGCTGATCTATATAGCCAACAGGTGACTTGGGAAGATAAAACATGAGCCTGTCATAGGGGTTCAAGTCGATACCCTCACGGACTCTGAACGGCAAGTCGGGTGTCGATATGAAATACCTCCCAAAAACCGCGACGACGTCTTTGTCTTTGTATTCCTCGTCGACCAGACGCCTTGCCGTCTCAGCTGTCAACCCTCCCGCGATCAGGACCGGCCCGTCCCACAAGTCAAGGGCGAAATCCAATCTCTCTTCGGTGCTAGCAGCGACATCGGCATTCCCAGCGATCCGACCCTGGACAAGATGCAGATAGGCCAGCCCAACACTAGAGATCTTGCGAATCACGTCCTGGAACTGCGGAACCGGATCCTCCATGCGCATGCCCTGGAACGTGCTCCACGGGCTGAGCCTGATGCCAGTCCTCTCCGGGCCGACAGCCTCCGCCACGGCCCGCACCACCTCGACCGCAAACCGCGACCGCTTCTCAATGCTCCCGCCATACTCGTCCATCCGCCGGTTGCACGTGTCCTGGATGAACTGGTCAATCAAGTAGCCATTGGCGCCATGGATCTCGACGCCGTCAAAGCCCGCGCGGATCGCGTTCCTGGCGGCCGTCGCATATTCCTGCACAAACTCCTTGATCTCGTCCACCGTCAGCTCCTCGGGCACGACGCCGCCCTCCTCCATGGGCACAGCGCTCGAGCTCCGGATGCGGAACCCCTCGCTCGCGGCCACCTTGGGATCCGCGGCGCGGCCCAGGGCCCACAGCTGGCAAAAGATGTAGCTGCCGCGGGCGTGCACGGCGTCGGTGACGGGCCGCCAGGCGGCGACCTGCGCGTCGTTGTAGATGCCGGGCACGTTGGCGTAGCCACCGGCCGACGCCGAGATGAAGGTCGCCTCGGACACGAGCAGCGTGCCAGGGACTGAGGCCCGCTGACCGTAGTACTCAACCATGAGCGGCAGCGGTACGTGCTCGTCCGAGGCGCGGAAGCGGGTCAGCGGCGCCATGGCAATTCGGTGCTGCAGCTTCATGCTGCCCACTTTCAGTGGTTGGAACAGGCGCGAGTCGACCACCATGTTGGGCTGGCTGGCGGGGGGTGTGGGAGCTGAGATTGATGGGTCGGTGTTTCTCAGTCTGCAGTCAAAGGCGGGTAGGGTTCGGACGGTTCAAGTTGCAGGGCTCGCTTGACCGAAAAGTGATGCCGGCTCGTTTCTGATTCAAACTTTTACTTTTTTTTGGTGTTGTTGTTCATCATCTGGAAAGCTCGGGAGGTCTCTCCCTTTTATTAAGCCGTTCATGATGTTCATCGAGCCCGGTTGAGTCACCTCCGTTTCGATTGAAATAATTATTAATACATCCGCATTTGTCATTGTTCTAGATCACAAATCGTTCTGATATCTTCCATGCTAGTAGAAACGCTCCGCAGTTATCCCGCAGTTTGTCATCATCAAGGGCGTCCGGACCAAACTGTCGGTCCGCTTCCGGGTGCATATATGATACAAGCCGTTGCTAGTCACTAGGATCGGATCCATCTTACACATTTATATCCCCAACTGTGATACGAAAGGCAAAAGCGAACGCTTCGCCGAGGAGGCTCATACTAGTGCTCTATATACCGCGCGACACCAACTCAATCGGATACATGGATCTGGATCTTACACTATATGACAGGAGGCCACCAGTACTGTGTACCTACACTTGTAACTATTCAACACGCTGATGTACTCGTCGTAGTCAATATGTTCTTTTCTGAAGAATCGGGACTTAAGGACAAGATAAGGTACCTCACTCATTATCTAAACTGCTCGGTTATTCGCTGCACATCCAAACCTGCATGAGAACTGCCCATCATACTCCGCGGGAATATTGCACGGTGAAGGGTCGTCCATGCATACTAGTACCTGTATTGCCGCCCAACTGAGGTGATACCGTCCTTGCCCCTGATGACAGACTACTATGATCCACCTCCTATTCCTAAGCCTTCTTCAGTTGTCTCTGCAAGCTAAGTAGGTTGTGAGTTTGTCCTGCCATCCGCTTCTGTGATGCAGCCGCAGACGTCCTCTCAACCGATACATCTGTTAAGCCCGAGTCGGATGGTCCTCTCGGCTCGTTTCAATGAGCTGTAGCAATAATTGTTGAGATTAGAGGATCTGAATGAGATAAACATGATAATGGTTCTGGTTCAAATTCAGAGTATCAGCATCTAGTAGTCCTTGACGAGTCACCTCGCACGGAATCATAGATCTTGTTAATGACGCTTGGGGAGAATGACTGCTCTTGACGCTATGTCGATAGGGGACCGTCGGCCCTGGACTGAGGCAGTGAGGTGAGTCGCTCCTTCCCTCTGCGAGACAGGCACTCGCGTCACCAAGCCCAGCGCCCCAAAGATTTAAACTGCGCCTGCCCTCCCTCCTCCTCTTCCTCTCTTCCTTTTCCTCTTTAGCCAAGCTGCTCAAGAGCGCCCACCTCCCTCCTCCCGGCTGCCGCAACTTGTGAGTATCAATTTGACGCGTCTGCTGATGCAATTTTGTTTGTTTGTACCTTTCATACCAGCGAGGTTACGCACCTGCGGTATGGCCCGCAGAGCATTCTCCGATCAGCAGCCACAGCAAGTGCTGTAACTGCTGCTCGGGTCGCTTGCAGCTGAAGCCTGACGATCGTGATGAGCGTTTCGCTAACCTCGGTATATAGAATTATTAGAATAATCATACACAACCGTCGTATGTTGCCTCACTACTTTGATCGTAGCAGATTGGCAGATGCTGACCTCTAACTGCAGCTTGAGAAATTATCATCATCAAGAGTATGTCCCATCAACGTTTTCTTAGGTTCTTGGTTTTGTCTAACGGGGCCATTGAAAGTGCTAGCGCCCACGCCAATTAATATTTTCCTGCCGGCAGTTACAAGCCGGCGGCAGGCCGCCGCCGCCGGATACGCTCTGGGCCGGGCCCTGGCCGACGCCGCCAACGCCGCCCCCCGCCCCCCTCCAGACGCAGTAAGTTCTCCCTTTCTATTATTGCTTTTAGTGTACTTATGTTACTCACTCAAGTCCTAATAAATAGAATACTATAAACAAAAGGAAGGTCAGCTCCACTTCGCATTACACAAACTAGGTACGATGCTAATAAAGTTACAGTTGCGTAAAGCCGCCCAGCGGCAGAAGAAGAAGGCCGGCAAGGCCGCTGCCGCCGCCCAAAAGGCCGCTGCCCCTGCCGACGAGGCAACCGCCGCCGCCACCACCTCCTAGCCTACGGGCAGGGTAAGTAACAGAATCGTTTGCTGTATGGATTATGCTAACACCATGCGTCAGATAGAAGTTGAGGATCCGCGTGTGGTTTTGCCCTTCTTTTTTTTTTTCCCTCTATCGTTTTTGAAGGAGGATGGGGATTGCGCTTTTTCTTGTCTCTTTTTTCCCTCAGAAATCGAGATTATGTTGTTACCCTTTGTCCAATATGTGACGGATGCCACTCGTGACCAATGGGTTAAACCAACTTCATATGCTCTGATCATACTCGTTCAGTTCATCTGCCAGCTCACTCTAGCCTCAAGCTCGCCCGAAACTCGTCCAACGACACGCTCTTCTCAACCAGGTCAGCCTTGACACCTTCCCCGGCCAACCTTCTCTCAAGAGTCCAAACTTCTTTGACGCTCAGCCCCTCGAGATAGTCCAAGCCCCTCAGATAGTTCGTCGCCACCTGCGCAATGCCATGGCTGTCGTCGGACATGGTAAACTTGCCGCCCATCTTGACCCACTCCTCGGCAATCTCGCGCTTGGGGTACGCCTCGTCCAACCCCTTCCTCAACGCGCTGGTGTTACACTCCAGCCAGCCGCCGTACCCCCTGATGAGCTCCAGGTTCCTGACCACCCTCTCCCACACGCCGGGCCACTCCTCTTTGAGCGGCCTGCCGGGCCTTTCCGACAAGAGCCTGACGAGGTCGAAATGGCCGACCACCCTGGGCCGCAGCTCGGCGAGCATGCCGTGCTGCTCGTCAAAGTAGCGCTCGAACAGGAGCTGCTCGGAGCCGCCGCTGGCCTCAACGGCGCGCGCGTAGGTGGCGGCGTCCAGGTCGATGGGCACGCCCGCCGTGTGGTGCAGCGAGCCGACAAAGTAGTCGACGGCCGGGTGCGCGGCGAGCGAGCGCACCAGCGGCGCGTAGTCGGCCGGCCGGATCCACTCGCCTTCGAAGCCGATCAGGATGTGGATCTGCGCGGCATACTTGCGCTGCAGCCGCGCGGCTTCGGCCAGGTAGGCGTCGTGTCGCGGCATGAGCGCCGCCAGGGAGGCCGTTGGAGACGGGAGGAGCTAAAAGAAAAAGGGGGCGGGGTTAGTGCAAAGGTAATTTTAAGGGGTGGCGGGGTCCGCTCTACGAACTTCTTCCGGGTACAAATCTCTCAGGTCGGTGCGCGGCATGTGCTCTGTCAGTCCCATGGTCTTGTAGCCAATCTTGATGGCATGCAGGATGATGTCTTCAAGCTGGTCTTTGGCGTGGCCGGGGCAGAATTGCCCCGAGTGCGAGTGCATTGTGAAAGCCATTTTTGAAGGGTGTAGCGTGGGTAACGAGTGTATTTCGAGAGAGTGTTTCCCTGGCCTGAGTTTAATGGCCGGGATGAGTTTTCAGAATGTGAGATAAGAATGGAGCTCAGAGTTGGCGTCTCAGATAGCGAATGTTGCTGGGTTCGTGACTTGCTGTCAAACAAATGCTTCGGTATTGCAACCCTGCGAAAAACCCGGCAACAAACCCGATCGCGAGCCATACTTCAATTGTATTTTTGTAATGCCTTCCACTTATCGCCGGCGAGTTAAGGGGGTCGATTCTTAGCTTAAGAGATCGCCTCCCTCGTTTTATCGCTGAAATTGAGCTTTTCTGACCGTCCATTCAATAAATGAAAGAGGAAGGGACGGGGAAAATACTAGTAGATGAAGAGAATCAATTCTTTCTTGATACCTAGGTACTAGTAGTAACTACCGTTCAGCTTACAGACAGTTGGAGGTCTCTCAAAGTTGATTCCCGTTTCGCTCATCATTGACTCGTCAGCTGTCAACGAGTCCTAACCTAGCTTCCAATGATTAATCTAAATTGGTCCGGCTGGTTGTAGTTTTTGATCTGATTTCATGTTATTTTCGAAAGTTTTCAAGGGCGCTGGAAACTAGGGGTTGAGATGCAATTCGGATCTGGTTTTACTCTCTTCGTAGTCGGGTCTTACGCAGGTCTCATAGATTCAGTACTAGGATAGAGAATGATTAGGCAAGGAAAAGTTGTAACTTCACGAGATAATAAAGACATACTACTACCTATCTAGCCGGGAGAGGGGGACTGTCTGATGTTGCCGGGGCAACAAGAGGCAGTCCCACCGCCACAAGGATTCAGAAAGGAACTGCAATGAGGTGATACAGTAATGGTTCAGCTGCATTGCGAAAAGCTGTTCGTTCAGGTAAAGTACAAGTTTTCTTGTAATGTTATATGAAGACATGCCAGACAACCTAACTCACATGGGTGCCAGGTGTAGTACCAAAACAAAGAAGTTGAAACAACATGGGTCAGCAGAACGTTTCCAGATTCCCCTAAGCTTCACGCCTCCATCGTCTCAAAGCTTTCGCCCTGGATAGACGCGTACTGCATATGTTGCACCTAGAGATCATGATTCATGAATTGAAGTTCTTTCTCGACCTAGAATCCGTCCATCGGAGGAAATTTCTTGAAGGATACTCAATTCCAGGTTCCAATTACAGACTTACAGTACACCTTATTGTAGTGTCTGAGGTCCGAGGTCTCTCAATCAGCTTGGATGGAAGTTGGCTTCTCCTCTGACAGGGGTAGGGTCTAAAAGTCCAAACAGGAACTGTACTGTACTCCGTAAGGCTAGGCCAATCTGGCCGGGGGTTTCCTCAGCCTCTTATGACCCTGGACTCCTGCCAGGAACAGTAAGTCCGATTTTGTGATTCAGCCAGGGGTTATTTTTCTAGTATTTTCTCTCATCTAAGGACGTTCGTTGTCCCTTCAAATACTTGCCCAAGGGCCCCCTGAAGCTGAGCTCCAATCCAACCATCCGAACCAGTCGACGACTCAGACCACCTCAGTCAACAACACCTTAAGGCCCACGCAGGCGACAAATCTACCGTGACTGCCAGTAATTGCCGACATGTTGAAGCGACCAAGACAATATACACACAGATCGCGCCCCTTGGACCGCATACATGTTCGGAATGTTAAGATCAGGGCCTTACGCAAGTACGCAAAGGCGTCGTACGAAGAGATTGTCTATCGCATGCCTTATTATTCGTGGCGCCAGGTGCAGATGGCCTGTACTGGTCCGCTTACGCCGCACAAGGTTCGCGAATACAAACCCCTACCAAAGCATGCCCTGTTTTCCGCTCTTCGTTCTCTCCGTTGCAAACGCAAAGTCCGATTTCGTCGCATCAGCAACACCGATCCAAGCGGTACCTGCATGACCACGCGACGGAAACGTTTGCGGGCTCGGCGAAGACTTGGCCGGAGATAAGCCCTTCCACGCTTAGCGGCTGTTCCGTGCTGTAGGTATGTACTGTACAGTACAGGACTGTACATACATACCATACCTGCACCTGCCCTGACTATGTGGCACAGCAGTGACAGCGGCTTAAGAGGGTGAGTCAGGTCTCAACCTCACCAGACCGGATGACCAGTCTGTGACCCGTCTAAATAAAGTATAATTCGTCCCAAACCACCCCTCAACGGTCCGCGGTTTGCTTCATCAGTAAAATCATCCACAGGCCTCATTCTGTCGCCGGTTTTCTGCAACTCAGTCAAGAGATCACACAATGGGCCGTGATGAAGAACTTCAGGACGATTCCGAGCTGCACGCCGGCGCCTCATCTCAGCAGCCGACCCAAGACGCAGGCTGTAATGCTCCTTTGAGATCCGAGATACCACTGTGGGTTGCGGCAGCCTCAGGACGCAGAACACCGGACCTGTTGAAGCCCGCTCCCGTAATCAACATGTACGTCCTGAAGGGCATCGACGCCGACGATCAACAACAGAGAGACGACGAGGCCACCAAGACTGTGCGCGACATCCTGGCCGAAATCGACCCAACCACCGAGATATTGCACATTGACGAAGACACCCCCAGTGCCGGCGAGTGGGAGGAGCTTGGCCGCCACTTCACACATCTACGGGCCCTCCATGTCGACACCGGCTTTTGCGAGTACTGGATCGACGAGAATTTCCCTCTACACTGGCCGCTTGAGCTGCTGGTCATTGCAAGTGCTTGCGGGGAGACCATAACCTCCCCGGCCATTCTCGAAGGGAGAATCGAACACCTCGTCCTGTTGTTGACGTGTGGGCTTCGATTCGAAGGACCAACAAGCCGGGAAATGATGAAAAGTGCAGAGTCAATTTTCATCGCCCGTGACGATGATAAAGAAGATGCTGGCAAGGAAGGCGACTCAGAGGACTCGGGGGGGCTCAAGATCTATTCCATCCCGGACGAGTGGCGCAAGTGGCACCATCAGAAATACGGCAGCCAGCAGATCATCGATTTGTTCTCCGGCGCCGACGACACAAGCGGCCCTCCTTCTAAGATGACAAAACTGGAAATCATCGGCAACGATGCCATCGAGACCCTCACCAGAATGGCACTTGCCCACTTCCATCTCCTCACCGGACTCTCCAGCCTCACCCTCTGCTCCATCCACGACAACGACCTGGCCATCCTTCCCGGCGATTACTTTGCCACCTTCCTCCCCATGCTGTCGCGTCTCAAGGAGCTGCGGCTCACTGTTGACGACAACACACTATCCGCATTGCACCAGGCAATTTCCAAAACGCGGAGGTCAGGGTCAGGGTCAGGCACCCACGATAATGACACCAAATCTCATCACTTTGGATTTCTCCACGACTGCCTACCCCCCAACTTGGAAGCACTGCATTTCCGGGGACCCGTGACGCTGGCGCCAAAGCTGGGAGCTTTCACTGCGGCGCTTTCAGATCCTGCATGTCTGCCGTCGCTGCGGCGCATGAGCTTCGTGCTCGACCTGCCCTGCCGCGTGCTGGGGAATGGCAACCTGACAGCCCCATTGAAGCAGCTCCGCGCGGCCAGGCGGGCCTGTCGGACGCTCTGGGACGCGGCGGCCCGTCGCGGTGTTGTTGTCGAGGACCGGTGGTGGGATCCCTGGGTGGAGGTCTACAAGTTGCCTCATATTCCTGCCGTGGATGGGCGATGGGAGGAGTGTGGGTTGGATGATGACTGAGGTGCTGAAAAGGGCCTCTTGCCGCTATTTTAGATTGTGTGTCGTCAGCCCTAAACTAGAGGGAGCGCTCCTTCCGTCTGCGGGCAGGCGCTCGCGTGACCAGGCCAACCGCCCCAAAGCCTTCCTTCCCCTCTTCTTTCTCTCTTCAACAAACCATCCTCGTTGGATGGTGGATCGAGGTGCACCCAGCCCGAATATTCCACGCAAGGTTCCTTTCGATCGGGGCGCGGCACAGTAGCGTGTAGCAGCGCGCAGCGTCAAAGACGAGTTTTCCAACACCAGATTGCGAAACTGGCATCGGACACTGATGCACAATCGCAGCCAAGAGAGCTAGATTTCCTATCCTCTCACTCAGCCAGCCAGTGCTCCTCCTCCCCCGCATCGATTTTGTAAGTATCAATCTGACTTGTCTGCCGATCAATCCTGCTTGCTCTTACTATTGCAACTCACGGAGAAGATGAGAATGGTGGATATGATAGGTAAGCTCGCGGGAGCACCCGGGAGCATGGGAATGTAGTAAGAATGTAGTGATATTGCCTCAAGGTAACAAACAGAAGGAAGAATGGGAGCGCGAGAAGACTATTCATACACAAAAGAGAGGTTGCCACAATCAGGGTGAGCTTAATAGGGGTTTAGAGAGCCTCACTGACAGGGTTCAGAATACAACACTTACCTTCCCCTCACGCTAGTACGGACTTACCCAGAGTAAGACTCGCCGTGCATTATCCCATCAGCAGCCACAGCAAGCGCCTTGACCGCCGCCCGGGTTTCCTGCTGAGAGCCTGACGATCGTGTCGAGTGCTTCGCTAACCTTGGTATATAGAATAGATTATCATACGCTTCGCCGTATGTTGCCCCACTGCTTTGATCGTGACAGATGGACAGATGCTTACATTCAATCATAGCTCTTAAAACATGATCACTTGACGAGTACTATATGAGTGACGTCCCCTTTCCCACTTCCACCCCCTACGGGTAGTAGTACCATAGCGAAGTGGTTAACTGTGTAGTCAGGCAGTCACCACCACCGAGGCTCACAGTTCGATTCACAACCAGAACCCATTAAGCTCAAGATGGCTGGTTCCCGGTGTAACCGTTACCAGCCGGCGAGCCGCCAACGCCGCAATAAGCTACAGGCGCGGAGGTACCAGTAGCGCCAGAAAGAGAAGGCCGACTCCTCTGCCGCCGCCGTGCCCGACTCCTCCTCCGCCGTCGCCGCGCCCGGCCCCGCACCCGCCGCCGCTGAACAAGATTGTCAGCCCGGACAGTTATCCCATGAAGAACCAAGATGACATTATGGCGAAATTGGCCAACGCCAAGTTCATCACGGTTCTCGATGTAGTCGCCTTTCACCATGAGTGAGTGGCTCGTGGATCCCGGGGATCGCTGGAAGGCTTCCTTCGCCACAACGTACCACTGTACTCGATTTTAATTGACCTTCTACAACAGCAAAAGACGGCCATGCTGAAGGTCAACCGACGGAAAGGAAAGCGTTAGTCTTGGTCATACGTAGTACAAGTTCTTCCTACGATAGTGAAAATCGCCTCATTCAACGCAGTCAAGGAAGCGCTCTCCAAGCACACAACATTAGTCTACTTTTCGCGAAGTAATCCCCTCTGCATTGATGCTGACATTTCCCTGCACGGAATTGGCGCCGAAGTGTACCATCTCCCTGGTGAGCAACGAGCCATGGCTACCAGCTCTTCCCGGGACCAAGACAGCTAGCTCATCAACTCCCGAACCAAGTCCCTGAAATTCTCCTCTTAATACTATCGGAACTGCGCATGACTGGTAGAGCGTTTTCTAGTGCAGCAGGAAGGGCTTTGGAGATGCGCCAAATGGAATTCCGTTTTTACCCTCTTCAGTATGATAAAGTGCCAATCTCATCGCCGTCTTGTATCTCATCTGTGTGCCTTCGTGCCTCCGCCCTTTGACGACACCGGGAACGGTATGTCCGGCTGAAGGGCTCAAGTTTCGCGCTTCGTAGTTTGCAGAGGGCGCTAGTATTCCAAAGTTTGCTTCGTGACCGACCGATCGGGTATCCAGGGGTACGCGATGGACAGACGAGGGCCACCTCTTGCTAAAGAATAGTCCTTCTTTCTAGAGTTCTGTGGCAGCCAAACGGCAAATAGGAAAATCTGTCGAGCCGGATGTATCCCGATGGTGTTTGCAGCTCCTGCTAGCTGTTTGTTGGCCCTTTTCGCCTCGACGGACACCGCCCTATCAGAGGGGAGAAAGGGGGTTGGCGATGGTCGTTTAGTCGTCCCCCTGAGCGAGTCGTCGAGTCGGCAGCCCCATCGCAGCTCATCTACCCATACCACGAATCCTCCACACTCTTAAGCCCAACCAAACCTCTCAGCTCAGCTTCCCCTCACCTCCAGTTACCCCTGATGGACCGACATGGCGAGGTATCCAGGAAACGGTACGTTCCCACATCAACGATCGGATCGATTCATGGTCAGGGAACTCAATCGCACCATGAAGCAGGAGACACAAAACACATTCTTATACATCCCTATCTACCACAGTTCTCACTACACAGCCACCACGGTTGCGATTAGCCCACTCTGCCAAAAGAACCCCTTGCGTCATGAAGCACGCCATCTAATCAATACCAGACGCAAAGCCACAGACAGCCGCCCTCCCAAAACACAGCCTCGCCAGAAACGCCGGTTTAGCCACAAAAGAGCCGCCAGCGAGGGAAAAGGAGGCCACTGCGGGTACAGTAGGCTGTCTTGTCTGACATTTACAGCCAAAGCAATTGGGACTCCGGAAAGAACAGGGAAGCTGACAAAAGACGCAGCACGACCCATTCAGCCTGCGAGGCTAGCCAGCAAGAGATAGACAACACACGGCCTGACAAGGGGAAGAGTAGCAACAACCTTCGTGAAAGCGTTCCTCTAATCCAGCCAAGTTTCCGCGTCAGGTTTGATCCATCTCACGGGATTCCGAAACACAAGACGGCTCACGTCAGAGGACCAGATGGCTAAAGGTTCTCATGAAGCAATAGAGGACAGGTGATATGAACTATCATCTAGCCGTCTTTCCAGACGGGCAGCTGACGCGGGTATCAGTAATCGAGGAACAGACGACGAGAGGGCTGGTCACGAATCAGCTGGTGAGCGCTTACTCCCAGTTCACCGAATCCTCAGACCACATCAAACCGGACTAGGCCAAACACCAGCGCTCCCAGACAAGGGACCGGGATCAAGCTGGCAGCGAGAACAGAGGCTTCTTCTCGAAGCCTTCCCCGACAGGAAGGGTATCAACCCGTCCAAGCACGATCGCCGCCGGCCAAATCCGTCGGATCCATCTGTGCGCTCCATCTCGTCCACCGGCGTCTCCTGTCGTTGTTCCTGCATATCACCTGGTGCGAAGGCTGAAAAAACAGAAGAATAGAGAAGGAAACAGTGCCAGTGGGACGGCATGGCATGCATGGCAGGTCTTGCCGGAAGCATCCGATCGGGATGAACGATGGTTGATGGAACGAGGAGCACTGCATCCCAAGCTTCTCTGCATCTCGCCCGCTTGCATTGCCCGGCATCTGGGGTGCTGCATCTTCCGCTTGCTGATGGACAGGCAAGCAAACGCAAAGAACGGCTGGGAACGGACAAGGGGCAGCGGTGCTAAGGTCCTGATTCCTTCGTCCCAAAGCTCCTCATTCTCAGGGCTAACCCATCGGATCGGATGAGATCTGCATCGGATCTGGGGCGCCCACAGGGGTCCCACCGTTGCAGTGACTCTCCAGAAGGGGACACGATACGGGGAAATTGGAGGGTGGGTAGCGAGCAATGCAGACAAGCGCAGAGAAGGAAAAGAAGGCAAGGTAAACATGTTGAGATCTCCGATACTCTGCACTTTCCAATGCGACGGCGGGCTGATAGCAGCAAGTGGCGGACAAGAAAGCGTGGCAAGAGCGTGATCCCCTGTTTCTCAGGGTCACAGCATATCAGATGAACGGCCGTCTCCCGCCTTCCCCGTCCGTCGGCTCTTCCATGCGGTTGTGTAGTATTGAATGCTTGAATACCTCAGCGGTGGCTGGCTTTTCGCCTTTCTGTCCGTCCTGCAGTGGCAGACGAGCATTGGAGTCGGGATTCCCGACTGACATGCAGTCAGTCGCCGGCCACGGCAAAGAAGGTCGGCAGCTGGCCCTTGCGATTGACCCAAGCTCGCGGGTAGCGGATGATTGGATCGGCATGTGGACATTCTAAAACACGGATCTGGTCTGGGGCTGCCGTGTGTGGCTCCCCTGTCGACGACGCGAGAGCCTCACGGATTTAGCAGCCGTCTGTCCCAAACCGGATCGAGGACTTTTGTAGGGCTGATATGCGGCTTGATGCTGTTACGAGATACGGCAATAGCCGGCCGCCTCTTTTATCCCATTCGATCTAGGACAGAGAAAAGACCATTTTGCCACGTATGGAAATTCAGCGGGAAACCACACGCAAAAAAGCCGAGACCAGTGGCCGCATCAAGGAGGCAGGAACATGGCCAGGCGCCGGACGGCAGAGGGAAGTCGTTAACTACCCAGCCGTTAGGCACCGTCTGCGTTCCATGGAACAAACCAAGGACAACAAGTATCCGGCCTGAATCCTCACTGTGAATTTTCTCCACATGAGCCTCGACCCTGCAGAGGTAGTTGAGATGTCATAGCGGTAGGATGCAGCGTTTGAATGCAGGTCAAACGCCCAATCTCACGATGCCAGCCGCCTGGATACTTGCCAAGGCGACACGACGTCGCGATAGAATGGCAGGCTTCTAGAAGAAAGATGCCAATGATCTGCAACAAGGGCATCCTGACGGGCTCAGCTGTGTCTATCATGCGGCCATCGACCCTGCGGGCAAGACGGTCGAGGCGCACTGGGCGATATGTAGCCCTTGAGACGGCAGAATATCTCTGTGAACATGTTCTTTTCATGCATGGCCACAGGTGGGCCATGGGCTAGGGGAGGTGATTAGGGGGAAGAGCAAAAGTTCAGACGAAATCAGAAAAGGGGGCCCGAGCATATCGAAATCGGAGCCTATGATAGGTCATACAGCAAAAGAGATGAACGGCCGTTTGATCCACGGAGCGTCCGAATGACGTTATTGAATCATTGCGGGGATGGCCCTGCTGTCGCTCTCTTCAGTTGGCTGTGGTGTTCCCGCTGTCCAACGGCAGCGTCTGCAGGGCACGGCCGACTCAAAACATGGACTGTATCAGTCCAGGCCGACTACCGACCTCCAGCTCAGTCCTGAGCTCGCTATCACTTGCACTGTCACTTGACGACTGCAAAACCTGGAAGCCAGATGAATACCCAAGACGGGGTGCTGTGCTTGACCAGAGTGATAGCGCCGGTCACTTGACGTAGGGCGCAAAGATTCCAGACTCGGAAAATGCTTTGGTACCAGTGGAGACTAGAGCCATGGGGCAACGGGGATCTTGACCTAGGTTATCTGTCCTGTTCAGGATTGATCGTCTCGAGAGATAAACTCCGATGTTTTGGAGGCGTTCTGGGCAGTGAATCAAGACCCTCGGTGGGGTTATTGTTTCCGAACCTACCGCGGTGGATGGCAGTTGTAGTCAACACCCATCTCAGTCTCTCCCGGGTGGTATCCAGTTGTGAGTTGAAGCCAGCAACCTGCGATGAAGACAAGCGTTTGTAGGGGCGGTCTCCGGCTCACGAGTTAACATAGCTAGTTTTGAGAACTCTTGGGAATACCACCCAACCCAGCTTCCCCGCAAAACGCTTGAGCTTAAGCTTTGGGGGAGTGGCAAGCAACTGCCGTAGACGCTGGGAGGATGGAACCTCAGGCGGAGGATACTGCCCCACTAGGACTGCGCATGCGCCCGCCCGCTGCCACCTCAGCACGAGGCTGACAGGGAACACAGCAGTCAAGCCCGAGTCTCCGACTTTCTGCCCAGCCAGGGCTTGCCGCGACCGCGCTTCACCCTCAACGGTAAGCTAGGCTCGGCGCTTGACCTCTCCGAGCGCTCTTTATGTAGCCTGGGGCCTGTTCCTGGTGCTTTGCATGTCGAATGTCCCTAGACCATAGTAGACAGTTCACCTCCGCGCAGGTTGAGTTTGCAACTCAAGCCGAAGGGGCCAAATCCGCCACAGATCGTAGCAGCGACATATCGTTATGCCTTCCATGTGCCAAATTGTCTGGTCTGACTCTTTAGTCGCAGACGCTCAACTTCTAAACCGTGAATCTTCTGAGTTTCTGGTTTTACTGCGTTACGCAGCAGTAAAGCGAGTGTCTCTGTCAGTCTAGGAAACGGTCTGGCCTCTGTCTGATCGAGGTGGCCAATGTCACCGTAGCGACGCTCGATATTGCTGGCAATAAATCCAATCTAAACACCGCTCGCCACTTCCGGTGACATAGGCCTCGCGATGCTCCATAGGGCTAGACAGTCTGTTGCTAGACAAGATCATCGTCGGCAATGTAAAACCATGCCACGAGCTTAACCTGTCCGGCCTGTCTGGTCCAGATCGTATAGGGTCGGCTTCTGCTGAGTGCCTTCCTGGATAGAACGGCAGAGTGGCATCAGACGCTGCGAGAGTACCAAAACGTGGACCATGCCGGACTTCCCCAATCACTGAGGGCACATCTCACGCCTCACGGCACGTGTTCTAATATGCACGCCTGTCGTCTGCTCCGACGTCCCGACGTGATCGTCGCACATTCAAAGCCGTCTACTTGAGACAATGCCATTGGCGGCCCGGTAGCAGGTCATGTGAGCGATGCTGCTCACAGCTAACGGAACCCCTATGTGTTGGAGGTAGATGGGCGATAGGCGTCAATATGGGGTTGCACCACGCCACTGTCTTTTGACCGGGTTTCCTAGCTCACCGTACCTGCTTGTCATCTGCAGGTCAGGAACCATTGCGCGCCGGTGCTCCATCGAATGATCGCCATTTGCCGTCCCAATGCTGTCTTCATTTCTTAGGTAGATGTATACCGAACCCAGGATAACAGAGGAAGCACTACACTTTTGCTCCAGAAGACGTGCACAATAGCTGGCATCAAGGGATCTGCGACCTTCGAACCCGGGGCTCCCGAAGACAGAGGTCAGGAATCCTGAGATTGGCTACAATCCAGGGGTACCTTTTGTTGAGGGACCGGCTAGGCCAAGCAGGGTCCATTGACAGCAGCTGGATCAATGCCGGCATCTTGGCATGGGTTAATGTCGTGTAGAGTGCATCCATCACCATGAAAGGAAGGTGAGTCGACGAAAGTGAAGAGGTCCGGCAGACCAGCTTGACGCCTGACGCTATGCCGGGGTTGGTGTTTGTGGTTTCTGGCGCGCAGTGGAAAAGCGGTCCCCTTCCCGTACAGTACCGCGGGCAGCGTCAGGAGATTAATATATTGCCCCTGCCCCCCCTGTTGACCGATAGACAGCTTGTCTTCTCAGGGCGGGCACCTTGGGTAGCTTCGCTCTGGTGCGGCGTAGTAGATGCAAGAAATCCAAGATGCCAAATTGTGCCGCGTGGCAGGGGTAGCGGTAGGCTGTCCCAGAATTCAACATCGGCGTCGTATTGTCATCGCGGCACCCGGGCGGTGGGGTACAGCGGAGAGTTTTGGTCGGGAACTGCCGATGCTACCTGCAAAGGATGGGGCAGCAATGTTTCCCCCGCATTCGCATTGCCAGAGCGATTGCGATGTTGAGGCGGCGGCGAGCCGGCTGCCATGGTTGCGCTTTGCAGTCCCCAGACGCCGTTGGGAACAAAGTGTCCCCCACTTCCCCTTGCGGTTTAGGGTCAGAAGAACCTGAAAGTCTGCCCAGGAGTGAAACATTCTGGAAGGATTCACCCTGCCACGTGGAAGCCACGGCAGGAGACTAGCAATTTGTGCAAATCTTTCGCCAACTGAGCGAGCAAGCTTGACTGCTTTTTTCCGGGCCCAAGCGTCTGGATTTCTGCGAATATACGCTAATGGCCTGCATCTGGTTTATGCACTGAGCTGAAGATGTGTGCTTACTGCCGCGCCGTCCATTCACTTGGTGAACAGCGCATTGAACTGCAGGTCCACGTGTAGTGGACGGTTTTGTGGAACATGGGTAAGAATCGGACGGCAATTGCTTGGTTTCTGAGCGGACGGGGTTTCGGCGCACTCTCCAGTGATGGCGGGGACCTGCAGAAGTATGATTGGACAGATGCCCATGGGGAAGTCAGGGGTATTATGGGGTTGGCGAATCAGCGGTGCGTTTGGCGGTCACTGGTGTGGGCTGGATCTTGGATCGCTGTGGAGTTTCGGACCGTCAACCGAGGAGGATTCGTGCTGCGAGCCTGCGACTGCAAGATGTTGAGGGCCCCTGTCCTCGCCAAGCCATGCCAGATGCTTGCCAGCCAGCAACAAGTGTGTCATTCCCTTGTGTTGCGAAGTGCTGCTAGCAGTTCACAGTGGCCAGCTGATCGATTCGATTGCAATAGCAGATGCTGTTAACGATACTTACACTCGCGCATTGAGCAGTGACGGAAATCTCGGTTGTGATGGTGGATGTGGCGCCGTTGGGAGGCTGGTCTTGCGTGACCGGTCGGGCGTGTCGGTCAACGGCACTTGCGGAAGAGGGTCCCGCGCCGAGGGTCCGCCGGTACCAACTTTCCATGGTACCTAAGGCACGGTGCTAGTTAGCAACGTCGCCGGAGGTAATTCAACAACCCGGAGAGGGGCACTGATCATCACGGCCTCGGAGCCTCCCAATCAAGGTCGCAAAGAGGGGACAGCGAGGTGTGAGTAAGCTAGAGATGATCATCGCGCTCGTGGAAAACCATCATGGTTGACGGACACGCGTGCCATACAGGGGTCAAGACCCAAATGTTTAACAGCTGACCATATTGTTGAGAGGCTACGGTCGCTGGCGGAACGCAACAACCGTCGACAGATGATGCTGCATCGTGTTTTGGCGTGTGCAAACTGCAAAGCGGGAAGCCTGAATGCAGGTGTTGGAATTGATGAGGCTCTGTCTGATTGGCCCCTGGTCTTTCGATTTGTTTCAATTTGTGCATGTCGTTGAACTACTTCGTAGGTTTCGCTGCTATCTCGGTCGATAATTGACGACATAAGTTCTCCAATATTGGCCTGCCGTCCGTACCAAGCATCGAGACAGCCACAGGCGCAAAGCCCCATGACTGTGCAATATCGACTAACAAACTTTTTTCTCCGAGTTGTCGATTCTAGGAACGCACAGAGTTCGGAAGTTTCACCCTGGGCCAACCGGTTGGAGCGTTTTGCAGAAATTGACATTCTTACCCTGTCAATTGGTAAATGAATCCGTTGGATTTCAATGCTTCTCAATGCAACGGAGGCTGTTTGAGCAGGCAGGTCATGGGCTGAAGCAAGCAGAAATCACCTGATGGCAGCGGGAGAGTGGATGTTGATGGTGTTGTGTTGGCATCAACAAAGGCAGGAACCAGTTTATATGTCATTCCATGATATTTCCACGTCGTGTCGTTCGAAATGGTGGGCAGTGAGTTAGCTATACTGGATGGAAAGCGGTGGTTTGCTTGTCCTCGCGGATTGGTACTGAATGAAGAGAAAAATTGTTAAGCCGCTGCCCCACACAGGCGCTCGGCAAGAGCACCCATAGCTCGCAAGGTTATCTCGGTTAGTGTGTCCACTGCCAGGCCCCAAATGTCATCTGCCGGGGCTACTCAGTGCTAAGTAGGAAGTTGCAAAGCGTGGTTCGGTCTCAGGTCGTTTTGCAAACAAGTTGGGAGAAACTCGAAGCGGATACGGGGCCTTCGGACCACCCTTCAAACATCACCTTGCATACACTTACACACTAGATAAAATGATTCGACAAACATGGCAAGAGGCTTGTTATCGTTGCCTCCGCCCCCAGTACCATAACAGCAGGCACATATAATCACTTGCACGCAGTAACAGGCGTCCTATAGCAACCCTGATCTTGGTCAAACATGAACGGTTCTGCGTCGCGGTTGGTGACAACGGCAGGTCTTAAGCGATGGGTGCTGCTGGGCAGCACGACATGACGACATGGGTTACTTGCAGCTTTGTGTCGCGTCGCCTCGAATGTGCAGCCACAGGTTTGGTGTCCCGAAGCAGTAATCGATGAGTGAGTAATAAGAAGCCGATCTCAAGTTCTCAACGCCATGAGGTGACGGGCTACACTTTCCTCGGCGGCACTCTGGCCGAACAAGCCCAGCGCCAAGCCCGCTATGGACAGGGATGCTGCAGCCCTTCCCCTGTCAGCAGTGGCGCCTTCTCCGCCGCCTCCAACCGCCTCCAACTGTCAACAAATTTGTCAATTGTCGTGCCTGTGGAGAGACTGCCCTCTTCGCCATGCAACAACCGCCGAACGCAGCATCCAAAGTGGAGTGAACGAGGCTTCCCCTCCCTCCATTTCCAGGTGCTGACAGCACTGGTGAGCACTTGGCCAGCGTCAGGCGCACCATACCGTGCTGTAACTACCAGAGAAGGTGCTGCTAGGTAGCTACTACTGCTTCTGTCGACGGGTCCGGCGGGCGTGTCCACAGGGCGCCGTCTTCGGGGGCTCCAATCCATATTCAGAAATGTCCCGCTTCCATGCGAATTGCGATGCCTAGTGCAGAGTTGCTTCTCCACCAAGACCAGCGTTATGACCCCCTGCCCATCTGGATGGCTAACCCTGTCTTGCCCTGTTGCGTGAAGCTTCCTGGCGGGTCGAAAAAGAGGGCCATATATCCTCACGCAGACCCTAAAGGTGAGGTTTCCCCAGAAAATCCGCTTCTCTCTCGCCCACACAGTCGATTCGCCCCGCGCCCGCACACCTTGCCTCCCGTCCCGCCGCTTATATTGCTTCCTCAATATAAACTTAATCCTCGATATTGTGCTGGACCAGACTGAAGCGCCTCTATCGCCAATCGCAGCCGACCTCATCGGCAAGCTCGCTCGCAGTTTTCCTGCTGTGTATGCACGCCAAGCAGACATTACACACTCTCACAAAGTGCCCTGGGAGAAGCAGGAACAGCGCCAGAAAAATTACCGATTCGTTCCCCTGTTCGAATCGGGCATCCCTTGGCCCTTTTGGCACCTCCCGTCCGCTCCGTCCCCTCTCCAGCACTATACGGCAATCGCGTGAGGGTTTGGCGCTGTGAATCTGGCTCTGGGGAGCATCTCGACTCTGGACTCACCTTTACTGGGGACGATCTTGTACCTCAGGTTGCACACCGCTAGGGGAGCTCGGAAGGGGTGTGTGTGAAAGAGAACGCCCGGCAACGTGAGCCAGGCCAAGCCGTTCTTTGCTCTCGATCCGTTCTCCGTACGTTGAAGATCCCATCCTTCCCTGTCCTCCACGTTCTCGACAAGACCCGTTTCCATCCCGTGTCCCCCTGTCTGTCGGCTGGGCCGCTTCCACTCCCCCTCCCCCAACCCCGCCATGCGGTAGCTGGTACTGCATCTATCGTGCAGATGGCTGTGCCGCCTTCTCTCACAACCGCGTTGATCACCTCCCATCTTTTTGGTGTCTGTCAATGCTATCTGACCTACCATCAATGCTCATGCCCCTGTCGTTCACCTTTCCGTACAAGGAAGCTGACTTTCGGTCCGTCTAACTACCGTTCTCCAGCCTGGGTCCGGTAGCCCGAACTCCATATTTCCGCCAAGGGCTTGGATATAGATACCTCGCACCTCCCATCATCGTCGCCGACACCTCTCACCTGCGGGTCTCACCTGTCTTCAGCAGCATAGACGTAGTCGAGCTTCAACCAACTACCCGCATTCGCTCGAAGCCGCCCGTCTACACATGTTCTAATTCGTGGTCTTGACGACCCCCCTTATTAACTAATTCAACCTTGCTCTATCCTCGTCACTCGAACCCTCATCCTACCAGTACTCAACTCACAGTTGGAAGACGTTGCTCGATATGTTGTCGAACCCGCTCCACCGGTTTTCCCCCTACCACGCGATCCCTTCCGGCGCGCTTCTGTCGGGCGGTCATGTCCCTTCCAGTCACCTCCACGCTGCCGGCCTTGACTCCCTAGCTCCGGGGTCCCATTACGCCCTTCAGCAATTGCAGCAACACGTGGGTGTCCACAACCCGCACCTCGCCAGAGCTGGGCCGCAACAGAAGCATCGCCAACACCCTTATGGACCCGCCGCCAGAGCTGCCGGAGCAGCGGGCCCCATCCGGAGGAGAATCAGCAGGGCGTGTGATCAGTGCAACCAGTTACGGACAAAATGCGATGGGCAACATCCCTGTGCTCATTGCATTGGTGAGTTTGTCCGCAATTCCTTGACGAGGTCCCGAATCTCTTTCTAATCAGGGCAGAATTCCAATTGGGCTGCGAGTACATCCGGGAGCGTAAGAAGCGCGGCAAAGCTTCCAGAAAAGACCTTGCCCAGCAAGCTGCCGCGCAGGCCGCTGCTGCTGCCGCCTCCCAGAACGGACAAAAGTCTGAAAGCCAAGCAGGCGAAAACAGCCAGTCAGCAGACAGCCGAAGCGATACAGCCAGTACCACGAAGCCGTCGGTGTCCACGGAGCAACAGTCAAACTCGGATAAGAGCCTGAACGAGATTCCCGAGGATCCTGTCAGAGGCCAAAGAACGGGAAGCATGGACAGTCTAGGGGATTTGGGGTCTCACCAAGGTCAGATGACGAGTCATCCTGGGACACTAGAGAGAGACCACCTGGACAGCCCGACTGCTCTCGATCTCAATGGATATGGCGCTATTCACCCGGCATATGACCGCCAAGTGATGAGCTCACACATGATGGGCGGTGCGCCACACACGTCTTACGCCTCCAACCAGGGCAGCATGTCAAGCTATCCCGATCTGCCGTATGCGTTGCAAACACAGAGCCCCACGGGCTACTCGGCAAACGCCTCGAACGGGTTCCGCCTCGGCAACAGCCCCCTGAGCGCCTATCCGATGGGTGGCGAGACCACCTCTCCTGGTTGGATGAACATGTCGTCGCCGCCGCCTCAGTTTGCTTCCCATGTGCCCCAGAACGGCTATGGCCATTCGCAGCTGCGCTACCCCGTTCTGGAGCCCCTGGTGCCACACCTGGGCAACATGATCCCGCTCTCTCTCGCCTGCGATCTCATTGACCTCTACTTCGCGAGCTCGTCATCGGCCCAGATGCACCCCATGTCGCCCTACGTTTTGGGGTTCGTGTTCCGAAAGCGATCCTTCCTGCACCCTACTAAGCCTCGCCAGTGCCAACCAGCCCTCCTAGCAAGCATGCTGTGGGTTGCTGCGCAAACAAGTGACGCTCCGTTCCTGACGAGCGTCCCTTCGGCGCGCGGCAAGATCTGCCAGAAGCTGCTGGAGCTGACCGTCAGCCTCCTCAAGCCGCTCATCCACACGCCCTCGGAGGAAGCCTCGCCCGTCTCGAGCCCCATCGTCGACGGCGTAGCGCTTGGGGGCCTCGGTGTCGCCCTTCCCGGTTCTATCAGCATGGACGCTCTGACTGGCGAGTCGGGCGCCTTTGGCGCTGCCGGGACTCTTGACGACGTAGTTACCTACATCCATCTGGCGACGGTGGTGTCTGCGAGTGAATACAAAGGCGCTAGTCTCCGGTGGTGGAACGCTGCATGGTCGCTCGCTCGTGAGCTCAAGCTTGGGCGCGAGCTGCCTCAGAATGCCCCGGCGAGCCGTCAAGGCGGTTCAACCGATATGGACGGTGAGGACGGCGCGGAGATGGGCAGTGTTCCTGGAGTTGTTACCGAGGAGGAACGGGAGGAGAGGCGACGGATCTGGTGGCTCGTCTACATCGTCGACCGCCACCTGGCGCTGTGCTACAACCGTCCACTCTTTCTTCTCGACATTGAGTGCGAGGGGCTGCTCCGGCCCATGGATGAGCTTGACTACCAGAATGGCAATTTCCACGCTTACACGGACCCTAACGTGCTGGCCTCGGAGCCAGAGTCCGCCCAGAATCTCCGGGGTCGCGGTCCTTCGTTTGAATGCACCGGCCATAGCATCTTTGGCTACTTCCTCCCCCTCATGACCATCCTAGGTGAGATCGTTGATCTGCACCATGCAAGGAATCACCCACGCTTCGGCGTTGGCTTCCGACCGTCCCGTGAGTGGGATGACCAGACAGCCGAAATCACACGCCACCTTGAGGTGTATGAGCAAAGCCTCAAAAAGTTCGAGCAGCGTCACCTCAGCCTCAGCGCGCAAGCGCAGGCCGCCGACGAGAAGGCTGCCGAAGCCGCTGGCGTGCCCACGGCCAACGACCTGCCACACGACATCGGCACCCCCTCGGTGCACAGCGTGCACAGCGTGCACACCAACTCCAGCCGCATGACCGAGAGCGACATTCAGACTCGCATCGTCATGGCGTATGGGACCCACGTCATGCACGTATTGCACATCCTGCTCACGGGCAAGTGGGACCCCATCAACCTGCTCGACGACAACGACTTGTGGATCAGCAGCCAGGGCTTCATCACGGCCACGGGCCATGCCGTTTCGGCCGCCGAGGCCATCAGCACTATCCTCGAGTTCGACCCGGGTCTCGAGTTCATGCCCTTCTTCTTTGGCATCTACCTTCTCCAAGGCTCCTTCCTCCTCCTCCTCATCGCCGACAAGCTCCAACTCGAGGCGTCGCCTAGCGTGGTCAAGGCCTGCGAGACCATCATCCGCGCCCATGAAGCTTGTGTTGTGACGCTCAACACTGAGTATCAGGTGTGTATAAACTGACTTGAAATTGAGTCCATTGAGATGATATGATGCTGACTACTTGCAGCGCAACTTCAGCAGAGTGATGCGCAGCGCCCTCGCTCAGGTCCGTGGCCGCGTGCCCGAGGACTTGGGCGAGCAGCACCAGCGTCGCAGGGAGCTTTTGGCCCTGTATAGATGGACTGGCGACGGGACCGGGTTGGCGCTGTGAATCTACTACCCTCTGTTCTTTCCATTTGTGTCGTTGAGAGCACTAGCAACCCCGTTTTTGGTTTGGTGTTTTGCTTTTTGGGATCTGTACAACGCTCTTCTGGCTTTTGTTCATTTACTAATGTGCATACACGATTTGCGAACTGGGCAGGCTTGGTCGGCTGGTTTGGTTCGATATCCCTCCCCCTTTGGCTTGGCGTTTAAACTTGCTGGTTCTACTTGGGTTTTGATTGGTTACCTTATTTTCTTTTCCTTGTACGGAGGGAGTCTTGGTGATATGGGGGCGGCTCTTAAAAAATGAAAATGGTGCAAGTAGCCTGGCAAGGCAATGATTTAAGGTTGTCTGGCGGGTATACGAAAGTGTTTTTCCTGGACGGCTGGATAAGCAGAACCAGAGGAATTGAACGAACGGCTTTGGGTGGCGGGATATGGAGCGTCTGCTCTGCTTTTCGCTTACTATACATATATGAGGACATGGGCGGTGGTGCCGTTGGCTTGTTTGCAGAGTTCCCGGCTTGCCTTTGGGTTTCGGTTTTGGATGGATGCAAAATCTCTTGCTTCTGTTGGCGAGAGGTAAAAGATGCCTCAGGTGTGGTAGATACTCTTGGGTAACTTGCTTATACAAATAAGTATATGATCTGGATTCCACAGTCCTCTCCTCTGTTTTCTCTCTGAGCAATTTGTCCGTCATTGCAGGGATATGTCTGGTCCGTTGAACATAGCTTGTATTACGAAGCGTTCTTGGAAAGCTGTTCTGAGAAGCATACCATGTGTTTATGCCGTCCTTGAGTACTCGACAGCTTTGGGGAGCATTGACAAGATTGACTGACAACCAGCGTGTATGCCAGATGCCATTCTCTTCACCCCACATTGTTCGCTTGATCCCCTCAACGCCAACAACTTCACAACACATCATGTACCAAGAAAACAAGAGGGTTGAAGGGTATTGTATCTTGAACGGTCAAAGCATGGATCGACGGTAGGTGTTTATGGTACAAGTCACTGAAGAAAAGAGGAGGAAATACAGACATGATGGACTCGAAGATTATCACCACTCTCAGACACAAGGTGAGGTACCTCAGCAATCGAGACCTTGAGCTTGGATACACCTGGTTGGTAAACCAAATTAGCCCCCAAAGAAACCAGTAACAACTACGTTGGCACCATCACGGTGAAAACCCGAACTTATGGTTGGGCCGTGACCGAATCGTGAAATGTTCCCTGTTGGTGTGGGCGGTGGTCTGACTGTATCAAGATTTTGAGTGATCTTGGAGGTGCGGATCAGAACCTGTAGGAAATTGTAATATTCTTTCAGTACTTAATGTTCACCTTGCGGTAGTTGACTTGTACAAGGTTCTAAAGCACACAAGAGTTAGTCGAATAAAACACAACTGTTTGGGAAGTGTGTACTTCACTACTTACTGCTCCTCGAATTGGTGATGATCTGGCTGGTGTATCGCGATGTTTGGCAAGACTCGGCCGCACCAAGATTAGATGGTTTTTCTATTGGATTATTAAAGCTTGAGCTTTCCCTCAAAACTTCTTTCTGGCAGTGCTTGTGTCGCTCCTTCCCGCCACTTGTTTCTTCGCTAACTGAAGCAATCGAATTGAGACTTCCCTCGGACCTTCGTTCTGGCCTTGCTTGTGTCGTTCCTTCCTGTCTTACTTCGCGGACAGCTATGTCGCTCCGAGTTCGACGTTTGGGTTTGTACTCTCCAATCCAACTGGCGTGGCATTTTTTTCCCATTCCTCTTACCCGTACTTTCCCCCCAGCCTTCGACTTGAACCCTCCAACTCTCTGTATAAGGCCAAGATGGGAACCTCGTCTCAAAGGCAGTCGATACTAGGAGGACTAGGAAACCACGTCTACCTAAAAAAGCAAAACAGTCTGCGCATGCTTGGCATTCCCGTCGGCGTGCAGGTAAAAAACGCCCACATGGGAAGCCGTCACATCGGCAGAACCTAACTTCTCTGTAGATCATCGTCGTTGGCGAGCAATCTTCCGGCAAGAGCTCCCTACTCGAGCGCCTGACTGGCTGTTCTTTCTTGCGAGGTCAAGGAATCGGCACCCAATACATAACGAGCGTCAATTCCCAACATCAGGCGAGTTGTGAAGTTGTCATCTCCATCATTCCAGGATCACAAAGAAGTCCGGTCGAAAAAGGAGAAGCTGCAGGCTTTTCGTAAATGGGAATCAGGTAGAGTCAGTGAGGGTAGGCTCGCCAGCCTTATTGAAAAACTGAGCTTCCATTATTTTCTGACATGCGGGACAATGCTCAATTTAATTCCTAGGCTGAGAAGCTCACGGGGATCCGCTTCGACAAAACCCCATCGGAGAGCAATCTGCCTATGTTGAGCAGTGACACCTTGAAGGTCCCTTTTAAGGGACCCGAGGTGAGTTTTTCTTCTGAATTACCAGGCTGACAATAGCACTGACACCGTAGCAGGAGCCTTAGCTCACTTTCAATGACATTCCTGGTGCCTGTGTCGTGACCGAGGAAGGCGAGCTTCCACCCTGGACAGTTTGTGGCCGCATCTAACAGGGGTGTTGTAGGCCACGTTAAGGAGGAGAACAAGTTGGTATTTGAGAACCTCTGCAAAATCTTGAAAAATGAGAATGTCATGTGAGACCACACACGATCCTAAACCCTGCTCTTGCTCATAGTAATAACCGCGTTTCTTAGAATCCTCGTCGTCATGTCTTGTCTTGCTATCGGGAGCACGGACAACATCCTGAAGGTTGTCAGGGATGCTGACCCCGAAGGCACTAGGACAATCGGCGTACTGACTAAAGCCGATCTTGTCCACGATAAGGACGTCTTCCGGACGCTTCATGAGCTCGTGAGCGGCAGCTCCTTGCCGCTGGGCTATTTCGTTGTACGCAACCGTTGCACCGGCGAAGATAGTCTCAGCCTGGATCAGTGCAAAAATAAGGAGAGACAGCTCTTCCAGAAGCCTGAGTGGGCAGCAATCGCAGCGTTGCGGCGCACGGGCGTAGATACGTTGCGAAATGAACTCCGGCGCCTGGTCGCCAACCTTGATAGGCAGGAGCTGCTGAGACAGAGCATCAAATTGACGGGGCAGCTGGAGGACAGCCGCAAGGCCTTGGAGGAGATGGGCCCTCCCCGTAACCTTCCAGCCAGCCAGCGGGAGTACCTCACCCTTCTGGCGTGCCGTTTTGAGGAGATCACCCGCAATGCGCTCCAAGGACGCTATGCCAACGCTGTCTTCAGTCAGGAGCCCGGTCTAAAGCTAATTGATCAGGTTGTCACCCTAAATCACGGCTTCTCGAGTTTGATGGCGGAGAAAGGGCATACGGCAAGGTTCCAGACCGACCTTTTCCAGGTCTCGGTGAGCAAGGCCGTTGAGGAGTACGAGACTGCGCTGGCCAATCTTTACAACGTTGTTTCGGAGTATCCAGAGCTTAGGGGCATTCTTCCGACGAGCAAGCTCAAATGCGCTGGCCCGTCTGGCCAATCGATCGCGGAGCACATGACCACGGTATACAAGGAGAAGAGAAGCCCGGAGCTCGGGACTGTAAGCTTTTGAGCCGTAGCAGCAGGCTGACCTCTCGAGCTAACAGTATGGCGCAGTTAGGCGAAAACCTTCTTGGCGCGCTGTTCAGAGAACAAGCGAAGAAGTGGGGTTCCATTGTCGATGGGCATATGGGAGCTATGATTGTCACAGTCCATGGCTTCGTGAGGAAACTCGTCGAAGTCGTTGCTGGAGATCCGCGAATCCGCAAAGAAATTTGGGGAACCATCCTCTTAGACAAGCTCCTGGAGCAATATAGACGGGCCATTCGTCACGCCGATTTTCTCATCGACGTCGAGTTGAACAGTCTGCCTATGGCTGTCGAGCCTTTCCATGAGACCTATTTCGGCGGAGCACGCGCGATGCGGCTGGCCGAAGGAACTCAGGATGCATCAGCGACAGCTGACCAGCAAGTTATCAAGCCGGGAGCGGTTTACCCGGTGACAGGTAAAACAGATGCCGAACAGGTTGCGGAGGACATGGATGACGTTCTGAGGAGCTACTACATAGTCTCGCTCAAGCGGCTAGTAGACGCCGTTTGCAGGCAGGCGATCAACCATTTCCTGCTTAGGGGTCCCGAAAGTCCGCTGCAAATCATCCGACCAGCCACAATCGCCCGGTTGAGCGACGACCAGTTGAACCAGATTGCGGGCGAAGACAATCCGACCAAGGGAAGGCGGGAGCATCTGAAGTCCGAAATCTTCAAATTCGGATATGCCGTGAAGGAGCTCAGGGATTGGATGGGAGAGGAGGAGGTGTGATGATGCCTGGACGCGAGGTGAGATCGAATCTGCGAATGTCGAAGGAGCCGTTCTTTCAAGGTTAGATTCAGCCTGTAATAGATACCTTGGTCCGACGCCGCTGAAATAGCGACGTATCAAACAAATCAGCTTCCCCCTTCCAGCTCGGCCATCCTCTCGTCCAACCTCCTAGCCATATCCGCCTCCACATCGTCCCCCTCCTCTCCAACTTCTTCAATGCCCCTCCTTCTCAGTTCCTCCTGCACCATCCGCCTCGTAAGCATTCCCTTGCCCTTCCACCCCTTAATCGGCTCCTCTTCGCCCCTTATCTTCCTCCCCCACCCCTCAATACTCCTCATGCCCACAACCAAGAAACCCAACTCCTCTCTGTCGACATCAAAAACCTCCCACCATTCGCACTCGGGCATCTTGGCGCCCACGTCGCGGGCGGCGTTGTAGATGGCCGCGACGGCGAGCGCATTGGGCTGGCTGGTGCAGTAGAGCATTTGTGGGGAGAGCACCGCGGCGTTGAGGTAGGCTAGGGCTCGCTTGGCGATCGTCTCCTTGGGCATGTTCAGAAAATCGAGCGCCTGCAAATAGGTGACGGCCAGCGGGTGAGGGAGAGCAACGTGCGTGTTGAAGGACAGGGCGTAGAAGACGCGCGCCTCGATGGCCAGCAGGCGCGCGTGGAACGACTGATACTGCGATTCCGACAAACAATATTTTGGCGGGTTGTTCTCCGCCGCGGCCGCGGCCAGGGGCTGGTGAAGTGGGTGGAAGAAGGTTGAGGCTGGGGATACGAGGTAGGCGTAGACGTTGCATACGTCTCTCGGGGAGCGTGGGGAGGCGGAGAGTTTGGCGGTTAGGTACATGGCTGCTGCGGAGACATCCTGCGATTTCTGTTAGACAAAGGCCGGGAGGAAGACGGGAGGTTGCTGCCAAGAGGATAAGAGGGGAAGGGTTACGCTGAACTCATGTGCCATCAACGGCTCGACGAGCCAGTACCGCGCTAGGAGGACGTTGGCTTGTGCCGTGATGGACTGCGGCAGCTGGAGGAGGATGCCGGCGGCTTGGGTGAGGCATTGCGCCGCAAAGAAGATGGCGTCTTGGAGCTCGAGCGGGAGGGCGCCGAAGGAGCGCCGCTGGAATAATTGCTCTGGCGTGGCCAGCGGGTTCGTCATGTGCGACATGTTGGCCGGTTCTGCTGTGAGCTTGGGAATTAGATCTCTGGTTGAGGTTGGTTGAGGTGAGCATGTGTTTGGGTGGCATGGCCCCGCCAGACAGAGATGTGCGATTGGCGGGTGTGACCTGACCAATGCCGAGTGGGTCTTCTGTTCCCCGCTCAGGCGCTCTGAGTCTCTGACCGCAAGCCGTGACCCCTGTCTGGTCAACAGGCGGGGGGAGACTGGTCAGGTCAACTTACAATACAACCCTTGTTTGTTTATTAGCGCGGAACTCAGGACAGGGGTCCTGGTCCAAATTTCAAAAAGATACAGCTCAACAGCCAGAGGGAATACTTCAACGCAAAAAAAATCAAGCATCTAGCAATGTTCAAAATAGTCGTTTTATTTACCTATTATACCCATGAGCAAAGTGGCTGTTTTACTGTCGATATCTGACTTTTGAGGTTGACCCCTGTCTTCAAGTCAGGCGCTAGCGAACAAACCAGGGGGATATTGTATCATTTGCGTTCTCGAGGGACTTGACGCAAGTAATACACCTATGCTAAGGTACGTTACCAGGCAGCCTGCTAATTGTTGACTCTTTCAATGAACCTGAACACGGCTTGTGGTCGTACGTATTTTGCAGCTATGGTACAGTGTATGTGGATGGAACCTTCCCAGCAACACCAACAAGAGCAACCGCGCTAGCGCTACCTATAAACCCCCCCCCTCTCTCTTCCCTCCTCACCCTCCTTCGACCATGAATCAATCTGACTCATACGTATCCACGCTTCCTTTTTCTCGACGCTCAACCAATTCAAACACTCTGAAAACACACCACGCGGCGTAACCGCGTCCATATTTACATATCCTTCCAACGGCCTCCAAAGCAGAGCACTCAAGACACTTCCATGACCCGGGAGACAGCGCTGCTCGAATCCTTACCAATGAGCAGACCGCACAGCTCAGCGTGTAACGCAGGTATGCAGACCACCGAAGCAACCCCAAACCTTTGCCACTACCTAGTACATTTTACCTCTGGTCGCCAAATGTTAGGTATCGCACGCAGGATGGAAGACTGGTCAGGTCAGCTCCAGGGCACTGGTCAGGTCAGCACAGGGCACTGGTCAGGTCAGCACAGGGCCCTGGGCTTGGATCAGTAAAGTACGGATACAGTACTCCGTACCCCTTAGGATCTGCCAACTACCTCATAAATTTCAAGCTGCTACGCTACAAAGCAAGGACTGGTATTGCCAGATCTCTAAAGCGAACAAGACAATTATCTCTATCATTAGGGGTTATCAGTCTGTGATGCAGATTACACTATCCGGAAGATACGGCTGAGCAAAAGTCAGGGACCAGCAAGGTTGCATGGCCCGGGCGTTTGTATCAATCAGTCTCCGTAAGCAGCTGCCTTCGCATTACGGATAGTGTAGGGGTGAATTGTACAATACGATTGGTCAGTTTGGAGGAGCTTTACGGAGATACAAACGGTACATCCAACGAGGTGGCGGCCTGGGACCCCTGACCATCCATGCAACCTCAGTAGCCCGACTGATCATTCCAGTATAGCGTGTCATGGAAAACCCTAAAGTGATTTGTCAACTTCACATGTATGGAAGAGAGACGAAGATGAGGGGAGAGTGTTGCTGAAGAGCAGCAGCGAATAGGGTACTCACTCTGGCCCAGTGGCATAGAGGTCCCAGTCAAACTTGATCCTGATAAACTGCTGCAGGTGGCTGGCAACTTTGATGGCTCCTACATCCGTCGGGTGCCACTGCGGCGCGATATCGTTGTGCTGCATGATACCCGTCGTGTTGAAGTAATGGACGAACGGTTTCGCCTTCTTGCCACTTCTTGAGGTTTTCTTGGTGACGCCGTCATAGACGATGGGGTTGCGGAGATAGTCATCAGAGTTGAACCTGCGGTCTCCCATCAGTTCCTTGCCGGGCATGAACAGGGCATTTTTAAAGTAACCGCTCGGCCACTGGACAGATGCAACAGCCCAACTCACCACTTGACCATTTGGTAAATCTCATTGACCCAACCCTCCGGGGCGTTGGGCAAGTATGTGTTGCCAGACTGGTAAAAGCCGAGCCAAAGCGACTAGACCCGAGGATTCACGTTAGCTGTCATCCTGTAACAGCGTCAGGTCCATGGCAAGGCCGAACTAACCATTACGATAACTTGGGCCTTCGGCCACTTGCCATGGATGCCTTGAATAATCTTGGTCAGGGCATCAATGTATTCTTCGGTGGAGACATTGTTCGCTTTGTTGTTGTCATTTGTGCCGATATTGATGACAACAAGGTCAGCGGCTGGGTGTTTGCTGAAATCCCACGGCTCCGGATTATCTGTAGCAGACTGAGTGTCAAATCCCCCACCCAGAGAGACACCGGAGCGATCCGGTCAATAACACAAAGTTCAGCGCCAACTCACCACCATGCATTACAGACGCTCGGTAGCTCGTGTCAGAGGTATAGAACCACTGGTGAACTTGTCCCCGCGGGTTACCCCAACAATTCTGGTCTGCCGCGCAGATTCCGGGATAAGCCGTCACGGAGTACTCGGTGTTGCCTAATCCAGCGCCGAGGCCGCTACTCAGTTCTCACGTCAGTTGCGGTTCCGTGGGCCAGGGGCTTGAGTTGCAAACACAGCCTGTGCTTTGATCCAGGCTGGGACGGATTTTGCTTGAGGACGAACATACTAGGCCCAGCTGGATAGCCCTTCATACGATGTATACATTCCGGCGGCGAGGCTGTCGCCAATAACCTCGATCCGGCGGTCAAAGTCGGGGATTTTGATAAGCTTCTCGCCAGCATCGACATGGACAGCGTCGATTTGCACTCCGTACGCCCAGTTGGTCACCCGCAGCTCAAAGGTCCACGGATTGATAGGACCGGTCAGGTTGGATCCCGGAGTGTCTGGGCTCACGAGCAGATGAGTGGCGCCCGCTGTGATGTTGGTGAACATCCTAACCATGGTGTCAGCCCAATTACTAGTAACTCACGCCCATTGGTGTCACATCCAGTCCAGAGAACAAAAACAAAACGGACGTCTGCAATTCCAGTTGGCCTCAGGTTAAGAAGCACGTACCAATCGAGTCCTCCAATGCGATAGCCGACGAGAACACCATCGCTAGTCAGGTTGCCGAAAGAGATGGCTACCGTCTGTCCCGTGTAGCCAAATTTAATGCCAGGAGCGCTACATGGATTTCCAACTGTCAGTTCGTTGCCCTCCCAGATTACCGGAACTCGACCCGGAGGGCGACACATACGACCACCAGGAAACGTGTTTAGAGTCCCATCGGCCCTTGTACGAGATCTCGCTGGCATTTGCGGGATATGTTTGGAAGGAGTAGTCTGTCAGGTCGATGCGGGTGTCTGGATAGTTGGTAGGTTTAACTTGACCGTTCTGCAAGATAGTCGCGGAGACGTGTGAAAACAAAGCGAGGCCGAAGACGGCCAGAGAAGCGAACGGCAGCATCATTCCCTATGGTTACCCCGAAAGTTGCGAGTAACCGAGACGTTGAGAAAGGAAGGCTTGTGTTAAAAGTCCCAGTATATACTTATGTTATCAGGTGAACATTGGGAATGACATGCGCGCCATTGGGGCCAAGAGACGACTGGCCATTGATGGGGCTGATTTTGTCCGTTGCCCCTCTAGGCCATGACCTGGCGGACATATGGAACTCAAGCCTTACGTGCTCAGAAAAAAAATGTGGAACATGCCATTGAAGCTCTTGCGATATCGCCATCAGCTTCTGGAAGATTGATAGCCGCCGTCTTAGCATGCGGGCCCATGTCGGCTTAAAACCGCCCGTCGTCCTCGGAAGGGCAAGCTCCGCTCTCCCATCTCAGTCAAGCCGGCTCCGCTGTCCCGGCCTTGTCCGGTCCGGCGAATTGCCCCGCGCGGGACGTATCTTCCACATCGTCATCCGGGAGAAGTTTAGAGAGGAAGTCAAGATGATGTTCCAACGGATTGCATGAGCTTGGAGCCGATCCCGTTCCAGGTCCCCGCCTGTTGCATATCGCACAGTACCATAACTTGGTCCCCATTTATCTTGCTGTCCATCAACTAAGTATAGTCGATGCCATGGGAAGATTATAAACCTGGTGGCATTGTGGTGCCTTTTATCGCATTCAAGCATGATTCTGGAGGACCTCCAGTGGAGGTGCGTAGCTGTGAGAGACGCATAGGCAAAGGCCAAAAGGACTGCCTTAGGTGCTATCACTGCAACGGCTAGTTGTCTTAGCCAATCGGATGCCCTGTCAAGTCAGGGTTAGAGTTTGACGGAGCCGAGCTTCAGTCAGTACAACAGGGGTCCTTGTTCAGAAGTTAGAGAAAGTACTTCTTAGCAGCTAGAACAGTTGACTCAATGCAATAAAAAAAGAGTTTCTAGCGTTATTCAAGAAAAATATTTTCTTTAGAGCCCTTTTTTCGTGAGAAAATTGGCCGTTTTACTGTTGAGATTTCAATTTTAGGGCTGACCCTGGTGTTGAAGTCAGGCGCAAAAACAGACAAGGGGGGACTGTATGGGGTACACCGCGCCTCTAACAAAAACAGGCTGTGTTGAATTCAGACATCAGCGCATCACCGACAGCAGAAGGCATTGAGGTACTATAGTGTCTTTACTCTACAAGCTCCTGAATCAGGAATTGATGGCTTAAAATGAATTTCGCACAAGTTGTAGTGTGGATTCAAATATACCTACTAGTACTGTACCTCCGTACCCTTCCAGAAGTTAGTACGGTGTGGCCCCAATTTGGTCTCGGAACCAGGCCCGGACCAATCACAACAAACAAAGTCACGAGACAACGCGAGCTTCGTGTGTTGCAGGCCCCTGCGGACCCAAAAGTCATTAGCACGTAAAGTCGCGTCACCCGACAGAATAACACTTTCGTTCGAATTCCAACCCCCTCGCATTGGCATTCGTGTACCCAGAAAACCAGTCAAATCCCTACTTCAATTCCGCTAACAAGTCCTTTTGTTATCATTATAGACCCAATTGGCGTCATTCGAGACCTGCCTGACCCTGATCTGACCTTATCCTTGCCGTTTTCGAGACGCGACGGGTGAATGACCTGAACGCGTCCCATTGGACGACATTTTACCGACTGCATTTGCAGACATTCCGAAGCCTTGTCCGAGTCATGGCCTCAGCGAAGCCCGAACCCGGGGCCTCAGTGAAGCCGGAACCGGGGGATGTCTCAGTGAAGCCGGAGCCCGCGGACAATATGGCGCTTGATGCCCCGCCTGCGCCGGCGAAACCGGGGGCTGAGGATCAAGAGAAGACCGGCCTCCCTCATCTCCAGCGGCTGGTCTCTGAGCGCTCGACTGAGCCCGAGCGACTGGAAGATGCTGTCGCCGCTGGTATGCGGTTTCTCCAGGACCTCAAAGAACCTTTGGAGGGCTGTGCCCAGCTCAGCACCACGCAAGCCCCGTAGTGGCTCAAGTCGATCAACGACCTCGAAGCTCTCGCTAAACTCTCTCGCACCATTGTGGGCGTCGTGGGCAACACTGGAGCCGGGAAATCGTCGGTGATAAGTGCGGTGCTTGACGACGAACGGTAAGTTGACCGACCCCAATGCCCGTGAACTTGCCCACTTACTCAATGCAACAGCCTCCTGCCAACCAACTGCATGAGAGCCTGCACTGCTTCTCCGACAGAGATTTCATACAACTACTCGGACAACCCGGACGAGCTGTACCGTGCTGAGGTTGAGTTCATCACCGCTGACGATTGGGCCAAGGAACTGCAAGCCCTGTACAGTGATCTCCTGGACGGCAATGGCGAGGTCTCGCGAGAGTGTACCAACCAAGACAGCGAGTGCGGCGTCGCCTATGCCAAGATCAAGGCTGTCTACCCCAAGATGACCAAGGAGATGATTGCAGAGGCCACTCCTCAGTCACTGGCGAATACCGTCGCTGTCCGACGGGTGCTCGGTACCGTCAAGAAGCTTCAAGCTACTACTGCAGCAAGTCTGTATCGTCAGCTACAAACCTATGGCGACAGCAAGGAAAAAGATACCGAAAAGACCATGGAATACTGGCCCCTTATCAAGGTCGTGCGCATCTACACAAAGGCCGCTGCTCTGGCCACTGGCGCTTGTTTGGTCGATCTACCTGGCGTTCAGGACTCAAACGCAGCCCGAGCTGCCGTCGCCGCCAACTATATGAAGGCATGTACTGGTCTCTGGATCGTCGCTCCCATTACTCGTGCCGTGGACGACAAAACGGCCAAATCACTTCTGGGTGACTCGTTTAGGTATGTAAAGGCGCTGTCGTCAGCCCTCATATGCTAATGCCTTGAGATAGACGTCAACTGAAGTATGACGGCGCATACTCTGCCGTGACATTCATTTGTTCCAAAACGGACGACATTTCTGTGACCGAGACAACAGAGAGTCTGGGCATTGAGACCGAGATCCACGATTCCTGGTGTGAGATTGAAAGACTAAACGATGAGATCAAACAACACAAGTCTGCGCTCGCCGACCTTAGAGACGAGCGAGAGGCTTGCGATGATCTCATTGACAAGGCGGAGCAGTCCTGGGATAAATGGGATGCCTTGTTGAGCAAGCTGTCCAGCGGCGTCACGGTCTTTGCGCCACACGACTCACCCGGCAAAAAGCGTAAACGGCAAGCCAAGACTCGGGGGAGCCGCAAAAATGGCGACTCGAGTGACATTGATGACAGCGATTACTCAGATACAGAAGATTTTGGCTCGAGCGATAAAGAGAATGAAGACGCGGGTGAGGGCCTGGGGAATCAGGAACCCCTCACTGAAGAGCAAATTGAAGAGAAGCTCGCTGCTTTGAAGGCCGAGAAGAAGGAAATTCGAGCGAGAAAGAAGGAGATCGAAGAGCAGGTCATGGACCATCGCAACAAGATCAAGGAGCTTATCGCTGAGCGGGATGTTCTGAACTTCGAGGTGAAAGCTACTTGTATCCAGGGGAGGAACGGCTATTCGAACGAGCAATAAAGCAGGATTTTGCCATGGGCATCAAAGAGTAAGTGCCCATGCAATTGGCCCTTCCATTCTAGCGCAGTGCTAACGTGCCAGCAGACTCGACCAGGAGAATGCTGCCGAGGAAGACGAGGCCAACTTCGACCCGGAAGTGGACATTCGGGACCATGATGCGGTCGCGGAATCCCTCCCCGTGTTCTGCGTGAGCAGCCGTGCTTACCAGAAGCTGAGGGGACGACTGAGGAAGGACGATTTCAGCAACGCTGGATTCCAGTCGATTGAGGACACTGAGATTCCCCAACTGCAGGCGCATGCTAGGAAGCTCACCGAGGCCGGTCGGGCAGCACACTCGCGACGCTTCCTAAATGACCTGCTTCAGCTCCTCAACTTTATGTCGATGTGGGCCACTGACGATGGTAAACGATCGGATTGGTCGGATAGGGAGAAAGCCAACGAAGAATCCCGGTTGCGGAACCGTCTCAGCAAGATAGAAAAGGTCAGCCTTCAACAATCTGTTTTCTCGAGTTCTATCAGGACGATCTCTCTAACTAACGCAAATAGGAACTGGAAGATGCCCTGGAGAAATGCATTGCTTCGGTGAAGCAACATCTCGCTGAAAACATTTTTGAGAAATTTGATCATTACATACCGAAGGCTGTCGAAGAGGCTGTGCCGACGGTCACGTCATGGGGTGCCCCCAAAGCTATGAGTGGACTGGTTTGGTCGACGTACAAGGCGACATGCAGACGAAACGGTGTTTTCCATGGCGCTTCGGGCCCGCGAGATTTCAACGAAGAACTCTTTGCCCCCATCTCAAGACACCTGGCTACTGGCTGGGAGCGCGCCTTCCAGCGTCGCCTCCCATCTTGCTTTGATGACTTTATCCGGACCACACGGGCCCTCCTGGAGACGTTCCACCGAGAGGCAACTGAGCGGGCAAAGGAACGCGGCACTAACTACGGCGGCTTGAATATGTTGGCTCAGCAGCTCCAATCTCATTCGCAGCGTCTCTCTGACATCAAAACGTTGTGCTTGCTTCGGCACAAAATCTCCAACGCGACGCCAATCGAGCTTTTACACCTGTTATCCAAGGCGGGATGATTCCGGCCTATGATGGCTGTGCTGCTGAGCGAGGTAAGTGTCATCTGACGATCGACGTGGCAGCAGCCAGCTAACCCGCCGTACCACAGGGACCGGCTCCTTTATGCGCATGAAGAACATAATGATCCGCCATGTTACCACGTACCGCAACAGCATGTTTCGCGACGCCACCAACGTTGTCCAGAAGCAACTTGAGGATATGTGCAAGCAGATGAAGCTCGAAATGGAGGAGTCTATCCAAGAGCTGCATGGGCGACTGTCGCGGGATTACCTGTCGGTGCTTGTCGGGACTGATGCTGGCTCCACCCTCCAGAGCGTTCCTCGTGTCGAGCGGATGCTGCGCGCTGAGATGGCAACTGTTTTGGCCAAGGCGGATCTGCCGTTTGCGAAGTTCTTTGCTAAGCAGCCCGAACAAGAGGGTTGTCCTGTGAGTAACGAGGGAAGCAACCCCCAAGAGGCTCAATCAGGGGGAGGTGACACAGTTCCTACCAATGTCAAGGCTGAGCCGTTGTAACGATAGTATGCCTTATTCTCTGTTATTGGCTGTTCAGATTTCTGGCGGTGGGAGGTAATAAGGGGGGTTGTTGCTGAAAACGGGGTTGCTCGGGAGGTTCTTGTTTTGGTATTTGTTGCTTCTTCGGCAAGGGTATAGTAATCGCTTACCTAGCTGATTTTACATTTTAACCTAGACCTGGATTGACAGGGAAGCTCAATTTCATGTAAACTTTGTGTGTGCTCGTCAAGCGTGTTATGTTGGACAGGGTGATGAATGGCCAAAAAGGGGTCTAACCCAGATGTAACCCTAACCCTATCCAATTAAGACGGATTACGCAGTAGGAAAAAAAGAGGATAAAAATGAAACAAAAAACCAGCAGAGCAGAGCAGCAGACATGAACCATGCTTCAGTTTAGTATGCATTTACAGTTTCATCCACCATGGAGTAATAACTATGCCTCATCGCTGGTCAGCTCGAGTTGTGCTTACCCCGTTCGGGTTCTCGCTTTGATCGGCTGCGGGAAACCGCTTAAGGTTCGAGATTTTAACTCGCTGCTCGCCACTGGGTCACAGAACCTCAAAGAATCGCAGACAGAGGAAGGAGCACTTATTTAGTGCCCTCAACCTGGAGAAAATCCACTGTTGGTACTCAACTGTGAATGAGGACAATCTCAATTGAAATTCAACGAACTTTGACTCCGTAGTGAATTTTGCAATCCAGACCCTCAATCTGAATGAGCGGTTCGGCCAACTCGGTCGAAAAGAGGCCATCAATCGAGATTTTTTTCTTTCAGTAAAACAGAATGGACCAAGTCACCAAGGACGCTGAGTCGCTCAAACTCGACGACTCTGGCAAAAATGGCCCGGCCGAACCAGACATCTCATCGTTTGTTCCGGAGCTGCCTCCGGGGCACAAGCTCTACGCAGGCAAGACGCTCGAGGAGACGGTGAACGACCTCAATAAGCACCCGCTCTTTATGACGGAGCTGGACACGTCCGAGGACAACGAGGAGTTGGCTGCACTGCAGGCGCTTGCCTACGAGGGCACGCCGCTCGAGAACGCGGCCAACTTCAAGGAGCAGGGGAATGAGTGCTTCCGGGAGAAACGCTGGGCCGACGCAAAGGAATTCTACTCCAAGGGAGTGGCCATCCTGGCCGCTGAAGAGACCCGCCGGGCGAAGGGTATCAAGAAGAAGGTCAAGAAGGCGCCAAAGCAGGTGACAATCTTGCCCGACGCCTCCTCCTCCTCATCCACCCAGGAAGAAGGCAGCAACCCAAGGAAAAAGGAGGAGGACGACGAAGAAGAAGTCCCCGATCTCCCCTCAGAAGTAGAAGCCGAACGCGCCCTCCTCGAAACCCTCCACCTCAACCGCGCCGCCTGCCATCTGTCCCTGCGCAACTACCGCTCCTGCACCCTCGACTGCGCATCCGCCCTCCGGCTGAACCCGAGCAACATCAAAGCCCTGTACCGCTCCGCCCGCGCCCTGCTGGCCGTGGACAAACTCACCGAGGCCGACGACGCCTGCAAGCGTGGTTTGAGCCTCGACCCGTCTAACGGGCCTCTACTCTCCGTAGCCGAGGAAATCAACCAAGCACGCGCAGCCGCGGAAGCAAAACAGCGGCGCGAGGAGGAGCGACTCGCCCTCGAGCGGCGCAAGAAGACTTTGCTTCAGACGGCGCTCGCGGCGCGGGGGATCCGTACCCGCACCACAAAGGGCGGCAAGCCCGACATGGAGGACGCGCGGGTCCGGCTGGTGCCCGACGAGCTCGACCCGCAGAGCACGCTGGCGTTCCCCACCATGCTGCTGTACCCGCTAGCCCTAGAATCGGACTTTATCAAGGGGTTTGGCGAGGCCGAGACGCTCGAGCAGCACTTTGGCTATGTGTTCCCGCTGCCCTGGGACCGGGAGGGGGAGTATGAGACCGCCAAAGTCGAGTGCTACATGGAGGCTGCCCAGGGCGGAGGGCTGGTCAAGGTCGGCAAGCGCGTGCCGCTGCTTAAGGTGCTCAGCGGGGGCAAGGTGGAAGTGGTGGATGAGTTGCTGAGGGTATTTGTAGTGCCGCGGGCCAAGGCGGACGGGTGGGTGAGGGAATGGAAGGTTAAGCGCGGGTTGGGGGAGGAGGGGGGTTAGGTAAAGTCGAACAGAAAAGGATAAAACGAAGGAAACGAGTCGTGATTCCAAACTCTTGACGATGCGGATGCTGCACATGATGCTCTATGAGGAGAGTAGTTGTGTAAGATTCCAAAAACAAGACCATCTATCTATCCAGCCGACACAACTCCGGCACGGAATATTTTCCCCGTCCATTCTTTCGATAACGACAAACGCAAAATCGACTGTAAATCCAGCGCCGCACCAGCCCAACCTACTACCAATGCACCGCCCGTCAACTCCTCTAGACCTTTCTACCTCAGCTCCGGTTCTGTGCCAGAATGCTAAACAAAAGCCAAACAACTAGATTAGCCAGACAAGAACACAATTTGTTCACACCAGCGTCCGCCGCCGCTTCGATCTCGTGGTGGGTCCTAAACCCGAAACCTCTTCCGAGACAGGCGGGGTGACCGCCACGGCCTGACCAGACCCGCCAATCTTCGTGTCCTTCATTTGCGGGCTGCTCCGACTGGGACTAGCTGCTCGGCTTCTGTCCTCCACCTCCTCCTTCCCGAGGCGCCGGTCCTGCTCCTGATGCTGCTGCTGCTGCATCGGCCTAGTTTGCGAGTGCGAGTGCATAGACATCAGCATGATAGCCGCGTCCCGCTCTGCCACACGACGCTTGCTCCCATTCTGCCCATGACTCTCATCATCGGCACCGTTCGAGAACGCGTCGTCATCAGTACTAGCATTATCCTTCTGCACTTCGAGCGTTGGGTGCGTTGCCTTGGCCGCCATGACTGTCGTCTCTCTGTGGTCATGTTGGTGATGGCCCTCATCAGACAACCCGGTCACGGAACTCGGGCTGCTCTCAATTTGGCTGCTGCTCTGGCTCAGGCTCAGGCTCTCGCGCCCAGCGTCATACCCCTCGTCAGTGTCGGCATCGACGTAGTCAAAGCAACGTTTGCTGTGCGGGCGAGGGCTTTTCAGAACTGTCTTGATTACGGTTCCGGAGGCCTGGATCCGGGGGTTGGGAGTGTGGAGTGGCCTGCTACTACTGCTGCTAGGGCCGCTGGTAGGCGATGTCCGAGAGCGCGGAACGGCCGATAGCCACGGATGGGCTGCCAAGGCCGGTGCCGGGACGAACCGCTGCCTGTCCGGGCCATCGCGATAGTAGGCCGAAGGATGGTGCTGGGGCTGGTATAAAGGGTAAGGCCGGTTCACCGTCGTCCATCGCATGTCCGGGGAATGAACTGGTGTGGGAGCCCCTGCAATAGACGGACTCCCACTGGCAGTCTGCGTCTGCAATGGTGGTAGGGTGGGATTGATTCGGCTGCTGTGCTTCTCTGCGTACTTCTCTGACCCGGTACGGAACTCGGAATCTGTGTCTGTGCCGTATGGACTCAACAATCCGTGCCGGTCGTAGCTGGGCCGCTGGTGGTAGGGTCCGACCATGCACAGCGAGCGCTGAGGCGGCGGTTGAGGACTGAGGCTTCGAGAGGGACGAGGGCTGGGCAGGAGGCCAGGAAGTTGTCCAAAAAGCGTGGCAACATCTCTCTTGGCGCGGCTGACAATCACTGGGTCAATTACCATGCGCCCATGCCCGACCGCTTTGTCGGGAATGCACTCCAAGGGAAACTGCGGGCCGAAAAGCGGAATGAGGGCGCCGGCGATCTTGTGACAGAAAGTTGCGCAGACGGCCTTCGCACAAGAAAACGGCATCCAATAGCCTGCGGCTCGAGGGTCAGCATGCAGCTTACAACACCTCGGTGTTCGTTGACTTAGAACCCACCTTGGGCCTTAATAGAGCCTCCCGTGATGCTATACGTGATGTCTTTCAGTCCAGGGTTCTGCTGGAGCATTTTTGCCGGCGTCGTCTGCTTGGGTTAATAGGGCTGCCGGGGAGACACTGGAATAGAAACTAACCTTGCTATACCCGTGACATTTGAAGAAAGGAGTCATGCGAACAAGGCCCACGTTGTAGTCCCACATGACAGTAAAGGGGGTATTGTCTCCCGGGATCGTGAAATCGTATTGAAATGCTACACTGGTCAGCGCTAGATTCTCCAGCTTGCCGTTGACCTTACCCTCAAAGCCCTCTCGGCCGGTTTTGTAGAAAAAGTCCTTCTTGCCGCTGATGTAGGGTATCAGCCGGCAAGTGTCCTGAATCGATCCGAAGGGATGGACTTTGAACCTGCGAACTTGGGCGAGAGAAGCCTCATCCAAGTTTTCGAAGGGTGGAAAGTTGACGACGCCTTTCACCTCGTTTCTAACAGGGCGCTTCGCGTTCTCAGGTTGTTTTAAGATCTCGGCCGAGGGCTTGACTGGAACTGGTTCGCTGGTAGATAGCGGAAGCCGGCGGGACGGTGAAGGTGGAATCGGACGGGACGAGGGCAACGGGGCCCGCGGGGGCTCCGGGTTAAGAAGATCTGCTACGGATACCATGGCGGGAAAACTTCAAGGGCGATGTTCCATGTACTCGTCAATACTGCAACTCGAGGGGAAAGCGTCAACGAGCTGAAGCCCCGGCGAGGGGGCGAAAACGCTGGTTATGAAGTCAAAAAGGCAAGTACTTGCTCGGCCCAGCGTAACCAGTAGACAAGGCTAAATCCTTTCTCAGCTTGCAAACAATAAAGGGACCCAAGCAGCACTCGCGAGCAGGCGGGGAATCAAGGGCCGGCAACCGTGAGAAGGAACCCGAAAAGAATCTCTTCCTCTTCTTGAATGCCGCTGCTACGCAGCGGTCTGCTGCCCCGGCGACTTTATCCGTATGCTAGGCGTTCTCGATGCAGCTCCTTTGTCCGGGGACCCAGGTAGTCGACGACTAGGAGAGAACTAGAGTGTTTGGGCCTTCCACCGCTCTTTCGGGGGTTCGAACTGGTGGGCAAGAGTGAAGAGTGACAGTAAAGCGGCGGTCAAGAGTTACCTGATGATGTAAACAGTGACTCCTTGAGGCTGTAACAATCGTGGTAAGCTACCGAAGCACGGAGGGTGCGGCAGTCTTCTGAGATTGTCCCCCCTCAACCGCCATTCGCCCCAGACAACGTGCCAATCCCACGACGACAATGTCCTAGGTGCCGCAAGACGACGGGATTGAAGCAGCTGAGCCTGGGGTATAGCCTCGTCGCCGCCCAAGTCAAGCTGCCGGAGAAGGGATCGAGGGAAGCAGTGATTCCATGAAAAGAGGCTTGGCTCCCAAGCAAGCACAGGCACCATTGCTCGGCGGCGACTTTGTGGTCAAAGAACACGCAAATGAGTTTGACGCAGCAAATCCCAGACCATGAACAGCCAGGCAGGGATACAGCTTGTTTGGGAGCACTTGACAGAAAGCAGAGTGTCGGATGGCTGCAGGAGGGCGCTGCTTGGTTACTTGGTTGAGTGGCCGGTGAGAATGTAGAACAAAGGGGAAAAGTGTCCAGTGTTGATATTCCAGACTGGGACATGACTACTAGACTCGACACACGTGGCTGCTACACCGCTAGAGGAGGCACTCAGGGTCAAATGGGCAGATGGGGTGTCTCGTCCGGCTCATGCCCCGTGGTGGTTTAGGTTCCACACTCTGGTTTCCTGACACTGCTTGCCTCTTCTCAGGCAGAGTGGATAGCGTCGCGCAATCGGACACGCGCAGCTGCTGAGTGGAGGCCGCTGGTATTCTCTCTCGACCGAGGTCGCTGAGCACTGCTAGCACCCAGATGCTTCTGTATGTTCTTTGCCTCTTCGAGGCACCGGCGCCGGCCTGCCCCTCGACGTTCGTGGTTAAGGCGCGGAGTGAAGTATCTGCCACTGCACTGGGTCTTGCCAACCTCCACGCTTCTTCGCTTGCACAGGTTTAAAACACTAAAGGTGTCCGAGGAGAGAAAGAGTCAAGCTTTGAAACTGGGCGTTTGGTTGTCTCTTTGTCCCCCAACGTGGGCTCTGTCGACGCTAGCCCTGTGCTGAAGTGCCAACGAGAAAACTACAGAGCGCCGCCAAGAAGCTGACCGATATGCGATGGGGAGTCGAGAACATGGGACGAGGTTGAAAGAAAATGTGGCGCACAGGCTAGCGACATGACTTGGCCCGCTCGTTGCTGCATGGCTTGATGAGTGCGCCAACGGTCGGCGATGGGGACCGAACACGGCGATGCTGTCGTGTGGTCTAGGCAACATGGAACCCTCGACTCGCCCCCCCTGGACATGACAAGAGATTGCCGGTCCAGCCGTGATGAGAGCTGCAGCCTCCCGTCACCCCTCCACGGCAGCGCCGTCCGGCACAAAATACCTAGCACGACCGGCACACTGCCCCTAAAAAGGGCAGCACAGATAGAGAGGAATCTCCAAATCGAGCTTCCGGGGAGACAGACTAGGCCCAAATCGTCTTCTACGACGGGGTGCCTGCTGCTGAACAACCCTTCCGCATACAGGCCGTCGACCGACTCGGAGGGGTGGCGGCGATCTGCTGCAGCGCGGTATTTGGAAGCGAGGAGCGGTTTGTAAACGCAGCAGCCGATCACGGCAGGGTGGTCGGGCCCGCCTCTCTCCGCGTCTTTTGTCGACATCCGTTCGATGTACTGTACAGTACGTATGTATCCCTGCCTAGCCATTCAAGGCCGCGGGACTGCGAGGCTACGTAGAAGGAGCATGGGGTAAGATTGGTGCCCGTTGACAGTGCCGAACCAAGCAAGGTTTCGGTAGATCTCCTGCCGGTCAGGATCAGCAGAAGCAGACCCAGTCATCAGGAGCGTCCGAATGTGGCCCGTAACACGCCACGGCGTCGATAGAGGGTATCTCCTGAGTCCTGGCCATGCCGGTGCGACTGCGGCAGACTTGTCACGGCTGTACACATCGGGGAGATTCTTGACCAGGTGCTGTCTGGAGACCTCAGGTCATACAGCAGGTCGCGCCCAGCATACAGCGCATCCATTCGCCACACACAAGCCGCACCACCTGGGGAGATGACGAGGGTGGCAGTCAACGCCGGCACTTGCGAGGTGCAGAGCGACGAGATCACGGGCTATTGTTCTGGATGGGTCTCGTCAGAGCGATCGATTGGAGCCGCTTGAAACAGTTGTCTCCCTCGGCCGGGCATTCACAGACGGACCGGGAGGCATGCAGCTGCTGTGCCATGCTGACCTTCATCCTCGAGAATTGCTTTCGCCTTGATTTCTGTTTTGGGGTTGCGGATAGCGGTGTCTTGGTAGATAGCATCCGAAGAGCAGGATGCCCGTCACCGTTCAAGACCTGCTTACTATCACAGCTCAACTTGGGGATTGCGAATGGTCGACCGTCGACCGGTTGTCTGGGGAAGGAAGCACAATGCCATCATGGTGATACTGTGCACAATTGCCTTATGATGCCTCCGATTCGGAGATTCGCACAAAATTGGCCTGATGGTTCCAGCGAAAAGCAAACAGAAATGATGGAGGGACGACCGCTGGGATCGCTTGCGGAGAGAGACTAGGCGCCTGTGAGAGGTCCTATTTGGGTTGTGGAATGCTTCTGTCACTCGGTGTCTATTTTTGACTCTTTCCACTTTCGCCTTCCTTCATTTTGCTTTCTGTCGGTCTCACTTTCCTTTCCTGCCTTCGTGTGCGTGCTTCGTGTTGGTGGTTGCAGAAGAGAGGAAAGCGGGGACTGTGATTGATGCCTGAAGATTAGTCAGCCCTGGCTAGCCGCCTGAGGCAGCAATAAATAAAAGAACACGTCCAGATCGCGCCAAGGCTGCAATGATGGCCCGCCAGGCGTCGCCAGATCGCGCATCCTTGTTTTGGAAAAACCCTGACAACATTCACTCTCTTGTTTACTTTTGGTGGAATTTCACCCCAACAACAACGGCACTTTGCGTGCTTGCCGTCTGTCCGCCACTCTCATTCCCTCTCACAGTCTCACTTGCACCCTCCTTTGTTGATAGATAATTGATTGCGGGACGGCACCGCAGAGGTTCAGCTGTGCCTGGCTTTCTCACTCATCCATTGTTCATCACTGTGACGAGCCTTTCCGTTTTCTTCCCCACCCCTTCTCTGCATGGTCCTGCCTATTTGTTTGTCTGTCTGTCGACGACCCTTCGTTCAGACCTCTCACTTCTTGCAACAACGAGTGCTGTGGACCAGTGTGTCTGAGCAGTCGCCATGGATTCCGACTTCGACTCGGTCCTTGATGACTACAAGGACGAGTCTGACGCCTACTCGCCAGAAGTGGTACGTATGTTGCCTATTGCCCTCTCCGTCCCAACCTTTACCGAATGCCGCTCCCGAGACCAGGCGGCGCGAATTCCTTTTCATTGCCCCGGGAGACAGACTAACAATCCCAGAAACCCAAAGCGAAAGCGGCTGCGAAAAAAACGGCGGCTGCAAAACCCGGCAGGCCGGCTGGAAAAATGGTGCAGACAACATTGACAGGCGGCAAGGTGCCCGCCAAGAAGCGCCCCAAACCGGAGAGTGACGATGAGGATGTGGGCAATCTATCAAGCACGCCACCAAACCTCAAAAAGCAGAAAAAGGCGCCAGCGAAGAAATCAAGTGGGAAGCCCCTTGCCGAGATCGAAAACGACAAGATGCTCCTTGACGATGACGAGCCCATGGCGCCGGTAGCGCCCAAGTCGAAGAAGACAGCGACTGAGACCTACCAGAAGCTCTCACCGGTTGAGCACATCTTGGTGCGTCCGGACACCTACATCGGATCCGTCGAGCGCATGGATCAAAAGATGTGGGTTTTCAACAAGACCGCCCGTCTCATGGAAAATCGTACCATCTCCTTCGTGCCTGGTCTTTACAAAATCTTTGACGAAATCCTCGTCAACGCCGCCGACAATAGCCAGCGAGATTCGTCCATGACCTATATCAAGGTCACCGTGGACCGCGAGTCGGGCGAGATCTCGGTGGAGAACAACGGCAAGGGCATCCCGATCGAGATGCACGAAAAAGAAAAGTGCTACATCCCCGAGCTCATCTTCGGCCATCTCCTCACGGGCTCCAACTATGACGACGACGAGAAGAAGACGGTCGGCGGCCGCAACGGTTACGGTGCAAAGCTCACCAACATCTTCAGTCAAAGATTCACCATCGAGTGCCAGGACTCTAACAACGGCAAGCGGTACAAGCAGACCTGGACCGAGAATATGGGCAAAATGGAAAAGGCAAAGATTACGAGCAACAAGTCCTCCGATTTTGTCAAGGTTACCTTCCTCCCCGACTACAAGAGATTTGGCATGGAGAATGGCATCGACGACGATCTGGAAGGGCTGCTCTACCGGCGCGTCTACGACATGGCTGGCACCGTGTCCGGCGTCAAGGTCTGGCTAAACGGCGAGCATCTCAAACTCAACTTCAAGACGTACTGTGCGCTCTATGCCAAGTCGATCGCCAAGGAACGCGGTGACGTCGCCGATGGGGAGAGTGCACCGGTAGCAAAGGTGGAGTTTGATGAGGTGAGGTCGAATGGTCGCCTGTGGCAGATTGGCTTCACAGCCTCGGACGGCACGTTCCAGCAGGTCTCGTTCGTCAACAATATCGCGACGACGTCGGGCGGCACCCATGTCAACTACATCGCCGACCAGATTTGCGACGCCCTGGGCAAGGAGTTGACCAAGAAAAAGAAGGGCCACTCGCTCAAGGCCTCGCACTTCCGCAATTACATCTTCATCTTCATCAACTGCCTGATCGAGAACCCTTCCTTCAACTCGCAGACCAAGGAGTATATGACGACCAAGCAGAGTGCTTTTGGCAGCAAGTGCCAGCTGACCGACCAGTTTTTGAAGAAGGTCAGGATGTCCGAGGCCATTGCAAACATTATGGAGTTTGCCGAGAGGAAGGCGGACAAGATGCTAGCGAAGACCGACGGCAACAAACGCTCACGCATTAGCAACGAGAAACTCGTCGATGCCAACTGGGCTGGCACGAAGCGAGGCCACGAGTGCACTCTCATCCTGACTGAAGGTGATTCAGCCAGGGGTTTGGCTGTCGCCGGTCGTGCTATTCTGGACCCTGATCGCATCGGCGTCTTCCCGCTTCGTGGCAAGATGCTCAACGTTCGCGATGCCTCGCTTGACCAGATCATGAAGAACAAGGAGATTGAGAATATCAAGAAATTCCTCGGTCTCAAGCACAAGCAGCACTATACTGACACCAAAGGTCTCCGCTACGGCCACCTGATGATCATGGCCGATCAGGATCTCGACGGCAGCCACATCAAGGGCTTGCTTATCAATTTCCTTGAAGTCCAGTTCCCCTCCCTGCTTCGCATCGAAGACTTCTTCCAGGAGTTCATTACTCCCGTCGTCAAGGTTTGGCAAGGCAACAATCCCAAACAGCCCCAGAACCTCAAAACCTTCTTCAACTTGCCTCAATACGAGAGCTGGAAGGAGGCGCATAAGAACGAGATGCACAAATGGAAGTACAAGTACCTGAAGGGTCTCGGTAGCAGTTCCAACGAGGACGCGCAGATCTATTTCACGGACTTGGACCGCCACCTAAAGAAGTTTGAAATACTCAAGGATGAGGAGCGGGAGCTTTTTGAGCTAGCTTTCTCCAAGAAGAAGGCGGACGCGCGGAAGGAGTGGCTCGGTAACTTTGTCCCCGGAACGTTTCTCGACACGACGGGGAGCAGGAAGACGTACCATGATTTCGTCCACAAGGAACTTATCCTGTTCAGCATGGCCGACAACATGCGATCAATCCCATCCATGGTAGATGGCCTAAAGCCGGGACAGCGTAAAGTCATCTTTGGCGCCTTCAAGCGCAACCTGGTCAATGACCAAAAGGTTGCCGAGTTTGCCGGTTACGTTTCCGAGGTGGCCGCATATCACCACGGTGAGCAGTCATTGCAGCAGACGATTGTCGGCCTGGCGCAGAACTACGTCGGCTCCAACAATATCAACTGTCTGGAACCGAGCGGCAACTTTGGTTCACGTCTCGCTGGTGGCTCGGATGCCGCCAGCGCTCGTTATATCCACACGCGGCTGTCGCCCTTTGCCCGGCACGTCTTCTCAAAGCTCGATGAGCCCAATCTCGAGTACCAGAACGATGATGGTCGTATGATTGAGCCCAAGGTATACGTTCCCATCATCCCGATGGTCTTGGTAAACGGCGCCGATGGTATCGGCACGGGCTGGAGCACCTCGATTCCCAACTATCACCCGGTTACCATCGTCGAGAACCTGAAGCGCCGCATGGGTAGGCTCGACCCGGCGGATCCGGAAGAAAAACCCTTTGAGCCCATGACACCGTGGTTCCGCGGCTGGAAGGGCGTGGTGGAGGTCGAGGCCCCCAATAGGTTCAAGTTTAACGGCATAATCCGACAGGATGAGCAGAATCCGAACGAGATACACGTCACCGAGCTGCCAATCCGCATGTGGACTGATGATTTCAAGTCCAGGCTCGAGGACATTATCCGTGGCGAGAAGACACCCTCGTTTATCAAGGACTACAAGGAGTTCAACGACCACAATACGGTCCATTTCATCATTGAAATGGAGGACAAGCACATCAAGGCAGCGCTTGAGGAAGGGTTGTTGGAGAAGTTCAAGCTCACCAAGACCATCACGACCACCAATCTCGTCGCCTTCAACACTCGTGGCCAGATTCAACGATACGACAATCCGGAGCAGATTATGGAGGAGTACTACCACTACCGCCTCGAGATGTACTCAAAACGCAAGAAGCATTGGCTCGCTGTCTACGACGCGGAACACCGCAAGCTGCTCAACCAGTACCGTTTCATCCAAGAAATCATTGACGGCAAGCTGGTGGTATCCAAGAAGAAGAAGGCTATCCTCGTTAAGGAGTTGCGCGACCGCAAATATGAAGCCTTCCCTCCCAGGGACGGGAAGAAGAAGTCGGACGAGGAGGCCAGCGAGGATGCTGAAGAAGAGGAAGAGGCTTCTGGCGGCGCGCGAGATTACGATTACCTCCTTTCGGTGTGTAACCCCTGTCCTAAGTGCGGCGTGCCTATACTAACAGAGAATAGATGCCAATCTGGTCGCTGACGGTTGAGCGCCTTGAGAAGCTTAAGCAGCAAATCGCAGCCAAGAAGGCCCAGTATGATGAACTTGACGCCTTGAGCGAGAAGGACCTTTGGGTGAAGGACCTTGACGCCTTTGTTGCTGAGTGGGATGCCCAGCTGAAACTCGAGGCGGAGATTAAAACCGGCATCCGGAGGATGGGCCGCCGCGCATCCCAAAAGATCGGCGCTGGAGCTGGAAAGGGACGCCGTCTTCTAGACGATGACGACTACCAGCCTGTGAAGAAGGCCAGGGCCAAGGCTCCCAAAGTAGAGAAGGTTGAGACCAAGACGCAGCAGAGGTTCACCGAGAAGTTCCAGGCAACAGCGAAACCCAAACCTCAGACCAAGGCCGAGGACTTGTCCGACGACGATTTTGCCCTCCTTGGGAAGAAAACAGTTGTTAAGGAAGAATCTCAGCCGTCTACTTCTCTCCCAGAGGTGACAGGAGAACGCAACAAGCGTTCCGCTGCCACTACCAAACCCAGCTATACCCTGAGCGACGACTCGGACGACGACTTTAGGTCATTGGACGAGTTCGTCACCAAGGATGATAAGCCCCAGCTGGCTTCGGAAGATGATGAAGTCATCGAAAAACCGGCCAGGCGGGCTGCGGCATCCAAAGCTAAGCGTCTGTACATGGAGGAAGACGAGTCGGAAAGCGAGAGCGACGAGGATGACATGAAGCTCGACGATGTGGGCGCCATGGTCAAGGGCATAGGAGGCCCTACCTCGAGCAGTGGCGGCGGGCGACTTAGTCTGTTTGCCATGTCACGGCCAGAGGCAGGCGATGCGGCCCTCACAAAGTTGAAGAGCAAGCCATCCAAGTCCGCAATGGACTTGGACGACCACGACGACACAAACTATGAAGCTCTGGCAATGTCGTCCCCACGGAAATCTAGCGTTCCCACAAAGGCAGATGATCTTGACGGCTTCCTCTCAGACGAGGATCTTCCCGCGGCCAGCAGCAACAAGCCGGCGGCGAAGTCTGCGTCACAAACAGCGAAGGGAAAAGCTCCGCTCAGCGTGGTCCCGGCCACAGCCAAGAAGCGGGGCCGTCCGGCTGGGTCGAAGAATAAGCCCAAGACGGACGCGGCCCCGGCTCCCAGGGCCAACGCCTCCAAAACTCTTTCGCCAGCTGCCAAGGCGTATGCGGCAAAGATGGCCAAGCCCAGTAGGAAGGTCGTTAGCTCTGACGAAGAAGACGACATTGTGGATGCGCCGGTCAGGCCTGTGGCGGCCCCGAAGACAAAAGCCCGGCCCGGGCGTGCGGCTGCCGCCAAGGCGAAACCAATCTACATTGACGACGACGAGGAGGACGACTCGCTGCTGAGCGGTGGCGGGGCCGGCGGTCGTGACAAGAAGGACGAGAGCGACGCGTTCGAATTCGATGAGGACAGCGATTAGCCACTTGGGCGTGATTGCAAGCAGGTCTGGAAGGTTGATGACGACATGCCTCTACACTCTTTCTTCATGTGTCAGGTTCCTCTTCTCTTCATCTCTTTCGAGTCAGTGGCGGACGGATTGATGGCGTTGGTTGGGTCTCGATACCTGCGCAGCTAAGGGGTCGTATGTACTTTGCTTTGTTGCTGAGCACAGCTCTATGTATTTACTGTATCATTTTCTTCTTCTGCTTCTACCTCCATTAGAATTTGCAATCCGTGATCTTGTTGATCTGCCAAGGCGAGCACCATGAGTCCATGACAGTCACACCGCCGGGTTAGGGTACGCCATACCTACCAAGTGGACCTCTAAATGGTTTACACCGCCCGGCAGAATCCCAAAGCTTAAATAAAATCAACAAAGTCCACGGCTTTCAGCGGAACTCTGCAGCCCAAGTCTCGCGACTCGCAGATACCAAGCACGTTCCTTTGGCCCGCTCTGCTCCCCATGCGACCCGGCTCGCTGGCTGCTTGCCTTGGACATATTTCCAAGACATTGAGTAGGTTAGGCCGAAGTCAATTGCGCCTGTTTGCCACGTCTACTCTCCAAGCCCGTGCAATGTCCGAGCCCATCGTCCGCGAGCTTCACGACCCGCCCGCCGAAGGGCAGCGAGTCCAGCATCAGAATGTCGTCTACACCACGGTCAAGGAGGGCCTTGCTCACATCCTTGTTCCTGAAGCCTCGGCGAATGGCCAGGGCGTGCAGCAAGTCTTTTACAACCCGATTCAGCAGTTCAACCGAGACTTGACCGTCCTGGCGATCAAGGCTTATGGGAAGGAGCGTATGCAGCAGAAACAGGCTGCCAGCCGAGCACGCGTTGGTAAATTCGCCGAAAAGAAGCGGAAGCGGAAGGAACAAGCACAGAGTGATCGGCCAGTAAAGTCACTAAAACTGTCCGACAATGCCGTCCAAGAGTCGGCCAATGCGCCAGGAGATGCTGAGATGACCGGCGCGGGGGAGGCAGTGGAAGTACCCGAGAAGCCAATCGACGGCGAGCAGCCGACAGAAGCCGTGGGAGAAGTGCAAGCAGAAGCCCCGGCTGCAAACGAGGACGCTCCCAAAGAGGAAAAGGATGTGGCACCGACATTTACCGTTCTCGACGCTCTCTCAGCTAGCGGTCTACGCGCGCTCCGCTATGCCCACGAAATACCGTTTGTCACAAAGGTGACGGCGAACGACATCCTCAAGTCAGCTGCTGAAGCCATTGAGCGCAACGCAAGGCACAACAAGGTCGTCGACAAGGTCCACATATCCGTCGACGATGCCTTAGCCCACATGTACCAGAGGATTGCGAACGAGCTGCGGCGCATTGGCGTGACCAAGACCGGGCCGAGCGAGAAGTACGACGTGATTGACCTCGATCCGTACGGCACCGCTGCTCCCTTTCTCGATGCGGCCGTTCAGGCGGTACGCGACGACGGCGGGCTGCTCTGTGTCACCTGCACCGACTCGGGCGTCTGGGCTTCCAACGGCTACCCGGAAAAGTGCTACGCCCTGTACGGCGGCGTGCCGCTGAAGGGCTGGTACTCCCACGAGGCCGGCCTGCGGCTCATCCTGCACGCCATCGAGACTTCGGCCGCCAAGTACGGCCTAGCGATGGAGCCGCTTTTGTCACTTTCTGTGGACTTTTACAGCCGAGTCTTCGTTCGCATCACGAGGTCTCCGTCCATGGTCAAATTCCAGGGCGGCAAGAACATGATGGTCTACAGCTGCGGCGGCGGTTGCGGCTCATGGACAACGCAGCTCCTAATGAAAAACAAGCCGGCCCCTAACAAGAAGGGTAGCGGCATCTTTTACAAACACGGATTCACCAAGGCCCCGACAGCGCCGCAATCCTGCGAGCACTGCGGGTCTACCATGCATCTCGCCGGGCCCATGTATGCAGGGCGTATCCATTCGCCAGAGTTTGTCAAGAGCGTGATAGCCGAGGCCGAGAACGCGTCGCCCGAGATCTATGGCACTCGGGAGAGGATCCGTGGTGTCTTGCAGACGGCGCTGGAAGAGTTCCTGCCGTCTCCCGAGGAAATGCAGGCCGAAGCGAGCGAGAACGGGGACGGCACCAAAAAAATCAAGAAGAGCAAGACCGAGGCAGAACTGGCGGCTATCGACCCGTACCCTTTCTTCTTCCACCCCGCTCAAGTGTCCGGCCTCCTGCACTGCGCCAGCCCGCCAGAAGCCGCGTTGAGAGGCGCGCTCATTGGCTTGGGGTACCGCGTCACTCGCAGCCACTGCAAGCCGGGCAGCATGAAGACGGATGCGCCGTGGTCCGTCATATGGCACGTGTTCAGGGAATGGGTGCGACAGAAAGCGCCCGTCAAAGAAGAGAATATTAAGGCCGGCAGCATTGCGTACCGCCTCCTGGGGTTGGGAAAGAAGGACGAGGCAGCGTCTGCTGGGACAGGCCCGGCTGAAAACGGCAAGGAAGAAAACGCAGACAAGGTCCCGGAGGTCGTCTTCAATGAAAAACTCGGTCGCATCACGGACAAGACAAAACTTGTCCGATACCAAATGAATCCAAGAGAGAATTGGGGACCGATGAACCGGGCCAAAGGGAAGTAAGAGGGGCTCTTGGCTTGTTGCTACGGAGCGCTCTCCGGACTAGGTCGGCTCCGGGACGGCTCGGATGGGGTTAGCTTGCCCCGCCGATGCCGAAGGCTCCGGTTGCTGTGCCGGAATCACGGGCGCCGGAAAGGTCAGTGAATGTTGTGTACGGTTGCCGGCCGCCCCATTGCTTATGACAAGTTCAGCTGCCTTTTTCAACACTTGCCTCGGCTCAACCCCACTCACACTCCCTTAGCGACCAGCCCGTTGATCACGCAATGTTAGCGGAGCAGGCTTCAGAGTCGCAGCGGATCTGACTCAATTCTGTGAATGCTCGGCGCTGCCCTGTGGCTTGTTTTTTGCCTATCGCCGGTGGCCTTGCCGGACAATTAGAAATCCAATCCGACAACCACAGGGTTATATGCATTGACAAGCACATACACATGTTCGCTTTGTCCCATTTCTCTGTGTTTTGTCCCTGCTCGCCATGTTCGTCCTTTGCCGACTTATTCCCCGCGCCATCCGAAAGCGCCGCGGCGCCGCCAATGGAAATCCCTCAGCGCCGCGAAATGCCGCCGATACCCAGGGCTCGGTAGCGACGCTGTCTCTGGAGCCCAAAGAGCAAAGTCATCCCAATGCCAATACTGAAGACAGCGACCAGCTCAATCTCAATCCTGAGGAGATACTCTTTATCTTGCAGTCGCCAGATCCAGCCGCCGGTTACCACATCTACGCCCTCTCTGAGGGCTCTTCAACACCTGTCGGCGCCAATAACGATGCCCAGAAATCCCCCTTCAACCTCAATGTGATTTGCGCGTCGCAAGCGCAACTCCCCGAGGACTCGCCGCTGCTTGCCCGTTTCTTACTGGACCCACCCTCTTCCGCATCCTCCCATCTCCTCAGATCCTCCACTACCGAGAAGCATGTCGTGGTGTCGACCCGTTCGGGACTGTGTCTGGCAGAGGGCTTCTACAAGCGCGTGCTGGCCCCGTTGCTGGCGGCCGTTGGGCTGAGTGAAGCTGATTACAGGCTGACTGTGACGCGGGATAAGAATACTATTCGGGATCTCGCGCGGGGTTTGGCCGGAAACAGTGCCGGAGATGGTGAGAAGTTAGTGGTACTGCTGAGCGGGGATGGTGGCGTGGTGGATATGTTGAACGGCTTGGACCACGCTCGGGATCAGGCAGGGCACTCATCAACAACACCACTGCCGCCGCGCCCGCCGACGATCGCCCTCCTCCCACTCGGCACAGGCAATGCCCTGTTCCATTCCCTGCACAAGCCGCATTACTCTGCATCACCGGCCCCGTCGCCTCTCGTGCTCGCGCTGCGCACCCTCTTTAGCGGCCGGCCGGCCCCGCTGCCCACCTTTCGAGCGACCTTCTCGCCGGGCGCGAGGCTAGTAGCCGGCCATGCTCCGCCACCATCATCATCACCACAAGCCCAGGAACAATCACAGTCCAGCGACAGCCAAGGACAGCCGGTAACGCACCTTGTCGGCGCCATTGTCGCGTCGTACGGCTTCCACGCCAGCATCGTCTGGGAGAGCGATACGCCCGCCTACCGCGTCCACGGCGACAAGCGCTTCGGCATGGCCGCGGCGGAGCTGCTCAAGATTGCCCACGCCTATGATGCGCAAGTCAAAGTGCGGGTGCCGGGAGAAGGTGGCGGCAACAGTTTCGCGCCGCTGCGCAGCATAACCAGCAGCGACGACGATGATGGCAGGTTCAGCTACATCCTCGCGACCATGGTGTCCAACCTCGAAAAGACATTCACCATCTCCCCCGGCAGCCGGCCGCTGGATGGGCGGTTGAGGCTAGTCCATTTTGGCCATGTCAGCGGGGAGAAGACGATGGAAATCATGCAGGCTGCGTATAAGGACGGGGCGCATGTGGGTATGGAGGAGGTCGGGTATGAGGAGGTGGAGGAGGTCAAGGTCACGATTGCCGAGGAGGATGCGCGGTGGCGGAAGGTCTGTATCGACGGCAGTATCGTCGAGATTGAAAGAGGCGGTTGGATGGCGGTGGCGAAGGAGCCCACCGAAACAGTAAGGGTGTTGGTTGATGACAGTGTTACTAGTGCTGCGGGTGTTTGATCTGGCATTTTATACATAGTGACACATTCACAGCTGCACAGTCTCAAATCAGAACTCCTCAATCTCGAACTTCACCCTCTTCTTCCAATTCACCGTTTACTCCTTCTAGGCACCTCCTACCCTCCCATCAATTTCCTAACCCTCCTCTCCATGCCCTCCTCAAACTGCCTCACCCCGTCCTCCAACTCCACCAACTTACCCCCAGCCAACTTATACACCACCCTCGTCCTCCTTCCCCCCGCCGTCCCTTCCCCAGCCCTCCCCCCGTCACTCCCTCCGTCCCCATCGTCATACTCATCATCGCCCTCCTCCTCCTCATCCACCACACCCTCAACAACCCCCCTAACAAACCACCGATCGTGCGAAACGAGAACCACAGCGCCGGGCCAGGCCCTCAGCGCCGCCCGGAGCGCCGAAACAGTCTCGTAATCGAGATGAGTAGTAACCTCGTCCAGGACAAGACACCCCGGCCTTCGCCACAGCAGGCGCGCCAGCTCCAGCCTCACCAGCTGGCCGCCCGACAGCTTGGCCACGGGCACGTCGGTGGCCAGCCGGCCCGGGAGCCCCACGCGGGCGAGTATCCCGCGCAGGTCGCCCTCCGACAACAGCTCCCCCTCTCCACCACCAGATGATGATGATGAGGTTTCTCTCGTGAGCAACGACAGCGCGGTCAGGTCGGGCTGCACGCGCGCGAGGGTTTGTAGTGCGGCTACCGCGTGCTGCGAGTAGTAGCCTAGCTTCAGGCGCGGGTGGTGGGTGATGGTGCCGTGTTGCAACACACCGGGGGTGGTGTTGGATGGGTTGACGAGGAGGCGGATCAGGGTGGATTTGCCGGCGCCGTTGAGGCCCAGGATGCCGATGCGATCGCCTGGTGACACGGTTAGAGTCACGTCTTGCAGGACCGGCGGCGGTTGGGGTTTTGGGCTTCGATGGCGGTGGTGATAGCTAAAGGTCACCCCCTCGAGGGAGATCAGCGAGCCTGGGAAGCGCAAGTCGGACGGGTCGGGAAGGGAGAGAGTTACGGGCCGCTCGTCGTGCGGTACCTCGATCTCGGCGCGCGTGGCGTAGTGGTAGCCGGCTAGATCGCGGTTCAGCTTGAAACGCCCGCCCTTTTCGTTGACTTGCATGCCCATGCGGTCGTCCAGGCGCTTCTGGCGGCTCTTGGCCTGCCGGATCTTGTTTAGGTCGTCCTTCTTGCGGCCCTGGGCCAGGTTCTGCCGGATCGTCTCCTGCATGTGCGCCTTTTGCTTGTCCTGGGCTTCCTTCATCTTGGTGAGGTGCACCTTCTTCTCGGCCTGGGCCGACTCGTAGGTGGGGAGGTCGCCGTGGAAGTAGGTCAGCGTCTTGTCCTTGAGGATAAGCAGGTCGGTGCACACGGAGCTGGCGAACTCGCGGTCGTGCGAGACGACAATGAGGGTGGGCGGCGCTGCGGAGTCCTCGAGGCTTTGGAGATGGCGCTGTAGCCAGATGATGCCGAGCAGGTCGAGAAAGTTGGTCGGCTCGTCCAGAATCAGAATATCAGTTTCTTGGAGCAGGGCCGTTGCGAGAGAGCTGCGCATGCGCCAGCCCCCTGAGAGGCTCCGCGCAGGCTTGGACATGGAGGCTTCGGTGAAGCCGAGACCCGCCAGGATCTTCTTGGCTTGCGACTCGGTATCGGCGATCCGTGATGGCTCGACTTGAAGTTGAAGATCGGCCAGCATGTCAACTGCTTCTTGGATTTCTGTCTGGAGCGTCTCAGCCGAGATGTCCTCTGCTGCCTGCTCTTTCCTAGATGGGGAATCAGTCAGCATGTGGCAGTCAGGGGTAGCCGGGATATTCGTACAGCGAGGCCGACTGAGCAACCAGTTTCTCGTACTCAACCAGTGCTTTCCGGGCCTGCAATCCTCGTGCGCCGCTCCGCAACCTGGCGTCCTTGTCGAGAATGAAGAGCCGTTTTTGCATCCTCTCATGGCGCAATTTCCGCAGTGCTTGAAGCGCGGCATAGGGCTCGGTGCTGCTTACCCCCGCGGAGAGCACTGGTCCAAGTTAGATATTGTTTTACTTTGTACATATTAATACAAGACACTCGCAAACACTCACACTCGATTTCCTGCTCCAGCTCGCTCTTGGCTGTCGCTTTGTCGACGACATCCTCGAGAACGGTTGGGCCGCCTCGACCTGAGGAGCCATCGGCGGGGAGGTCATCCGAGTTGGCATCACTCAGGTCGGTCTGCTGCAAGATAGACACACGGGTCTCTTCGGGAATTCCGGGTATCAATTTTTCGGCGATGGCTTTGAGGAGGGCTTCAATGTGTGAAATGATGAAGGTCAACAGGGCGCTTCCGGATTCATGGTTGATGATCCAAACAAAACAACTCACTGGACTTCCCCGATCCGTTCCGCCCTACCAATGCATACCTGCTGCCGGCCTTGAGACGCAGCTTGGCATTGTTCAATATCTCGGTGCCTTCGGCCGCAGCCTTTCCCTTGCCCTTTCCCTTTCCAGTTGCGGCGGCTCTAGATGTGACGGTAATGTTGAGACCCTCAATGTCCAGCTGAAGCAGGTCAATCATCAACGCATATCCCAAGATTTCCAGATCCTTGGTTTGCAGTCTCACCTCGCGGTAGTTTGGACTTTCAATGTGGAAGCGGGTCTGCTTACACGACACCAGGATGGTCGAAACGGACTCGGCGGCGATGGACGTCATTGAGCTCGCACTTGGCAGTATACTAACTTGGCGTTGTCGTGCACCAATTGACGAAGCAGCAGTTACACTGTTACAGTAGTCGTGAAAACGCCAACAACGCCGTCTTGCTGTCTCTCCTTCCCAAGGCTAACTCTACAACAAACAGTCAGAGACATTGCAGGTCTTTTATCCATCCAAGCTGGTGGGATCTGAGCAACCTGCGCCATCAAGAGTATGCAATCGTATTCCTCGCATTTTGGCAGTCACGATGTGTTAGCACCGTGTAGCTGCTTCTTCATTTGGGCAGTGGAATAATGATCAATTGCCCAGAACGGCCGTTGCTTTTCCGGGTGAGTCACGCCGAGTTACTGTACGGAGTACCTCCGTACGGGGGCGTTTAATCCCACTTCGAGTTACAGTACCGTGCTGATGTTGGGCTTTTGAAGTGAAAAACGGCAGGTTCAACCCCGCTAAAAAAGAAAGGTGACCTTAGGTACCGGTACTCACATGTGATTGAGCTTCGACCACATTTCCAGCTCAACCTGTTCCACCTCGAATCCCATGTCAACGATGGCAGCGTCGAAATCATCTCCCCCATCAAGCTCTTCCTTGGCTACTTCAGTAGCATCACAGGATGAACCGACCGTACAATTCACCAATATCAAAGAGCTCTTCCAGGCAATCGATCGCGTTTCTGGTGATCATCTCGTCGTTACAGGTACAGGAACATCTGCTTGATTTTTCAATAGGTATGCTGAATACTAATTTATTAGGTGTTTCGCATGCCGCATATCAAGAAATCGGACGAAAACGAACCCCTCGCAAATTTCGCTTTCATTACCGCGCCAACATAGGCATCTTGATCGTAACAGTTCCAACTCGGATACACGAAGCACTCCACAGGGGGATTTACAACGCCTTGCTATTTGAGCTTTCCCGAAGAGGGATAGAGAGCAGTTGGTGTGATATTGGCGCTTCAACCTATCGAGGCAGAGGAAATGACAGAGACGATCGTGGGGAAGCCGACTCTGCTGGCGATCCTGACCCGGAGCGTGCCTCTCTCGGCGGTTGGCCCACACTTGTTGCTGAGGCTGGATTCTCTCAGTCTTTAACCCGGTTACGCGCGCGGAAAGATTGGTGGTTCTCGGCGTCCGATCATCAGGTTAAGATTGTTCTTCTGGTCAAGTTTGGTCACCAAGATCGTCCCGAGATCTTGATCGAGAAGTGGGAAGAAGAACCACGAGATGATCGACCAGGCGTTACAACAACACGATTTGCTGCTGTCCTACAGTCTCGATTACGGCAGTCTATCACTATTACCCGGGACACGGCTATGAACATGGTATCGTACCAAGTTGCTAGAGGCCCCTTGGTCCTATCATTCAGGTTGTTGTTCCTCCGAAATCCAAGCATCCAAGAGGGTGGGGATATCATTATTACGTTTCCTCAGTTGGTGGAATATGCACGTCGTACTTGGTGGCAGCTCGTTCCGGAGTAGGCGAGATTGTTGGCCAATCAAAAATCGGCATACATGCTCGACATCGACACGAAGATTTCACCCACCCCTCGTCTTTGCAACACAAAAGTTACAACCCCTGATTGGACCTGGAAATTCGCTGCTTGACAACGTCACTCGGCCTGTGTATTGTACTTGTACATGAGCCCGGCTCCCCTTACTGCAAGATTCTGCACATCACAGCATACAGTACTACGAAGTACTGTACTGTACATCCAAATAGTTTTACGGCATTGACGCTACCACGTCGCATCTCCTGTCACGGCCAAGAGGGACTTCCGGTCGCTAGACGGCCTTCTCCGGACCCGGCCCATCTGGGCTGCAAACGTTCTTGTCGGCTTCCAGCGGCCTGACTGGCGCGGCGTCGTCTCCTCCAGCATCTTGTCGATCTGCTCGAGTGACAGGCCCTTCATCTCGGGCACCAAGAAGTAGGCAAATAGCAACGAGAGACTGCAGAGCGAGCCCCAGATGAAGAAGATGCCCGGCCCCAGATTGGCCGATCCTGCCTCGCGGCCCACCATGTACGGAGTGATGGTGGCCATGATGCAGTTCCAGAACCAGTTGGACGCCGTCGAGATGCCCACCCCGCGCGACCGTATTGGCAGCGGGAAGCACTCGCCCACAATCACCCACCCGACAGGGCCCCACGTCGCTGCAAAGAAGAAGATGTAGATGCATATGAAGGCGATCATGGCCTTGACAGACTCGTCATTGTGCGCCGCCGCTCGCCCCGCCGTGACACCGACCATGGCAACCACGAGTTGGCTGGCAATCATACCAACCGCTCCCCAAATTAGCAGCGGCCGTCGTCCCAGACGCTCGATGGCAAAGAACGAGAAAGGTGTCGACAGGACATTGACGAGCGTCATGACGAGTGAGATAAAGAACGGGTTGGGGACGGTGCCGAGTTCTTGTAAAAAGGTGGTCCCGAAGTAAAAGATGAAGTTGATTCCTTTTGGTTCCCTTCAGGTAAGCCGGGGAAGGGGCATAGGGCCACTCAAACCACTAACCTGTGAGTTGTTGCATCATTTGCAAGCCCGCGCCGAGAAGCGTCCGGCGGAGATTGCAGTTCCCCTTGCGAAGGCGCCCCTGAAAACAAGCCATCCATGACCCAACCCAACTGGTCCGAGGAACAATCTGCATCTCGTACTCATGGCTCGCCACGATCTCGGCGAGTTCGTCTTTGATGTAGTCGGAATCGAGCGTCTGACCTCTAAGTAGCGACAGGGCGTGTGCTGCCGCGTCCAGCTCGCCTTTCATGACATGGAAACGGGGAGACTCGGCTACAGATTGGCACCATGATAAGCCCTGAGGTCGATGCATTCGAGGGGATTGGGTCAACCTACGCAAGATAACCAAACCAACGCCCAACACCGGAGCCCACAGGAATTGGACGCCAATGGGGATGCGGTATGAGCCCGTATCGTTGCGGTTCGCCGTGGCATACACGACGCAGTGGGCCAGCAGGATGCCGAGCGTGATGAAGAACTGGTAGCCCGATATCAGCGCGCCACGGACCTTCCTGGGCGCCACCTCGGCCATGTACAGGATGATGGTGGCAGAAATGAAGCCGACGCCGACCCCTGAGACCAGACGGCCCAGCACAAAAAGCGCCAACTGATTCGTTGATATCATCTCGAGTATACAGCCGATCGTGAAGACAAGACAGCCAATGATGATGGACGGGCGGCGTCCGATTAGGTCGGCGATATCTCCAGCAATGAGCGCCCCGAGAAAGGTGCCGCAGGACAAGTTCGACGTGATGAGAGCCTTGGTCGACGACGGCAGGCCGAATGCGGCACGGTCGACACCAACCGGCTGTCCGGCTTCGTAGTCATACTGCAGGCCGGTGTATAGGGTGATGAAGTAGGGCATGCCTAGCACGCCAGACATCCAGCTGGTATCGTATCCAAAGACTGGAGACGGTCAGCGTATCCATGTATATGCCCTCCGAGCATTACACACTCACATATTCCACCAAACGCGGCAAAGGCGCAGAGTAGGAACGCCTTGAAGGTCACGGGCGCTTCTGTCCTCGACAAATCGGCTGTGCCCGACACTGGATAAACCGAAGAACCAGCCATCATCCCCTACTCGAAGGCTAACACAAGCGGATCTCAAATATGATTGATAAGGGCGACTTTCTGGCGGTTCTGAAAGAAGAGCTGTGAGGGCAAGAAAAGGATAAGAGGGAGGACAGGAGGAGCCTTGTATAACTGGGAGAAGCTTCGGCGTTCTAGAACGTACAACAGAGCAGGGTTCCTCTCAATGCACAGTCTACGACTCTACGTGATCTGCACATGGTGGGTAATGGAAGGATAAAACCCCGAATCGAACGCTACTTCAATGAACTTCATACATAATGCTAACGGTTATGCAGCAGCCGAATCTGGTACTGGACTCTTAGCCATGAATCCATCATGGGGGCGGCCTGCAAAACCGTTGAAATGCGCCCTTGAGCGGCCAGGGGTATAGTATGGTACAAACCAAATATGGAAAGAGATGTTCGCCGATTGCAATCAAAATGGAAGGAAAAAGAATGGGATACTCCGTCGACTCTACTTTAGCAGGGAGCAAACATCGTCACTCAACCCCTCGAAACCAGCTTGTAGAGACTTCATACGAAGCATCCTGGCAGTTCTTGATTTGACGGAACAACTCTGAGGCTCGGGCAGCTCGTGTTTGGGTCAATGTCCCCAGGATAAATAGGATTTTTCTAATCACAACAGTTTCCACTGACAAGATGGCAGCATAATTCCCGCCCATTGACTGCAAACACCGCCATTCTGCATGTTCTTCTGTGAAGGAGACTGCATATTCTGCACGATAGAGTCGTTGACATATTCGACATGGCCTGACTATGCAATAAGCACTCTATAACAGCAAAAGTCAAAATCCATGTGAAGACCCGGAACGTGAGACTTCCTTGGCGCCCCTCTGTCCCTAGCAACGTTTGCCGGCCGTTATGCATCCCGGCCTCAAACCCGACCCGTCACTAACCCCCCGGGCTCCCGCGACCTCCGTCCCGCCGGGCCCTGCCCTCGGCTTCTGCTATGGACCTGTTGACACCTCGTAACACAACATCGAGCAAACATTGCACGTGTGCAAAGTACAGAGTAAGGAGCCTCCAACACTACAGTAACACCTCCAGGTTTGCCCAACCCGGCTAGAAGGACTTTATGCAACAAAAAATAACCCAACTTTGTGACAAGAATGCCAGGGCAAAATATAACATTCATGATTTCGTCCAGGTTCGAACTGGAGACCTTCAGTGTGTTAGACTGACGTGATAACCAACTACACCACGAAACCCATGCATTGATTACCTAGCAAATTACTACAATACTATAGCATTAGAACATTGGAGCAAGCACTTACAAGTTCGGCTCTCGTAACTGTCGCCGCAGCAGAGATATCTATTTTTTAAGAGAGAAGAGTGAACACGGTGCTACCACTTGGAAGGAGAAAGTGAGTAAGAGGAAGAAGAATAGACTTGTATAGTCGACGGGGCTGCGAGAAGTAAACATGTGCCACGAATCCCAGGCAGCGGCAGCCGGCAGCAGAAAACGTTCTACGTTGCCAGATGACACGGTTAGGTGCTGACCATGTCCTACTCTGTATACCTCAGGGATGAGTCTAGTGGTGCGTTGATTAGTCCCATCCGGAATGCCAATGCCCACACAGACCCAACTCTCATTCAAAACCTCCTTGACACAACTGTGCGGAATCTTGCATGACAATATCCCAAGGCAAACATGGCCATGTACTAGTACGTTCTCGCCGGCATCGGTCAAGTTAATGAGTAATTGGGAGCATCTGCGATAGTCTGTTTAAACGTGAGTTACTGGTGATAGGAACTTGCTGTGCTCCTTCTGTCCATCGCGGGGAGGTCTGACGATCGACGAGATGCTATCACCCAGTACCACTTCACGTCAAGACTTCCACAAAATGTGCAAAGTGGGTATGATATTGTGCCTGCCTATTAAAACCAAGAAGCCAACCTCCCGTCTCCATAGAATAAAACGCACACAACGCAGAAAAGCACCAAAGCCCGAGCGTCTCGTCTCGGTAGAGTATCAAGTCGAAGCAGATTTAAATAAACAGCCGGCTGATGGACAACAGCAAAGCCCCTTCCACCCTCCCTCATCTTGATTCGCATGCCAGCCATATGTCGGTCATTTGTCCACTCCGAAATCCCAGAGATAGCGGCCCGGCCCGGAGCGTAGCGGGGTGGCAACAACACTCCCCAACTCTGCACAAAAAGAAAAGGGTGGGTTAAGGGTAGATTATGCTTGTTTGTGCGCAGGGGACTGTCCTGTCCAGTCGTCTCTCATGTCTCGTAAAACGTAGCTGTACCCTCGGGGAGGTCCCCGCCTCAAGAGCAAATCTACGCAATTATGAGGCCTTTAGAGAAGCGCGGCAAGACCGGCTGCCAGGAGGATAAACGCGCTTGCGGGTCCGACAACGCTAGCGGCGCCGGTCGGAAGAGCGGTGCCGCTCCCGCTGCCGCTGCCCGGGCCGCTGTTGGTCGACGTCGGAGCGGGGGGCGCGCCAACCGAAACGGTCGTCCCGTTGGTAGGGGCAAAGCCGGAGCTACCGCCAGTCGGCTTGGCGGTGGTCTTGACGCTGGAGGTGGTGGTGGTGCTGTTCTTGGAGACGACCTCGCTGGTGATGCTTGTGGTCGTGGATGGCTGGCTGGTGCTGGAAGGGCTGGCCGAGGTGGAGGTCGCGGGCGGAGGAGTCTGCGACACCAGTTTACCGGGAATGCTGTAGGCGGCGGCGCAAGCGACCAGGTCCATGCCCTCGGGGCAGCACCATGTCTCGTTCTGTTCGTCGGATGTGCAGTAGTAGCCGGCTTCGCAAGAGGCTGGGAGGGGTGGTCAGCAACCGCAAGAAAGCCGGACTTTAGACCCTGTCTTGGGATGTTTCCACGTACCGCCAGACTTGTTTGGGCAGCAAATCTCTCCGGCATTCGGGTTAAAGCAGTGGATTTCGCTGTCGCTAGAAGAGCATGTCTGATAGCCCGCGCCGCAAGCCTCCTCACAGGTGCTGCCGCTGTTGCAATTGGCCTGCTCAGGTTGGTATCCCGGGGTGTCTTGACGACGCATCACACCGAACAGCTCGCGGACCGACATCTTCATTGCATGGGGCTGATAAGGCAATCGCTCGGCAGCGACGTTTGCCGCGAGGGCGAGAACCGCCATTGCGGTAAATGATTTGGCAAGCATCTTGGTCGATTGATTGAAGCTCAGTCAATTGAAACGAGACGCGCGAGGTCGGTCGGTGTATTTGCGACAGGAACGGGCAAAATGGTGCAAAGCGCAACGGCTGTAGAGCTGAAGTTGCCGGGTATCGCAGGAGAAACGAATGGAACGAGCGCAAGACTCTGTTAATGAGCGACTGGTTGTTCCGGGTGAAGAGGAATGGAGGCCGGATGGGAGCGGAGGAGAGGAAGGGAGAAATGAGGGTGGTAAAATCGGGCACGAGGATCTTGGGGGGATATATGGGGGCGGAGGAGGTCTCGTCCCAGCCAATATCTGCGCCTGGGGTACATTTCATGCAGGCCAAGCAACCCAAGCAGCCACTCGTTGTCTCCTTAATTTTAGCGACTGACGCCGCTCTGGGCGCACGGCGCGGTACCTGCGTCGTTCCTGACCGACCTGCAACCAATAACCTGCCGTATCTCCTCTCTCCAACAAACCCAAACCAAACAGGCTCCTCCAATCGCCAGCACGCCACCGAAGCCTAACAAACGTGGAATGCTCGTTGTCGACAACAGGTGCTGATTCGGGATGCTGTCGATGTCTGACGTGGGCTCCTTCAGTTTGCCAATGCCATGCATTCGGGCCAGGACTTCTTTTCGGAAGCCCCCTAACCTAACGTTACTTGGGATCGAATCAGATGGCGTGTGAACACTGAACACTAACTTTTAGACCCGGATGTGCGAAATGAGCCAAGCATCTCAGTCTGGGCATTTCGTGCAGCGATCCCAGCTTGAAAAGATCGACAGCACCAATCACTCAGAGAACCGCCCACGGCAAATAACTGTCAACAAACAATTTCTACTGACAAGCAATACCATACTGCACGATAGGACCGGTATGTACAGACAGCACATCTGTTAGCACTGCCTCTGCCGCGTTGAAGCGGCGTCAGAGACACAATCGAGTTATCGACTGGCTCCGTGGCTCGCATTGTGGCTGCGAATTCAAAAACCGACGGGAGTGCAAGTTCATCTAAGTTACATGGTCCGTGCTTTCGAGGCGGATGCAGACCCACCAACTCCAAGATCAAAAGGCCATCCGTTCAAATCGGACGGCCGTCATGAAGACAGGACCTTTTTTTGCCGTTGTTGTGGGGCCAGTTTTGGCGAGGAAACCCGCCTGCTCTACGCATGAGGATGGGTTAACAGAATGAGGTACAGCATACGCACTCGACGGACAACCTCTCTAGATATGACGACTCGGGACCGCGGGCAATAATACCGTGATTCCCTTAACGATGGAACCTGTCCACGGTCTACGTTGGGCTTGGACGACCCAGTTCAGCGTCTTCTGCTTTAAGATCTCTCGGCGTTCCTGTACCCACCGTCCTGCCGGCTCTAACTGCTTATAGCTAACCTTTCCAGGAATGGCATCATTGGCAGCGAGGGTCGACTCAAAGTCAATCCGGGGCCAAGACAAGTTAGACAACGGTCAACCTTGCCCTGTACCCGAGCGAGAAGCGTTGGGTACATCAGCCTACGACCTGATATAAGCACCACCCTCAATTACCCTCTGAACACTGAAACTTGAACTGCTCGTCTCCATTTCTTCTCCATGCCCTGGATACAAGCCGTGTATCTGAGCCTCTTATCAAGTTTACAGTACATTGCTTCAAATCCGTCTTGTTCCAGTCTATGTACATACCTAGAAGTCTGTGGCGCCGAACCCGTCTCAATAAGCTAACTTGGAGACTAGGTACTCTTGCTTGCCGCTCTCGCATGGTTTCCGAAGCATGAGGTGACAATATCATATCTCCCGACTATGAGGCCAAGAAATCCATAGCTACCTATATATAGGTACTACAAGACGTGACCAGGGAGATATTGAAGTTTCGCTCTGGAGTTTCCAGTCTAGCGAGTCTCTATCAGCTGGACACAGGCCCCTCTAGAAAAGGGCACAGGCGAATTCATAAGAAGAGGTCCCATTCTTTGAGAAGGAATCCCAGGAGCTGTCTAATACTATTGATAGAGACAGTACAGGTATGTACATACATTCGGTTCACACGCTACTAAGGCACTATGTTAAGCCACGAAGCTGAGCATGACCGCACCGTGACAGTTACGGTTCAAGTTGTTCTCACTTCTCTTCCAGTCATTTTCCTAGCTGGAACGTGATTTGACCCGAGTCAGCCAACGATGCTAGTATCCCTGTTCCCCTGAGGCTTGAACACCGAGGGATTCGCAGCCCTTGGCCAAGAAAACTATCATCAATTCAGTTGTATCATGCTCAACTTCCAATTCAGCACACTTCCATACCACTAGTCTCATTTCAATGACAGAGAGATTGTATAATATGCATTCATAGATTCAAAACCACCTGGCAAATCTCTAGGGATACATGTTGCGTTTTAGTCACTCTGTATTCTCCTGGTCTCTTATTATATGGACGGAACGGCACTGTCCCTCAGTAGAATCTGTCGCCCGTTCTTAAGTTAGCTTCGTAGAGGTACGTAAGTAAGGTACCCACGTAGTTTGTCACGGTACGGGCCGTGTGCTGATAGAAAACGGCAGAAATACGAGTACCGTCCACAATTACAGTTCTATTTCCAAGCAACTCATTCATCGTTTACGCTCTATAGAGGGGAATTACTTACGCTCTCTACATGTGATTGCCATACCCAGATATGTTAAATAGCCCCTCTTCTTTTAGAATTCCAGCCTGGAAACCTTGGACGCTGGGCTCTGGCCAGGTTTAGTCTAGGTTTAGTCTAGGGTCAATATCTGAGCATCCAACACCAACTCTTGTGTCACGGCCTATCATGAAGTTGAGTAGGTTTACACATGTTGTCAACTGTAATGAGGGGCTAGTAACTGGATTTGTCTGGAACTGGTACTTTCAAAGTACTGAAGTAAAACCATTAGCCCCTAAGGCAAGGAGACTTATGGGCAACGGCGGCAGTTTCCTCGTTGCCATTTTGTTTCGGCTCTTTTCAGTTTCGAACCCTTTCTCCTAGCTGTTGTGGCCCTTTCCCTAGGCTCACTATTGGACTGTGCCACTGTGATTTGTTTCCACAGCTTGATGCCATAGAGACTGTATGTGCTGCCAGACACGCTCCTACTTCCACTATCATCAACTGTTGGAATAACTCCAACGATATCCAGATGGAAGAGATTCATACAATCAAACGGCTTAAACAGCGAAACAACCACAAGAGTGTAGAAACCGACGCTGGCACTATCACATAGAATTAGAAGAAAACTATGATGATGTCCTAGTTGCCCATATGCATGTACTTCAAATACATCATTCGCAGGCCTTGTTTAAGCTGTGGCTCAGACTCAGCCCGGATATCGAACAACTTGAACTCTTGAGAGTATGCTCCTCTAGTCCATCGACCACCTTAGGTAGGTATGTTTACTTCCCGGTTTGATCTTACCAGCGGCGAGGGTATCCTCGGCAGTGTTGCCTCAATCACATTTACAATAGAGACTCGACTTCCAATAACGGTTATTCCCTTAAAGCGCGATTTCATTTGAGGCTTCAAATGCATAGGTACCTATCACAGCACTGCAGAGACACAACACAAGCCCCTAAGACACATTCCCCTTATTACATTGAACCAGTTTTCTCTGAGCTCCTAGCCAATTAGGGCATTGTAGAAGTGATATACTGTCTGGGGGTTTCTGGTGCTTCCATACGGATCAGTCTGTATTTCTTGTGCGAGTGTTTGGCCCCCCTGAGGCCTGATGATGGTGAAGTATCTCAAGCCCCGTTACTCATACCACGCGTAACCTGAGTGATAGCGACCTCAAAAGCACATTAAGGTTCGGGCCCGGCCTGCCCGTAACTGTGACACAAGCTTCATCAACATGGCGGCTTGAAACCGCTACACAACTATATGTTGCTACACAGTCATTGCGGGAACAGCGTAGTAGCGACGGGAGTATTCGCATTCAACGCAAACTCGCCCAGGCATGTCCTAGGTATCTGGCTCTGCCTTGCGCAAACAACAGGCAGTTACAGGGACCAATGAACAAGCGGCCCCTTGCCCGAGGCGGCTGGCTCTGGCAAGGTGCCTGTCATAAGGTGAAACGTAGCCAATACAGCAACCTACCACAGGCAACGCAACTGAAAATGACCTTATTACTGGTAACACTTCAAGGAACAAGAACATCATGTTTTGTCTAAGCTCATTAGGTAGCCTTCATAATCTCCCCCTCCCTGTTCGTTCCTTGACCTAGCTGGTTCTACTGCAGCATAGCATTACAGCATTGCGGCAATCGAGCCGGATGGGAGCGGGGTTTGGAACAGGGTAGATATCATGGATTAGAATGGGAAGGCAAACGGAGGAAGGAAAATAAAATAAGAAAAAAAAATAAAAATAAAGGAAAGAAAGTAAAAAGGGGTTAAAAGGGGCAAACGCACTTAGAACCCGCCAGATCAAAACCAAACATTGTACACCGCCTCCGCGAGTTGCCCTACTCAAAGGTAGTATTTATTATCACCAAGTAGTAGTACACTACTACGTCTAAGGAAATCTGCCAGCATAATCTGACGACCTGGGGCCTCCCAGGTACAACCATCATTCGATCTTCTGGCCTCCACGTGGGGTAAATGGTTCGACTCTGGGAGGATTGAGTCGACACATGTAGTCGGCTCCGCCCGTTGGTACATTGCTGTACAGAGGGTCGGATGCATAACATGTGCTTATACTTCGTAGCTGTGTGCGGTTCAAGAAAGCGTTCAAGCTGCTACCACGCAACCCCGCCTGGGGTACGAGGGTCACATACAGTCATACACCATCACCCGAGTTTTACCACAGTCAAATCTCGAACGTTCCAGATGCACTCGGATCGACGGGGATATGGTGGTATCTGCAGTTGGCAGTTTCGAGCTGTGCAATTCCCCGGCCTTTCTCGAGGCTATGTTCACCCATGGGGCTCCAACCAACTCTGGTCAACGCCTAGATGGATACTACGGGCCTTTGTACCGCGACAGGAAAGGGGGTGTGTTACTGGGGTGTACTTTTGAGCGGTGTGGTGGTGTGGTGGGACTCATAGGGGAAGAAGGCCTGCATATCCGCTGCAGATCATCTATGCACGCGAACGATCCGGGTCGAAACGTTTCAATGGCTGCCGCTTCCGACATGCGGGCATGGCGGGTCCGCGATAGGACGAAATCCTTCGAGACGAACCATGATCTGTACGTTATTCAAGGTATCGGCTGTTGGATGGAGGATCCCGCCCGCCCGAGTAGTGTAAACAGACGGCATTGATCTCGATCTCGCTTCGAGAGACAGATCGATGGCGCACGACTGCCCCAGAAAGAAAGTCTGCCGTTCGGCCGTCGGCCGTACCGCCGCACTCCTACCTTGCATTCATACCCTTCTTAAACCTCGATTGTAGGCTGAACCGGCTTGATGTTCACCGGCTGCAGTTCCCACCCAACTGGGCGAGTCTATCTGCGCATCAATAACGATTTTCCCGGATTGCTGCAGCTGTCGTGACGAATCTTTCCGCACCCTCATCTAAAACTCCGATTGATTGTCATTGCATCCGTTCCGCGGGCGGGAGCTAGCTCAATCTGGGTTGGCATACCACCATGGAGATCAACGGCGCCGAGAAGGCCTTCAGAATGTCAGTCTGCAGTGTTACCCCACCCTCCATATGATATTGGCACCCCATGGCTAAACTCTCATAGTTACGCCCATCTGCTCTGTTCGCGACCCTTATGCAGACGCAGATGCTCGCATTGCGACAGTGATCGGACTTTCGAAGGGATATCCTTCGCCTGCTACCGAGCGTTACAGATCGAGAAACTCGGCGCATGTGCTCTTCTCAGAGATGCCTGACGGACGCGTCCGGACCGAAGACTAGCGGCTAGAGAGAATTTTAACGCTGATAGCTTGCTGCACAACTATCTGGCGCTCGAACAACTCACTTATCCCGACAGCTACCGAGCGGCCTGCGACTGGTTCAAAGCGCGTATCCGACCGCCTTCGCAGTCACGAACGGCAGACGAGCCGCCTCTGAGCAGTGATTGCGAACTGGTTACTAACGTAGATAGTCGGGAGATGCCGTTGTCGCTGCGCCAAACACTCCAACCTTAATCAGAGCGTCTCAGACCCCGGCCCATCAGGTGTAACTTGTCCTGCCTCGTCATCAGATACTCGGCTCTCGGCGTCATGGGGACCGGCAGCATCTTCTTCGCCGACAGGGTCTTCGTCGCTCTGGGAATGCGGGACGAGCAGGAGGTCCTCGCTCCCTTGCCATTGCGATGGCATTGGCGGAATCGCGTCCTCGTCATCGTCCCAACCGTAATCCTCGTCGTCGCTATCAGCAATCTCAAAATCGGTATCCCCAAGCTTTCGCTTCTGTGCAGGGGTTGTTGAGAGCGCCCTGGAAGGTTGGGTATTATCGTAGTCCACAGACATCAAGCCGTACTTCTGTCAGTTAGCAGTGAGCGTCTTAGACTAGAACTCCATCACCAGTTACCTCTTCCACCGTGAAAGCACAGGCGCTGTTCACCGTTGTAGGCACGGCCTTTCCGTTCAACTTCTGGATTCCAGCAAAGTGCAAGCCGCGGGTCTCGATGCCATCCAGGAGCCAGTCACGGAACAAGACAAGCCTAGTCGATATCCCCTGATCCCAAATGCTGGCGTTGATTGCGGGGATCAGGGTTGCACCGCGTTCAGCCTGCATCTTTGTGGCGCATTGCGTGAGAACTACAACGGCTAGATCTCGCATAGCCGCAAGCTTCTGAAGACTGCTGACAATGTACTGGAGCACTTGAAGCCTCCGCGCGGACGATGAAGGCCCTTGATGTCCAGGTCAGGCTCGTCCTGCGGGCCGGTTCTGGAACAAGCTGCGGCATACCTTTATTGCCCTTGGCATCCATGACGACCCTTGTTTCGGGCAACTTGGGGAATGCATAATTCACGAGGGCAGACAGCGAGTCGACGACTAGAAGTGCGGTCCCAGGCGGGGTGCACAAGGCGGTAGGCCTGCACAACAGCGCGATCAAGTACGGCAAGCTGGGACATGTGTAATGGGTGAAGGCCTTCAGTTGATCGAGACCCTGATCATCGACGCTGTCCAGACTCGCCCCCGCAACGGCGCGCAGGCGGTTAATGGGCACTCGGTGGAATCCATCTACATCCTGTAAGCAGCACGCCGCATGAGAAGCCACAATGTAAACGGATAAAACGGACCTACCCAGACAACGCCCCGGCCTTCAGCGATGCAATTTGCAGCAAGCTGGATTCTGGACGAGTTAGCAATGTTCGGGCAGCCGGGTCTGAACATGCATACCCGAACGCCGTCTTTCCGACACCCGGAGGACCCCAAATTTCCGTGACATGGCCCCTCTGGATACCGCCTTGATGGGCAGTGCCCAGCTCTGACTGCAGCGATGCATCAAGGGCCGTAAGCCCGGTGGAGATGAAATTGCACTCGTTGCCTTCAAAATCTCGCAGAGCCTCTGCAGCCGACACGGTAGGGAGACGGTCTGGGGTTGTCAGGTCGGTCCAGAACCGAGTCAATTGTGAGACACGAAGGAACAGGACGCACGTGTTGTCGAGAGATCAAAGCTTGAGACGTCGTGACCATGGATTGCATGATAGTCCATCACGCCTTGCTTTATTAGTTCAGGTTCCAGGCGCCGGCGAATTCTTCAGGGTTCTGGCGCGTTGTTGGTCGCAGCTGTAGGTTGATCGAGGGACGGCCCGGGATGTTTGAAGGGGCGGAAACTGCGACTGAGGACAGCCTTATCTTATCTTGGACCCTTCTTACACTTCTTCAAAAGCGCCAGCTCGGAACACAAGCCAAATGAAAACTAACCTATGCATATCTCTAAAAACGGGGAAAAGGAATCCAGGCGGTAACTTAGGGCAACAAAGTAGGGTCAAAAATTCCAAAAAAAATGCGGTTTGTGTGGATCGAACACACGACCTTCAGATTGATTGCCCGAAGTTTGACTTCAGTCTGACGCTCTCCCAACTGAGCTAAACCCGCTTGCTAAATTTAGGCTCAAAACCGTGATATATGTAGGGGTCCGAAAATACGGTGACCGTCGCGGCCGTTACTGTATGTACACAAACTCAGATAGACAGAACACAGAGAAAGAGACACCAACCATACAGGGCGCTGCCATAGGTAAGGGAACTTCATCTTAGCTACCTTACCTACCTACCTAACTACCTGCAGGAGCGACTTTCTATGTATGTATCCTACGACCAAGTGAAGCCACCAATTTCACATGCAAATTCAACCCCACCTTCCCCGCCAGCACTGTTAAGCTGCCAGCTCCCGCAACCCTCCTCGCACATGATGTCATAGACATATTCAACCGACGAAGGACCTTCTGCTTTTCAATGGCAAAACATTTCTCTTTCTGTATAATGTGTACCGTAGTAGGTTTCGATTTCACGGGCGGTCAGGCAAGCTGCTCAACGGAACGCAGATGTGCAGGGTCATCATGATCGCAAACTGCGCAAAGTACCATTAGGACTGAACTTGGCCGGGTCAGTGATGCGCGCCAACCGCGTTCCTCGCTGATATCATTGCGGCAGCACCGGTATCCACCAACTTGCTATCTTTCTCAAACAACACGCTATGCCCTCTGGCCAGACTAACATGCGCTAGCATCACTACGAAAACGGAGAGCAGGCTAAAAGAAGATTTCGCGATTCACATTGGGCAATATATCGCGCCCTTGCATTCCCGGCTTCTTGCTCTTCGTCCTGGATCGGCCGACCATCAGAAGCTTATGTGATCAGAGCCTTGTGTGATCATGGCCAGCCGCCTTGTCTGTCCGTCTGGGGACATTTCCTAGACTGCCGATGCCTAGGGCCCCAGCCACCACAGTTCATGGGAGTGGAAGAGAGCGGACTGGAAATATACCAGCATACGCTAGATTCCGAGGGTTAAGCTTTCCCGCAGAGGATATTCTCCCTCTCAAGACTGCGGTCAATGGTCATAGGGTTGTGGGATACGCGGACACGAGGGACACAAGGAGGCTCATCAGGGCCGGCACGATGGCTTCTCGGGGTGCCGACGGAGATTAACCTCTTCCGTTAAGGGAAAATGGGAGTTTTCTACCAACGCTGTCCACTCTGCATTTGGATCTGTCCCATGTGATAGGAGGGGTAGTTCCTGGTCGCCCGTGCATTTCGGCACTCAAACGTAACACTGGGGGCTGATCAGACTACGTGGGGGGTCGGCAACCTTGAGGGACTCCCTTTTGAAGGCTGATGGTGACTGCGGCCAAAGGGTTTGCAACACCGAGCACACGTTTTCGGTGCGCCTGGTTTGGACCTGTCAGAGAATTTTCCGGGCCATCACCAAGAATGACGTGCCCAGACTTGTTAGACCCGACAGTCTCGGTTTTCTAGGCCGAGGGAAATGCCCCCGCCTGTCCGGACCACGGGAGCCCCATGGCAGGGGTTTGGCCGAAAAATTCCCGCTGCGTTCCTGACCTGATGATTGTTGTTCAATGTTACGGTGTTGAGGCAAGATCCGTGCCCTCCCCTGAAGCGCACAGTCTTCCATTGCTACGATCTCGAGAACCGGGCTGCACGGAATTCTGATGCGCAGAGTTGACGAAGAGCTCCATTCACGAGCTTCCAGGATGAGATTTTTGAGGATCCGATCAATCTGGGCGCAGGCCCTGTCGCCCACCGGGGACAGGGCGACCAATGACGACGGCCAAACCGCACCACTGCAGATGTCACGATAATTTTTTGCCTTCTGTCAAGGCTCAAACACCAAAGAGGGCACATCTCTTACCGGGTTTTCCTCTCTTCTCTCCCCCCTTTTTTATGCTTCGCGTTTGCGTTCGTACCCCAGGGTGGATCTCGGCCTTTCTGTGGATCGCGGCAGTTCCCGAATTTTGGAATCTGCGCCAAAAATGACTCGCGAGGGTCGGTGGGCATTCACCTCGCGCTTCGGGCTCTGTTCGGCGAGAGGACGAAACATAAAATTCTGTGCCTGAGAAGCATGCTTGTGCCTTGTCCGTGCCTTCGTGTCAACTACACATCGAGTAAAAGTTTGGTAGTGCAGAGTACAAACAAACTACAATTGCATAGCGGCATCCTCATCCGAAATTTTTTCTTGGCTCCCCACGTGTTGAAAACATCGGTCGGGAGGCGCCCAACGCCCCGGATCTGGAGACCTAGACCTACCTAGGTCCCTAATCTGAGCACAGAAGGAGTTTCGACAGTATGTACATACGTGTAAAACTGAAGTACGCAAGTACATACATAAGGTGCTTACACACAGAGCACCACGCTGATAACCACGGTCTCGCCCTAACCCGACGCTATCTGAGTCAGCCCGTCGGCTGTATACGGCGTGCAGGGTACGGGCGTTGGCACTTCGGCCCGGTTCAGGCGTCTTATCCTCACATCCGTGGAGTATTCTGGGGAGTTCGACCGAGTGAAAAAATCTCCAGCATATCTGGCCTCTGGACATATAGCATGGATCAAAGGGTCGCCTGCCAAAACATGATGAGCAGATTGTAACCTGGAACTAGAAATGGCGCGTGAAAATCCTCTTGACTTGTAACGGCAACGTAGGGCTCAAAGCGGGGCAAACCTTTGCTGAACCCGTTTTGTGGATCATGTTCAAGCCTCACAGTGTCTGATCATCTGATGAGAGGAACGGTGGGATGAAGGTCAGCCGGTAGCAGTCGCAGGACAATATTTGAAGACAAATACCAGAATATGTAGAGGGCTCCCGGTTTATCCTCAGGTATTCAATCCCAGAGATGGAAGACGTGTTCTCAGTTTTCGACGCTGCTGAAAGTGGTGGCCCCGCCGTCAACCCCCACGCCCACAACAGGTGAGAAATGCGGGTGAAGCGACAGGCGATGGGTACCCACGGTTGTTCGACAGTGTCAGGCGAGGGTCAGGGAGGCTACCACAGTACATCACGATACCACGCTCTGATATGCGACAGAGGGACAACCCCTGGTGAATCGGGGGCGGCAACCGAGTCGATGCTCGGCGGCCAACCGACTTCCTCATTTTGGCGCGCTTATCTCTGGTTTGGCAGGATGAAGACTAGCGTAGGTACCCCGGATTCTGGACAACGTGAGAATCCGGAGAGAGCTTGCCGCAGCTCATCCGCCTCATCCATTGATTGAGCAGGAGTGTGTTGTTGGAAACGCCACATAATGCTTATTGCTGCCTGCAACCCACGTAAAAACCGCAGCAGTCAGTGATGACGGGCTGCCTAGTGAAAGGCCGTCATCCCCAATGCATTTTCGGAGCCCCAGAGCATCACGTTTTGTTGTTGAGTGGACGTCAGCCGACGGTGGGCAAGCCAGTAGGTTCTGTGACCTCCCCGGTCCCCACACTCCGCACTTTGTGTTTTCGACCCTTTCTTATCTCTGCTTGGCCCACCCCCCATCCCCGAGATTGCTGGAAGCACGTCTTCGGCTCTTCTGATAGCGGAAGCAGCAGCAACAGAGATAGTGTAAATATTGCATCTGAGTGTACATACAGTACAATACATCAAGTAGATATCGTTGTTTGACATCAATAGGCCCGAGTCAAAATGAACTGGCTACCTTTAGTGTAATTTCTGCATTGTAGCGAGGCATGCAGGACGCCGGCCCCGGATCCGGATCCGTTCCGACGGTCCCGGCTCCCTGGCATACTCGGCATTGCGTGATCGGACGGGTTTGTTGCCACTTGGTTGCGCGTCGAAGTGTACAGTTATACAGTACAATACCTTAGTCAAAGGGAGGCCGGGCTGGGCCGTTTAGCGCAGCCAGTTCAAGCCTTTTCCCCAGGAGGTGATTGCATGTGCAAGCTGCCTTATGCATCCCCAGATGTGCGCTGCTTGGTCTCCCTTTGACTGACTACCTATTACGGATAGTGGAAAACTATGAAAAGGTCCGGCTAGCCCCGGTTAGCATGTCTGGTCTCTTTAGTCTGCGGTCACATTGCTCTGGGTAGTGAGTACTGTGTACTCCGTAGTGCCATGCTATATAATCGCGAGAGGCCCGTTATCATCGCCAAGCTTTGGGTATCAGCTCTGGGGCACGAGCTTCAGCTTCTCCAAGGCGTCAGAAAGGAAATTCCAAGACGCAACAAAGAAAAGCCCAAGATGCGGGTGAACCCAACCATTTTCGTACTCCGTAGACCGAATCTCAGCCACCACAACCCACACCGCCCAAGCTCTGTGGAATCGGCCTCATCCATACCAATTTTTATGCATCGTGTTGGCGAATGGTAATGTCACAGCATTACTTCACTAGTGTCTTTCCTTTAAGGCCTCTCATATTCATAAGCGGATGGCCAGAAGGCGAGACGATATGACGCTCTCACCGGGTAGAGCAGCCAAGGTGTGTATGCGGGTTTGAAGGACGAACACTCATGAAGGGCATCGACGTTGATTCCGAGCCAGCAAAAGTTTACACACACCAAGGTAGGTAGATACTATGTGCGCATTGCACACCTCGGGTAATGTATGCTAGTCATTGCGTGAGGACCTTCTCGGCTTCGCACAGAGACATGGCAAGAGCGCTTGCGCAAAGTATCTCGAACGAGTTTTCACCTACATCCTACCTAAGCGGACTTTTCCCTCGTCCCCTACATCCTGTGTACACGCTGGGTAAGTAGCATGGTATTTGTATGTATGTACAGTTCACAAGGCCAGCTACTTGGTTGTGTTCAAATTTACATTTACCTCAAAGCATTGCACAAGTTCTCACAACACCCTACAGGTTGCCGGACAAGCTCGACATCTGGTTGTCTAATGGCTCCCCGTGTCGGCCCCGACCACCATGTCTCGACGAGATGTTAAGCCGGCCGGAAAAGCAATGCAAATTTCCATATAGTACCCGCCTACCAAAACAACGCCACCGCAGAGCCTTGCCGAGCCCGCTTCACAAGGTGCACACCGGCCATATCTACAACAACCCGTCCCGGTGGAGGGGACGGCTGCAGAAAGCTGCAGGGCAATGAAATAGGTGGTTTGCGGCTGGAGGGCACCTAGGGATAGATGTATGTGTATGTACTGTACATACATAAGGTACAGTACCTACCTGAACTCTAGACAGCGGCTGAGAAGCGGTACCTTTTCGGCCAGGTACTGCTGACATGGGGCGTTCCTCTTGCTTTTCCTTCTCTCTTTTTTTTTCTTTTTCCCGAGATTTTCCTCCCCTGGCTTTTTCAGGCGGGTCTCCCTGTCACTTGCTTGCTCCCGAACACCCACTGGACCCGCGCCCCTGCCGTACAATCCCCACACCACACCCATCCCTGCCCAAGTCCTAACACACCCCCCTAAATGTCCAGCCCGCCCCCCATTTAAAACCAGTGCCGCCTCCTCCAAACCGACGCTTCCAGTTTCTGTTACTTCCCCATGCTACTTTAAGAGCTTCCCCAACAACGCCAAACCCCAGATCCCAGTGCTTAGATACGCGACTCCCCGCACTTCCACGAGACCCGACAGTCCAACGTCCAGTCAAGGAAGCTCGCACCAAGTCTCCGCACAACACAGACTTCACCTCACCGCCGCCCATCGAGCAGGAAAGGTCTACCAGCGGGGACAAAACAGCTCCCCGGTGACATTCGATCTCCCTTTGGCCGCTGCATGCATTGTGTGCAGCACGACTGGAGAGCATAAGGACAACATCAGGCAGACCCGGTGTGCCAGGTGGCAGTGTCAGGATCTCCGATTGGGAGGGCGGTCACATGCAACGCGCAAAGTCCGCAGTGGACTTTTCCAGCCTGCTGAACCCAGAGGTTGCGGCGGAAAGGGATCAGGTTTCGCCGCGGCAACAGCAACAGCAACAGAAACAGAACCAGCCATCGTCACCCGAAGGCGACATGGCCGCTGTCGGCCTTCTTCGCCCGAACGGGCCTCTGCCAGCGGGATCACAACCCGCCGACCCACCTACAGAGCTTCCGCGGCCGTACAAGTGTACCATGTGCGACAAGGCATTTCACCGGCTAGAGCACCAGACTCGGCACATCCGGACGCACACCGGAGAGAAGCCCCATGCCTGCACGTTTCCCGGCTGCAGCAAGCGCTTTTCACGCTCTGACGAGCTGACGCGGCACTCGAGGATACACAACAACCCCAACTCTAGGAGAGGCAACAAAAGCCACCCGCAACACGCTGGCATGATCCACCGGCTGCAGCCCGACGTTATGGCGCCGCCCCCGGCGCCCAAAGTCATCCGCTCGGCGCCTCCTACCGCCATGTCGTCTCCGAACGTGTCGCCTCCGCACTACAGCTCTTACGGGCTCCCTCCACCATTGATCCTCAACAGCCCGTACAACCGCAGTTCCCTCGGCAGCCAAAGCGGGCCGGACATGCTGACAAGAGCCGCCGTGCAGGCGGAACGGGATAGCATGCCTGGTCCCCACCATTATCCCCCAGCAAGGCAGCATCCTCTCTACGTCGCCAGTCTGCATTCGTCGCGAAGCCACCTGCCAGGCCTCGGGGCGTACCACATGTCGCGCTCGCACTCGCACGACGACCATGACGACCACTATGCCCACACGTACAGGCAGCCAAAGAGATCACGACCCAACTCACCTAATTCGACAGCCCCTTCGTCCCCCACATTTTCCCACAACTCACTGTCCCCTACCCCGGACCACACACCGCTCGCCACGCCAGCCCATTCTCCCCGTCTCCGGCCATACAGCGGCTGCGAACTGCCCCCATTCCGCAACCTCTCCCTTGGACCTGCCCCAGCGCTGGCGCCGCTCGAGCCTCAGCCAGAGGGCCAGCTGTCGCTTAACGCACCTCCCCAACCGGCCCCCAGGAGCAACGGCATCTCGCTCACCGACATCATCAGCCAGCCCGACAGCACGCAGCGGAAGTTGCCGGTTCCTAAAGTTGCCGTCCACGACCTACTGGGCCCGAGTGATGGGTACGTGGCGAGTGGCCGAAGCTCATCGTCGAACAGCATCGCGGGAGGGGACCTATACGACAGGCTGTGAAGACTTGCGCCGTGTCTTATTTTTTCCCCATCTCGGAGGTCTGCACCACCAGCCTTCGCCATCATGACTTGACGACAACTACCAGGGCTATAGAAGGACATATCTGGCGTTTGGCGATCTTGCCTTTCTATGTTTCAATCTTCCTGATCTTTAATACCGGGTTTGAAGCGTTGGACGGTGCACTAGCAAAGGGGAATTCTCGGTTTTTGGGCTGTGAAAGGATATAGACCTCGCCACTTTTTTTTTCTGTTTTTGGACGGATAGACTCTTCTCAATCACAAATCCCACCGACTATACCGGCGCCACGAAAACGACAACTATTTCCTTTGTTCAAACTTGGTGTTTCGGGAGACCCCCAATACTTTTCCTTGTTTCTACGGTTTGGGAAAAAGCGGACAGGATCTGATAGATGGAAGGCGGATATCTGAACACGGCGGCGAAGGATAGGACCTTTAAGTGTGGGCAAATCTCCATTTCCTATTACCTCCTTCTCCGTTCATTCGGACATGTAATCTTGGGCTGTCTGGCCTCATTTTCTTCTTGTCTAGGCCATCCGTGGCACGGTAGAGCAGACTGTGTGTCCACAATTCAACAGCTCTTGACAAGGCGACGTCGAGATATCCTGATACCTTACAGGTGTCCACTCTTAATCCCAGCCATTTCACCCCAGTGCAAGAACCTATGCGAAAGCACCAGCAGGGAATGTACACAACCCGAATAGAACCGAACCGTCGCATTGTGAAAACTCCCCACCTTGTTTCAATTCTCCACGTTTCACCAGACCGTGGCCTGCAGTTGTACAGAGATGGTGGGCCGCGGGGAAGTAGATCGGCGGCCGATGTTGGGCCAACTGGCGGCGTATGGTTTACGTTAGGTTAACGAAGGATTTCTTTCTTTTACTTTCTTTCCCCCTACTGGTCCCGGGCACGATACACGCAATGCGAGGTAACACGAGGCCACACAAGGCAACTAGGCACAAGCAGACGTTTTGTTCTTTGCCCTTCTCCTAATCTTGCGTCTTCCTATCCCTGAAAATACGATACATACCACTACCAGTGCAACGGCCTTGGTACACATGGTGCTTAGTCAAAGTCCCGCTCGCTTCGGCGATCTTACCTCTCGCTATCTTTCCCTCTTTTTCGTGTCTATGTCGCATAGCTGCTAGCTCGTGTTTCTAGTTTAGTTTGGGTTGCGTATGCGTGGGGAAAGGGGTGTGGCATTCCGTTATCTGGGGAGGGTCACCGCCGGCAAGATTCCCGGCATGCGGGTGGGCAATACAATGCCATTACAGTACCACTTTGCACCATTCACCTCTCACCGATTTTGAAAAGGGGAAGGATTCCTTCTGGTTACCTTCTAGTGCGGTTGCAAGCATGCGCCTACACCACGCAAGCTGACGGCTGGGGCGGCGTCGCCGTATGGGCTGGCAGTGGATGCAACGCTGGCCTCACGACAGCACGCCATTGCCGTTGGTGCGGATCAGGACGATTGTGTGCATGACATGTATTGACTGTATCGTACACGGTCTCGCCGATATACCTGTGAGTAGACGGGATAAGTAGAGCCTGGCGTGTTTGTGTATGATACATTGGAAATGTAGATGGGATTCTAAACCTCAGGTAAGTTACAGCTAGCATGCCGGTCAGGCTGTGCAGTCCTACAGCACTGATGATTGTGTGAATGGTGTCAACAGCCTACTGGTCAGTCATGTTGACGCCCTGCCCATCTCTGGAGCCGCACTGCCTCGAGGTCAGGCATTGAGCGAGAGAGAAAACGCCAGCTGTCATGCTTGACAGCACGATGCGCAGAGCGGAAAACAACCCCTTTGGAACATTTCGAGTGGAGTCATTTCTCCCATCACCGTAAAAGTGGGTGCACCATCGATCAGTGAATCCAGTGCTGATGGAAGACGTTTCTGGTTGCCTGTTGGCTCAGCCTCCTTGCCGCGAATAACGTCGCGCGGCCAAGGATGTTGGAATTGCCTCCAACAGCACCAGAGACAGCGTAGCAGCGCCGCAACTCGGGATGAACGAGAACCACGAAGGGCGCCTTGGCCCTTGGCCGCGACGTGTTGTGGGGAGGGTGGAATGGTATCACGTCAGCGTTTGACCCGTTGTTTCCGTAATGCCCTGCTCCCATTTTTAGTGTGCAAAACTGCCCCAGGAAAATCCTCCGCCGGCTGCAGTCCAACCGAATTGTGGGGGTTACCTAGTCTGGGGAGAGCGATGCCGGCGAGGCTTGATAAACGAGATCGGCGAGAGGCGCCGAGCGATTCCAGGTTCCTTATCAGCGATTCTTTCGATCCTCGCGAGTCCGAGTTCTCTTGCTCCGATATCTAATATGGTAGCTAATTGTACCTCCATACCTTTATTATCACTATTCCAGTTACCATCGCCCGTTGACCCTGTCAGGCGGCCTTGTGCTACTCGACTTGTTTATTGTACGCCCTGGTCAAAGGAAGGCCGTTTGTAAATTTGTGCCTGGCTCGAGCCTGGCAACCTGGAGCCTGAGGTGCTGGCGCAGAAGGCTCCAAACAGCAACCGCGTATCGCGCCACGAGGAAGCCGGCTGGATCAGCCTGGGTGCAGACGCGGCCGCCAGTGGTGCCAAAACCAAGGTACGCCCTATAGGACTGCACCGATTCTCTTTCACGCGCAGGCACTCACATCATTTTACCTCACCGCAACTTCGGGTGATGGAGACACATAACACGGCACGGGCTACTAGTATGCTTTACTAGGTAGCTAGACAGCAAGAGCCAATGCCATGTCTCGTTACGGGGTGATGCAATCGGTAACTTCAGACATCCCATGATTTTCCCATACAGACTGCCCTGAACATGTTTCGGCAGCCAATGAGACTCGCACTGGGGTTTCTGCCGATCCCAGAAGGAGCTGATTTCTCTGATGACCCAGCAGCTGCAAGCACTCCTAGCGTACCGTAGCACGGCTGCGGTTTCCCCACGGCAGGTCTGCACAAGAACCACTCGCGTCTTGATCAACGTCAATCACAAACACGAACTACAATAGTCCTACGGGCCCCGGCCGACTTATTGGGCTGCTGGAGTCAGTGAGAAACCTTGCAAAGCGTCCTGACGGTAATGATGGGATCCAGTAATACATACTAGAGTTCGGGCCCGGCTCATGGGGCCTCAAAGACCCCTGAGCAGCCCACCCCCGCAAACGCCAGACCGAGATTTTCCAAAGCTCACTCAAGCCATAGGGTGTACCGGAAATGGATGGGATCCTTCTTTTGCGCGCCCTTCCGGAGTGAGACGTAACAAGGGGCTCATCCAGATGATGGATGGAGCCGAGAATTGAGCTCGTTTTCTTTTGGGACGTGGGGGGATTTACGTGTAAACGCTCTCGCACTGCTATCAGAACCAACTAACCAAGAATTAGAAGACAGGACATCAGCCGGGCGCAATTGCTTTGCCCTGGCTTATCTCAAAACCGGGTGCTATTCTCGGACTCAACCTTGTAAACACACTGAACTACTGGAAGCTCGATATAGGTTGGCACAAGGTACGTTGACTCGCATCACCGCCAATGAGTGTCACCTTTCCTTAGTGTATCCGTAGGTAGGTGCCATCCATGATCTAACCGGATGATAGCCCCCTGTCGTCCCCGAATTGTTGCGCCATCCGAAGTTTGGCTGGGCTTCCCGTGTGGAGCCGACCCCCACGCCCCATGGGGTTCCGAAGCTTAATGCCAACCCTGGCCAAGCCGCTGGGCAAGCCACAAGGCGCCATATGGCACCCTGTGCACATCATCCCTTTTGGACCATTCGAGGAGAGTTTATGACATACCGGTACATATAACTTCGTGTATGTACAGAATATACGGAGGATGGGGCCAAATGTATTTGGCAGCTTCATGCTGGTGCCAAGCCTGTCAACGTGTGAGAAGCCAGAGGAAGAGAGACGCACTGTATTTTGCATGGGGATAGCGTTCCCTCGCAAATCCCAGACTTAAGTGGGTGCTGAAGTGGGCACTGATGTGGCCCTGTAATTCGCCCTATTAGTGGGCTTGCCTACTGGATTACAGTGGCCAATGTAGGTGGCTTGGTGGGACTGTGCCAACATTACTGTGTTGAGAGCTTGGCAGTCTTGGCAAGGGGAATCTGCCAAATACTTTTGGCCCCATCCTCCGTACACACATACAGTATGCCGCCCTTCTCAATTGACCATTGAGCGATAGTCTAGCAATTCGATAGAAATCGAGACTCGCTTGAGGCTGGGTGCAATTTAAACAGCACCCGGGGTAAGCATTACCGTACTGCACGTTACAGAGAGACTCAATGTAGCTTCGTGGAGTGTCTCTGGAGCTTGCATGTTCGCGGCTCCTTCCTTCCAGGTTGGGCAGCAGCCAATTTCAAGGTTTGGCAAGCTTACGGGTCCTTGGAACTTGAGTCCTTGATGAATAAGGAGACATTCAGGCTTCTTCTACACTAGACATGCACTCAAATCTCTTCCCTCGATAGCCTTAATCATTGTCAGCCACTCTACCAGCCGCTATTAGGCGGCTATCCGTTCCCGAGTCTGGTATCTGTTTCCAGTAACTTATCGGAAGCTGTCGGGACAGCTAGTCTGGCATCTAGCGCCATGGCACACCATCAAGCCGCTAATTTCTGGAAGAGAGGGGTTTGCCGACATATTGCGATTCGGCCATGTTCTAGATCGATTGGCCTTCAGCCTCTCCTACATCCCCCTGTTTTCAGGCACGTGGGCTGGCTTTAACCTAACTTCCAACCTAAGTAGGTACTCAGGTTTTCCTCTGAGCTCCATCTCCAAGACGTTCAGCAGGGAGGCTCTCGCTTCTGCCCTGATAGCGCTATCTTGGGCGGATGTGGGGTGAGTCGCGAAGCCCCTTGAAGTTTGATATTAATTGATTGATTGACTGCGCGCCGAGAACTGCACTGGATGGACGGGCGCTTCTGCAACCCGGCTGCGGGCTGGGTCGTGGGGTTTCAGGCTATATTGCATGGCAGCTACTAGTTACCACTGAATGCCAACATATGGTCCTCACCAGCAACAACCACGAGAGCAGTGAAATCGATCTGGCTGGCTTCGCGACGCATCTCTTTAGGTTTTTACGGACGGTCCTCCCGCTGCTCGAACCGGGAATCGCATCGAGAGATGACTTCAACGGCCAGAACATATTCGCCCAGTGTCTTGGCTTGCTTGGCCATATAGACTCCTGCCAAAGGGAGACTGCTTCAGAGGAGAATCACCGCACAAGCATTGCGACTATTCGTCTCCCAAGCGTGGCACAAGTTCTCAACTGCCTGTCCGGGCGCCGGTTATGATGGGCTGTGCCGAAGCGGCCTTGGTCAACGCATCTAGCCGTCAATCTGGCCGCCATGGAGGAGTCATTTGACAAAAATGACACTTGGAAGCTTTCTCAGGATTCAATGATCGGGCTAAGAGACTGGCGCACCACAGAAGAGCAAAGGCCAGCGCGAGAGGACCCCTAATAAATTCGGCCATTGTCAGTCAGGTTGGCAGGGTTTATGGGTAAAACCCCTTTCCCTGCAACCGGAGAGCCGGGACGCGAGTTGCTGACACAATAGATTGGCTTTTCCCGAGCCCGCTGTCAGCTCTTATCTCTTCTACTCTAGCGCAATCTATTCCTCCTGCTCAGCAACTTCTGCGGACGTCTTTGTTATCTGCTCCTGACGTCAACTCGGAGGTGGCCCCGGGACTATTCATAGCTTGCTTTTGGTCGCCAATTCCAAGACATCCGACCGACCAACAGCTGAACTTAAGTTATCCACAAGGGTGCCCCTTGGCGGCATCGGGACCTCCTTCCGCCGGGCTCGACGTATCTTGGCCCAACGCCGAGCCGAGGAGAGCAATGGCCCGCAAGCTCCCGTCTTCCCTCACCTGCCACCGGGGGAAACCTGCAGCACCGGCACAACGTGTACTGAGATACCACTCCCTGGACGACGCCCTGTTCTGTCTGGCATCCAGTCTAGAACTACTTTCCCTCATAAGAAGCAGTTTGGTGGTTAACATCGAATTGGGGCATCGCCTCATGCGGAGCGTACGACCAGCCTGGTTCGCTGTACACCTGATCCTGTTGTCAACGAAGGTCGGACACGGGGCCAATCTACGACATTTGCGTTTGCTACTCTATACCCTTACATGACGGGAAGTGTCAAAACTGGACACCTTTGCAGCTTTGCAAGCCGATCTTCTTCAGGCACTTCGGTTAACTGCACGTTCGTCTCCTTCGTATTAACCTCTACTTCGCCGCTGCCGATGCTTGTGACAATGCCGGAAGAAGTGTAGAGGACTTCGGTCTGCCTGCCACAAAACCACCCTTGAGCGAATCCCCGTGCGGCTCGTCTGGATCCTGCGACAATTGAGCAGTTCTCGACTCATCTTGACCGTGAGACGGTAATACCCGCTGGAGAAGCGCCGTGGGGAGAAATCGAGAAGCGGATGCGCCCAGCAGACGCGTGCCGAGCCGTTTCGTATGCAGCCAGGGCTCGAGACCCGCGTCCATATCGGCCGCGTCTATCGTCCTCTCATAGGCACTGCTGCCCGCATAGGCGAGGACGGCTCGCATCCCCTTTTGGATGCCTTGCATACACCGAATGATGATCGGTGAGCGTCACTTTTTTTCTTTTCTGAACTGTTCAATACGTTGGCCGAGTCTGGGCTCAACTTAGTGCTGGTCCGTCTTCGTTATCTGGCATGTTGCCTCCACTCAAACTTTGGTTAAGATGGCCGGAATATGCACGAGTTTGCCCTTAACGTCTAGATTGTTGTGGCCATTTGTTCAGGAACCACTCAGGCAGACTGCCGTGGAGTCTCGGGCCGAGAGGGGAGTTTTCGGCTGCGCCCAGACAGTCGCATTGTGGGCTCGAACCAACGGTTCTCGTCCTGTCCTGTTGCAGTGGATGAGCACTTCATCCGCCCAGGCATTGTATAGCTCGGGGTTCAATTGTGCCTACGTATCGGGACCTTTTCCCGAGATACAGTTACATTGAAGGATCGATTTGCTCCTCGCTGACGGCGGGCCCCCTCCGCTCTTCTTGCCAGGTATTCCGCTTTCATGTCTGAGTGGCGGTGTTAGTGGTGAAGATGATAATGATGAAGCGTTCAGTTGAGTGTGCGATGGGACTTCCGTGACAGGAAACCTCCCCTTTTCCTTATCCTGCCCTGAAGTCCCATACATTCTTGTTTATCGTCGCCATCGTCATACACCATCCAAGCCGGTATCTATATGCGCGTCGTAAGCCGCATGGGCACGCCTCGTTGCCGAGAGTCGGCATCGATTACCGCCTCGACGGCCGTACAGCCGCTTATTTGCATGTGCCGTTTTGGCAGGCCCATCTAGCCACTCGCTTCCGCTCAGGCCGTCCGCCCGTCCATGCTTTGGTAAGGTTAAGTGTTCCCATGGACACCTCCCCTTACCCCCTGATTCATCCACAGTGGACAAGCCGCGGAAGACAATTCGGCCCGTGGTAAAGCACCCCAGTCCTCTTGGTCGGGTTCAAACCCGTTCATTCCCTTCCTTCACCACGGTGTGTCTCACCGGAGGGGACGGGCTCTCGGGGGGAATTCGTGTCCGACTAGGCAAGGCGGAATTGGCCTGCAGGTTAATGTAAAAGACCATGTAATTTAGTGAGAGGTCGAGACCGTGTGATACTCCAACCACTCGTCACATCTTCGAAGGAAGTCTCGGAGCAAAGCTGCCTTAATGAAGTGAATACTCGGTATGCTGCACGCATATTGACGATTTGCGGACCTGCAGGATCGAAGATCGGTAATGTCTTCGTCCTACCAGGAGGTAGAGTAGGCACGGGAAGAAATGATATCTGCCATCAAGCAGACACATGGTAAACAATTCCAGAAAACCTGCTTTGTGTGTTCGGTGAGGAGGAATGGACGGCACGGTGTGTGCTTTCCCCTCATCTGCATCACCTTGTCCTCTGCCTTTGGTTCTAATTCTCCGGCTCCTGGTTGCGCTTTGCAGTACGATTGCTGTGTCGTCATGTGGCTCTGACTTCTTTTGCTCCTGTTGCGTTGCAGGATTCTGACACTCCCCCCTTGCCTCTCTGCCATCAGCCATCACCCCTCCATTTTCGCCCGTTTTGTCCGATTCACGTTGGATTCATAGGGGCAGGGCTGCGCTAAGACTAGGACGTTGGGCTTGGTAAGTGCCCAGCGTCGGAACGGGGCGAGGACTCTGCTTTCCGCGGTGCAACGGTCCCGGATTTGCCCATGTATGTTGGTGCAAAGCAATGCTATAACGCGGGATCGCCTCCTCGTCTCCTTCTAGTGTGTTCTTCGGTTTGCCTTTCTGCCGGTAGACGGTCGAGACAAGTTGAGGTCGGGGGCATCAAGCCACGGTTCGGGCGAGGAACCCTGCTCGAGGTCACTAGTACTGTCGATACTTTCAATGCGATCATCTCTCCGAATAGTGTCTGATGCTCTAGACTAGACGGACGCCCCCCTTCCTCCGGGCCGAGAAACGACCAGGAGGGAGCTTGCTCGGCTAGGCTTGCGGAGGCGCTTCGATTTCGGGAGCTTTTGGTTCCTTTGCTTTCGATCCCGTCCTGCCTCCCCGTCTACTCACCTCGCTCGGGCTTGATGGCTGGTCGTGCGTGCGACTGGCCGACTGCCTAGACGGGGGGCACGGGAGGTCGAAGCACAGTGCCGTCAGAGCAAGCCCCTGAGGCTCTCTGCTAACCTGAGAGCTTGACGTCCGTTGTCTCGCGCGAGGGCAGAGAGAGCCGCGGGGTGAGGAGGTTTCCTATCCTGGCGTTCGAACCTTTGCGTGGCGAGGAGGGAGTCGATGAAGGGGGCAAGGAACCTGCTTGGGCACCGAAGAGACAGCACTGACACCAATGGACCTCTCCACGAGAATGTTGCGCGGAACGGTCAGCCGGGTTGAGCATCACAAGCTCTTTATCCCGACCAGGTGGAGAGTGTGGTAAAGGAACCCCTGACTTCAGAGTCATTGTTTACCACCCGCGGACGAAACTGATATAGAATCAAGCAATTCAACCCGCTCTGGTCTCCGAGGTCATTCAGACCATGCGTTGACCCTCCGTGAGGTGTGTAGTTCGGTATACTGCTGCAGCGCTCCAGGTCAACCTCTACGTCCTATGAAGCGGTAGCTGAATGTCCCTCGACATCCCTACAGACCCGATGACCGTGAGGCGGCCCTGCTGCACGGGCGATGTTCGAGTCGACCGAAGCTACACATGGCTGTTGTTTCCACGATGTCCATCATGATTGTGCCCACTGAAACTATCCCATGCCTGATTGCTGGAGGATTCGCATCAATGAAGCGGGCGGCAATGGTGCGCTACAAGGAGAGGAGGGCCTTGTAGTCCGTCTTGACAATCTCAATGGCTGATACTTTCCAATATCCTTGGACAGCAGGCCATTCAGCTAACTGTCGGATATAACAATGTGGACGAAACGGGTACAGTGATCCTCGGCAAACCTATCCTCATTGTCCGCTGGATACTTTCGAGGAGGGAGCGCGATCCGCAAGTTGACTATGGCCTTTGCCTGCTGCGTCACCTTGGTCTAGTCGAGCTCGAAACTTTCTCGATGACACAGAAGCGTGTTGAAGGCCATGTCATGACCCGCGGGTGTAGATCCTTCTTCAGCCAGCCCTTCGAAGTTCGAACGCTATGAGTTTGCTGCTTTTGCTAAGAACGAGTAGAAGGGGACGTATGCTCGTAGAACTGGGCCGACGGACTCGTTGACGAGAAGCAGGTGAGGTGATAGTGATTCAGAGATCCTTTCATTAGGTAACCGTAGTTTGCTAAGCATCATTATCTCAGGATCGGCCCGAGACGTTTCTGACGCCGAAGCCCAGCGCCCTCGACGTCGTATCCAGTGGTGCAATCCTCGCTGTAATGTCCGACGGGCAGACGTCGATTGCTTTGCGAGCCAGCACCGAAACGCAAGTTTGCCAGCTCCTGACGGAAGGCGCAGGTATCGTCTGGTATGCCATGCGTGCCTTGTATTTGGCAAGTAAAAAGGTAGTCTGTTCTGTTAAGAGGGGTAGTAGAGCGAGGAACTTTTGTATGTAAAATTTGCTCCGCACTAACAGCAGGTACATGTTACTGGTCTTGCAGGTTGCTGATGGCGCAGGTGTCTCAAAGGACATGAACTACCTTAGCTGTGGCCGCTCTGCTCTTCAGAGGTTGAGAACAGCGATCACCCTGCCCTTATCTCGACTCGGCACAGCTCAATGAGATCCAAATAGATCGGCTTTATTCAAATCATGGCTGGCGATTAGGGGATCGCAACTCTTCGCCATGGTTGAAGAGGCTTCGCGCAATTTATCATGATGGATATGCGAAGACAAAACTCGCGAGTGGGGAGCAAACGCTGAGATGAGTCCGTCGAGCATCAGGATTCAGGAATGCCAGGAATGGAAGCTAAATTAAGAACAATGGAGCAAACGAACACCAGTGAGCCGGTTGCACGTACAATTATGGCATTGCATTTTCCCTCTGTTATATTTGACTTTGATTAGAGCTGTAGGAGCCAAATATCGCTCATTGGCAGGGCGGAAAGGGGTGAGGTCGAGAACTCGAAACGACGTCCGACGGGTCGTACAGTACGGAGTACTGTACTAATAATCCTGCCGCAAGAGCCCCGCACTGTGCGCAAGCGTTACGGTTGGGTCCCGGTGCCAAGCCCTCACAGAATCAACCACAGCAAGTGCCCTGACCTGAATCTCATTCGCCAATCTCAGTACGACATTCAGACCTCACCACCATTCATTGTCACCGCGAGTCGCGGTTAGCCATTTGGGTTGTCTCCAGTAATCTCATACACACGCTCTTTCCAATTCTGATGAACTCTCACTTCCCGGATCGGCTAGTGACATTTGTTTCCCTCTCCGTGCTGTGAACGGAAACTGCAAGAGTCTAAACCCTAATGCCAGCGTATGAGCGTGGAGCGGTGCCAAGTTCGGCATACCACTAAGTCGTCTCACGGCCACCTGTCAATCTGAATAAGCAAAGTGGTATGCTTCACTCCCGCTTGTTTTGGTTGGTTTGTTATGATGATGATTTATCATTGGGATGAGTAGAGGTGAACAGCTGGCTCATCAGGCAACAACCCATGGCTAACAGCCCGCTTTCTACCAGACAAGATGGCCGATGAGCCAGAAGCCCAGCCAAATGGTGTCAGCGAGACCAACGACACTAGCGAATCCAACAATATCGAATCCGTCAACGACACCATGGTAGAAGCGACTGGCCCGGTGAAAAGCCCGCCATTTTCCTGGCTGTGAGTTACCAAAATATAAAAAGGACCAAGAGTAGGACCCAAAAAGCAGAATCAGGGCTCACACGACTTAGACAACCGCATCCCATTTTTGTCATTGCCCTAGTCGGCCCAGAAGAAACACCGTTCGGTATCCAGAAAGACTTCCTATGCTCCAAGTCGACGTATTACAACAAATACTTTAGCGAAAACCCCAATGAGGGCTCGATTGAGAATCTTGTGAGGCTACCAGACACACCCGTGGAAGTATTCGCCTACGCCCAGAACTTCCTTTACACAGGCCAAGTCTTTCCATCTCTCGACAACCTCCCGAGCTATGAGGTGCTCATCGGTGTCTGGAAGCTGGGCCATGATCTGGGCATAGCTGGTCTTTGCGATGCCACCCTTGAAGCCATGGCCGAGTGCCGCCGCGTGACCCAACACATTCCCGCAACACCGCTGCTCGTCCAGGTATGGAAAGACACGCCCGAGGGTTCTTCGATCCGCAAGCTTCTCCTCTCGTGGGCCGCAGAGTATATGAGATCGTCCGAGTCCCGAGCCGAGTTCGCGCGGTCGCTGCCACAGGAAGTGTTGAGCGAGCTGGTTGTAGCTATGAGCTCACTCGACAGTCCCCCAATCATGCCCATCGATGGCGGGGCTGTAGCTCCCGCTGCCCCTACATCCGGAGCCCAGCGTCGTGCCGCCGAACCGGACGAGGGCGAGGCGCGTCCGACGAAGAAGCGGCGTGCGTCAGACGCCGGGATGAACGGCGTCTCGTCAGCTGGTACGCTGTCGTCCGCCCGGAAGCAGGGAGCCAGGATGTCACTGCCGTCGGCGAAGCCGGCGTCCAAGCCCGGCCCAAAGCGGAGGGTCAGCGCGGCCGCCGGTGGCAATCAACAGTTCTCTACAAACCAAAAGCTGAACTTCTGCGCTGACTTGCTGACAAGGATGCTTTCCGGCCCAGGTTGGCCCCTCCCCAACGTTTTGTCCCCAACTTATGTTACAGCCCACTGATACCGATCCACCGCAGGGTTCTGGACGCGCGTTGTTGGGCCCTTCAAGGATCCCGTCGACCCAGAGCGGGACGGCGTGCCCGACTACTTTGACGTGGTCAAGAAACCAATGGATTTGAGCACCATGAAGGCCAAGATGGACCGGCGTGAGTACGCCGATGAGACCGAATTCCTGGCCGACATGAACCAAATCTTCACCAATTGTTACACGTACTGGAACGAGCAGGACCCGATGTGGGCCGCTTGCGAGAAGCTGCAAAAGTCGTTCGAGGACAAGTTCAACCAGATGAACAAGTGGATTGCCAAGATGGAGGGGGATGAAGGGAACTAGTGTGTGGCTGGGACCTGTTATTGATAGCATGGAGTTTGAGGGAGCGGGCTTTGGCTCTTTCTTTCTTTCTCTTTCGACGGGCGGCTTGCAGGCCTGTCTGGTTCTGGGTGGGTTTCATGACGGTTCGCTGGGACCGCGGTTCTGCCCTATCCAGACTGGGATGACAGCGAGGTCCGCTGAGTTGTATTAGCCTGGAACGGTAAGGAAAACAGATTGTAAGATGACGATGTTGTATAGTAAGGTCGGCGGGATAACACTACATTCGGGCATATGGGTCTCGGTAGATAATGGACACCCTAATGATGGGGCCCATTGTAATTGATTGACCCCTAGGGCAGAAGCAGTTGATATCAACCTGCTTGCAAGCCTGTGGCCAAGAATACGGATACAGTCATCCCTCATATCCTAGATTCGTTAACCCCAATTGACGCCAAACAGCTTGAAGCCTTTTTTCTCTGTCGACTGTGCGCGCGACGCATCGGCATTCTCGAGGTATATCCTCTGATGGCCCCTGACATCGACGAAAAAGTACTTGTATTGGTACTCGTGCTCACCAGCGCGTTTGATGAGGTGCATGTTGACCCTTCCTGCGCCTTTCGGACCTTGGACCTATTCAATGTCAACCACCGTTCATGAGCGCTCCAACATCGTCTGCCACCTACGTTGAAATTGATCATCATGTGCTCATTTCCCTGCCCATCCTTCGTAACCGTCGACCTGAACGCCGAGAAAAAATCAGCATATCTCCTACCATTCGCTCAGAAAAGCCATAAACATACGCAATTGGCCTGGCCCGCCGCCACTTGTTGTACGTCTCCTCGCCAAACGCCGTGATCTTCTTGCCGTCGCCCAGCAGCTCCACGCATCGGGGGTCCTTGCGGATCCGGTCTACCGCCCGGTTGAAGTAGGTCGTCTTGCTGTCGGGCGAGAAAACCTCGGAGTAGAGCACGTATCCAACGCCACCCGTCAGCGCAACGCCCAGAATGACCATGCCAAAGTTGAACGTCTGTTGCGCCGCCCGCGCCGTCTTCTCGCCGGCTGATAGCTCCGTCCAGGGAACGTTGCCGTCATCGTTGAACAGAGTGACGGCTCGCCGTCTGGCTTCCTGCTGCGTCGTGGCATACCCGCGACGACGGTTGTGGTAATCGTGGTGGTGGTGGCAGGGGAAAATCACGAGCTGCAGCGGGTGTGCGTTGTTGAGGGTTCGTAACGTGGAACGAAGTCGAAGCCCCGAGACCATGGCTTGATTCATCATGGCGGCTTTCGTGTGCCCATTGCGCGCCCCTGTGATGGACAGGTTGTTGTCAATCGTAGTACAGTGTTGTTTCGACCTCGTGCTTGGGAGTTGGAGGAATTGATGAGACAGGTCCGAAGGTTGGAGGTTCGAGGTGGGGCCCTGGACCCATGTCCGTTCTTGTCAGTGGGGCTCTCGAGGCCAGTGAAAACGGAGCTTGCTAGTGCAGATTAGGCTTAGCACCCTCTGGTTGATGCCACCTGGATGGCTTCCAGGGCCTGGGAGGGAAATTGTGGCCCTTTCACCTGAAACGGTGGATTTGGCATTCAACGACTCCCCCCTCGCTTGTCTTAACACCTCGACGGTCCCGCGACACCGCAAGACTGACTCGGCGCCTCTTCAACCATACCATCTTGGCCACAAGGCGGCAACAACTCATTGGCCAAGATGAGCGGCCTCGCATCCAAGCAGCAGTCGCTCAAGATATTTGAGAAACTGAAGGCGAAGCCGGCAAACAAGGCAAGAAACTCCCAAGCTAACTAGCCCATTATGCCAGCGCTATCGGGCGCATCCATCCTGCTTTGTGCTAACGGCTACGCGCGCCTACAGGTCTGCTTCGACTGCGGTCAAAAGAATCCCACCTGGACTTCTGTTCCGTTTGGCATCTACCTGTGTCTAGACTGCTCGGCCAACCACCGTAACCTCGGCGTCCATATCTCCTTTGTTCGGTCTACCAATCTCGACCGTGCGTCCCTGTACCACACACCAAACGCGCTATCCGCCGCCTAGCTAACCCGTTCACCTTGTATAGAATGGCAATGGGACCAGCTGCGGGTCATGAAAGTTGGCGGCAATGAGTCGGCCACCAAGTTCTTCCAATCGAACGGCGGCTCAGCCGCGCTGAACAGCAAGGATCCCAAGACAAAGTACACGTCGGCCGCCGCGACCAAGTACAAAGAGGAACTCAAGAAGAGAGCTGCTAGGGACGCCAAAGAGTACGTGTTTTGTTCGCGAGATCCGCCCACGATTACGCGCTAACGGCTCAGGTACCCTGAGGAAGTGGTCATCACCGAGGGAGGCGAGGCTGCCGAGGGAGGGGACACACCGGCCGAGGAGGAGGACGACTTTTTCTCATCGTGGAGCAGGCCGGCTGTCAAGAAGCTCAGTCCGCCCATCTCGAGGACTGCCACTCCCCCTGTTGTCGGCCGCACGCCGTCTCCCTTCCTGAACGCCCAGGCACAGAACGGCAAAGACACTGGGCGGTCGCCGTCGCCCCTCGCTAAGGGCAGCGACAGCGAGTCAAAGCCCGCTGCCAGCCGCATCACCACCTCGGCAGCGCTGCGAACGTCGGCGACCGGTCCGCGCAAGGCCAACATTCTCGGCGCCAAGAAGGTGGGCACGAAGTTGGGTGCCAAGAAGCTTGGCGGAACCGACGTCGCCATCGACTTTGACGAGGCTGAGAAGAAGGCAAAGGAGGAGGCCGAGCGCATCGAGAAGCTCGGGTACGACCCAGACGCCGAGGAGGAAGCGCCAGCCAAGACGAGCAGCACCAAGTCCGAATCGAGCGCCGCCATCATCTCGCCCACGCCCGTTAGCCCCGCCGCCCGGGGAGGCTACGGGGCCTCTCACACGCGCGAGAAATCCGCCGCCGAGATGGAGCGTCTCGGCATGGGGATCAACCGGTTGGGCTTTGGGCAGGTGGGCAACAAGCAGGCGGCGCAAAAGGCCGCAGCCGGCGGGTTCGGCTCAGTCGGGCCCATCAAGGCGTCTGCCGCTGGTATGTCCTGTATCCCCTCATTCCGCCTCATTCCCTCCTTTCACGGTGCATTAACGTCCCATGGTCAATACTAGATGACGAGGAGAACTACGCGCGCAAGAAGTTTGGCAACCAGAGGGCCATCTCGTCGGACGAGTTCTTCGGCAAGGGCATGTTTGACGCGTCGGTCCAGACCGAGGCCAAATCGCGCCTGCAGGGCTTCGAGGGCGCCCAGGCCATCTCGAGCAACGCCTACTTTGGCCGTCCTGAGACGGACGAGCGGACAGGTAGCCGCGGCGGGGGCATGGATGACTACGGCGACCTCGAGTCCGCCGCCAAAGACTTTGTCCGCCGCTTTGGTATCACTGCTGCCGACGACCTCGAGAACCTGACCCATCTCCTCGGCGAAGGGGCGGGTCGGCTGCAGGGGGCTATCAGGGCTTATCTGGGCAGCTGAACGGGATGGTTGGCACGGGAAACGGCTCTGTAGGGGTTCGGTGAGTGGGTGGGACGTAAAAGGCCAGCATCCAAGCATGTGTGGATTATTGCATCGCGGATTGTTGGCGCGTGGTGCCTATACAGGAGTGGGTTTGGGGAGGGATTCGTGCGTTAGACGAATGAGATTTGGGTTTCTGCGCTCGTTGGGGCTTTTTGCGGACGGGTTAGCTGGGTTCGTTGTCCCTGGTATGTATCCGATTTCTTGCTGACCCCTTCTTCATTACCCTGTAGCCTACCTGGTGAATCGCGATTTGGGTGGTAAGTTGAGGGTGCGTGCGAGTTTTTTGGGAGTAAGGTGAGATGTAGCGTCGTTGAAGATTCAATGAATGTGGTAGTGGTGGTCCGGCAGTTGTGTCGGAAGAAATGCTCCACTGGACGTTCGATGTTCTCTCCCGCGCCAGATTGCCATGCAAAGAAAGGTAGGGCCGTGTCCGGAGATCGGGAGAGACGGTATCATAATAACGTGAGGACACGAATAGCAATCAATGGGGATATAGGCCCAAGCGGCAGTCAGCCGGCTAGTCTGGATCTTCACTTCAAAGCGCAAATCTATATGTGTCCGGCCTCCCGCCTACGTACCCTCCCTACTGACCGTCTCAACCCCAAAAACGCTCCCTTTCCCCTGTCTCTGGCCCCTGGCATGCCGCTCCAACCTCCTCGCGTGGTCTACGACCCGCCAGTAGCTCTCCGTCTCTGCCGCCCCGGCGTCATCACGGAGCCCGTACCCGGGGTACAAGACCAGGCGTTGCATCTTGCCCCAGGCGCCCACCCAGTCAACCATATCCCTGCCTCCTTTCCCTTCTCCATCAACACCACCGTCCTCCCCATCCACTGCGGGAGCCTCAGCCCAGAGAGCGGGCGCCCATCCTCCACAACCTGTCAGGTCGAGGTACTCTAGACGGTATAGGCAGCGACTGAGCCTGCGGAGGACGAGAACCGCCTCAGCCCAGTCATCGTCGAGAGAGTGGCTGTAGAAGCCGGTGCCCCCGTAGGAGATATTCCTGCCCGTGTGTGGGGAGACGACGGCGGCGAGCCGAGCGTGCGCGTTGGGGGTGAGGGTCGGTTCCGGCCAAAAGGCGAGGCTCAGGTGCGTTAGACTTGGCCCCAGATGGCTTGCTAGGGACAACAGGTGTCGCCAGGATGGTAATGGTGATTGCGCGGTGGAGGAAGACAGGGCGTTTGGTGCGGCTGCCAGGTCTGGGCTTAGAGCGAGAGAGAGGTGCGTCAAGTTGGGAAGCAAAGCGCACGGGATGGAGGGAGAGGAAGAGGGGGGTTCGTCCTCCAAGGCGAATTCTTGGTCCCACGATTCTTGAGGATCCATCGGGGAGGTTGGCTGAGGGGGAAAGAGCAGGTCTGAGAGCTCGCGCAGGCGGAGGGAACGGCCGAGCAAGTTGGACAGGTCGAGATGGCGGAAGGAGGCGTTTGCTATGCTGGGGGGGATGACAGGGTATGCATCCTCCGGTTCGAGGTCAGGAGCAGGGAGAAGAATGATTTCCAAATCATGGATGGATACGCCGTCGCGGGCATATCTGACTAGGTAGGCGAGTAACGCCACGCGGAGGTGAGTTGGGAGGTCGTAAAGATGGTAGCGGCAGTATGAACGCTGCCACTCCCAGTCGAGAGCGAACCGGCGGAGAATCATGTCGATTAGATTACCCCGTCCGGGGAGGGTCATTCCCGGAAGGGGCCGGTGCTCATAATCTCTCGCATTTACGGGGCCGCGCTGATTACTAACGTGATCGACGGTGCGGCCGGGGCCAGACAGCCAGCTGCGTGGCGGCGCCGGGCCCGCGGGCAGCCTTACTCCGCCGGGGCCAGTCCGGACGGGACGGCGCGGGCGGGGCGGTGGGGTCTCCGGCAGCTGGAGAATCTGGCGGATGGCGGGCGGTACACTCGGACTGACTAGATCGGCCACATGGTGCTGGCGGTTGGCGCTCGGGCCGGCGCGACGAAGGTCAGCGAGGAGCTCATTCACTTGGCGGCCATGGGATTGATGGTCTGCACCGCCCTTGGTTTGGCAGTTAGCACTGAACATAGCCATGTAACGTTCTAACACAGGGGGTGGTGTAGGTTGGTGTTGGGTGACGTTACCGTGATGGGAGCTGGTACTGCTGCTGCTGAGCGACGCTGGGGCAGTGGACTGTGGCTTGGAGTACTTGTTCTGGTGCCTCTTTTTCGGCATGACCCAGCGCCTGATGCGGTGATGTTAGATGTTTTCCTTTCCTTCCTTTTCTGTTAGCTACTTGCCCGTCGCGGTTTCCGTTGCGCCCGCAGGTCCCGCGTGATTGTGATCAAGGAGCACGTCCAAGAAACTGACCCGAGTTCTGCTGCAAAGTGGCAAATGTGTCGGACTATACCTAGCACTTTACGTGTAAGATCGGAGATACCGTACTTTGGTGCCTCTGCCTGCAGGTTTACTGCTATGTATTGTATGTACAGCAGTATAGTAGGTACTATACTGTACATACAAGTACAATTCATGCCTGCCTATGGTGATCGGAGTGGTTTTCTCGGGTATCCTTCCCACCGTGCGTCATGCGGCGAGATCGGGGCAAGTGTAATTGCTGCCCCGTCTACACACCCACTTAGAGTGTGTCACCCCTCATCAGTCGGTCACAGGCACATTTGTAGATCACATCATTAAAAGGGAATCTTGGGTTACTTGGGTGGATGTGGGGATTGTGAGAGGGTTCAGGTTGTGGGGTGGCAATCCCTGAGTTTGTGGGCTGGTGGAGGGAAACCGATGGTCGGTGCGTCCCTTACTTTTCCACTGGAATGGCGCAGAATGGGAACACCATGATAATTACAGTACTGTAAGTGTGTATGTACAGTACAGTTCATACAAAATGGCCCGGTAGCATTGAAATACCACACTAAGGTACGTAAGGTATGTACTGTACATACAGTTCTACCTACATAGGTACCTAGGTAGGTAGCTATGATGCCGTCCACGCTTCCACCCTCTCACCAACAGGAACCCTACAGTAAACCACAAACATGCCTACCAAAAGGGCACCTTCGCCCGGACCACACCCAGAGAAAACAAGGCTGCCTTCCCGACTCAGCAACTGAGATCCGTCCCTATTACACATCGAAAACAAAAACAAGCGCTGCCATTTTCGCATCATGCCGGACACAGGACCATGCCACGGCGCACACAGTCAGGAGAGCCCGTCAAAACAGCTTTCTCATTGGATCAATAGCTTCGTCTGCTACCTCATCAATCTCGGCGCTCTTGCGCAGTCCTACCCATCAGCCTCATCTCCGCGAGCCAGGATATCCCGTGCTCGGTCCCAAGTGGATCGGGATTCCGCCCAAGCTAGGCCATTGACCCTGTGTCCAGCAGGGAGACAGCCGATCAAATAGCTGGGCGTGTGACGCAACACTCCCCATGCGGTCGTGGTTGTCGTACTCAGGTCCCCCAACATTGCTTTCTCTTGTCGAAAGAATCCTCCGTATTCGGTCAAGATGCCAGGACAGACCAGCTTTCGCTGCTGTGTGATCAGGCGTCAGCCTGCGAGAAGGGTGTGCGATCGGGCTCCGTGGAGTACCTACATCACAGCTCTGGCCATGGATGTACTATTTTGGGCACCTCCAGTCATTCATTCATTCACCAAACACCCGCAGGGTACTCGGATAGCGTCGCCAGGCCCAGGCCCCAGGCAGCCATTCCCCTGATCTACTCGGTGCCGGAGCTATCCTATTCTTGGGCCATCCCTTGGCCAGCTAGCTTGACCCCTAGACTTTCAAGAGATTGAACGACCTCCATGTCTGCAGGGTCAGATGCCGTGGCTGCCATCCACAGCACCGCTGCCGATATTTCTAATGCCCACGGTTTGCGAAACAACGCTGAGGCCACCCAGGACAATGGCGCTTGCGTGCAACTGTGGCGTCAAGGAGGGAGTAAGAAGCGGTTCCCTGTCCAACTAAGAACACGCGGTAGATGAGGACAATCAAGATCGCCCAGCCGTCTGTGGTCAGTGAGGTGAATCCGGCTTCAGGATGTCATATCGTCAGGCCACGGCATCGATTTTCACCACCAATTTCCCGGTAGCCACAGCCGGTATCTGTTTGGCGAGGCAGGACTCCCTCCACCGGACATACAGGAGGTGGAGACCAAAGCTTAAAGCCAGCGACTAGGACATCGCGACACAAGCTGGGCCATTTGCCGCTTGCGGTAAACCTGCCGCCTTCCGGGGGCCTTGTGCAGCCCATCCAGGTGCACACCCGCACGCTGCATGTTTGTAGGACAGACAATGCGCACACCTTCGCAGCCAGTCATTGCTGCCCGCTCATCGCCCTTGCCTCCATCGTACATTGCCCGTAAGTCTCTACCCAGGGACACGCGCCACGTATCCGACGAGCTGAGAGTGGTCTGAGAAAAGGGGTATTCCGATGCCTCGTTATCGTGGGGCCCATTTGAGTCGCGAAAGGGGCCGTATCGAGCTGGTAACAGCGTGAGACACGCTTTCATGCTGTGGATCGTTTCGACACTGGGGACCACTTCGTGGCAAAAGGAACGGTTCCGTCTGCAGTGACAGTTAGGTCGGACCAGGAGGAATACTGACAGCCCCCAATTTGGAAGCGGTTAGCAAAACAGATCCGGGAAGCAAGGTCGAACAGAAGCCTACTTCTGGATGAACTGGAATAGTTTGAACAACCCGAGTTGACCCTCATCCAGCTGCAGAGCCCCTTTTAGCACCCGTCTATGCCTGATCCGCTGCGTTCGTCGGACTGTCGGAATGTACAAAGCTGAATATCGGACGGCGGCTCCCGAAGGGCCGGTTTCTTCGTCTTGAGGCTCGCGATTTCCGTCAGGGGTTGTCATCTTCCGCTGATTGCGCGCCGGGGTGTATGAAATCACCCGTGACTGGTGCGACACGAAGCAATCTGCGTTCGGCCCGGGCTGTGTCCGCTGTTTCTTCTCAGAAAACTCAACTAGGCCAACGATCGCTGGGTCTCCAATCTTTGGCCGATGTCGTCAAAGGCCAGGGGGTCAAGGTTTGGTTTACTTCGAGGGAAATGGCTCGACAGAGGAAATCTCAAGCTCCATGCAGCCTTCCAGGACTGTCTGCCTGGTGTAACCAGCGCTGCCCTATGAGCTGATTGGCAGTTATTTGGTTTCTCGGAACTTAACCGAACCTAGCTGACCGGACAGATCGTGGAGACACGGCCTCTCGGTCAGCAACGCTGCCATCTACTGCCATTACCTAGCGTAGAGGTCTCGAACACCCTAGCCCGGCCAAAGATCATCACGAGGTCTCGCTACCTTCAATGGAGCCCAACACACCGCTGACGCCAATCAGTCCTGGTGCTTTTAGGGCGTGGGCTTTGACTCATCCAATATCAGCATCGGGGTGTGCATGTGGGGCACCTCTGCGGTTGAGACGCAGTGTGAAGGAGCGAAAGGGTGAAGTAACTGGGCCAATACGCCAGAGCTTCGCAGCATTTAGCGGCATGTACATTGACACAGCACCGTGTCGACGAGATACTGCGGCCCGAGACAAGTCATAGGAGGGTAAGAACCAGTCAGGATCAACCCACCTCCATAACAGTGCTGAAGAAATCCACGAGAAGAATCTCTGATAGCAGTTTACTGAATGGCTCCGGTTGCCCACCATCATTCCGTGAAGGGATAATTTGACTTGGGCGAGGGAACCGAAAGCCAGCGGTGTTGGGTGGAATCTGGGTTCGGCAAGAAATCAGTATGGCAAAGGATACCCTGTCCCTCAGACACAGCAGGCGGCACAATCCGCCGACCGTTCGTAATTCCTCAGCCCGTTTAACGCCTGAGCCAGAGCGTGCCGCACTGGGGCTGATAAGTACCTGTGGGCTTCTCGATGTACCTGCCAGTACTGCCCTGTCCCAAAGTCCTTCAAACGTTGCAGGACATCGCTAGCCCTCCCCTCGACTAAGGGGGCCCCACCATCTGCATCTGCAGAGCGAGGCCGGCCACGACATGGGTATCCCGTGCTCCGTAGAAACAAAGTCGTCAAGCGCGGGAATCGAATCCAGCAAGGCGAGCTTAGCTGATCGGGCAGCAAAGACGCACCCGAGGGGGCAAGCTCGCAGCGCCAGACGCAGGGCGAGGACGACAAGCTACGGTTCCAAAGCGTCCACACCGGGAAGGCAGGCTCGAGGAGGTCTTAGAAACGCGCGTGCCGGGGCAACAACAAGAACAGCAGGTGTTCTGTTCAGCCATGAAAATAGGGGCCCAACAATTTGATCAAGAGCCGTGGGCACCCACTCTTGCCGAGATGCGAGGCCGGACATGGTTTATGCCTAACTTAGGCCGGTGAACGGCGCTACGAAATTTTTCTGGCGGCAGGGTCGTTGAGATCGCACGTATGGCTGGCCGCGTTGGCTGGAGGCTGGCTGTCGGATGTGATAAGCAGACACCAGAGAATAGGTGCGCTAAAGGGAGGTACCTGCTCAGCCAGAATCGACCCATAGCATCAGTAACGTTGCCATGGCCCGGGCCAGCGGCCAGGAGCCAGGAACAAAGTAAGAGAAATATGGGCAATGGGCATTAATCGAGCAGTTGGCACCGTTTTCTGGGCAGCCGTCTGCACCACATTCCACTGTATCCAGGCTCGCCCTCCACGCACCTCGGGCTTGTGCAACACCCCACCAATTGCCTCTATTACCGCCAGCTCAGGGCAGGCCGAATCTGCCGCAGACAGTACCCGGCGAAGTCGACCGGATAAGGGTCCATATAAGGCTACAGGCTACCCTATGGTTGTCCATTGGGCGCTGTCCCTTCCCTTCGACCGTCTTCCTGGGCTTTGTGGTCAGATTCTTATCTGGTCGCGAGGCGCTGGATGCCAGAAGCTCGTCACCTGGGTACCGTTTTCAATACGGGCCCGAGGACCTGGTTAAGCGGGTGCAACGGTGGACAGAAAGAGGCAGGTAGAGGTACAGGACAGTGCCAGAAGAAGGCAACGGCATGTTGGCGCAAGCAGTCGCGAATTGTTGGACGAAGCACCGGTCGAATCAGGCTTAGCCTCGCTGTATCTCGACGGGACCGCAGCCCGGCGGGCAACTCTGTCGCTCGTATGTATCTACCTCAGTTATGTAGTTGCTGTATTTGGCGCTGTCGGAGATGCTCCATGGAAACCCATTGCAATTAATTTGCATTCGTCGAGCAGCGTGGCAGCAGGACCCTCTTTCTGCACCTCAAGCCCCTGCAGAACTGGAAAGAGAGAGCTGCAGTGAGTGCGGACTGTCCATGTTATTCGATTTCAAATTCACTTCATCTAGCAGGGTAAGTGCACCCTACGTAGCTGCATTGAACCCCGAATTCATCATCAATTGTTTGGTGTGGGGGCACGCCCAGTTTAGTCTCGCAAACTCGATCGTTCCTACCCTGGCTCTGCGGTTACGCTAACATATCCCTGCACATCGAGATTGGCCAGACTCCACAAAGCGGGGGAACAAAAGAGGCATGGGACGGAGGCGCTTGGCGTTATCCACCCCCAACACCACTCCAACCAGGGACGGGAAAGCGAGCGCAGAACCACACTACCGTGCATACCACTTCGTGCATACTCACATTGCACTTACCTCCACCTGCCTGTAACGCTTAGTTACGGCCACGGTACTGTACCCTCGCTATAATTCCAAGAGTCAGGAGAGGGGGCCAAGGGGATTGAATGATGGAGTTCGATCCCTTGCCAGAGGACGGGACTGGAACGGCCTTCGGGACCGTGTGCAGGGATGTCAAGGCTATCCTCGGGTTCACGACCCTTCCTTCTCCGAATCGCTCCCGTCGCCTTCCTCCTCCAGCAGCCCGGGGGTCGACCGCAAATCTCACAGAGATCGTCCCCGAAATCTACCGAGCCAAGATCTGCTCCCGCGGGGACGAGTTGCCCTCGATGGTTTGATGGTGTAGTGTGTGTTGTAGGAGCATTTTGGCTCCCTCAGCCCCAGTGCAGCCGGAAGCCGTGCTCGGCGATGGGCAATTGACTGCCGACAGTTCATGCAAGTCACAATGCTGGGTTCGCCTGACGTGCTGGTTGACCGACCGCAAAAAGGTGAAACAAAGCTGCTCGACCCCAGATTACATTGTGGGTTAGCCCGCCGATGTTGCTCAAGGGCGGCCGTCATGTCTGTGAAAAGCTGGGAGACGAGATGAGATGTCACATGGCACAAGATCTGGAGACCGCAGCAACATGTAGCATCGTCACAAGAGGCGGCCGCTGTGTTGCAGTTGCCGCTCTGCGCCCAACGGCCGCGGCAACGGTCCGGCCACCGGACTGAACCTCGCAGAGTGGCAGCTACGGCAATGTGTGAGACGTCCTACCTGCCATGCTGTCTTGTATCGCGACACGCAGCAACCATCGGCCTGGCCAGGTGAATTTCTCTGACAGCAACGGCCCGATCCGAGTCAACTACCCCGTGAGTATCGCCGCCCTGCGAATTCGTCAGACCCGACAATCATGGCCACGCCATCTCTGATTACTCCGCGCATAGGACGCCTTAGACCGAAGCCATCGAGATTTCCGGGATTACCTGTAGCCAACCGGGAAACAGGAAACAGACGGTCGTCGCAATATCTGCCGGTTGGAGTAGACTGCAAGCTCACAGCCAAAAGTATCGCGAGCACTCACTGCGCCTCCATGCCTCGGCCAATCACCATAGGCGGCTTCCGCCTCTGGAGCCTGACGCAACGGCCGAAAGACTATCGCATCTGAAACAATGGGCCAGTCCGCCTCCATCTCGTCGTGGGCAAGCGCCCAGTTGCCATCGGATTGGCGGGTCGTCGGGTACGTGGATTCGAAGCAGACGGGAACCTGCACAAACGAACCCTCTCCCGATTCACCCACTCAATGTCCATCAGCTCATATCCGTCATGCATCAGAGAGACACGAGAGTCTTCCAAGCTTTTCTTCTTTGAGAAGGCCCAGCGGTAATTGAGATTTATCTCGAGTCGTCTCTCACTCCCCGGGAGATGACGGGGGATGGTCGGATGCTCCAAGCGTCTATTGGCCGTCTCATGTCCGCACCTAGAGAAGAAAAGGAAGTTGTGCGCTTCACGCAAGGCTGGACCTGCCAAGAATTGGCTCGTTGTCTTCCGAAGTCAGGGTCAGCGATACCGGCTTCCATCGGACAGTGTACATACTCTGTCACTCCGGTGACTTCCCTATGAACGTGCAGCTAAATCTAGGCCCGCCACTGGGTGTTGCCGCACGAGGGAGCTGCAGGAGATTGGCCTGGTACGATGTTAAAAGAACGGCCCAGTCGCCGAATTTCACGTGTCGGGTGAAGAACCCGCTCCTCGGGTGGGACAATGCTGGATGGCCTCGTCTCTGGTCTTGCATGGCTCTGTCGGCCGTTGCCGAAACACACCAAGACTATAGGGCCGAAGGGTGGAGAGCACTGGCAACGAGAATTCTAGTTTGCTGCGTTCCAAAATGACTGCATCGGGCACGTTGACTCGGCATCCGCCGTCTCGAGACAACACAGAATGGGTACATTCTCTGGAGGTTGGGTAACGCCGAGTCATCGGCTGGCTTACCCCTTTTTGTCGTCGCACCCTCGTCCAGGGACAAGGGGTGCTCCCGAGCACCTCCCCTCAGGGCTGGGCAGTACTGAAGGTGACACCATGAATGGCTGGAGGAACTTGACTTTCTGATGGCGAAAAACCTGTCATGTGTCTGCAGCTACCCGTGTGTGGATTATCCCCTAGTCAAGGCGGATCGTTCTACTTACACTCAAAGATGTATGTGGGCCGACCATTCTATCCAGCACGGTAAGGGGCCCTTACTAGTAGGGTGCTTGCATAGCTGATGCATGAAAGGCGAAATCGCAGGACTATGGGGCACGGTGCCGATTAAGCATACCTTTACCCTTTACCACCCATCCCTCGAGGCCGGCACTCACTGGCTGCTAGGGTTCCGTTTTGCTCGAGTGGATCGGGCAGGACTGAGCGCAGTAGCCGTGACACTCAACCTGTCCTGCCCTGACAGGGCCAACAGAGCTAGATGCGCTCCGAGCTATCAAGGACCAGGCACGACCCCTTGATGCCGGAGAAGGCCGTGTTGAGCATCTGGCCGGGTTTGCTTGGCCGAGGCACTGGCCACCAAGTCCACACGACTCATTGATTTGCAACTCGAGCGGCTTGCTGCTTTACCACTTCGGTGCGGTCCTTTGCCCAGCTTCGAGCTGGCCGCTGAGGATTATGTAGTCCACAAACTTACAAGGTCCACCAATGGGCCTCAAATACCAGTAACTGGGCAATGACCCGGATAGGCGCAATCTAACCCCTATCAGCTCTTGCCCTTCTGAGTCTATTAAAGTCCGGTCTGGACTCGTTTATTTATGAAGACGAGGAAGAACTTTCTAACACCGGCCACCCTGTCCGCCTCTTGCTGTCTCTCAACTCTCGCACAGTCTCACCTGCTGATCCAGGATAAGAAGGCGGAGAATTCATCTCCCCAACTCCGCCATTCTCTTGCTGAGCGTTCTGTTTTCCTTCCAGTGCTGGATGCGCTAGGGTAAAGCCACATCTCCGACTCGCTGTGCTACCACACGGTGCCTGCTAGCACTCCGGCAAGCAGCCCTACGTACCCTTCGCGCGTGTGCGCTCTAGCCAGCCACTACGCCAGGATCTCGACGACGCCTTCCAGAGAGCAGCACCATCGGAGATCCTGCAGTCGGAACCGTGTGCACCGCACGCTTACGTCGACGCAAGGGAAGACAAGAGCGGGAAGAAATTAGCAACCTGTCATCACGACAGTCACAGGCTTCTGGAAGGACACGAACCATCAGCTTTCGGGAGCCCAATAAGAACACCTCCGGTTACCAGTACCAATCGAAGACGTCCATTCGGGGGTTTCGGCCATCGGCAACAGCGATTAGTCTTCGACGAGCTTGCCTTGCTTTTAACGGTGTATGTTCTGAGGAATACTCCGAGGTAAGCAGAGTTGTTAGCCTTGCTTCGCTCCGCATATGTGCTTCAGGCCTCTTCCGTCTGGACATCCCTACGGCGACTGCTGGTACATTTGATCAACACTGCGGATTCCGACTTTCGCGCGGGAAGTACGGTACGCCGAACAAATCAGAGCGAACGTCGAGAACTCAGGACGAGTACTGGACCCGAGCCGGCAGGTACTTGCCCACAGCTCAGGGCGCAGAAGCTAACAAGACTGACACATTGGGACCCAGAGAGTCGACATATTCCGAGAGGCGACTGCGCAAGGGCGCTGCGTGCTGCAGACCCCGAACCCGGTGGTTCTCGTCGATCCTCGGCCTCGTTCGGGTGCTCCTATCAATCTCGATATTACAGGGAGTGATAGTGCCGATCCACCTGACCTTACAGGTCACTTTCACCGAGCCTCTGTCACAGCCGCCTGGTGGCTTTGCGAAAATCGATTCTGGCCCGGTCCGCTGACGCAGATTGGGACTCGTCAGTCAGGTGAAGAAACAAAGACCTCCTCAACAAGATACAGGGGGTTGTAAATTGTGGCCTTGGCAGACAAGGGCCCCTCCGGTTGTAAGTCAGCCAATCCCCTCGTTGAGAGACTCTGTCGCAAGGCAAGCAGTGGCAGTTTGGGAAGGAGACGAAGACGGAGAATTCGAAAAAAAGAGCCCTGCAGGGTCCCCCGTTTCAGCAGCCAATGATCCAATCCCGTCGGCCACTGTTCGGGTGGCTCTCAGCGCCTTGCCTGGTGTCCGCAGGCCGCCGTGCCCAAATCACCGCTAAAGCTAGCACACACTGTCGAGTCGATTCGTGACTTGGCTCGGCCCCGGATGGCAGACTGATCGGATCGCTACGGCTGGCCGTACGGCACAGTTGAGCTGACTATGGTTTGGAGCATATCTTGCAGGCGCGACAAACGCTTTTCCGACTTCTTCGACGGCAGCGACTCGTAAGTCGCGGCCGGAGCGGAGACATCTCGCATGAATCAGCAAATTCCCAAGGTAAATACCGTTGTCGCTTGCGTTTGTGACATTTTTGTTTCTCCGCAATCTTTGTGCCTCTACCATCGACGACGACCATGGCTTCCCTGCTCCGAACAACATCGATAATCTTTCTCCGAATCAATCAAACGTATATCAAGCGTATGCGCTATGGAGCGGGGACGAAAATAACAATTGGCAGAGCCTGCAGCAATTGCGGGCCACCTAAAGGTCAGTGACAGCCTCGAGCCACAATCACAACCCTGCACAATGTACTTTTTTTTTTCGATCTCTGTCCTGGCCTCGACCGACAAGGCTGGAACCCACTGCGCACCTGTGTAATTAAGCACATCGCATTTGCGCCGTTTGCTAGGCAGTCCATTTATTTTAGCTTGGCCCCGCCCTTTCCGATCGTCGGGCCAGGACCCGGGGAAAGCGTGACCCTTGCTGCCAGGACGATGCTCCGGCACACCAGTGGGGGAGGTTTTTCGTTCATATGAATCCCAGGTTTCCAGCGATTACCTTGAAATTTATTTATACTCCGCCGTGCTCTGCGGCCATTCTCCGAAGGCCCCCGGTACATGGCAAATATATCCCGTCCGCAGCCGGGCGCCAACAACACCAGCGGAGGGGGGTGGGTGTGGTCGATGAGCGACGGGGATGCAGGTCTTCAAAGTTGAGGAGGGGGGGATCTGTGTGCAACCCACAAGGGGACCCCGGCCGGTCAAGCGCGCCTACTGTACCCATGTTTTCTCGATGCTCGAGGCCGGCTTAGAATGGTCCCGGCATGTACCCCTGCAGGTGCATCGGTACCTCTTGGTACCAGATGTACATACAAGGCTCGCCTACCCAAGGTATACCACGCACACTTGCCTCGACGTTACAGTCGTCCACTTTGGCCTGTCAGCCAGCAGCAGGAAAACGGCATCAGCACAGAGCAAACATTTTGTCTCTTTTCTGCCTTACCCATATTCGCTCCCCGGTTTCAATCCCATTCAATGTCCTGCCTCTTCATTTGCCTAGCCCCCACCGCTACTCTTTGCTCACTCTCCTCTTTTTTTACTTTTTTACGCGTCTCAGTTGGCCATTCCATGATTCCTCTGGTACTGAGGCCGGCCTGACATTGCTGCTACTGCTAACTAAGATATTTATGCGCCACAGGTTTCAATTCACAGTCCACGCCCTCTGACCGGCACGCCAACTACACGCAATCAGACATGCCCTGGAATCGGCGCTTCTTGGGTTGAGCTGAGAGGAGATTCTGTCGTTGTCGCAGGCGCCTGAGCACCGTCTCGTTCTGTTATCTACTGAACTTTGCTCCCATCGTGCTGCAACCCGTCGCGAGTTCCTTCTTGGCCGAGGAACAACGAGACGTGACCAACTAGCCAGGCGAAAGGGGAAAAGATAAAGAGAAACCAATAAAACATGGCATCATTGCTCTAACAGGTGCGTCTTCACTGCAGGACTTTGTCGAGCCTTCGCCGTCGTCTGGTTCCGGGCTGGATTATCTCGAGATACCAGCCCCGACTGACATGTGGTACGTAAAATCTGTCCCTCTTCTCTCATTGGTTTCGCTTTGGACCGCTGTACGGATTCAGGACGAGCCCAATTCTCAAATACCTGGCCTTCCATCCGCAACTTACACCCTTATTTTTCCTGCATTATGTCCCCTTCAAAGGACCTGGCCGCGATTTACCCCTCGGAGGCACGCACCCTTCCTCCTAAGATCCTAGATTCCTAAAGCAAGTGCAAATTATAAGCTCCCACAGACACCACGGTCGACAGTCCAGAGTCTCTTCCCCCCTTCCCCAGCCTCCACAACCGTCTGCTGGCTCCAAAGTTTTCTCTTGCCAGTGCTGTTGGCGTTGTCCGTTCCCCTCGTCACCCACCGCTGCAGTACGGGGACCATGGGTGCTTCATCGTGTTCTAGAGGTGCTACCTAGGATCGATCTCTAGTGAGCCTTATTCCCGCATCCGTTGCCGCATGCGCCTATGTTCGTTCTCCCGAATACCACTAGTCGCTGCGTCCCCTTGCAAAACACTCGTGCGCCGGTATTACGACACCGTAGTACCGCCAGCACTTGGAGTTGCACAAGGACCAGCATGGAAACACAAGAGCTGGGGAGGCCCAGCCCGGACGGGAGCTAACCAGCTTCCCTCCACACACACCCCTCCCTCTTCTTACGCCGTGCATAATCCTGAAGCCTGGCTGCGTGAATGCTGACCCGGTGTGCGCCTACACAGCTTTTCCCAGGGCTCCACTGGCTCGCTATCGACACTAGAAACACCGACCCAGCCTTCCTCATATCTGAACTTAATCCCACCGATCCCCGCGCCGTCCGTCACGCCGTACTCCCCTGAGAGCGGCCACTTTTATAGTCCCGCTCCCCCCGTCTTTCCCACTCTGGATGTCAGGTCTCGACTGGGCACCAAGTACGTCGCACTTACATCCCGTCGTTATGATCTCCCCGTGCCATGGCGCACCCGTTCTCCTCCAGCGCTTACAGCTGTAGCAATAGCACGTCTGGCCAGGGCATGGCACATGCCCCTCGGCCCGCAGCATTGCCGCATCCAGGAACGCACTTGAGCGCCCGAGACCTCTACTCGTCGGCCACACCGGGCTTCAGGAGGCCGGACCATCACGTCCAGAGGGCTCCGTCCTACTCGACCTTGCGACGCCACAACCCCCTCTCGCCAACGGGCAGCTCGGCATCATACGCATCGCTCACCATGGACGCCGGCTACCCCGGGTCCAAGACCCAGCAGAACATCCCGCCTCTGGGCTCCGTCGTAATGCTGGGTCACCTCTCGTATGCCGACTCGCAGGCGACCGCAATCAAGGTCGAAATCAATGGCCTTATTGACAAGGGCTTCTTTATGGCCGACAACGATTGGACGTGCTATCGGCGCAACTACTTCTCCTGCGTCTGCTCGTATTCGATATCACCAACAATACATAGCGCACCCATACACTTCATGCCGGACGGGTCCACTCAAGTGTATATCGTGTACGGGTTCGCCATGTGCATCTCGGCCGTCGTATCGGATAATGACAGCCACACCATCGAGCTGGTTCAGCACACGCCCAAGCGGGACAAGGGTCCCATCGCCAAGCCTGAAAAGGTACGTCTGACGGCAAGGCCGCCGCAAGCCAGCCATCACGCCCTGACGAGCCTCTACGCGGGCCCAGACGGAAGCCTGGGCTCGTCGTCGAGGTACGAACAAGGGTTCGGGCCACCGTCGCAGCAGGGCTCAGCGCCAACCGAGCACACGTTTGAGCGCATCCAGTTTAAGCAAGCCACAGCCAACAACGGAAAGAGGAGGGCAGCCCAGCAGTACTACCACCTGCTTGTTGAGCTCTGGGCCGATGTCGGGCAGCAGAACGGTGGCGAGCAGTGGGTCAAGGTTGCCTACAGGAAGTCGGCCAAGATGATTGTGCGTGGGCGCTCGCCGGGTCACTACCAGTCGGAGAGAAGGGGCAGCGCGAGCAGCGGCCCTGGCGGCTCCGGCGGCGGCAGCATTGGCGGCGGCGGCGGCGGCGGCTACTCCACGGGCATACTCGGTCCCACCGAATACTCTACCGGCTCCTCCATGCTCGGAGGAGGATACGGACAGGGCTACGACCCGCGCTCTAGCGGTTATGGTGGCACGCGCCACCACCACGAACTGACAATGGAACCTATGATCTCGGCCGAGGAGGTAAAAGCCATTACGGATACGAAAAGCTACCAATACTATCCGGCAACGATCTACGAAGGCGAGCAAGACCCGAGGCATCACCAGCAGGTGGAGCTCTACTCGCACGCACGGAACGACGTCTCCGAAGGCAATACCGCGAACTCGATGAACGGGGCTTTCGATCCCACCAAGGTCAAGCCTGAGATGGAAAATGGGCTGCCAAGTCTGTTCTACCATAACGGGCCATACTATTCACCGCGTTGTGGGCGCTTTGAAGGCAAATCGGCTTCGAACGGCCAATATCCCACCCTCATCCCACCACCGTCGACGTCGACTATGAGCATGACGTAGGAAGGGAGCGGCTGGCTGTCCACATGATTGGTTTATCATTGAGCACCACCTTGATCTGCGATGCATTAAGGGTAACGAGAAAAGCAAAAGGAAATGAGTAAGGAGGAAAAAACAAAAAAACAAAAAGCCAAGCTTGCCCACCGCAGTATGGGAGAACAGGTTTATGTTGTGGTTATCGCTTTAGGATTTCTGGTTTTTTTGTTTTTTTAATTTTTTTTTATTTTATTTTTTTACTCGGACGGACACGCACAGTATCACTTAGACGGACGGAAGACCAGGGAGTCTGGCGCGAAGAAACTGGGCTGTGTTGGCGCAATGTGGAAATCATGGAATCGAGATTTAGGGACCACTGCTACGAATAATGTGAAGGAAATGGGTTGGGATATTGGCGGCGCATTTGGACTCGAGGTTACACTACGCTTCAGTTGAATTGCAGCCGATGCAACAGCCACAGTCCAAAACCCGGCGCCTCTGAATGGCAGAGTTCCTTACCTCTCAAGATCGGGACTTGCTAAACGCAATGTTTTTCTTTCCTAAGGTACATGGAGATGGGGACAAAGGGACCACAAACGAAACAACATGGCAGGCAGCATTGCGAGGGGATACCCGGTGCATCATCTCAGTAGTCGAGTCGTTCGCGCCCACTCTGCTTTTCCACCCTTCTCGGCTCCGACAATCGGTCTTTTTCAGCTTCATGTCGCGGTGTCTTTTGTTTATTTCACCTTCATGTTGACGACATCCAAAAGACGGACGGCCATGGCATGGGACAATACTACTATTTTCGTTCACCCTTTCGGCTGAACTGGGCGCGCCGGGCTTTACGTCGGAGGTTGGGCTCACAGGGCCACGGCAGTCCCTCAACGGTCAAAGCAGACAGACAAGCCAACCACTGCAGCAAGGGGGAGGTAGAAGCCACCTGGGCTTATGCGCACGATAGAGTCTGGGAATCAGGCGGCAACCCCCCTAATCCGCGGTCCTTTTAGCTTGTTTCTTGTTTATTGTTCACTTCCTTTTCTTTATCACCGTAGCTCTTTTGACCTTCTTCCGATGTAAGTCATTGAACTCCTTTTCTTATGAGGCAGCTACCAAACTCACCTTTCTGTCCCCTTTTTGTGTACAATTCCCTTTCCCCCTCTGCGAGTGAGTGTAAGTGTAATGCCAGGGCCAACGCCTGTCTGAGGACCAGGGTTATTGTGGCAAATAATGTTACACAGATGAGTGAGAAACAGAGACGGCAAACAAACTCGAAGGATTCGAAACTACACTAAGGTAGACCCATTTGGCTATTGTTGAAGCAATGGACAAGCAATACCAGTGTTTTCGGGATAGTGGCGTAGGACAGGGTATCTACAGTTACCTAAATCACATGCTAATAGTAGGGCAAGAGTCTTAGGTAGGTAGACAGGTTTCGTCTTCTTTAACATTACGCTAGGAAATACAACTCCCCTTCCGCCCGCTGCCATCTGTCCCCAACGTCCATACCGTAATGGAACTCACCCTCGACTCGACTCGCCGCTTCCCATTGGGTAACTATGCGGAAGGTCCCGTCTTATGTGGCGCTCCTCATGCACCGCCAAGCCGTTGCTAACGCGGTACTACCCCGCAGCGCCTGCCGTAGTGTAGTTAGGTACTTCCTTTCTCTGTATCACCGGGGAGTTACACAAAGGTCAGGACAAACGCTCTAGGAGCAATCTGGTTGTCTAGAGAAGCTCAATTCAGAGGATCATGTTGCCCTGTGACTTAGACATCATAGATCTAGGAGGAGACAGGAGTACATCGTAACACCGCTGTCCGCATCTCGTCTCCCTACAGCTTGCCGGAGGAGAGGGTCATGAACCAAAATGCGCGAGGAGGCAAGCCCACGGCGCGTGCCTGTAGCTAAGGCGCCTTACACAGAAGGACGAAGAAGGAACGGAACGCTTAACACCCAGCAGTTTGTTATGTAAGCAAGGGTCGCACTTTCCATACGATGCTCAGCTGAGAGTGCCTTGCCTGCGGAAAGAGGGGGGATAAGCTGCAGCAAATGGATAGTACAGATATTCCCGCATACCTCCGTCCTAATTCCTACAGTGGCAGAGACGATGCAAACCAACACACCGAACGAAACACAAGCTCCATAGATAGCCCAGAAGGGAAATGCGGCCATGAAATCAGCAAATCATACTAATATCCCCACTGCCAGACCCTTGGAGGAATGCGCATCGGTCTGCCACACCCTCCTATTTTCCTTCTCATCGGTCCTCTGTCTGACCTCTTAGCACATTCTCCAAGCCCGGTCCCGCATCTGGTCCCGCTACTGGGGCGCCCGGTGATGCACGTTGACTGTGTCACACCGCTTATCCGCCCATCTGCCGAAGGCGCCGGGCTGACCCCCGTAATGACTTGCATGAACCGAGCTGGAGCGGAATCAGACGACGTACACTAACAGTACACACGTGCACCAGCCCCCATCGCGCCAGAACAGCTTTTAGAATGCCTGAGCTGCTACTGCACCGCCTCGATCTTGATACGATTGCTATTCAGGTGGGAAACACCCGCAACCCGGCGCTCATTGGGGGGGTAGGCAGCCAAGATACCACCAGAGCTTGGCCAGGACCTCGCAGATGGTGGATGGGCACGGAGACGGCACAGACGAACGGCTGTTTGCTGAGCCTGCCAAGAAGCAAGAGCAAGACTGAGATTCAATCGCCCTCAACCTACGCAGAAAGGCGGTAGAAACGTGCTTCCTGGCCGCTGCCTTGGTCATGTCGATGCTTGTTCGCTGATCTTAGCGCCGAAAAGCGACTTCAGGCGCACCAAAATGCCCTTCTTACCCCCCAGCCAGTCCCGACAAACTGGTAGAAGGGCGTTAGCGTCCCCGCAGACGAGAGCAATTGGGAGACACAGCAGCGACAGCCACAGAGTGGCGTCGGTGTGCGGGTGCAGGTGCAGGGGGAAATCGATCGTTTCGCGTTTTGGGGTCCAAAGCTGACAAGACTCCCCGTTTCCCTGGTTCTTGAAACGCATGGCCGTCGCCAGGCAGCAGGAGCAAACAGCACAAGAATGCGACAGCGGAGCGAGGAGCGGACCTCAGCCGACACGGACCCGAGATGCCCCACCCGGAGACCCGCAGCTGTTGCGAGCTGAGCACTGGCAGCTCGGCGCTCGCATTCCGGTCGTCTTGGTTGTGCGGCACATGGCGCTGCTTGCCCAGCGTTGCAGAGGTAAGGATGCAACATCGGCAGTACCCGGTCGTCTTGGGCCAGCTGGCACTGGTCTGTTGTCTGAATAAAGTTTCGGGACTTAACAGCCGTCAAAAGGAAGACAGCGATCACCCAAATTAGTGTCCGCAGACCCATGCTCACTCCACTTCGCGCTGGACTCCCCCGTCGAACCCCACTGTGTCAACCATGTCACCGAGGAACGCCCGGTTGGTTTCGCTCGTCGCCGCCAAGACCCGCCGTCAGTGGCCGTTCCACAGTCACAAAACCTCCCTTCCCGCGACCCTCAATCTCTACCTCGCCCCATGGAGGTTGATTAGAGTTCATGATAGGAATCATGGCTGGGCGGGACGGACGAGCCTCGGCGAGATTAATAGGCAACCCTGGCATCCAAGCTAGAGGGATTGATTGATCTGCTTCCACACTCGGCCGACACGCCGTGGAAGAGGAAAACGGTGCTCTGGCTGGCGTACCCATGGGCCATGGCTAATCAGATTAAATTGTCAGCGTCGCAGCGACCCATGTCCTAATTCCCAACATTTCCTCCATTTTCAACGGCCAATCTCTGCTGCAGCACGGTAATTGACGACGAGATTGGCCAACAGCGAGCGAAATGCATTCTAGAGGCATCAGCACGGTTGGCACTTACGCGTCTGGTTCAGAGGCCGAGAGAGCCGCGGTCTGCCAAGAAGGCGCGCTTCGCACCACGGCCCGCTTGACTGTCAAAAGGTGGTGACAGCTATTCGTGCAACATCAGGTCTGCGGGCACCCGCGCGCCGAAGCGCTTTGGCAGATGCTCAATCAGACGCAGAGTCCTTTCAGGCAACATCACCCCAGCCGGGCGGATCAATGTTGGTGCACCTCATCCCCGCCCATCTTTCTTAGTTTTCATCCGGCACGATCCGCCGCATTTACTAGTGTACGGCCCATGCCATTTCCTGTTTTCGCCTTTACACTAGAGGTTTGTTTGTCTCTTTGTCACACTACCGTTCTGTGCCCCCTCGGATCGGCCCCTCGCCGTCAACTGTCGATCCCGCATGGTCCGGGTTCCACAATGTGGCTGGAACTCGGGTTTCGCGAAATACACCACACATGTGTACGAAGTATACGCTACATAGAGATTTGTTGGTGCGACGCGGGAAGCAGATGCAACCATGCGCATCATTCCCTCCACACACCGAAGTCTGCCACTGCAAAGTAAGGTATGTATTGTACTGTACACGTATAGTACATACATCTGGGACAATAGGAGGCATACCGTAGGTGAACAGCCAGGCCCGATGGCTCCCCAGTCTCTCATTCTCTCTTCCCCCTTAACAGGGAAAGATTGTGCACGTTGCAGAGCCCGGCACGGTAGGGTGCAGGACTTTCTTCTTTCCCTCTTTATTTTTGAAAGTAAAGCTTTTCTCCAAGAGAGAGGAAAACCCTCTCTCGCTTTCCGTTGGGTCTTTTTGATTTCAGCCAAGTGGGCCCTCGTACACTAAAACCACGCTTCCACTGGCGCGGGATCTGTCTCACCCAACCCCGAGGTCCGCCCACTCTTTTGGTATCACTGGAGGCGCTTCTAAGCTTTGTCGTCGAATTACTGGTCACACATCTCCGTAGTGAGATAGTCTTGGGGAAAAAGAGGCTCGCCAAACTACGAACGATGATGGCTTCAGAAAAGAAGCGCTGCTCGCTTAAAAATTGCCACTACGCACATGGCGGGTACAGTACTGTACATTTCGCACGTTCCGTATCTGGTTAGCGGTCCGTTAATGGGATTGCGTTCTGAAATACTCCACCTATGTATTATAGTGTACACGTAAGGACCTGTTTGTTTCTTGCTCCCTCGACCTTGAACAGCCGTTTTGTATGTAACTTCGGTGGGTTTTCTTCAGCCCTACCAGTGGCCGTGCGCAAAGAATGGCCGCCGAGCGTGGCTTGGCCTGGGCGATCGGCTTGGTCAGTCGATCCTTCTACACTACGCTACGCTAGTATACACTAGTGTACATGTCCACATGGCGCTGATCATATTTCGTCTCGTATCCCTCGTTTTCTGATTCGCGTTGGTATTCCAACGTTACCATATTACGCTAAGCAAGGGGTCTGAACCAGAAAATGCTCAACGGATTGGGATCATTGGGGCGCTTCCGGTTGGCTCTCGTCTCGCCTCCACAAGAAGACTGCATGGCCGGGGTGGGTTGCGTTGCAGAAATCTACCTATGTATGGCCATGACACTACTCGACATGCGCAGTTAGATATGGGCCTAAGGAGGTACATATTGTCCGTATGTATACAAAGCACTTCGTGTACAGTACAATATGGGGAAATGGGTGAATCCTAACCCAACTGCATTGTGAATGCAGTTAGCTAGGTGGCTCCTGCTGTGGTGATGTGCGGTTGGGAGAGAGAGGGCTGCTACTACTAGGTAGTAGTCCTCCTTCTATTCTCACTACTGCTCCCATTACTACTTACTACCTGTATCTGTATCTCGGCTTGTCGGCCAATAGCGGTGGTAGGGGAATCAGCTAGGCATACAATCCTCTATTTCTACCGGTCTGGCATGCAGTCAGCCGTGCTTGGCCCTGCAGCGAGCTCTCGCCGGCTTTCCTCCTGTCTCCCCTTTTTTCTTCCTCACCATTTTGTTTTTTTGTCTGGGTCCTTGGACGCAATCTGCGCGAATCGCACCACCGGGGGCTTCATCAATCCATGGCCTTCAGTTCTGGCAATAGACGGGAGATACTGCACGGCCAGCGCGGTACCTATGCAGGCACGTGGCTGGGATCACAGTGGGTTTGTTGGGCGTGTTGGCTGGGTAAATGGATGGGATGATCGTCGAGTGGCTGAGATGCATCTGGGTATGCTCTCCGGAATTACCTCCGACCAAAAAAGGGTGGCTGTTAGGCGAGGCTGATGCCGTTATATCTCGGTCGGCCGCCTTCGCTGCTACTGTGATTTCTCTCCCTTGCTGCTGCAGCGGCTATCACTTGGTCTGCTTCGCGAGGCTGCTGGGGCCACAGTTGGGGGTTCCAGTGTTGGTACGTTAACTACTCTCTGGTATGTAGGGACCCGAGGCTGGGCCCCTAATTCCCACCTCAAGATGCTACAATGCTACACGGTTGCTGCGGGCTGAATCGAGTGCCCCAACAAGACATTTGTGACTCGGTGTGGATCGGGTGAGCAGAAGCCGGCCCCCAGCGCAATCATGTTATGGCACTCCGAGTCCTCCCGGCATTTACGGGCAGCTAGGAACGGCGCGAATGCTGTCGCCGTCTGCTTACATGCACCTTACTAGTACCTCCTGGCACTTTCAGGGCACAGCCTGTGTCTAGAAGTAAATAGGGGGGCAGGTGTATTCAAGCAGCATGGCGGAAAGCCAGGTGAATGGATTACGGCGCCCTTTGGCTTGTAGGTGTGCAGAACTGAAGGGGTAGTTCCAGTTTGTTTGCGCTGTTACAGGACGTGAGGGTGTGAGATGGCTGCTGCCGGGTTTGTTCCCGGTGTGGTCGATGCTGCTAGTAGGATCGGCAGAGTTCTCTCGGCAATGATTTGGATATCAACGGCCACTGAGCGCTGGCAATTGGATGCCTGCAAGGTTTGATCGGCCTACCCGGGAACGTGGAACAGCTTTCCCCGGGGGCTCGATCTGATGTCAGACAAACCCGAGCGTCGTACACTACACGTGCATGGCCGAATACTAGTAGGAGCCATCATGGATGAGAGCCACAACCCTCGGACTATGTCTTCCATTGACGCCTTTCGTAACCACAAGTTCGCCATACCCGGTTTAAAACCTGCCCATGCACGCACCGTCCTCGTTCAAAGTTGGAGCAAACACCGACCGCAAGCCGCCCCTCATGCAGTCCTGCCCCCAAACTAGGACACACAGATGATATGTCATAGATGCTGCCTGCTGCATGTGTTCCATTTATCGTACTTACCTTGCGTGCCTGTGCGAGCTCTCGAGCATGGAACTAGCAGAAGGATGCCTAGGTGTGGCTGGTCCGACGCGGCAGGTGAAATCTCTCGTCAGCATGGCCCTGTGGGTCAAGGAGGATACGACCGAGATTCTTCATTTGCCGCGGTGTAACGTTTGGAAGAGATTGGAAGGAAATTAGGCGCTTAGTCGCTTGACTCAGTATGCCAGGGGCAACTTGAAGCTGTCGGGTCTGCGTGGAAGTCCAAAACTCCTAGCATCCGGTATGTAGAATAGGGGTTCGGTTGCCATGCCCTTTGTTTACCGTTACTCAGATGCTTAGGTACGGAGTTCAGCCATGCTTACATGCAGAAAAGGTTGTGTGCAGTTAGAACATCCTGCGACGAATGCTTTTTAGAGCGCCCCGTAGGAAATATGTTGCTGGAGTCCGGCAGTCTGATCGTTCGTGAAGTCAATGATGCATATAGAGCGCTTGAAACGTAAACAAATCCCTGCTACACCTTGCCATGTTGGTGCATGGGATAATGACAGCAGATCTGGCGCCAAGTTCAGCAACAAGACAGAAAGATCCTGCTTCATGTTTCAGGACGTAAATCGTGGTGAGACGACAAGACAATACGGAGTTTCCCTTGTGCCATAGAGTCTCCGTTCCAGTCATCCAGTTCGGTTCTTAATGGCCACCTTCTGCTCTACAGATAGAGCAGTAAAGATCCGAAGATTGAGCAAGCTAATATAATCAAGTACTAACAATGAACTCTTAACCATACGAAGATCAAGGACTTGTTCTCAGGATGGAGGAGAGCGATCTGGGATCGCGAGTGAAACACCAGGATCATGTCGGCAACTTGGTACCCAGAGAAGACAATCCGCGTCTGTCGAAAGAACGGCCACTGTAGCATTCCATACAACGTAGCGTTCAGTTTGAACTGTTCAAGCGGACAGATATCATTGCCCTGAATTGTTGCCATTGCCAGAGTCCAAGGTGATGCTGGTGCAGGGCTCCTAAGAATTCATGCGTTCAGTACGATGCGGACATCATGATCTAAGACAGCCCGAATATAAAATCCTTCTCTTTCCTAGTCGAAGGTAAAATTTTATCATTATTTTCGTAGATTTAGGGCGAGCCCCTGAGCCGGTCAACACTGTTGATAGTCTCTGAGCAACGCCAGAGTCCACTCGCTCGGATTGATGGACGCAGCCTCCTTTAAACCCTACTTGAGGCCCTCGGGTAAAGTTTCCTGCAGCAGCAGAAGGTGCTAGCCAACTTACTCGAATATCGGCGTTCCATACTAGAGCGTTTACTGAGCAGTTCCTTCCAGGAAGATGCCAACCAGCTGAGATGATCCCAGGCATTCTCAGTGGAGGAACAGCCATGGAGTCCCAGCAGCGTTGATAGCGCCGATACTTCAGACAAACAATGTACATTATAATCGTGTAATAGCCGCGAGGCTATCCTGTCTGCCATTTGTTACCCTAGTGTCCCAAACAAATGACCATTTCCCACTTGCTACTAGTACTTAATCTGTTGAACCTTGCACTGTACAGCACATACAGCTTCCCCTCACCATACGAGGTCCGACCCGATGTTGATGAAAAGCCCACCTCTCGCTCGATCTAATACCGCCAGATCGCATCTGCCATCATAACAACCTGCGCCATCTCTTTCACGTCATGCACTCTCACCACATCCGCCCCTCCCTGCACAGCAGCCGCAACCGTCGCCGCGGTCCCCCAGATCCTCTCCTTGGGCGTCGGCACGCCGGTAACCCTGCCAATAAAGCTCTTCCTGCTGGACCCAACCAGCCACGGCAGGCCCTCCAAGCCAGGCCACCCCCTCAGCTCGTCAAGATGCCTCAGAACATCCACATTCTGCCGCCCAACCTTGGCAAACCCCAAGCCCGGGTCCAGCACGATCCGCCACCGCCTCACGCCGGCCTCCTCGGCCGCCTTCACCCTGGCCACCAGCTCCCTCGCAATGCCGGCGATCAGCCCACCCTCGCTGTCCGGGTACTCGGCCATGCGGCCCATGGTTGCCGGGGTGCCGCGCATGTGCATCAGGCAGACGGTGGTGCCGAGACGGGCCACGGTGGGGAGCATGTCCGGGTCCATGGAGCCGCCGCTGACGTCGTTGACTATGTCGGCGCCGGCGGCCACGGCGGCCTCGGCCACGCGGGCCCGGTACGTGTCGACGCTGATGAGCGCCGGCCGGTCCCCGCTCGCGGGGAACCGCGCGCGGATCAGCTCCACCGCCGGCACCACGCGGGCCAGCTCCTCGTCGACCGACACCTCGGGCGCCCCCGGCGCCGTCGATTGCCCGCCAATGTCGATCATGGACGCGCCCGCGTCCAAGAAGGCCGTGACCGTCGCCACGAGGTCCTCGGGCGCGCGCTGCGCGTTGAGGCCCCCGTCCGAGAAGCTGTCGGGCGTCATGTTGAGGATGGCCATGACGTGCGTTTTCCGGGATGGGTTGAGGGCCTGGATGGGCGGGTGGTGCGGAGAGAGCGGCGTCATGGTGGTTAGAGGCGTTGGGGAGCGAGGGAGGGCGTCGAGGTAGTCTCGCGTCACGCGCCAGGGCCGGTCATGGTCGATGGGCTTGTCCGGGATGAGCCTAGAATGGAAATTAGAAGGGGGCCGATCCAGTCAAGAGGAAAAAAAGGGGCCGTACTCGGCCAAGGGTCGCAGGACAAACTCGCGCTCCGGGATGCCAATGTGGGGAATGGTAAGACGCTCATGGCTGAATTTTATGTTCTCGTAAAGGAGGATGTCGAGATCAATGTTGCGGGGCCCCTTGTCGATGACCTTCTTGCGACCAAGCGACCTTTCAATGTCCTGGAGCGCATCCAGCAGCTCCAAGGGTTCCAGCGTCGTTTCGACCTAGCGTGCTACGGCTCAGTCAGGAAGCGCGTGTGTGGGTGTGTTTGAAAAGGCTGACAACAAACCTCGCAGGCGCCGTTGACGAATCTGTCCTGGTCTAGCACGTACATGGGCTCCGTCTCCCACAAATTGCTCGTCCGCTTCACCTTGATGCCCCGGGCGTCCATCTCGTTGCAGGCCTTCTCGATCCAGCCGATGCGGTCGCCCATGTTGCTGCCCAGCGCGATGTAGGCCGTCCGCCGCCGCGGGGTCTCTGGAGAGCTGTTGCTCATTCTGGCGGGAAGGTCAACGCCGGGACCCGGCTTGTACCCGGCTGGGAGGGTATATTTGTTGAAGGGGAGCACGTCAGAACGGCGCCGGGTTGATACTGAAAACGCCCTATTTTCTATCCCAGGTACGCGCAATCTGTGGCTGCAAGAGCAACCGTGGCGGACATGACGCTGCAGTGCTTGTGGCTGTCTAAATGCGCCCGCAGCCGAGAGTGTGAAGCGCTTCATATTTTCTCCAACATAATTACTCAGATGATGAGATCACAGCCTCACCTCGCTCATCAAGTCAGATTCGAGAAAGAGCCTTGCGTCAATTGCTGATGCCCCACTGGCGCGACGCACGTTGAGTTAAGGTGAAGGCCTGTGATGAAGAAGGGTTAGGGTTGGGTAGCTGCGGCTGACCTTTTCCGTTGGGCTGAACGCCTGACTCCCAATCAACAGACTCTCAACACCATGACCGGCCGGAAGGTAAATGCAGTACATACGGAGGTACACTGCATGCATACGAAGTTGATATGTAGGTAGTCTAGTGTGAGTAGGTGAACATTAGGGGTTGCCTCAGCTGCCTAGGCTGGGAGAAATAGCGGAAGGGTAACCAGCGTTCTCAATAAGTCAAATAAATCAAATAACGCTCCTTACTTGGCTTACTTGGCTATTTTTATCGTATACTTGCCTTATTTGCAAGTTACCCAAATAACTTGCCAAGGCCTTCGGAAGGAGTTATTCCGACCCGAAAACGCGCGCGATTTCGAAAAGACCTCGGATTTAAGCGAATTAGCCTAGGAATTGGCCTAGGAATAGTTAGAATGTACTACCTTACTGTATATAGGGCCCATCAATCCAGCGTAGGCTAGC